TTATCTATAAAATTAATTATGGGAAATTATATATTTTTATTTTTAATTAAATTTTTTTCATTTTCAGTTTTGATTTATTTTAAAAAAATTTAAATTTATTTCATTTATTTTTTGTTCATATTTTTTAAAATTTTTGAAAATAGGTATATTATTGAAATTTAATTTGAAATTAATGAAAATAAATGGTGACATTTTTTAATTTTGACTTTTTGTTTTTGTTTATATTTGTGAAAAATTCGAAAATGGGTATTTTGTAGAAGATTAATTTGAAATTAGTGAAATAAATGGTGGAATTAAAAAAACATTATTTAAATAATTATGGGAGATATAGGGGGGCCCAAAATTACTTTTTCCTTTATTTTTTTCAAAATGAAAAATAAAAATGATAATAGGTGGAAAATATAAAAAAAATTTGAGTGAAAGGTGCTGACTTGGCAATGACTTGACCCGTTGACCGTCCAGGATAACAGTCAAACATCGAGTTTGGCCAATATCGTAACTTTGATGTATAGTTCGGGCCATGATGTTATAGATCGAAAATATTGGCCAGAATGTTTATTATGTGCAAAGTTCAGGCCATACAAATATATTAACCTTAAATTATATCCAAAATCAAGTACCAATATCAAATCGTTATTTCTTCAATTTGATCTTTATCAAACCATGGATGATCCAATGCTACTTGGACCACGACTAACCTATTAAACCAACTAACCTGACTATTCCAATAAACTTATTCTTATAGGATCAACACAAGAAAACTAAGTAAGAGTAACTACTAAAAGATAAAAAAAAGGCAAAAATACATTTCTATAGCTATAACTATTTGCGTTGTGACAATAATAGCACCTTTTTAAAAAATACACTGATATAGTCAATTTCTTTTAAACTTGCATGACAATAATGACCATTTCCATTAAGAACTTTAACGACATAACAAAAGCGGCCAGTACTCTCTATGTGGCGCTGATGTGGATGCCAATTGGGTACGACACATCATGTCCAGCTAGACTCTCCATACCACGTCTCCGCCATGTCATATTTTAAATGAAAAGAAAATACAAAATGTTTTTATCCCCTTTGTCGTCTAGGGTGCCGACCGAGTCCACTCCCACCGTCGAATTTACCTTCATCCAGTCGTCGTCGTTCAATGTCGGTATAGCCACCACCACTATCGTCCCCACCACCCCCTTCCAATTACCTCGCAACCGCTCACCTTCACTGGTTTTGCTGCTCTCTGCCTCTGTTTTACACTTTTAGTCCACGAGAAAAACAAAGAGGGTTCTCAGCATAAAACTCGACTCGCTACATCAGCATAATTCGCCACATCAGACAACCCAACCCATAACTTGACCCTTCCGTCTCGACCCACGAAACCCAAAAAAACCGAACCTTCAATCCTCCTCCTTGCGCCGCCAAATCCCTAACACCTCCAATCCACGAATCTCCATCACACAAAACAATCTCCCGAGAAGTTCCCTCCCCATCCGGCGAAGCATCTCACCCCAAATCCCTTGAGCGGGTCAAGGTCAAGATATTATCCAAATCCCTTCCCCTCCATCAACCGATTCGGGGAAAATAATCGTCGTCAAGTACGACTACACCATCATGAAAGACATGAAGTTTAAGGTCATGGTGGTGGAGAAGTCGGTGACTGAATCGCTCGCTCTAGTTCTTGAGCAGGAGGTGGAGGAGAAGGCCGAGGAACCGAAGGAGGGAAGGAGCTCATTGAGACAGAAGCGAAATTCCACCGAGGATGGTTCATTATGGTTCGAAAATGGTGAGTCACTCGGCTCTGAAAATAGAATACCTGAGATCCAAACTCAGAGATTTCTCTCTAGCTTTCTGATGGTAACATCGTAATCCCATTATCCCATTTTTTGGTTCATGTTCGTCCATTTATGGGTTTTGGTTGTGTTGAATGTTGGATTTGGGAAATGGGGTTGGTTCTTTCTCATGATTGAGAGATGATGGTCGATCGCAGGGAAGACTGGGTTGACCACTCTAGGCGACGTCGGTGTCTGCAAACAAAGTGGAGGAGAACGGCGTCAAGACTCAAGGCTACAATGGTGGAAGGCGGAATGGCAGGTGGCGGTAGTGGTGGCTCAGGTCTGGTCGGGTTGGTTAGGGGTTGGATTAGGTTGGTTTATGTAGAGGGTCTGACGTGGCGGGTTAAAAAAGAGTGAATCGACATTTCTGTTACCCACCAAACATGAAATGTTTAACCATTTTCAATGGCCATGAATGGAATAAAATACTTTTAATGACCAAACGTGAATATTTTAATATGACTAACCTTGCAATTTACCCCTAAAATATCATTTCGTCTAAAACAAACACGTCATTCACAACTAATTAAGGTTAATACATACTTGATTAAGTAATAACTCTTTACAGTACTATTTGCAATATGTCTGATGCTAATTTGGAGCTCCACTTAGCTTCCTCCAAGTGGATATATGCTAAAAATGGCCCAAAAGCCTCAATGTTGTCAAAAGCCTTAAGCCTCAACATGATCAAATTTATGTTAACATCGAAAAGCAAGGATTGTTACTTGGGAGATTTGTTACAAGCTCCTGCTTGCTTCCTTCTTCCTTGAAATGTCAACTTTAAAAGTGCATCTATATTAATATAAAACAAAAGGTTTCGCAAGAACACCCATACATATATAGGGTTAGCAAAATGAAAAGCTAATTAAAGCACACATTAACACACATTTATATATCCCGACTTACTTTCCCTCTCTTCCTTAAGAAACTCATGACCGTTATCCGCCAACCAGACATTTGGGTAGCCGTTGTGGCTCTCCTCTGGCGAATTTGGCGATCTCGGAACTGGGTAGTCTTTGAAGGAAAGCAGTTTGGGTTCCCAGCTTTGATGAGGCAGTATAACCAGCAACTGGATGAATGGGTACGGCTCCCTGTTGACCCGGTCATGGTTCCAGGCGTCACTGTGCCGACGTACGGGGATACAGTTCAATCTAATACCGTCATTTGTATGTGGGATGGGGCGACTCGCCAAGGGTCCCACTCGGCAGGTGGAATGGTAATCATGACGTCAGCTAGGGAGATTCTGGGGGTGAGGGGGGTCCAGTTTCAGTGTATTGATGACCCTTTAGTGGTGGAAGTTCTTGCACTCCGGGAGGCGATTTGGTGGTGTTTGGCGCATGGATTTTCGGCGGTGCAATTTGAAGGAGATGCCAAGGTCGTCATTGATAAAATCAATCGGGCAGAGACTGGTGATACTCGGATGGGAGCGGTGCTTGAAGAAATAGTTTCATATTTTGCCTTTCATCCGGAGTTCGGTGTACGATTTGTAGGTCGGAGTCACAATAGGGTAGCCCATGTGGTGGCTAGAAAAGCCCTATCATTGTTGCCGACTGCGTGTCATGTTTTTGATTTTCGGGCCTGGCTGAATTCCAGGATGTAACTATCGTTCTTTTGAATCAATATATGATTATCTTTTGAAAAAAAAAAAACACATTTATATATCCATAGTCACTGCCACTAATAATCATGATTTTTGTCAGAATTAGCGGCGGCACCTCCCGACCGTCCAGTAGCACTGTCCCGCCGCCACGTCGTCCATGCCGGAGCCGTCCCGCGGCGGATCGAACCGGATCGGCAGGAAGTCGCCGGAACCACAGGGGAAGACGGTGGGCTCGAAACGATCGAGCAGCTGGCGGAGGCCCTGCAGCTTGGCTCTGACGATCACCGCGAGCTTTCGGGATCGGCAGTGGGCCCACGGCCTGTTGCCGGCGGCGAGGCAGAAATTCCATGCCGCCGTTGGGGTGGTGAAGTTGACGAACGCGTAACCCTTGTTTGCCTTTGTCCTGTTTTAATTTTTTTTTTTTTCAATTTGGCGAGTGAAAAAAAAATTACTTCATAGAGAGGAAGCCAATAATTAAATAAATTAATTGACAACGAAAGAGAAGGGAGAGAAATTAACGAGAAGCGCGTCAAAAGAAATTACGTACCTAAAATCAAATGGGAGGTAGAGGAAATCATAACACGAACGCACTTGATCAGCTCCGGCTTCATTTCCCACCACTCTCTGGTTTTGGAGGACACAATGCCCGTCCAAATAGTCGAGTAGCATCTTCCGGCTGCCGCCATAACACGGACCAAAAACATTAAAACAAGGTGGCCGGTGATTAATTAAGCTAGCCGAGACGTAAATTAAATTTTTTGGTGGACTAATTAATCATATATGCATGCATGATTACCTGTATCGATTCGGTATGTTTTTTATCATTACCGTTGTGTCTTGGACTTGGAGTAGCGGCTGGTCGGACGGCGGCCGAGGCTTCGGGCAGTATTCATCCGCCGCCGGATTCAGCAATCTGACGTCGAACCAAAAAATTTGAACAAGACTACACAGAATCTAAACACAAGAGTTTCGAACCAATGAAGAGCTATTCAGGGGTTTTAATAAACCTGTAATTATTATTTGGTATATATCTTAATCATAGCGAAAGTACATTTTAGCCTTGTGGAGAGCCTAAAGGGTTGAGACATGATGTTGTATTTTTTTCAAAGTAATCATAAAGACAAATTAAGGAGGCAAATTATTTCCTTTGTTTCCCTCTTTATGCTATGATTAAGCTTTCTCATAAACAAGGTTGAAGGAAGTAGTGCAAGGCTTAGCATTTAGGTGCATGAGTGATTTGTAAAATGAGCGATTTGTTTAAATGTGAACATTAGGGAATATAGACATATGGGAATGTACACATTTAGAAACATTAGGGAAAAATTAGATTGATTGCATCATTCAAAATGACATCAAGTTTGATATATTTTAAAATAATTTTTTTTAGAAATATATATATTATTGGTTTATCATACATTGGTCCAACGATACCGAACCCAAACAAAATCGACAACTAAATGTCTCTTCCTTGCTAGCCAACTCCATTTCGAACATGATCTCTGTTCGATTTGTTCGGAACCGAAATAAACTCAATTCGAAATGGACTTGTGACCGAACTGCCGAACCATAAACGCACCACCGGTCGATCAAAGTGGCTTGCAGTCAAAGATCCCGTGATGCATCAGATTGCACAGTAATCATCGCTAAATGGTCCAGGAGAGCAGTAATTTTGTAATTGGGATTGCTTAGCGTACTCCAACCTCGCTCATCTTCAGTTCAACCCACTTCATGCTGCACAAAACAAACACATAATTAAGTTTCATAGAAATGGAGTTTGCACCGCTGATCATGCAAGAAAGGTATAATCCATATTGATCACCAATAGACAATTGCATTCTCTAGTTGAAGTTCCTTTGTACGGAGGAAAGAATACTAATTAGTAATTACAATGTTCGCACCACTAGAAGCAACATGATGTTCGCCCCTAACATTATACATCTCTCTTCAAAGTTCAAACCATGAAGCATGCATTCTGTTTTAGTTTTCCATTGCATCGAGTAGATTGGGCCTCGGGGTAAAAGAATGAAAACCTTGAATGATTCAATTGTCCCTTTCTGACTGAATGATCCTGGCGGCAAGTAACCCTTTTGATAGGAATCTCAATATTGTTCGTGAAAGTGGATCACCAGTTTGCTGGGCTGGGCCTCGGCCCACATCTGCCTCAAGCGGGCAAAGCAAAACACAGGGGTGGATCATCTGTCCACTCCAGACAAACTTGCCTATCCCAAACCGACCCAGAATGGGCCCAGCCAATGAGCAACACAATTGTTTTTCCTTTTAGTAAACATTGTATTGTATCTCTCGACTCTCATTCTCATCTTAATCAAGTTCAAGTGATCTACTAGCAAAAAATTAAGAATTTTGAGAATAAAAAATTTACTTGTCCCGTCTCAATCGAAGTTGTCGGTAAAAAATTTACTTTTGAGAATAACACATTTTGGGTGACTTGATTGTCTTGAGCCATTCGTGGAGTTGCTCTTCTGACAAAAAAAAAAAAAAAACAAATGTAACATTTTGATATGTGGTTATTTAAATTGTTTCATTCTGTGACAATTTTGAACTCCCATGAAAGGGAGGTGGCACTTTCAATTGCTTCATTTTTCAAAACCAATATATTTTATAATAACATAATTACTCACTTTTCATTTTATTTACACCCTCCTACTAATTCAACAAAACAACAATTTCTCCACTTACACCTCCTACTAATTTGCACCCTCTAAAATTTAACTCTCAACTAGCAACCCATTCGAATTTGCACCATTGTTGCTGTTGCCAAACATAGTGTTAGTGTGACTTAAAGACAAGAACAATTTTGTAATTAGCCATTGAAGTCTCAACAGTCAACGGAGCCACAGAAAGCATTTCCATTTTCCGCAGCCGCCACCACCAATCCACAGTTTTGAGATGTTCTCGCCAATAAAGCAGACCCACACGAAAGCTGAAAACTTTCCGTATCTACATTGCCCTATCCCACCACCAAATCTCCGTTGCTTCCCCTCTTCGATACTCGCCTTTTCCTTCAAGAAAAGTTAAGATACAGAATCGGCGTTCTTCATTCATTCTCTAGTTGCCCATTTATGCTCCGAGGGGTTTCGCAGCTGCAGCCTCGATTTCACCGACTTGGGTATTTGAGGCCTGAGGGGTTTTCATAAGAGGTAGCCTGTGAAATGGAATGCATCCAGCAGAATAGCCGAGATTGAATGAGCGAGACGTTCAAGTAAAGAGAGGCTCGATTGGGGATTGGGATTTGCTGAGGTATTTACTCTATTCACTTGGAGATGTTCTTCTTGTTCAATCGATTCCTTTCCGCTGTTCACTGATTGCATAGAAAAGAGGGTTTGGTCTACACTTTTTCATGAGTTTGATTTTCTTCCGTTTGATTGCCGGTTCTACCTTTTGTTTGTTCATGTTGTCATTTGCGCGGGAGTGCTTTGGCTGCTAGTAAATGAATCTTTGGTTCTGAAAGTTTCGAACTTTACGTCGCATCTTATCTGGAAACTAGGTAGTGAAGGATATCGATTCATGGGATTTCCTTGATTGAGCCCAACTGTATCAGTTAGCTCTTTGTTCCTCTGGTTTTACCACTGGAGCTATGGTTGTAATTTATCAGTGAGTCATATAGTGTTCTCCTGATTGATTTGATGCTAGATCCCATGTAAAAGAAAGGTTTTGGTGGGGTGAAATGGGGGCCTTTGCATTGACATCTCAGTTGCTTGAAGACTTTGTTTCAGAATAACTCTGCAATACCTTTTGTTTCTGTAATCACGGGTTATTTATAGCAATGGTTGCTTGGTCTGAAATTGTACTCTTTGGTGATCGCTGCCATTTTCATGTTGATAGCTTTCAAACAATGGTTGTTTAAGATCTTGGTCCAAAACTCTTTGAGTTGATGTAAGGCACGTGTTGCTTAGATTATAAATGCGCCACTTTTTAAGAAACACCAATCAAGATTTTCGGTTCTACAGGTGCCAAACTGAACAGCAGAAGGGACAATGTCTTTGTTGTCAAAGTTAAGGTGTATCACTGTGGATGTCACGGGAACGTTATTGGCTTACAAAGGCGAGCTTGGTGACTACTACTGCATGGCAGCTAAAGCTGCTGGAATGCCATGCCCTGACTACAAACGTATGCACCAGGGGTTCAAAGTTGCATATACAGAAATGGCCAGGAATTATCCCTGTTTTGGGCATGCAGCTAAAGTACCAAACATCGTTTGGTGGAAGACATGCGTCCGAGACTCCTTTGCCAGGGTCGGTAAACTGGTCCTTTAACTAGCTTGTGTCTTGCATTATTGTCTACATAGATGACAAGTGATATCCATAACTTGAGGAAGAGGCATTTATGTAATAGAGTTGGTGTTTGATGATTTGCAGGCTGGATATGATTATGATGAAGAGACATTCGAGAAGATATTTAGACGGATATATGCTTCCTTCGGATCATCTGCACCTTACAAGATCTTCCCGGACTCTCAGCCTTTCCTCAGGTGGGCACGTGAGAGCGGCGTCCTTGTTGGCATTGTCAGCAATGCTGAATACCGTTACCAGGACGTGATCCTGCCAGCCCTTGGTTTACACCAGGTACTTTTAATTTATTCACACAACTTGTTCCAGAGACAATAAACCGGGTGTAGTGTATCTGCAGTTCTCTATCGTAACAATGTTCTATCGAACACCAGGGATCAGAGTGGGACTTTGGTGTGTTCTCGGGTATTGTTGGGGTGGAGAAACCTGACCCTCGTATCTACGAAATTGCGTTGGAAAGAGCTGGGAAAGATATTCGGCCAGAAGAAACGTTGCACATTGGGGATAGCATGCGAAAAGACTACTTGCCTGCAAAGAAGGTGGGGATGAATGCAGTGCTACTGGATCGATTCAATATTCCAGATGCTGAGGAATGGAAGAAAGCTGGTGCACCTGTGTTTCCTGACCTTGTGGCTGTACAGGAATATCTCACTTCTGCCTCCTGACCTGACTGACTGGACCGACTTTTAACGGGGTTTCGTTTGTTTCACCAACCCGAAAAGTAGCTCTGTTGTATGATCTCTTCCCGTTTTATTCAGAATGAACATGGAAATTAGAAGGGGCTGATGCATGGGAAGTGAAATGCAGGTTGTTGCATGTTCATGAATCTTGTATATGCCTGCACAAGCTCTAGTTTCACACATCTGTTGTGAGAAATCTGGGGTTTGAAAGCTGAAATGGCAATTTCTTTCTAATCTAAATGTGTATGCGTTCATATTCTAATTGCACATTCATGCCCCGGATGATTCATCCATGACTTGGTTTAGACACTCAGAGGCATACATTAGGATGCATGTACTAGCTTCCACGATTAAGGTGTTGCATTTATTTCTCAAAACATCTTATCATAACATTGAAATAAGTTCTAACAAATTAAATTGTCAATTGAGCTCTTGTAGCTCAGTTGGTTAGAGCACCCGTTTAGTAAGCGGGAGGTCTTGAGTTCAACTCTCAACGAGAGCAATTTTTGCTTCACAAAAGCCACAACATTTGAGAGGTCTTGAGTTCGACTCTCAACAAGAGCATTTTTCATTTTTCACTTCACAAAAGCAATAACCTTTTGATGGCCTTACTCCAAATGTACCCATTAATGTATTTGATTCTTGTTGGAAGCAACACGATATAGTTTATAAGAGGATAGTTTGAGATGTACAAATCTCCTATTTCTAGGTTAGCCCACTTATTAATGACAGAATTACATATAATCTAGAGTGGCAAGTACTGTAGAATGTAAATGCACTGCATCAAGGAAGTCCCATATATAATAAGACTTAATCTTGGCAAGATTTGACCTTTGAACTTTTATGTTTTGGTCAGCTTGGTACATGAATGTTATTTATGGTCATGGCGATACATGAACTCTTATTTTTTCCCTGGTAATTATGAACTCTTACTTTTGATCAATCAGTTGAGAGGTCTTGAGTTCGACTCTCAACAAGAGCATTTTTCATTTTTCACTTCACAAAAGCGATAACCTTTTGATGGCCTTACTCCAAACGTACCCATTAATGTATTTGATTCTTGTTGGAAGCAACACGATATAGTTTATAAGAGGATAGTTTGAGATGTACAAATCTCCTATTTCTAGGTTAGCCCACTTATTAATGACAGAATTACATATAATCTAGAGTGGCAAGTACTGTAGAATGTAAATGCACTGCATCAAGGAAGTCCCATATATAATAAGACTTAATCTTGAAAAGAAGGTCAATTTGACCTTTGAACTTTTATATTTTGGTCAACTTCGGTACATGAATGTTATTTATGGTCATGGCGGTACATGAACTCTTATTTTTTTCCTGGTAATTATGAACTCTTACTTTTGAATAGTTTTGATCAATCCTTTGAGAGGTGTTGAGTTCGACTCTCAACAAGAGCATTTTTCACTTCACAAAAGCCATAACCTTTTGATGGCCTTACTCCACACGTACCCATTAATGTATTTGATTCTTGTTAGAAGCAACACGATATAGTTTATAAGAGGATAGTTTGAGATGTACAAATTTCCTATTTCTAGGTTAGCCCACTTATTAATGACAGAATTACATATAATCTAGAGTGGCAAGTACTGTAGAATGTAAATGCACTGCATCAAGGAAGTCCCATATATAATAAGAGTTAATCTTGTCAAGAAGGTCAATTTGACCTTTGAACTTTTATATTTTGGTCAGCTTTGGTACATGAATGTTATTTATGGTCATGACGGTACAGGAACTCTTATTTTTTCCCCTGGTAATTACGAACTCTTACTTTTGATCAATCCAATACACGAACTTTTTAATTTATGTGTAATTCTAACTAGAGTTGATGACATAACATTAATTAGAGTTATTTATTTATGTCATCTCATACGCTGCGTGTCACTTAAAATAAATTAAAAAATGAATCACATAAATACTTTTATCCTTTATTATTGCTTGACTTTCTCTTCTGAGCTTTTTTCAAAAGAGTTCTCGCAATGGACTTAATCTTGGCAAGAAGGTCAATTTGACCTTTGAATTTTCATGTTTTGGTCACCTCGGTACATGAATGTTATTTATGGTCATGGCGGTACATGAACTCTTATTTTTAATCAATTCAATACATAAATTTTTAATTTATGTGTAATTCTAACTAGAGTTGTTGACATGACATTAACTAGAGTTAAATATGTCATCTCATACGTGTCACTTAAAATAAATTAAAAAATGAATCACATAAATACTTATATCCTTAGTTACATGTATAATTTAGATAAGGGAATGTATCATGGACTCTTGGTCTACGGATTATGAAATTGGAGGATCGCGATAAAGCAAGAAAACGAAACCAATAATAAACGAATAAGACACACACGGATTTACGTAGTTTCCTATCCACAATGTGTGCTCGCTAATCTATGGATAGTAGAGACCCAGTTTCACTATACCTCGAGCATATACAGATAACAGAGATAATAAGATTCGAATCAAAAGTAGTAAGACACGAAATTTTGTAAGTGAACTCTTGATTTTGTACCCGGAACCAGGTAATAATTAACCATGTCTTAATCGTGTTTTGGAGATGGTACGCAATCTTTGCATGTCTCCACTTAACATGGGTTTGTTTGTTGATCGAATTCCTCTCTGTTTCTCTTTCTATTTACCGACTTTCTTCTTCATTTTTTAATAAATGAAATGAAATTGCCAGCTGAGATCGAAATTCTTGTGTCACACTCTGTGTAATATATGATCAAGGAGTACTGCTCATTCTGAAGGGACAAAGAGAAAGAGAATCATGTGTTGCATAATCCCAATCTTGGCTGCGCTCGTAGCTTTCACTCCGCCGGCGATCTACTGCTTCCTGTCGCAGAACTGCGGCGACCTTGTCGACGATTTAGCTGTGGGTAAGTACATCGTAACAGCCGATTCTTGCCGGAGTTTGTGGAAGAGGGTGGCTCTCGTGCTTGCACCGCCGTTGCTGGTTCTACTTCTGAGATGCTGCTGCTCCGGCGGCGCCAGCTCCGTGAGAAGGCAGCCGCCGCGGAGGCAGCAGAAACCCCATTGACGATGATTCAGAGTGCATGTGGATTTGGCAAGATGATGAACAGAGTGCACGGAAGAGGCAGAGGACTTACTTATATAGCTCATTCATGTAGCCCTAGTGGCTAGAAATTGAAGCAATTCTGAAAGGTCAAATTAAGGATTTCCGTTTTATTTCAAGACGGAAGACATTATATTTTTCCATAACTTAGAGGTAAGTAACGATAAATAGTAGATTGTCGTCCGATTTTATACAAATTAGTGGTCGAGTTTCAATCAAATTGAATAAGCATGCAATGATATTCAGGTCATACTCACACATAGGGGGCGGCTGGAAGTTTGATACCGGTATTTGGACTGAATATCGTATTGAATTTATCACTATTTGGTATTACCGAATACCAAATTATTTTTTAGGGATTGGAATTGATATTCATTTTGGAGTGCTATTCAGTTTTCGGGATTACGGGATTGAGATCGGTATATACCGAAATACCAAGAAATACCGAAAAATTAAAAAATAATAAAATATAACATACAACCTTTAGTCATTACTCACTCTTTCACATAGAAGCCCTCATCCAAATCAATTTTGACTTTCCAGATTAAGTCACTCTCGTTTCTCACCTAATATCTTGTTATTTTAATAACACCAAAAAACAAACACTAGTATTAGTCGTCTCTCAACCTCCAATTCGTCAAATTAAGGATTATCAATGACGAGAATTTGAGATATCACCTCTCCTCCATTCTCCTTATCCATATCCTAGCTCTAGGCAAACTCAAGATTCTTTGCTTAGTCTCTTTGCCCTAAATTAAATAATCAAATCTAATTTAATTATTACTTGCAAAGGTAATTAATTTCGTATTCGATAATACCGATTGGGATACCGAAGTACCGATTGGGATACCGAAATATTTAGGGATTGGGATACCGAAATTATTTAGGAATTGAGATTGAGATTGACTTTAGGGTGTAATTCGGTATTCGGGATTTCGGTATTTGGTATTGGGATACCGATACCGTACCGATTTTCACCCCTACTCACACAAGTAAGGGTTTGCAACGATTTGGTTGATTTGGTCCATATACGAATCGGTATTTGATTAAATAAACTTTATAAATACTAAAGAAAAATTGATCAAATTAACATATGAACTGGATCCAATAAGACCGAATGCAATAATGATTGATCTTTAATTCTAAAATGTTTTTAACTATTGGACCATAGTCCTCGTGAATTTGTTTCACTCGATACTGTTGCACACCGTCCCCTACCTACAAGTAGAAATTGTGGAAACGGTAAAAATTCATAGAACTAATTTTAATCGCTGTGAATCATGAAATTAAATAACTTCACAAACAAAAAAGAATAAATCGGTGCATGAAGGAATGGACTGATTGTAAAGGTAGCTAGCTTTGTGATCCGGTAAAGTGAAGTACTTGCTTTATCCCCCCCGGAAAAAAAAAATGGCTTATAGTCGCTTTGTGATCATCGGAAGCAAAGTGGCCATGGCGTCGTGACTCCACTAAAAAAAAAAAAAAAAAGAACACCTAAACAAATATTTTCCTTGCGGTAGGGGCAACATACTCTTCTTCTTCTTCTTTAAGTATGTGTGAGGCCACCATTAACGTTTGCACACCACTCTTTTCCATGTTTCATCCACTCACTCCATCCCTGCAATGGCGAAATCACCAGTAGCAGACCGCAACAACGTGATCCGACCGCCGACGACAAAAGCAAAGAGCAACAACAACAGTACTAAGCATCGCATGGCAAAGCTCGCCATCTTTCTCTTCACCATCTCCGCCACCGCCCTCTTCTTCTACCTCTCCGAAATCCAGTCCCTCCACCTCCGCTCTCCTCCCTCCTCTTGGTTCTCCGACCTAATCCATACCAACGCCTCCTCCTCCTCCTCCGCCGTTGTTACCACCGGTGATCAACAAGCCGACGATGAAGAGCACCGGCTCATCATCGACTCCATGACCGAAAAGCTCCGACAGTCGGTCACGTTCCTCCCGCTCAAGGACCTCCGTTACTCCCCCGTGCCCTTAGAAGGACACACGTGGTTCATGAGCTCGTTGTTCGACTTCCAGGACGAGGACGGCGGGGTCCAGTACCAGGAGTTCCCCTTCGTCTCCGACCCAGCGAAGGGGAACTCCCTGGGACGGCTGCTCTGCCTGAAAGGCAGAGACACCCACGACGGGTCGTGGAACTACTACGCGCTGGCATGGAAGGAAGCCCTTCCGGTCAACGCCACCCTGATGAAAGGGCTGACATTCGTGTCGTACAATCATTATGATTACGGCAACATCTGGCACGGGCTGTCGAGCCTCGTGCCGTTTGTTGCCTGGCACAGAGCCCATCGGTGTGGAGACTCTTCGTTTCCGGACAGGTGGGTTCTGTACCACTGGGGGGAGCTCAGGTTGGGGATGGGGCTCTGGCTTCAGACATTGACCGAGGCCATATTTGGGGGCGAGGGCCCGCCCAGAGTGGAGGGGTTTGAAGGGATTGGTGAGGACCAACCGGTCTGCTTTGAGAAAGCTGTGGTGATGAGGCACAATGAGGGTGGGATGTCGAGGGAGAGGAGGATCGAGACCTACGACCTGATGAGGTGCAAGGCTAGGGTTCACTGCAACGTCACCCTAGATCGGAGGTCGACCGACGACCAGGGGGTGCCTGTGATCGGGATGACTCTGTTCCTGAGGACCGGGGCAAGGTCGTTTAGGAATGAGAGTGCAGTGATTAGGGTGTTTAGGGAGGAGTGTGGGAAGGTGGATGGGTGCAGGATGCAGGTGGCTTACTCCAATAATCTCACCTTCTGTGAACAGGTAACTACCTTTAATTAATTGAGTCATTAGTTAGCTTATTACTCTTTGTCTAATTAATCTCTAGGTTAGCTCTTAGATAATGGGTTGACTGAAGTGGAGGATAAAGAAGATATCAAATTTGTGCTTTGACCAAAAGGTTTCACTAAAAAAGTTCCCATGAAGAAAGATGATGGTCACATGGATTCACCTAGCTAGCAACACAATGCACTCAAAATCACTCAAAGGAACAATCACATGAATGGCACCTTTGAGTATTTGACACCCATCCTAAGTTATACACCATAAAACACATACTATATAGTATATACGCTTTGTGTACGAATTCTTATGAGCCGAATCGATACTGTAATTTTTCTTTTTATTTTTCGATATAATTGCAGTTACGGTATTAATTAATTAGGTCAATTGTTTTTTTTTTTTTTGGGGTCAGGTGAAGTTGATGAGCTCGACCGACATTCTAGTATCACCACATGGAGCTCAATTGACAAACATGTTCCTAATGGACAAGAACAGTAGCGTGATGGAGTTCTTCCCCAAAGGATGGCTCAAGGTCGCCGGCGTAGGACAGTTTGTTTACCACTGGATTGCAAGCTGGTCGGGGATGAACCACCGTGGCGCGTGGCGGGACCCCGACGGTAATAACTGTCCGTTTCCCGAGGACGATCGCCGGTGCATGTCGGTTTTCAAGGACGGCACGATCGGAGTGAACGAGACTCATTTTTCGCAGTGGGCTCAGAGTGTACTCGGTGAGATGAAAGCTAGGAAGTTGGAAGATGCAAAAATGACGGTGAACGGGAACAATTTTGAACATGTCCCAAAAACTTGTCATTGTGGTTGATTTATTAGTACGAAACCTTTTTTTTTTTTTTCACATAAGGGAAGCTTTTCTTATTGATTTTTGTTATCCAATAGTTGGCGAGAAATAAATGAGTATTTTTCAGATTTTTTTTAATGGAAAATTCCGGAGTCCGGACCACGGGAATTGGGATGGAGTGCTTTTCCGGTCATAAAATATTTTTGTGTTAGGAAAAAAGAAGGAAACTTAAAGTGAAAGAATCCGCCAGCAGGCAGCAGAAAGTTAGCACGAAAGTCTCTGGACTCTGGGGAAGTACTGAAAGAGCCGCGACTGGAAAACAAACGCAGCAGAGACGGAACTGCAACCAAATCCCGAGAAAAAAGATGCAGAAACGCACCATTTACGCCTGGGCAGTAGCCCTCATCTGCTTCGTGGTGCTCATGATCGTCACTCCCGCCATCCCTCAATCTCAAGAATACCATGATTTCGCCGACCAGCGCCGATTCCTCGGTAAATTCACGTTTTTTTCTTCCTTTTCTCTAGTTTTCCCCGTTTGCCCACGTCTGGAAGCTAGTTTCCGCGTCCGCCGAACTGATCCAGTGGAGTGAATGGATTGGGCTTCATGGCCTCCCAGCAGAAATTGAATACTTGATCAAGTTGAAGTAGTAATAAGGGTTTGTGGGTTCACCCTGAATGTTTCCTTCTTTCGGGAGTTAAAAAAAAGATGTGAGATTTGGATGAGAAATTTGAATTGATGGCTGAGAGTTGGAAAGTTTAGATTTTTCTGTGGATTTTGATCTGGTTCAAGTGATGTGTTGGGGTTAATGAATTGATTGTTCATTTCAATTTGATTTGGTTCAGGAATCCCCAATATGCTCAATGTGGTGTCGAATTTCCCTTTCCTTGTTGTCGGGCTAATCGGACTTGTTCTTTGCTATCACGGGAACTACTTTAAGCTCAGGTGTGTGACTGATTCTAAGTATTTCTGATAGGTTTGATTAGACTGTGAAAGGAACGGCCGGAGCTCCAGTTTTGAAGTATTCATGTATGCCTTTTCCTTCTCTTTTATCTGATTTGTGAAGTTTGCAAGGCGAGCTTTGTGGCTGGACATGTTTCTTTGTTGGTGTGGGGGCTGTGGCTCTAGGCTCAGCGTACTACCATCTCGACCCTAATGATGCTACCCTCGTGTGGGATCGATTACCTGTGAGTTTAACAATTTTCTTCAGAAATGGAATTGTGGTTAGATAGGCTGTCGATTGATGAACATATAAGTACTAACTTCTACTCTTTTCTCAACGAAAAAAATGCAGATGACTGTTGCATTTACATCAATTATTGCGATTTTTATCATCGAAAGGGTTGATGAACGGAAAGGAATGTTCTCTCTCATACCTCTAATTTTGGCTGGGATTATAAGCATTGCATATTGGAGGTGGGTCATTTAATTAGTCTTGTTTTCATTTGAGAATCAATTATTACCATAGGCTACTTTCCCCCTCTCTTATTTGATGCCCCCCTTACATAGATCACAAGAACTAAAGTATCTTCTAGATCCGGTTTGTGTTATATATCCTACATTTAGGTGATCTGTTACTCTATAGTCTATTCTGTTACAAACCAAGTTATTATCACCTGGGCACGTCTTCTATCAGTTAGATAGATTTAACGAAATCTGTTGGCAGCATGCTTAATCCCATTACAGTATGAGCGTGAAGGACCTTGTATTGATGTGCTTCTTAAAGGACATGAATTGTAGATGTGAAAATTCAAATGATCTTTTCTGACAGATATGAATTGTAGATGTGAAGATTGATTATCAGTACTTGAACTTGCTTGAAATTCACTGTGAATTGTTATCCTTGTCCACATGACTCAATCTTAAATAGCATGTGCCCTGTACAGAGGTCAGGCTACTGCCTCTATAAAATCCCTCTCGAACGTATTTCTGATTTCGATATTTAACATGCAGTTTCTTCGATGATCTTCGCCCGTATGCTCTGGTTCAGTTTGTTCCTTGCATTGCTATTCCACTAATGGCTATTCTGCTGCCTCCAATGTACACTCACTCCACTTACTGGCTTTGGGCAGCAGGTGTTTATTTCAACTGATCGCTTCTCTGTTGATGTACTTCCTAACATCATAATTGGTCTAATACAGTGGTCACTGTTTTTATGCCCTTGCTTGCAGCTTTTTATCTTATCGCTAAGGTAGAAGAAGCTGCAGACAAACCGATATACAGCTGGACGCATCACATTGTCAGTGGGCACACCCTTAAGCACCTGTGCGCTGCAATGGTTCCTGTTTTCTTGACCCTCATGCTTGCGAAGAGATCTATCGAAACCGAGAGGTTCGATTTCTTGCTGCTTTGCTACATTTCCATACGGTCTCAGGATCCATGCTTCTAGGACTGCAGGTGTCTAGATTAGCATCATTCTCACATCTTGTTCATTTTGTGATTTTGTCATGAATGCAGAATAAGTCTGCTTAGCATGTGGCGGATTTCTTGGACCAAGTACAAGGAGAACGGCACAAAGGTGGAGACTTACAGTTGCACTTACACAAGCGTACCAGCTGAGGAACAAGCTTGACTGGGTTGCAATCCATTAAATTCCCATGTGATACCGAATCCTAACTTTGTATGCCTCTACTATGTGAATTGCCGGCTCATATGACCATCAAACTGATCAACCAAGATACGCTAGTTGTTGTACATGAACAGTAATGAATTGTTTGCCCAGTTGAGTGAACCTTAAGATTGACGAGAAAGATATATTGTCGAGATATGATATAACTAAAATACCGCGACATTTTGGCATTTTATTCCTTTTCCCTCAATATATTGTCCAAAATGTGAAAAAGGGCCTGAAAATAAAACCGAAAATGCAGAAAATTATCCAAAATGTAGGAAAAATTATACATGGTAAAATACAGAAGGTATATATGGAAACTAATCAATAAAAATGCTAGGAAAATACAGAAAAAATAGAAAACTAATACATTTCCTGGGGTAGAAAGAAATGCACTGAGACCAGGATTGCCAGCTGACTATTTGATGTCCATTTGATGTTTGGAGCAGGGGCTTCCCTAACCTGTGGACTTCTCCATTAAGCACCCTAATCGAGCTCTGCATATCGATACTAGTTATATGGATTGAGTTCAAAACCAAAAAATCAGCTTCACCAATAATCCCCACAAGAACAAGTGCCTTTCTCAAACTGATGGAATCGATTCAAATCTCTTACTACTATAACCCGTTCGTATATCTTCGATATAAATTTGAAAGCTGTGTGGCAGTCTCCACATATCCTGAGGTTCTTCGTTATTCGAAGAACTACTCCTGGGTTTGTGTTGAGAAGACCAAAAGCTACAGCTAGCTTTTCACTATGGGTTGTAAGGTTACGCTCCTTCTCTTCTTCACTGACATCATGCAGCACCACAGTTGTATCTGGTACATACCCGGCTGCCTTCATCCTTTCCGCCAATGCCTCAAGAAACAAGTATATTTCCTTCGACTCGGTATGGGACCTGTCCTCACCCAGGAACAGGTGAACCTTGCCATTGACCTCAATCCAACTGCAACCAGGATTCTTTCGTATTCCTCGGCCTTTAATAGCAGCTCTCAAATCATCTACCTCGCCCCACATGCCAGCTTCTGCGTACATGTTCGACAGCAGGATGTAATTGCCACTATTTTCAGGCTCTAACACAAATAGCTTCCTAGCTGCTATATCTGCAGTATCTAGATTCTTATGCATCTTACTAGAAGCCAACAATGCCCCCCAAATGCTTGCCCCTGCTTCCATAGGCATTTCGTCGATCATCTTCTTTGCTTCCACGAATCTCCCAGCACGACCCAAGAGATCAACAATGCACCCATAATGCTCAACTCTTGGTTCCACCGAGAAAACTGGTTTCATATTATTGAAGTACTTCAAACCAATTTCAACTAGACCTGAGTGGCTGCATCCGCTCAGCAGGCCTGTGAAAGTGACTGTATCGGGTCTAACCCCTGCTTCAATCATCTCCTCGAAAGTGGCCACAGCTTCCTTTCCACACCCATGAGATGCATAAGCAGTTATCATAGTGTTCCAAGCAACTAAAGTTCTATGACCTGGGGCCAGTCGATCGAAACAGCATCGTGCATTAACAAGGCTCCCGCATTTAGCATACATTGCAATAAGCGCTGTGCAGACTGATGGGTTTGAGTCCATACCGATACTAGCAGCATAATCATGGATTTTCCTGCCGCGTTCAAGAGCAGCAGAGTGTGCACAAGCGGGGAGCACACTCATTATTGTCACCCAATTGGGCTTCACATCAGAATCGTACTTCAACATCTCGTCGAACAGAGTTAATGCTTGCTCAACGAGCCCATTCTGGGTGTATCCTGATATCATAGCAGTCCAAGAAACGATATTACTGCAAGGAATCCTCGCAAACAAATCCTCAGCGACGCGAATCTCTCCATCTCTCATGTATCCAGCAATCAGAGCATTCCACGAGGATACATCTCTAACATCCATTATATCAAACAGCTTGCGTGCATTCCCTATTTCGCCACATTTCACATACATGTCGATCAAAGAAGTTCCAACGTATGTATCTAACTCCAACCCAATCCTCAGACTCAAGCTATGAACACATTTTCCAATCAAAAGATTCAACAAATCAGCACAAGACCTCAGTACAAAAGGAAACGTGAAGTTATCCCCTTGAAAGCCTGACGAATGCATCCGAAGATAAAGCTCTACACTTTTCTGGTGGCAGCCGTATTTACTATAAGCACGAATCATGGAATTGTACAAAATCAGAGAAGGGTTCTGAATCCTACCGAACAAAACTCCAGCAGCGTCGAGGTCACCAGAACTGGCGTACATCGCAACCATTTTCGCTGCGGTGAAGCCATTGGGTTCCCACCCGCGAATCGCCATGTGGGAATGAACTTGCCGCCCGATTCTCAAGAAATTACGGCCGGTCAGATGCTGGAAAAGGGGCGCGTAGAATGAAAGGTCGGGCGGCTCGTGCTTCAGAAGTGGGTGTAAGAGATTCCACAGTGGCGTTCTATACGGAGACGACTTGGAGGAGGGATTGCTCCCGACGTAATCCTCCGGCGAGACATCTGCTTCGATAGTGAAAGAACGGGAAGGATTCAGCGCAGAAAGAAGGACAGGGTTTGGTTTGGATGTCGGAAGGGCGGCGGTCGAGCAGAGGCGTTGGTGCATTTGAAAGTGGCGGGAATGAGAGAACTACGGCAGATTCTACCATTAGGACCTTAACCGACTGTACCGAGAGCGCTGAAACAGAATAGCTTTCGGGGAAATTGACGTTTATTATGAAACTTTGCTTTGGCACGGCACTCGACTTAGGACGGCAAATGAGCCGACTCGAGTTTTACCCCAGCTTGAGTTTGGCTCGTTAATAAATGAGTCGAGCTCGAGCTCAGCTCGTTTATGAAAATCTTAACTTTTATTTGATACTTTATTTTGTATATTATAATACATATGATTTATTTTGTTAGCTAATCTCATATTATACTTCGTTGGTATCATATATCATTTTGTTAATAAATTTTAACTACTCCAAATAATGTTATTTCATAGTATCGAAGCAATTTATGATGCATAATTTCTTTTTAAAGTAGAAAATAAGATATATTGCTCACAAACTCAACGTGTTAAACTTTATATATGGTGAAATATATAATTTAACAACCATATGAATTAAAATCATAAGATATAGATTGATTCGTCCATAAGTTGGTAATCGAGTTGGCTCTCTAGCCACATGTCAAGACATATCATGAGTTCTAAACGAGCCAGCTCATGAGTTTAGCTCCACAAGCCACCGAGTCGAGCTAGCTCGCGAGCTTCACGAGCTGAACAAAGGTGAGCTCGTGTTTGGCTCGTTTATTAACGAGTCGAATTTCGAATGAGTTTTTCTTGAGTCGAACGAGCGGCTCGGCTCATTTGCAGCCCTACTCACACATGAAACTTGTTCTCCTTGTGTCGTATTAGACTGGCCTGAGCCGCTGCCCATGTATACACAGCTTCCTTCAATTCAGTAGCTGGGGAATCATTCTAACCATTGTTTCAAGACTTTCAACAATGAAACTGCTAAGTGATTAAGTTCTTGAGCAGAGTAGATAGATGTCTTCATTCAAATTGGAAGCTTTGGATTTTGATCAACCCCTGGTACTAAAACCTTGGGATATATTTAAGCTCAAATAAATGTATAACAACAATGATAGAAAGGCAACCTCCTGAAAAAGGATCCAAAATTACTTCCTTTGTCTTTAAGCCTATGATCTTTGATACAGTCATTTTCTATGACACTCTCAGGTATACACCCATCAAGGGGAATACAGGAAATCTGGCCAGCCACAACTATCTGCTTCTGTTTGGCTGATCTACACAGCAGGCAAGCAAGGGACCTTCACGAAAGAGAAGAATTTTACTTCTCTTCAACGGCAGCAGTACTGGTGCTATCATTATATGCTGCATCAGCTGAAGACGTGTCCAAATCGTTCAGTCCCAACTCTTCGTTCTGCTCGAATGACCTCTCGTATTCCTCAACTGGATGCACCACAAGCAACCCACATTAATAAAACCAACATGTGTTACTACAAGCCGGACAGTTTCTGTAGCAGGAGTACGATGACAGATGACCGCTGACTCTAAAGTCAATGTAAGGGTATGAACTCCGCTCAGTATATTATTTAAGAACGATGAAAACAACAAGCTTAGCCCATGGAGAGATCCATCTTGAGGGACAATAGAACTCATTAAGATCAGGATGGATGATTTACTTACATGTTAGTTGTTGGTCCTCTTTAATATCGTCCGTTGCTGGAGCAATGAAAGAATTTGCCAATGCATCATCAAGAATCAAAGTCCAAGGCTTTTCAAGGTTTAGAAGCTGGCAAGAGAAACAAATGGCAAGTCAGGAAAATGAGATACGGAAAAGATAGCACAAAAAGGCAGAAAACCGTGAGGTGCATAAAATGAAAACTGGAGGCATCCATGCTTTGACTTCTTAAGGCAAGCAGTCATTTTCCTCCTCTAAACATGATTTATGTCATAGTGGTGCACGAGACATGTTTCATGTTTCAATGAGTGCCACAAAGAACCAAGGCACCTGAAGTGTTCAATGACACCCTGGGAATCGAATCTGGTACTTACTGGCTAAGTAGTAAGCGTCCAGAGCAACGGGACTAATTGAGATAGCCATGCCTCAATACATGAGCTAATGAAACACCATTGTTGGGTAAAATGGGACATCATGAACCCTTAGGAATAAGGTCGCTAATGTGAAAATTAAAAAAAAAAAAATGGAAGACCACGACAGTGCATAGTTCGGAGCGGTAGCAGACCTTAATTAGTCTTGATCTGAAATCTAGCCACTTGTTTTTCCTGGATTCCTCAAGGCTATCACCGAATGTAAATCCATGCACTCTCTCAAGACCTGAAACAAAATCACATGTCAAAACAGCTAGAGGCAACCAAACATGTTATATAGGACTGAATCATCTCCTAATCTTGGATATAAAAGGCTGCTGAAAAATCATTGTGGCGCTGTGTAATATACTCAGGATGGAAAGCCCAGAAAAACAACTGATGCGAGAAGACAATTATGGCATCACATCCAACCACAATTCTCACTTTCACTGATTTTTGTAACCAAGCCTTCCACTGTTGTCACTAATCCTCCCAAAGTTCCACTAGTGAGTTCCAAATCAAGCTCGGGGATTGTCACACCTGCAGTATCAGACTGGCAAAAACAAGAGAAAGTTAAAGAGGTATTAATCCTTTGCTGAGCCAAAGCACCATATCAATGAGGAACTCTAATGTGATATCTAAAAGATTGAGATAAGTCCAAGTCAACTGCTTTATCATATTAAGTTAAGCAATATTAAACAAGAACCAGTATTTTCAATGGCCATAAGACCATGGGCTGCCACCTGCCAGTCAAACAGAGCTAGCCATCACATTTGTTATACTGGGGCTGGATTGCTGGAACCAGCAGCCAGCCACTTTTCAGACCAGGAATATTCCTGTATGTTTAACGTTTATGATTATCTATGAATTACACAAAACAACTCTGCCACAGGTGTGTCAAGATTAATTCCTCAAATCATTTCTGCTCAACCTTCGTTTATCAGGACACTGGAAACAATTATGAATGTTTTCCTCTGGGAAGATCTTTCCGCTGAATAGTAAAACAAACTGCATGTCAATTCACAGACAAGAAAAAGAAATCTAGGAGCTCTGGGTAGACCTTTATGACATCACGACTGAGGTCTTTAACATTCTTCACACAGAGTGTTATTCTCTTTCCCTTTTCAGGAATTGCTCCGCCTGGCTTCAACTGCAACGAAGACATATGTACTGTCAGGAGACAGAGAACTAACAATAGCTGTGATGGGTTCTCACACACTTCTGAATTTATGTTATCTACCTCAATTACAATGTATTCATTCTTCATTCTATTATGTTAGATGCATTTACAAATAAAAAATTTGGTATGGTGCATTGGTGCAAAAACCAGAAAAGAGAAAAAAGACACGTGGACCCACTTTTTCGGAGTACATTTTTCAATTTGATGAATTTGAGATTGCACGTGCAATTAAACACATCAGACATCAAAAGTGTCTAACAAAGATGATATATTTGTTCAATTGCTTATAATTGCAAATATCATCTCCCAAATATACACCCAAAAAAACAATCTGAAAGGTAATACAGATATCATCACGAACCTCAGAACTACGGTAACCACAGGAATCACAGGTGGATGCCATCACAATTACTTCTTGAAAGTATGGGATGTCTGTATAGTGTCAAGGTCAATCATGCTCATCCAGAAAGTCAAAAGCTGATGAGTAAGCCAATGTGCGGTTAACATATGTTTCCTTGGTCATACTGAATTATTAAACTGCTCACATAAGCACAGAAACCAAACCAGAAGAAATATCAAGGATACTCGTGACAAACATCCGAGTTTCGCTCCTGACAGCACAAGCTCCACAAGTCGACGGGAATGTCATCACCTGTAAAGAAGCATGAATAACAGTCAATAGCAAACTTCAACTTACAAGGAAATTAAGAACATGGTTCCCAGTCAGTAGCTGACCTCTTCTGGTGAAGTGTATCGGAACAAAGCTTCAGAGATTTCCGCACTATTACTCTGAGCAATGGCTCGATGACCAGCTACTGCTCCAATTGATCCATGAGGTTCTACTTTTCCTGAATTGGCATCATCATTCTCTGTTCTCTCAACAGATGCTGTGGCCACAGGTTCTCCAGGCTGTGTTGGATTAGGCAGATAGCCCAAAGATGCTTGTTGCTCTGGAGTTCGATCGTAGAACTTGATATTCAATGCTGGATCTGGTGATGGAGCACACCTAGTCACACAAAATGTTCTCAGAAGATTATCCAATATTAGAGGACAATAAGAAATTTCCTTCAACATTCAACATATTGCCTTACGGGTTCTCTATAAAGCTGTTTCCAGCAGGATCATCCAAGATGATAGTGAACGATGAATCTCCCCTAGCACAAGCCCTTAACTTTGACAAGAATTGATCTATTGCTTCAGCAGTTTCAGGATTCACTTTCTACACAAGCACAGCAAACACTACTTTAAGAAAAGAGATAATAATGATAAAGCATCAGCCAAAAGTGATTAATGGGAAATTGGAGATGCACCCTGCGTTCGTCTTGAAGTGCTTGCAAGCCATCAGCAGCACGCATCAAAATTCCTTCCAACTGCCAATTATAAAAGCATCAAACTAAGAACAGAGGATTGAAACCAAGGACGTAATATTTCTGGCACCTCATGCTTAAATGTTAAACCAACATGAATCGAAGTATAATAAAACAATGGCCCACTCAACAAGTGGCTGCAACAAACATGCTTCTAAATCATTGACTGTTTGAAATGATTCCTGGTACACTATTGAGACCTATTATGAGCTTGGTTTCTCAGTAAGATGTATTTCAAGTTTTCAACACTCTGAGGTGAATGTATTTTAGGTTTCTACATTCCGGACAAGGAACATCCAATCACAAATTGTTCAAAAGCGTGAATCTTGTTTCCTTGAATGCATCACCTATCGCCGGACTGACTAAGTGTTAATTTAGCCTACAGTTTAATGAGTTTAATCTTTGTTTCATGTCCTTCATGAATTATTTGACCTCAGGTTGATTTACAGTTTTTTGAAACGTAAAATACTGTGAGGCCAACCAAACTACTCATTTAAGGCACCTTCTGTCGTGGTGACATTGGCTCTCAGAAAGAAACAGGTGTCGTTTCTTCAAGGCGGCATTATATCCTCGTAAAGCATCAGGATTCGGTGCAACTTATAAGCTTTTAACCAGTTTGTTTCTGAATCTTGAGATTTATCTTTTAGCAACACTGGAGATCCAAAATCTTATTTTACTTTATTGTACAAATATGAGTGTCAATCAAGAAAATGGATCAACAAGAAAAAACCTGAGCGAAACCATTGTTTTTATTAAAAAAGGCTAGTTCTCTGATGAAACATACCGTTGATAGGCTACCACGCTGCGCCTCAGGAGGAATCTCGAAGTCCAGTTCAGGAATCTGCTCAAAAGAATGAGCAAACAGATCAATATTCAAGTCAATTAGTAAATAAGAAGCAAATTTGGGATCTTAAACTTTGCTACATGCAAATTATTTAGCAAAACACTGTATACTTGACTTTCGCTTCAACTGCTGAACAACTATTTGACAAAGCTATATAGGACAACAGATAACAGAACATGACTACCATCGTATAGGTCCAAAATCCCCCACAAGAGGGGGCGGGGGTTAATGTTTAGTTACTGACGACACATAAAAGCAGATGCCTAAGGTTTTGTTTGCCAAAACCAAGGAAAAATCATATTGAGAATCAGGTTACCTTTATGGTTGCAGATTCAGATTTCACCACCTGACGATCGAGCATCTGCATTACCAAATGTACATCACTCCAAGATCACTGGTTGAGACAAATCGTGAATAATAAAAATAAGACCTCAAGTAAATGCCATGAATTAGCCTTGCCAAAGATTATCACGTACATAGGGTGCAAGAGACGTACACAGAGCTGCTTTATCAGTGAAAAATGGTAAAAGGATTATTAATCTCTGTAAGTCAAGAAGTTTGAGAAGCTGGTTCTTCCAACTATATAACGTAGTCTTGTTAGGTCCATATAAGGTTTGAATTGCCTTTTTAACTGCTTGAGAAGAGAAATACGGATGACAAATATATATCCAGTCTGATGTTCGCACTAATTTATTTATGTTTGGATGTTATTGTTAGATGGAATGATGAAAGACAAGGAAAATCCTGTGTAACAAAATAAATAGAGCTTTTAAGCCATTGCAACTATAATCCGACGGTACAACTGAAATGAGCATAAAGGACTTTCTTATAAAACAGTTCTACCTTCTGATTGCCTGCTGTGACATTCAAACAGTAACAACAACCCCGTGGCTGGATTTCACCCGCAAACTGGACTTCATTATTCCTGACAAAAAGCAGAAGGTGGAATTACAAAGAAGTTTACCAATTGTTTGGTACTTGTATATTGACCATAAAAATCAGGTTACCTCTCATCACAATGTGGACATTCAAAGGCTGATAACAGGATCTGCAGCAAGAGCACATATGACTTAAGTCTACTGTTTCCTTTAGCACAGGACTCAGTAACAGCTAACTAAGTAAGGCATATAGAACTTTCTGTGTTAAAGGAACCTACCAGCAGGAGGAAAAAAAATGAAAGTAGAAAACAAAAGGAATCCTATGACTTAATCTGCCATTCACTGCAGATTAAACCATGCCTGGAGCTCGATTTTCACTATCAATATATCTATCTCAAAGGAAAGTTTTTACAATACATTAAATGGGGGAAAATAATTAGAATGAATGATACAACAAGGAGTATTGGAGCGAGTATGGACAATACCTTTCTGAAGTGAGGAATTGAAGTCAACAATAACCTTGTTACTCCCTGCCAACCAAAACCACATTGCAAATATGGTTAGAAAAAATAGACGCTACAAGTGAGAAAAAGGCACTCATTATAAACTGACCGTGATAGCAAGAAGCAGAACATGCACAAACAGATTGAAACAAAAGAAGAGCAAGGACAGCAATAAAATAAACTTGCTTGGAAGTCTCAATATCACCATTAAAACAAGAGAAAGGAGCTACCAAATTTGGACGTGGAAAGGGGGAATTCAGAACAACAAATGCTACCGTGGAATCTGGAAATTCACTGGAGCATTTTTTTTTTTATCAACATCGGTGGACTTCCAAACTAAAGTAGGCGATTCTGCCTCTACAAAAATTCACACTTCTATACTGTTTAGAACAACCATTGGCACTAAGCTTCAGAGGCAGCTCAATGGGTCTCTTTATTAGCCCTTTTCCAGAAACTGGTTCCTCATTCCAATTGTGAACCTACCACTCATCCCCGTAGCTTCCCAATATCAATGGAAGGAACCCAGAATGTCAATTCACATAACAGGAAGAACAAAAGTAAGTATACTGATGCAATGGAGAACAAGAAAAACGAAAAGGGTTTGAGCACGAGAAACGAACATTTTGGCCGCAACGCATACAGAGGCTCTCGAGTTCATAAAGTGGGGCGTCGAGCTCGTCGTCTCCAGCAGAAGCGACTGCTTCGGCCACTGACCTAACGTCCATGATTTGCTCCTTACTACGACCCGCCTCCATATCCAGCTTTGAATCAGAGCTCTGGCTTGGCTTCGTTTTTTTATTGTTGCACCCGGCAGCGGCAAAAGACTAGAGCTTTCAAGTTGTTCCGGGTTTTTATACAAAAGGAAGGGGAATAAATAAAATCGAAATTGCAATTTGTTGTACTAGTAGTTTCTGCTGCTTTCTTGAAGCAACGAGCCAACGAATATAAGAAATTAACAAAAATATTGAATTCTTCGTTCTTCTCCTTATTCTTTATTTATGAAATGCGGTGTTATCAATACTAATGTACCTAATTTCATCAAAATTTTATATTAAACATGTATAATGAGAGTTGTACAATGGATAATTTTTCGAAAATTGCTTGTGTTGTATTCTTGAAAAAGCGAACATGTATTTTGTCTTATCACATCAACACTTGCACCCAATTTCATCAAATTTTCGATATTAAACGTTCAATAGACAATGAGCGAGAATTACTAACTACCGAGATGAATGTTTTGTCTTGCAATACCAACATTAGTTTTCAATCTCACAAGTGATGACATTACCAAATAGCAACATATCGATTACAAATTTACACTGCTAATAAGGACATCGTACCACTACCAACCATGGAAATCACTACTAGTAAGGCACCATATCACTACTGAACATGTACAATGCCACTAGCAGAAAGACATTATTTCAAACGACAGTGTGTTTGCATTTGTCGACTTTGATTTCATTGAACAGAAGAAGATAGCAGTTTCCTATTTACATCCGGAAAAGCTCTCGCCGCTTTGTCGTTGCAAGGTGGTCACCTCTAACCACTGCCAAGACCTGCAATGCCAAGGAAGCCAGATGAGTTTCTTTCCAGCGACAGAGCCAGGAATGCATTCAGTTAACTACATTTTAGACAACAAAAATAAAATTCTCACCTGGCTCATTGAGAGGCAGTGGCCTGCAGAAGGATTACTCCTCAGGCAAAGCAAAGCTGCATTTACCAAATGCTGAATCATTCTGCTATCGGTCATCTCCTCCACCACTCTGGGATCCAACACATCTTCTATGGAACCCTTCTCCAGAAGTGGCAGGGCCTACAAATACAGCAACAGCAAACACATAAAATGAACTACCACAGTTTGGTACGATTTCCCGAAGAATATACTCATTCAATCATTCTTTCTCACCCAGTCAATCAGGCTTTGTCCCACGCCTTGCCTCTGGAACAGCCGGGCACTCATTCCGCTGATGAGCTCAATCAGGAGCACTCCATAGTCGTGTATGTCCACAGCTATCAGTTCATCATGCTCCTCATTTCTCCGCCTTCAACCCCACAGGTAAAGGTAAGGGTAAAGAGAACTCTTCACACTGGAACAAGTAATGAACCATTCCACCGTAAAATGGGGAAAAAACCTTACCGTGTTCTAGAGTCAACGTTACTCGTCCCTTCATCTTTAAGGATTCTAGCGGTCGCAAAGTAGGCAAGCTTGAATGACATTCAGATAACACACAAGAGCAGTGACAAGTTTAATCCACTAAGTGAAACCCATGAACAGATAAATTATGAGTTGCTATATGTATATTGTGCAAGCCTTACCATGGTAATGGATCCACAAGATAAGCTAACATAAGAAGAAGAAACAGAGAGGTGAACGATGGCTCCATCAGTCACACATTCTTCATGAAGATACTGCAGGCTTCCACCAATGTCCAGAGCAATGTGCCACCTCGCTTTCCAGGGCAAGTTCTTGGCCAAATCATCAACTACAAATTTAAAGTTACTTTAAAAGCTCAAAAAGTATGCTAGCTCTTTCAAAACCCCAAGATTTTTATTCTTCTTCATAAAATTACCTAGAAGGTTGATTTCCAGATTACCCATGCAAGGGTAGTCGAAAAGCAAGAACAAGTTGGTGGCAGTGCAGCAGTGTCCTACAAGGTTCAATATATTCCTGTGGTGGATCCTGGAAAGAATCTTCAGTGTTGGCCAGAAGCGTTCATCGTTTCCTGCAAAGGCTCTTACCAGGACAGGACATCCCTGGAGCATCCCTTCGTATACTCCAATGCCATCTCGCACTTCTAGAACAATGTTCTCTTTAGAGAAACCACAAGTTATCGCTTCAAGTTCTGCTTCTGAAAAAGCTCGAGGAAATCCACTTCTCCATGATACTGGATACCATGCAGGGCTTTGCCCTGCTGATGCTTGCCTGGATGCTGTTGATGATGAGTCATCATCATGCGGAACATTAAGCTTGTTACAAGAAGCAGTACCAGATGTTCCACCTTGTCCATTTCTTGATGGAATCAGAGTTGCCAGATCATTTCCCTTCATCGCTGCAATATTGCAGCCTACTTCATTGTATATGATCATTTTATACTTCTTCAAGTAGCTGCACAGTGACCACCACACACATTAGAACTATCACTCAACATCTCAAGAGAGGAAATCATGTGTTCACTTTAGCTATAATGCTTACTGTTTTTAAGTTTTGGTCGATTGGGTTTTGGAAAATGTTGAGTTGCTGGGATATAATATAATATATTAGTAAGAAAATGTAACTGATGGGATTGTGAAGGATTGTTTCATAATAAAGAAATTGTTGAACTTTAGGAGACAAAAATTAAGGGTACGACCTTAAGAATATAATCTATTTTGCAATTTCCAAGGAGCAAGTTGGAAACTAAATTCATTTGTGATTGTCTGTTTGTGATACTAATTGTAAACAATTGTTTTAGAAAGTTAAAATTGAAAAAAAAGTGCTTGTTTTAAGTTTTAATTCAAACTGTTTCTGAAGTTACTTATCTCTTAGCCATAAGAATCGCACCCAATACATAATCCACTCTCTTCTAGAGTCCCTGAGTCTTGAGATGATATAACATGATTATAAGCTCAAATGGCTAATATATCAAGGGGGAGAAGAAGGTCGGCTCACCTATCTAAGATAATCCAACGAGGATTTGAGTTCTGAGCTTGTTCTACTGTGATTTTTATAGGGCAACAGCCAAATGTAAGCTTGACTTCCAAGTTTACCTGCATAGTTAAAAGCACTTGTGTCCAGTAAAATATGACATGGCATTTGGGTATTCTGGGATATGTTGCTGATGAGAATGAAAATTAAAAAAGAGTATGAACCTCATTCTTCTTGCATCGTCGATAGAATGGCTGGAGTTTACTCTGACACTGTTGTTTCTTTCTCTCAATTTCTTCTGCAAGTTCCTTGGGTCTTGGCTCTTGTCCTGTTGTTGAACAATCTATTCTTTCCCCTGAAAATTATCAACGTAACTCCAGAAAAAAAGCACCATCTTGAACCCCAAACCAATAGAAATAGATGAAAAGAGTGGACAGCAGTCTAGAAAGCTAAAATTTGCTTACAAATTGCAGAGAAGCCCATGCCCATGTTGAACGGGAAGCAAATGTTCTTCACTCCACACCCACCTATAACTCCAAGCACAATAACATTATCTCCCCGTCGAACCACATGCTTGAGAGCCCAATCCATGGCCTCAACATCGTGCTTACTTTGATTACTGTGCATCACAACAATCACACTCTCCATTGGTGATGAAGATTTACGAGAAGCAGCACCTTGCCCCTGAGGAGCCATTTCTTCTTGGCCAAGTTTGGTCGACAACAGAGTAATGGGTATGAGTTTTGAGGGTATCAACTTCACAGAGTTGACAGATAGAAATATAATAGGATCCACCATAAACAGCGAGTGGAACAAGGTGGCAGTTTAGTTATCAACTACTTCCCTCGTTGCTTACTAAGAGCATAAATGTATTTTTGCGCTAGGAACATTCCAAAAATATTCACATATTCATAGGAACACAATTATGAGTATTGATGTATCCTGATTCTCGACGGTGTTGATGGCACCCGTGTCTTTTGTTTCTTTCCTCCTTACTTTCATCTCAAAGAGCTAAACTGTCCATTTGCTGAGAAAACAAACGATGTCCATCCAGAGACACAGATAGACTATGTTCACAATACAACACTTGTTCGACTCTCTCATCCAGCAATCAAGTTGTTCCCCAGAAGTAGACGATTTGTGTTCATTGAGAACAATTACTTGCAACGAAAACTCCAAAATACAACACAGATGAAAGCTATCCCAACAACTTGCTTCAACAGGGGAAGAGGTTTAGAGAATCGGGACATGGTTTCTTCTTACTTGCCACCATTGAGCTTCTCAATCACAGTGATAAGCCCTTGAGTTCCAAGCGCTCCATTTCCATTGGCCACTACCATCCCACTAAAGAGCTGCTTAACCAGAGCAGCACCAGGCAAGACAGGGAGCTTGTCGTCGTCACTCTCTTCCGCAAACCCGCCTGGCCTCCCGATCATTCTCTGCCCAAACAACTCCATCACCCAGCTGCTCCTCACTGCCCTTCACCGTGCCCACAAACTTGTTCACATCCAACCCAGCTTTCTCAGTAAAAACCAGCCCTTCGCCGGCAAGATTATCTCCTCTCTCTAAGACAACCGATCGAACATCTGATGAGTGTCCCACCATGGTAACTACCACGTCCCTCGATTGAGCAACGGCAAAAGGAGAATCGGCGAGATGGGCCCTAGAGAGAGTAAAGGCGCAGCCTTTGACGGAGTGAGAGAGTAACCGGCGGACAGCAGGCGAGAAGCTATGACAGTACCCATTACGCCGATGCCGATCCAACCAACGCGGGTTTTTGAGGCTAAGATGGATTTTGGGTAAGAGGTCTCCATTTCGCTAACGAATCCTCCTAATCGATCAAGGCTCAACCATGTACGTTTATTATTCAAGTCCCTCGACTATTTTTGTTTCCTATATGGAATTCGTTATTTTCACAAATTCCCAATCGAGCCTCAATTTTTGTTTCTTACAACAAACAGAGAAAAAAAAAAAGCTACACAGAAAATCGTTGGAGGATTAGTTGCTGAGCTCCATGAACAAGCTCCTCAACAACTTCCGACGCCGTCGAAATCTCCTTAATGAGACCAACACCTTGACCTGCATACATCGCCATGCTCTCAATGTCACCCGTTGCCGTTCCATTTGGCACCGCTCCTCCAAATCTACGTATCTCTTTTTCCTGTAAAACCATAGTCGAAGTGGTTAACGAGTTGAAATTTGCACTTCCAAATCTAACAAGACAAATACCTGAAAAAACCATACCTGTCCATGAATAACAGTATGTCCAATAATGGGTTGATCGAGTTCAGTAACATGAGGAAGGAGCGACTTCCTCTGTTCTACGAAAAAAGGAGTGACCAGAGCTCGTTGAGGCGCGTTCGGCCATCGAGCTCTTCCAAAGACGTCTGTGTACTCGGTTTGATCCAGCTCCACCAGTTTCCTCTTGTACATCGGATGCGCATTGCTTTCCTTCGTCGCGACAAACCTGGTTATACCCACAATCCATCATCATCATATGACTACAATCAGACAGATAACAGATTGCAGACTTGTCTGAGATGGATATGGTTGGTGGTGTAATGTACCTGGTGCCAAGGCAGATACCCTGAGCTCCAAGAGCCAGAGCAGCAACATAGCCACGAGCATCCACGATTCCACCTGCTGCAATTACTGGTATCCCTTTGTTCTTCGCAAGATCGACCACCCTTGGCACCAGCGAGATTAGCCCTTCCTGTGTTCGTCGACAAGTGAACTATAAGCAACTTGATGCCTCAAAAATCAGTTAATCCAAATAACTCGAGTGGTTGGAAGTGGTTGATAACAGATCCTATTTCATATAAACATGATGGACATGATCTATTGAAAGGCTTAGATGAACGACCATACCAACGATCTGACAGGAACCCTACCGGAACCTAAATCGCTAAGCAACTTTAGCGGACAGTTTCAACAGAAATATTTTGCCGCTGATTTTGCCGGTACAATCTCCAGTATGGATTCACAATCTTGCTCTCTTGATAGTAGAGGTTAATGTTACCTGGCCAATGACATGGCCTCCAGCTTCCCGGCCTTGGACGATGATCGCATCAACGCCGGCATCCACTGCTTTCCTAGCACCTTCAACGGTCCCAACCTTCCATGGTCAACCAGTTCAAAACAGATCAATTGCAAAAGACAAGTACTGTTTCAGTTGTCAATAGCTTATTTTAAGTAGTAATTCACCTGAGGGACGATCTTGACGCCGGCGGCGTGAGCACGATCCACGAGTTCCCTGGAGCAATCCCCCCAGTAAATTTGAAGAACCGCCACCTTCTCCTCCAGTATCGCTTCCAGATTCTCCTCGTGTGGAAAGGGCAGTACTACACCTATCCCAAACCCTTTTGAGGTTAGCTGCCGAGTCCTCCGAATCAGCTCCCTCACGTACTCCGGCGCCTCCTGGATGGATTAAATCAATTAGTCAATCTAACAACGGTGGTCCAATTAGCTAATCGACTGAAGAAAGTGGAACTGAGAGCAAGTTGTTTGTAAAACTTACCCAGTCAGGAGCTCTGAGGAGTCCGAGTCCCCCGGCGTTGGCGACGGCGGCGACGAGCTCCGGTCCCGAAATGTCGGGACCCAGTGGCGCCTGAACGATTCCGTAGTCGAAACCCAGTACCCCTCTCCACCCCATTTGCTTGCTAATTCACGTTCTTGATCTCTTGATTGTGTTGTTTCCCGGGTTCTGTTATTCGCGCGTTTGGCCAAATTATAAGTGGGTTTAGATTCAGAGGCGAAAATGAAATTGGATTGCTCATCTGTTTTCCAATTTTTCCTTTTCCCCATTCTGCCGGTGGCCGGTGGCGGGCTCCCTGTACGTATTATTGATTGCTTTATTATTTTTCTTTGCCCCGTTATAGATAGAGTTCAAGAGTAAGTGTGCTACTGAGCCATCACTCAGTTGACTCGGCGGGAGGCACTCGCTGACTCGCTTCCCCTAAATGTTATTGGCGGGAAAATTGGTAAAGATAGATTGAATGATAGCAGAGAAACTAGCGATACTTACTGCAGAATCCCGAAACCCTCCATCCGAGCAGAACTTTCGGAGCCAAAATGTCATCTTTCGATTACCCTCAATTAACCCATGAAGAGATACTCGATGTACTGACGACGGCCGGGATTGCCGCCACTGACAGCGATCTCAAAAAACCTACTGCCGGTTTCGTCTACCGCCTCTACTCCGATCTCGTGGCCGTTCTCGGCGTTCCCGACGCGTAAGCTTCCCCTCCACTGTGCATTTCTGTCTTCTCGCTCGAAATATGTGTTTAGCCATAGACTGTTTTCTGATTCCTCTGTTCTTGTTTGGTCTGTTCTACTGCTGAATTTCGCCAGGGAGGACCCAGGGCAGGTGGAATTCGACGACCTCGAGCAACTCGAGTACCCCCCTGATCGTCTTGATCGTGACGAGAAATGGTTTCAGTTAATGAGTGTTTATAACATGACACGGGAGGTTCTGGGTCGCATCCGTTGCCCGCTTCAATTCACACTCTACGACCTTGTCAAGCCAGAAAACAAAAGAACCGAGTTTTTTATTGGTTCTATTGCTAACTTCTACCTCCACAAGTACGTTGATAGCCATGTGTGAATCATATTTTGTTTTGTCATATGGGTTGCAGAAAATTCCAATCTTTGCACATAGAGCTTCGTGGGAGTAATTTGTGTTTTTTATTCCTTGTATGGAAATCAGGGACTCCAAGATGGAGATGGTCAAAGGTATCATAGAGGACACTACATGCCTTGTTGAGCGGCTTAACGAGTTGGAGACTGAGAAATCCAAGGTAACCTCAAAAGAACTTTTGATGTTTGATGTACATAATGCTAAATGTTTTGCTACTTCAGCTGGATGCAGAAATTGCTGAATGCAATGCTGCAAGAGAAATCGAGTCACCAGTTGTTCAAGAGCTGGAAGCGAAATTGGAAGAGTTGCACCAGACCATTGCCAGCCTCAACAGTCAGCAGAACTCACTCAGAGCTACTCTAAGTAACTTGAAGGAAAAGGCTGGGGAGATAGATATGGAGGTGGGTTCTATAATGAGCCTCCTAAATCCTAATATTTTAACATCCTTCTGAAGTAGAAGAATCAGAAATAGTAACCCAACGGTGCTTTCTGTAATGTCCCTGATTTGCATGCAATAGTTGCTGATACTTGGAAGCTGGAAGATCTGGTTTTCCAGAATCTTATATTCTTCATTGTTTTTGTCTATGATCTCTTGCCAGGAAGCTTTTTTCCCTTGTATTCTAGACCAGTGTGGATTTATCTTCATTGATTTCCAGTCACATTGCTTACCTTCTTCTCCACCTTTCTGTTTGTCATTTGTATAAAGCCTTATCCTCATAGAATCCCTTCCTTATCTTTGTTCTCGCCCTCGACTTCCACTCATCTGAATATGGCGATATTGAGTATTCACCTGCGGAAATAAGTTTCAATCCTTAATCATTTACACCTTTCCACATGGTTGTCAAAATGTGAATTGGTGCATTGGGGTGTTTCCATGTGGAAAGGTGATTTCTGTGCACATGCAGACAGGCAGATAGTATGAAATGTGTATTCAGTTACTTGCTGGTCTAACTTTGATTTGTTGGTCTTGACTAATGCATCTTCAGTTTGGTCATCAACCAGATTTCAAAGTCTGAGTTTGATATGATTCAGAGCCGGGAGGAGAATGCAAATTTACACTCTATGATTGTTCAGTCTCCAGATAAGCTGCAGGTATGTTCTCTGTGTTTCACTCTTTAGAAATGGTGATTGATAAAAAAGCTCCGCTTGTAGTAAGTATTTTAGTTTTAATCTTAAGGCTGCAAGTGGATGCCATTTCTCCAAGTTTAGCTGCTACTTATAGTACTAGTAAATTGCATATTCCTTGCTGATGTAGACTCAACGTAGCTGAATCATAACGCTTAGCTGAAACAAATAGTTCCCACGTGTCATGATGTTGCCCTGTTGCAAAGTTCGCTTGGTCCGTGCTTGACTGGGGATTCTTATAAACAAACTAAATTGAAGGATTTATTGGGGTGATTGCATCTCGTTTCAGAAAGTCTAGTGGTTTCTCTTTGTCACTTATTGACTTGCACTAATTGTTCAAAAGAAAGCTATAGAAGAGAAGAGATCCATTCGGGAAGAGGCAAGGAATGCTGAAAGGCTAGCAATGCAAGCATTTCAGGATAAGACTTTGGTTCTCGAAGTCTATTCAAAGGTACTTTCCTCCTGGAGAATTCAAGATCATAATTTATTTGCAATTTGATTGGTAAAAATTCCACTGGTTCATCAAAGGATACATCTCCATGTAGCTCATTTGTTTGATTTAAATAAATTATCCCTTTTCTCCAGGCAAAGAGCTATCTTAATTTTTGTAAAGCCTGTAATGGCAATCACAAGCAACTAATCAAGGCTTACTTTGTTGACATCTCTCTCAGACTTCCAAGAAATTATCAAAGCACTATTCTCAGATGCAGGCTATACATGAGCAGGTACGCTGGCCACATTTGGCTCAAATGTAGAACTAGAAGTGGAATTAACGTTTTGCCTTAATTCATTTCTAAACTGTCCAAGCACTCACTGACCCTCTGCTCCAAGCAGATGAACTCTGCGAAATCAATTGAGAAAGAGCTGAAAGCTCTAAAAGCAAAGGTTAGTGATGACGGAGTGTTGGATAAGTCACTTGCTGCAAAAATGATGGAACGTCGAGGGAAAGGTACCTTCCTCTTCTCTACTGTATTGTATCTATGTTAATGATGCATTGAACAGTTCAGGATAAGAGTGTATCAAATCCTTTTTCAGCACAACAGCTTGCTGAGTTAAGAAAGCAATTGGAGAAAGAAAGAAAGATGAAATTTGAAGATGCTGACAAAGAATTACACAGTAAGAAGCTGGAAGTTGAGTCCAGGAAACGTGATCTGGAAGAAAGGCAAAGGAAAGTAGAAGCTGTTCTTGGGGAGGTATTGTGTTGTCAGTTAGGAGCACGCTTTTCTGCTTTGGCTGAGACTTATCTCAATACTAAGGTTGTATTATTACTCCACATAATGAAGACTTCTGATTAGCGCTTGATGTTTAGGCGGATGCCATAAATTCAAAGATCAATCTATCATATGAAACTGGAGCTGCTAAAGTTCAGGCCTTGGATCAGAAATGTACAGAGCTTGTGGAGCAGGTGAGACATTTAAAAGTATATTCTTAGTGGGATGTCAACAAAAGGGGATGTTGGACTCTGTGATTTCTTAATGGTATACATGCTAAAGGCATCTTCTCACCTGTTTTTATCAACCTTTGCTTTGGTTACAGTTTGAGCGGTATCAGAGCTCTCTAGGTGATGTATTGAAGGGATATGGCCGCAAGCCAGCGTACTAGACGATCCAGAGAAATTGGGGTGCAGGTGTGTTTTGGGGTACTAAGAAAGTGCTTTTTTTACTTATGCAGCATGACAGGCTGTAGTAGGGTACTTGTACTCTTTAATATCTACCAGATGAATTGTTATCACCATTGTTAGTGGTTAGTAGAACAACACTGCAGAAAGGGCGTATGATGTTCATATTTCTTTTGTCGTACTAATATGAGTTGAGTTATTAATCATTCAACATTTGTAGCATCCATCTTTAGCGAAATGTGAATTTACAAGTGACATCCCTTTTTCGAGTTATATATAAGTTGCAGGAGATATGCGAATATGGAGTATCCCACCCTGTCTATTTTGTTTAAGGTGCACCTTGGTTACAAGTTGGAATGACATTGAGATGACTATCAATGCAACCTTACTCGTAAGATTTCTTTCAGCAATACAGGCCAAGTTCTGGCAATTTCTGAAACTTATTATGGGTGGTTGGATGAGGTAAAGGGAATGTCTCATTTCTTAAATGTCAACTATGGATACTGCGACACTCAACATTTGTCCCAAATATCTTGTTTTGATGAATGATTTCACCATTTTGTTCTGCATTTTGAGATGAGGATGAAGAGGGAAAATGTGCTGAATTCAAGGTTTGAGCTTACTAGCTCTCTCTTCTTGCAGTGAACTCCACGCATTTCCAGTTCAGCAGCATAAGCGTCGAACACGAAAAGCAGCTCAAAACTAATGCGCAAATATGGGATGTAAAGGAACCAAAACAGTTCAGCGCAAAACAGTTGCATTCTGTAACTTCCTTCTTCCTTTCTGTCACGCTTATCATATTTTTCCTGTGGCAGAAATTCAGTTATAAAATGAAATCCAACTTGAACAGGACCTGACAAAGAACCCATCACAGTTCAAGCTTTCCAGCAATGGGAACCAACATGTTATTCCTGTTCAGCGATTGGTCTCTTGTTGATTCTGTTACCACCATCGCAGAAACAGCAGAAGCTTCTTCCAGCATCTTCACTCACTTCATTGAAGCTAGGGCAGCTCTTTTGTTGCTGGGATTTCTATATCTTGCCTTCAGAAGCAACAGCACCTCCTCTGTCTACCTCATAGACTACACATGCTACCGTCCACCGGATCACCTGCGGGCACCTGTCCCCAACTTCACAGAGCATATAGAGAGAACAGAAGGCTTCAGTAGAGAGAACAGAGATTTTCAGCAAAAGGTTCTTCAAAGGTCAGGGATAGGGGACGAAGCATGCATGCCAATCTCGGTGCACGAGCTCCCTCCCAACACTTCTTTCGGCCCATCTCAACAAGAAGTGGAGCAAGTCGTCTTCCAGGTGGTGAAAGATCTTCTCTCGGAGCACAGGATAAATCCAAAAGAAATCGATATGCTGATATCAAACTGCAGCATATTCTGTCCCGCTCCATCCATCACATCCATGATCATCAACAGGTTTGGACTCAGAAGCAATGTTAAAAGCATCAGCTTGAGCGGAATGGGCTGCAGCGCCGGGCTTCTCTCGATAAGCATGATTAAAGAACTCTTCAAAGTTCATAAAAATTCACTTGCTCTGGTTCTCAGCATGGAAGCTGTAACCCCAAACGGATATCGAGGCAGAACAAAGTCCATGCTGGTAGCCAACACGATATTCAGAATGGGGGGAGCTGCCATTCTGCTGTCAAACAAGAAACATGACAAGTGGAGAGCCCATTATGAGCTTCAGCATCTCGTCCGAACTCACATGGGAGCAGATGAACAGTCCTACTGCTCAGTCGTTCAGAAACCAGATGAGGAAGATGTTGTTGGGGTTTCACTGTCCAAGTCACTGTTACAAGTTGCAGCTCGTGCTTTGAAGATTAATGTATCAGAGTTGGGACCCCTCGTGCTGCCTTACTCAGAACAGCTCAAGTACTGTTGGTTAGTGACTTGTCAGAAACTCTGCGGGAAAGGAAGAGCAAAGAGGGAAGCAGCTGTGGTGGTGCCGAGATTCAAACGTGCTTTCGAGCATTTCTGTATCCATGCTGGGGGAAGGGCCATAATCGACGGGGTGGAAAAGAATCTGAAGCTGGAGAATGAAGATGGAGAAGCTTCAAGGATGACACTTTATAGATTTGGTAACACTTCGTCTTCATCAGTCTGGTATGAACTTTCTTATCTAGAAGCGAAGGGCAAGGTGAAGAAGGGAGACAGGATTTGGCAGATTTCTTTCGGGAGTGGGTTCAAGTGTAACAGCGCAGTTTGGAAATCCCTTGCAAATGTTGATCCTGAAAGGAAAAAGGCATGGTCAGACAGAATTCATATGTATCCTGTCCAGATGCCAGATTTTTCATAGCTCATAGATAAAACTCAAGGGATAACAGTGATTGTAATTCACACAAACATGCACCTAGTTAATGTGCCACCAAATGTACAGACCATATGATAAGTGTTAAAGCTATATCATAGTCCTTAGTCCTTACCTACTTTGTTTATCGCGCACCATAGCAGTTTTCCTTTAGTGTCAACTCACTTATCCATCAGCTAAGACTTCACAGATTTTGACAACTGCCGTTGCTTGGACAAGATCTCAGCAATAAGATGGCGACCAAACAGATGAGAATTCTTAAGAATGACATTTCTTGAGGACGAGTTTACAGCATAGCCTTGTCCGGGCATCCATTTCAGTAAGTGGATAAGTAGGTCTTTCTTTTCAGGTTCTGCAATATATCACGATATAGCCGTTTCAAATAGTCCCTGCAAAATTAAAAACTTCGAGTCAAACTTGTAACGCGGGTTAATAGAGATTCTCTATGCTATAGCTATTTTAAGATACAATAGTCCAGGAGACTGGGAAAAATGAAAGATTGACATAATAGAACTTACCTCATCTTTTGCATAACCCAAGGATTCCAATTGAGACAATAGTTCCCTGGACTTCTTAAACAAGCCTCCTCTCACGTACACCTTTAGTAATGTTGTTATATTACCTGCCTACGATTTCAATAAAATAATCAGGAACAACTGTTTGCACTACAACCCATGAAGCAGAGACCTATAGGGATATTATCTTGTAGCAACCAAAGGACAAAATATGATGGATCACAAGCATGCCAATTGTGTGCTTTTAACAGAAAGAAGCACAAAGAAAAGCTAATATCACTCTGAAAGCTAGTTGAAATGGTGAGATAAATAGGAGAACGACCTTATCTGGTTCAAGCCCTGAAGATTTCATATCTTGAACCAGCCACTCAGCTTTCTTGTAGTCTCCGCCAGAAGAGTAGGCATTCATTAAAGAGCTGTAATGAAACTCATTAGCTGAATGACCCCAACCTTCATCTGGTTGAAATAGCTTTCTGCTTCTTCACATCGATTATTTGAAGCACAGACAGCCAGTACCGTCCCATGCATTACACGGTCCATCTTCAACCTTCTATAATTCAGTTCCTGAACCAGATCCAATGCTGTATCACAGCTATCTTTCACTTTGACACAACCTGCTAGTAACTGAGAAGGGAAAAATAGAAAGCAATCAAGATGATATCGGAAATGCAAAAAGTTCAAGGTTCAGAAATATTTCATGCATCAGAGGCACTAAGGCAAAGTATGTATAGATGGACATCTCTACCTTTCCAAGAAATCTTATAGTAATGGCGGCAAACAACACAGTTTATGTTGGTAGGAGTATACAATAACAGAATACCACAAACAGAAGACAGGTGCCATGTATGCAGTATTGACATATTGAACCGGCACACAATCAACGTATTGATCTCTACATATTGGCCCATTATCTACTACAGGTGCCAAGTAAGCAGTATTGGTTATACTGAACCAGCCCACAATCCAGGGTATGGATTTGAGAATATTGGCTCATTATCTACTACCGTGAATAAGATTCTGGCTGCATCATTTCCTTAATACCAGTAAGTTATATTGCACTGGGTTTCGACACTTAGAACTTACTGCGCTATATGTGATGGCATCAGGTGTTAAACCACTGTGCTTCCTCTCATGGAACAACTTGATGCTGCTGTCGAACTTGCCACTCCTAACTAGGCAACTAAGAACGGAATTGCAGACGATGACATTACTCTTTGTTGATTCATCTGGTATCCCTCTATAGATTTCCAGTGCCTTCGTGGGGTTAAGACTCTTCCCCATGAACTTGATTTAACTGCTATAGGACGCAACAGAAACCTTCCCCTGCTTTTCCATCCAATCGAACAGCTGCATCAAACCCCAAAAGTTAAAATGAGTGACAGGAACAAACGAAAAGAATAATCAGTAAGCTTTTGTTCATCAAGGTTTTTTTTAGCTCCGGCACCAGAGAAAGGTCTCTCCATCTGTTTTGCTTTCCAAGACTCCGTAAAATGACATTTTAAGTCTTGCACCTTCAAAACCCCTCCTAATCTGCGAGATTTAGCAAGGAAACTCTTTCAAACCATTCAGTAGCCCAAAATTGAACTGTTCAGCACAGTCACTTACTCCAATTCAATAGATTTTTGAACAGATAGAACTGACCTTTGGAGGGCAGATTCCAAGTCGGCGGATTTTTCAACCTCAACGACGGCGGATTGTCTGGCCGAGTAGGAACTCGAGTCGCGCCTCCGAGAATTGGAGAGTTTGACCTTACGAATGCTCGGCGGCGGCCGCCCGGATTCTTCGACTGGAGAAGCGGTTCCCGCGGCGATGATGGTGAGAGAACTTCTGCAACGCCAAGCGGCTGCGGATGCCGACGGAATCTAAAGGAAAGACGAAGGCGTTAAAGGCGTGGAGACTTGGCCAACGCCCAAGAATGCAGCTGAAATCTCCATGGCTAGGGACGCAGGGGGGAGGAAGAGAGAGCTACGAGGCGGGAGCGGGAGATTTTGCGGGAGCCGTTCTTGCCTCTTGGGTATAGATAGCCACAAGAGGTGGAGTATTTTCAATTGGATACCATAAATATATTGGTGTATATTTCTGGTCCTCTGATCATAATGTTTTAACAGCTTACTCCTATTAAAATATATATTGCCGAAAAGTGTTTATGGCGGCGCATGGTTAGGTGTGATTTTTATAGAAATGATAACGGAGTCAAATTACTAAATTAGGATAAGTATCTTAATGTCCATACTCGAAATCTTAGGTGTAATTTTATAGTTTGGTTCGAGACAGGTCGAACTCATTCAAAGATTTATCATGGAAAAAAAAAGGACACAACAATTGAGAAGAAAAAAATAAAGAGGGTGCTTGTTTAATTGCTTCCATATTACTGGCCTTCGAATTGTTCGATCTTGCAACCAAATTATTCAGAATGTCTCCAAAACTATTTTTGCATGTTTCGATTACGCACAACATTTCGGTTGATCTCTCCAGCAACAAAGGGAATCAAGGGAAGAGCAAATATGAATATCACTAAAGATGAAATCTTAACCCAAGAAGAAAGCATGAGTATTTTACCTCTAAAATACTCAATCAGGTGATAACGAAGAGAATCAAATAATATAATCGATTCTAATTACAAGCCATAGTATCCAACCAAACTATCAAATACTTAAATTCGGAAAAATTAGTGATGATTTGGATCTGAATATGCTTTGTAAAAAATCTGACCATCAATCAAACACCCTCGTTCGAACTTTGTTTGAAGAGGTTTGAGCCGTGTCTTAGAAATCGTTGTCCATAGAAGTCAAAGGTGCAATCCATCTCAATTCAACAAGAGTTTTCTCGCCGGAAAACAGAATCTTAACCCAAGAAGAAAGCATGAGTATTTTACCTCTAAAATACTCAAGAAGGTGATAATGAAGAGAATCAAATAATATAATCGATTCTAATTACAAGCCATAGTAGTATCCAACCAAACTATCAAATACTTAATTTCGGAAAAATTAGTGATGATTTAGATCTGAATATACTTTGTAAAAAATCTGACTTCTCCCTGCGACTCTCTTATTACCCTCTAGAATAATAAATCACCGAAAGATAAACTTCTTGCTGTAGAACACAATTGCAGAGTTGTGATTTCCATCGGATTCGAATCTCTCATCAATAAATAACTCAGGGCTCAGACATCAGAGGGACCATCTCAATTGGTGGGAGCTGGCAAGCAACGGTCAGCAGCAACATCTGGCCCATAAAAATTGAAACTTTGCATATTTTAGCATATCATATGAACAGGAGAACAAAAAATATATTTATAACAAATTTAACGATGAGATCAAATACTAAACGGGCTCAATGTTGGCATCATCAACTGTGATAAGCAAGGAAGGAAAATCTCACGGCCACCTAAAACAGCCACGTGGGTTGCGAATCCTTTGAGCTGTCGTGAGCCCTGGGTCCTCTGTCTCCCCCGCCCGCTGGCTCTCTCTCTCTTGCTTTGCTTTGCTGTGCCTTTCTCTTCTCTCTCTGCAAGCTTTCACTTGGCATGTTAAGGAGGGAAGTCACCAAAATTCTTATTCTTCGTGCATGGGCAGCTCACAAGTCACACCCTTTTGAATTTATTGCTGTATCCGGCAAAAAGGGTGACACAATTGAAAGCATTGCTTCCTTAAATTTCCTATTTTTTTCGTGTATTTTGCTGGTAGAGGTAGAGAGAGAGAGAGAGGGCAGAGAGGAGAGAGAAAGAACTGCCAGATTTGCAGCTCCTGAGGATCTGTAAATTGCGGAGAACAGGTCAAGCTACAAGCTTTTCTCCAGGTATCGGTGAAAGTGAAGGGAAAGGGCAGTTCCCGGTGGTTTTTTTTGGGGGGGCTATTCTTCAGGGAACCTCTGCTTTTGGGATGGATTGAGTCGAGTCTCTGGCTTCTGGGTTGCCTCAAAGGGTGAGTTTCCTTCAATGCTTTACTTGTATTGTGGAGGGCGGGACTAGGGCTGGAATAGAATTGAATTGGGTTCTTAACTTGCTCGGGGATGTAAAGGCTGATTTTTGTCTGTGATTAGTGTTTCTGTTTTCTGCTTCCATTCAGTCAATTCCTCCATAGTTCTCCTGATGCAATAGGGATTTGAAATAACTAGGGAAATCTTGGTTAATGGCAGCAAAACTATAAAAGCATTCTGTTGATTATGCATTTGTCTGTGTGAATCTTAAGTTTATAACAGAGCTACTGGCTACTCTATCAATTTGATTATATATTTCAAGAGGGAGAAAGGATCAATTTGTTTAGTTTCTCAGTGGGGTCTTTCTATATCCCAGCATCAAACCCCTATTGCTTTGTGAAAACGCAGACAAATGAATTTCCATGAGGCTTTGAGGAAATGACTTCATGAGGAATCAAGTCACTGTTGCAGAAACTTTGGTGGAGTTGTTACGGCATGTTGTTATTCCAACATTCTTTTTTGGTTCTTGACAAAAATGTATTTTCCAGGTAGAACTGGAGCTGCAAATGGTGGGCTTGGGACAACTGTTCTTAGAAGAAAATCAAAGGTTCCATTTCATTTGATTCACCTTTAAGAACATCTTGCTGTATGTACACTTGTTTTTTTTTTTCTTTCTATTTCATTCAGGAACGTTATCTTTTCCTGCCAGGATTAATAAGAAGGTCTTGTCCAATGGAGATGTCTATGTTGGCGACTTTAAGGGAGAACTTCCCCATGGAAAAGGCAAATATTTGTGGTCAGATGGCACTGTCTATGATGGAGAATGGGAAGGGGGTAAGATGACTGGAAAAGGACATATATCATGGGCCGCAGGAGCCAAATATGAAGGTGAATTTTCTGGAGGTTATCTTCACGGATTTGGCACCTTCAATCGTCCTGATGGATCTGAATATCGAGGTTCCTGGAGGATGAATATACAGCATGGGCTTGGTACGAAACAGTACTCCAATTTGGATGTTTATGAAGGTTGTTGGAAGGAAGGTGTACATGAAGGTAACGGTAGGTACTCTTGGAGTAATGGCAATGTCTATGTGGGGAATTGGAAAGGCGGAATCATGAATGGTAGAGGAATCATGAAATGGATCAGTGGTGATATCTTTGATGGCTCTTGGTCAAATGGCCTGAGGCATGGGTCCGGGGTTTATAGGTTTTCAGATGGGGGTTTCTACTTTGGAACATGGACCAAAGGTTTGAAGGATGGGAAAGGGACATACTATCCCGCTGGAACGAAACACCCCTCTCTAAAGAGATGGTGTAGATCGCTTGGTTATGATGATGTTCCAAGTAGCTTTGAGTCCCGTGATGCTTCAATATTGAATTCAGTAGAAGTTGAGGCTCAAAGAACAAGCATTAGGCGCAGTGTCTCGGAATTGTCAAGTAGTGGAAGTTTAAGAGGTTCAGGAAGGATAATGCAGAGAACAGCATCAATAGACAGAAGTTCAAGCCGTGGTCATTCTGCCAGAGAGTTGATATTTAATAATGACTTATCAAGTGCGCTGTCTAACGTCTCAGATGATGCTCACAGCGTGGTGCTAGACACTGATAGAATAGCTTATGAACGAGAATACATGCAAGGCGTTTTGATCAAAGAGAGGATTGTAACTGCAGAGCGGTCACGGAAGACTAAGCATAAAAACAAATTCCATGCCAAAGAAGCGAAAACGAACTCGTGGATGAATATTTTCCAGAGCCGTCAGAGCTATTATCTAATGCTTAATTTGCAACTTGGTATCAGGTACCTATCCAATGCTGAAGCCCTTTCGATTGTTTATTATGCAATTCATGTCTGCTTTGCTCTTTGCCCTGTTGGTGGGAGATTGAGTTTTCAAGCAGATCCTTTCATTCATAGGGTTCTTTTGGTTATTGTTGATATTCTTCCATCTAGTTGTACAAAGCCTATGTTGAAATAGGCTTTTGGAGCCATTTTGAGATGTTTAATGCATATCCGCTCGTCTTTTTCTTTTGGGTGAATATGGTATGAGTGACAGGATATGCAGTATTTTCTGTACCTTGTCATGTTCTTTTTTGGTGCGCATCTAATTGTAGCATTTACATCCCTAGAGGTCCAATGTTGCCCTAGGGTTTTAAACTAAGTGCTTCAGCTTTCATTACAGTCTACTACGTGGACCTGTTGCTGTTGTATTTGCTTTATATCTTTGTTCTATAGTCAGTCTAATGTTTGCTCTCTTTGGCAGAGCTCAACTACAATGTTCAAGAGTTTGAATTTTTGCAGTGCCAGTACCTGCACTGTGTCTTCTGATCTTAAAACTGTGTTTACCCATAAAAGTTGTTGAATGTGTTGTGGGACATCAAACATGCTTGTTGATCAGTTAATTCTGAAGTTCACAGGTATACTGTGGGAAAGATCACACCAGTTCCCATGCGTGAAGTTCGTCCTTCTGATTTTGGAGAGCGAGCTAGAATAAGGATGTATTTTCCTAAAAAAGGATCCCAGTTCACCCCACCTCACTACTCTGTTGATTTCTATTGGAAAGATTACTGTCCCATGGTCTTCAGGTAATTGTCTATTCGTTCCATCTTTGTTTGGAAATGGATGTACTACTGGCTAGAGTTGTTCTTTTCAATGATCAGACTTGAGACCTTAAAGATTATGATTGTTGTTATCATTGCGAGATAGTCATAAGGTTTCGGTTGTTGTCACTTGAGTAGAGGGTAGGAACCTCAGTGATCTGTATATAAGTGGTCTGCTGCATCATAAGAAGCTGCTGCTAACTTGTATTGGGAGTGGTCAGTGGAGCCTTTTCTACATTTCCCTAACATGTTTAGAACCATGATTGAACATATCATAGGATTTACTTGACTATTACCTTCCTCGTCCTCCTCCGCTTCTCAGATTAAATTATTTTCAGTTTTTGAAGAATTTTACACGCCATGTTAATAAGAGTGACTTCCCCCCCCCCCCCCCCCCCCCCCCCTACATGTTCTTAACCCTTTTTTTACCAGTAATCTACTACATATTCTTAACCTTTTCTTCTTTTTTTAATAAGTATTCTACTGTTCCTCTTATCGTCGATGCTTAATGTATTCTCTACGTCTCTTTTCATTTTTCCATTCATGCACACGATTGTCTGTTATGTTTTCTGCTGGACTTGCATGAATTTATATGTATGATCTTATCATTTGTTGAGGTCTTTCGCCTTTTACGTCTGATCCAACTTTCAGGAATTTAAGAGAGATGTTCAAATTAGATGCAGCTGAGTACATGATGTCTATTTGTGGTGATGATGGTCTGACAGAGCTTGCTTCACCCGGGAAAAGTGGCAGTCTCTTCTATCTTTCTCATGATGATAGATTTGTGATCAAGACGTTAAAGAAGGCCGAGCTCAAGGTTCGACTCTAGATGTTACTTCGCTATGCTGTTTTGTCAGGTCAAAGCACCTAGTCACCTCCCTGCTTAATGTGTCACAGTTCCTCCTAAATAGCTAACCTGCCTTGACTTTGAAGTATTTTAGTTGAATAACTTTCTTGATTTGAACTGTGTTGAGTTACCAGATTTGTCTAGATAAATATGTCATTATCTCTGAATAGTTTGCCCTTTCTATTGTGGTTTACTGATTTTATGATTTTCTTCACGTTAGGTTTGTCGTTGCATTTAACTCTTGCTTTGTGTGATATGTGAAGAAAAAGGTCGCAGAAAATTGCAAATTAGTAATTACCAGAATTCCATTTTCTTCTCTGCAGTCCCTTCTCAGGATGTTGCCAAAATATTACTGTCATGTAGGCAAGCATGAAAATACTCTCATAACGAAGTTCTTTGGGGTTCATCGAATAACATTAAGAGGTGGACGAAAGGTAACTCAAATTTTTTTTTTTTTTATATGTAGCCTTCAAAGAATTTTGCAGTATCTATAGTTAATCAGGGTTTTTTGTCTCGACGTTTCTGTTTCTAGGTACGGTTTGTGGTCATGGGTAATATGTTTTGCACAGAATTGAGAATCCATCGTCGTTATGATCTGAAGGGCTCCTCTCATGGAAGATACACAGATAAAGATAAGATCAAAGAGGGTACCACATTAAAGGACCTCGATCTAGATTATGAATTTCACATGGACAAATTATTGAGAGAGTCACTCTTCAAGTAAGCTTCTCCTTTTGAGATAGCATTTTTTCTGTTGATCCTGCTTTCATTAGAATCCTTAGTCATTCAGTTATGAGTAGAATTCATTTTCTCTTGCAGACAACTTCAACTGGACTCCAAGTTCCTAGAATCTCAGAACATAATTGATTATAGCCTTCTCTTGGGGTTGCATTTCAGAGCACCAGAGCAGCTGAAGGCCGTTTTAGAGCCTCCTGGTGCCACAACCAATCATGATAGTTTTTCTTCAGATGATGGTATGCTTGCATGCCCTCAAACATAGAATCCTTTTGTGGCCTACATACATCATAATAGAACTAAGATCCTACTATATACCGACATGTTTTGAACGGATTGATACTCGTGAATTTTCTGTTCTTTTTTGTATGGATGATAGTCATGTATTTGAATAATGAACTTGTAGCTAAGTGTTTTATTGCCTACAGTTGGTGTGAGCTCTCAAGGGGAGCCCTTGATACCGCCGACCGGATTGATCTTGGTCACTCATGAGCCTAGTTCTGTCAACACGGCACCTGGTCCTCACATCAGAGGTAGCACATTGAGAGCTTATTCTGTTGGTGAGCGGGAAGTCGACCTGTTACTGCCCGGGACTGCAAGGTACCTTCATTACCACTAAATATCGCCATCCAAACTCGGATAGCTCAACTTTTTCCCACACCCCACTTCTATCGCAAAGCTGTTAGTTGCTAAACGCACACTGGAAGTCTTTTTCGTTTGCAGGTTACGGGTTCAGCTAGGAGTGAACATGCCAGCTCAGGCGAGTCACAAGCTGCTGCAAGAAGAGGGCGATTCCACGGAGGTTGAACTCTTCGAGGTCTATGACGTGGTTCTGTACATGGGAGTAATCGACATATTGCAGGAGTACAACGCTAGGAAGAAAGCCGAGAATGCTTACAAATCACTCAAGTTCAACCCCCTAACGATTTCTGTCGTCGAGCCAAAGCTATACTCTCAGCGGTTCATCAGTTTCCTGCAGAAAGTGTTTCCGGAGCCTCCCTGAGAACTTATATCCAAAGCTGCGTTGTGGTGTAGCTCTCCATCTTTTGTTCAGGTAATTGCCGGTGATGATGAATTCTAGTCTCGGCTCTCGAATCTCTTTTGATTTATGAGATGGAAGTCTCTTTGCAACTTTTGTAGGAGAAAGGTGCATTCATAATTTCTTTTCTATAGGGAGTACAGTAACAGTGTCGATTTTTGTACAGTAGTAATATTCATTTAGCCTATAAAAATTCATGCACCATGATTTTTTTTTAAATCTACGTAGAAATAACTTTATTTAACTTGTCATTTCGCCGCGTATGAAACTTTTAGCTAAAACCACAGTACCGTTGAGTACAACTCTATCGTTCTCCTCCAATCGTCAACCATGCTTGAAGCTTTCTCCCTGCAGCTTGAGTGCTTGTTAAGCTAGGTCAGTCGCATGGATAATATCGAATCCTCGAAGTCTTCAGCCTCGTAAATCGAGAGATTTCATTCTCAATCATTGGCTTGATTCTCGTAAACGAGCCTCCTCCTTTCTCCGTGCAATTCTGACAAAAGAAACACAAATCAAAGCATAACCAACATTTTACTAATCCGCTACGTACGCGTCAATTCTAGGGTGAAAGAGTACTAGAGAGAAAGTACCACATCTTCGAAATATAAGTCGAGAGATTTCACGTTACGCAAACCCTGCAAAAAGTTCACCGCTACTCGACTACACCATTCCAACTCGTTATACAAACCCGCATATGGATGGAAAAAATCCCAAAGTACACTAGTTTTTAAAAAAAATTCCCAAAATACAGTAGTTATAAAAAAAATTCCAAAACTACACATGTTTGAGCATCACCGTTTTTGTCTAAAACGGTGAAGGTCATCACCGCGTTTGCCAAACACGGTGAGTGCTTCACCGTTTTAAATTAAAACGGTGAAGGGTTCACCGCTTTTGTTTAAAACGGTGAAGTACTCACCGTTTTAATTAAACACGGTGATGCCTTCACCGTTTTAAATTAAAACGGTGAACACTTCACCGTTTTTGTTGGACGCGGTGAAGTGCTGACGTGGACAGCACGGGGTATTCACCGCGTTAGACAAACACGGTGAATAACCCGTGTTTGTTTGCGTCAGCAATCCGCGCCCATTGTGCTTTCACCGTGGCCGTTGGATGCGGTGAGACGCGGATCGTGGTTTTCTTCCCACGATCCGACGCCTCGCAGCAGGCCACGTCACCATGTATTCACCGCGTTTGGTGAAAACGGTGAGTTCACCGCGTTCATCAAACGCGGTGAATGCATGGTGAATTAACTGCTGCGCATCTCCTCCCCCCTTCCCCCAAACTATAAATACCCCCTCCCCCTTTCACTTTCAACTCACCCCACAAACATTTACCTTCTTTCTCCCTCAATTTATCCGCTCTAGTCTCGTTCTAAGTATGCTCTGTGGTTGCGGCTAAGTCCGATCTTCCACATCAGAAAGAATTACTAGAGTTTGACCCTAAAGCCCCCGTCCCGCTAAGTTCCCGTCCCTTACAAAGCTAAACCCGTCGAACCTCTGTCCGGCTTCCGCCAATAATGGACGAAGAGGCTCTTCGTGTAGGTTTTTGGTTTGTAATTTTTTTTAATCGAAACAATTTGATTTATTTTTTATCAAAACAATCTCTGATTATATTACTTTTTTATAGATGGGTGCCGAGATATACGATCCTCGATTGTATATCCATTATGGCCCAAGGGATGCGAGTCTATTAACCGATCAGCAAATGCATCGCTCCCGTGCCATTTGGGATAACAATCCGGTAATTTGATGAACTGACTTGCTTTATTTTATTATTTTCTAATGTTTTATTTTGCTTTATTTAATCTAATTAATTGATGTTTTTCCTATTTTTTTTAGGAATCTCTTGTTCCCGTGGTTCATAAAGGGACCAATAACTTGCCCGCTTGGCATCCAAGGTTGGAGCCCTATATAGCGAGGACCGGTTTGGGAATGTTGCGCCATTTCTTGCGGATCGAGATCGACAACGAGCTGCTTACGGCAATGGCGGAACGATGGCGTCCCGAAACCCATACATTCCACCTTGCGGAGGGGGAAATGACGATCACCCTCAAAGACGTGGCGATCCTCACCGGGCTTCCTATATCTGGAGATGCCATCATTGGGAACACGACCAAACCCGAAGGAGGTTGGGGGCCGCTCATCCGTGATCGTTTGGGCTTCGACATGCCGACCACCACACCAAATCAAGGACGGGGGCATCCACCGTTGAATGCGGGGCAAGTGTCGGTCCCGTGGCTGGTATCTCACATCCAGCAAGAGGTGGAAATCAATGACGAGACACCGGAAGAACAAGTCGAGCGCTACGCCCGCATCTACCTCATCGGTTTGGTGGGTGGATTTTTGTTCCCCGACAAGTCCAACCGGTGGATTCAAGGCATATGGTTGCCATTGCTCACCGGTGACTGGGATGCAATTGGAGAGAAGAGTTGGGGATCGGCCGTGCTAGCGGGCGTATACCGGGAGCTGTGTACTTGCTCGAGGGTTGGGGCAAAGCAAGCTGGTGCTGCGATGTTCATCGTTCAACTGTGGGTATGGGAGCATCTTCCAATGTTCGCACCTCTCGACCCACGTCCATACCGGAGAAACGATGATGAGCTCAACCTTCTGCAAAATCTCCCCTACAGTGTCAAGTAAGTTTATTCCGTACTTAGCCCAATTTAAATTTTATTACATGCTTGAGCTAGATTTAAATTGAGAATATTCCGTACTTAGCCCAATTTAACTTTTTATTACATGCTTGACCTTCAGCCACATACTGCTCCAGCTCGGTGGGTCTGACGGATCGTTTTCATGATCTGCTCGTACTTTTTTGGTTGATGTGCAACCGCTAAAATGTGAACAAAAGACTAACTGGTCAATACATGATGAATAACATCAGCTTATCAGCTTAATAAACACAAACTTAAATCGCATAAGAAAAACATGAGTACCTGCATTCCAAAGTAGATTTTTGATGTCTTTCTTCTTCCCAAATTTGTGTTGGAAATTGGCGAGCCAGTGCCGAATACACCATCTCCATCTCCACCCCCACTCGTCGGGAAAACCACCAACAGCATTCCTTATCCCCGCATGTCGATCGGATATAATCGTAATATCTTCCCGCTGTGTCACGTGTTCGTGCAGTTGGTCAAAGAACCAAGCCCAACTTAAACTGTTCTCCCCTTCCACTAATGCAAATGCAAGCGGGAAAATTCGCCTATTTCCATCAACGCCAGTGGCAATTAGAAGACATCCTCTGTACTTCCCAGTAAGGAAAGTTCCGTCAACCTGAATAAAAATTTAGGATATAATTAGTATGAAATATACTTAACAGCAAATAATACAACATTTAAAACCGGAACTAGTTGGTAAAATACCTGAATAACCGGTATGCAGAACCCAAAACCGTCAATGCATGGTTTAAAAGCCCAAAAAAGACGATGGAACATCAGCTTATCCTGTACTCGAACTTGATCCTCAGTGTATACATTGTTGTATACTGGGACGAAAACAGTCCCAGGATTGGACTCCTCCATTGCTCCCATAAGTCTAGGGAGTAAAGCATACGAATCCTCCCAATCACCATACACCTCAGCCATGGCTTTCTGCTTACCATGCCATGCTTTTTTGTACCTTATCGTGTAAGAATGTCGATCCTTCACCTCTGCCATGATAGCTTTCACCTTGATATCTGGTTGTGCTTCTATAAGGTGCTTAATAGTTCTCCCAACCTTCTTTGCTTTTAGTTGCCTGTGATCTTGGGAAAGTATAGAAGAGGAGCATGTGTGGATCGTCTCAGCTTTGCGAATCACCCAAGCACCCTTTCTCTTCATATTTGCAGCCCGCAGTTGCCACGTACAACCCTCTGCATCATGCTTGCATATGACATGTAATTGTTTACTGTCAGAATATTTTACCTTCCACTCGAAATTGCGCCTCAACGCCTCTTCTGTAAATGCATCCTGCACAGCGTCTTTCGATGTGAACGCCATACCCACCTCCAGATTGGCCGTTGGATTGTACACTGGCATAGGGACAAAGTCGGGGGGATCATTCTGACTATGTAAAAATTGAGTTGGAACCTGTGTGTAATATGGCGTGGGTGCCTCACGAAATGCCGCCTCATCCTCGTTATCATCAGTATCTTCCTCCTCCTCGCTCACTGATATCAAATCTTCCTCAGTATCCTCGTCGCTTGACTCGAATGGATAGCTCGAGCTAGAAGGATCAACATGACCATGATCACCAACATCGTCCTCTCGCTCATGTGAAGTACGCCCTGATCGAATGGTATTCTCGATTCCATACCACTCTGGCCCCCAAGCAGGCCATTGAACACCATCGGCCTCAACAAATGGGCCTGGTTTAGGAGGTTGCGAGTATTGGTCCCATCCTGCACTACTCGATCCACCGTAGTTGATTGAACCACCACCCTCCCCGTAACCTCCTGTATAACCACCGCCTTGGTAGTTGCTCGAACTACCACCCCATTCGTACCCTCCTGCAAAACCATCATCATAAGAATACTGGTGAGAATGAGATTCACCGAGCGCCTCGGTCTCAACATACACCTCTGCAAGCCGGACTTGGTTATCGCTTAGGAACTGTAACATCATCATAACCGCGTCATCATCGTTTATGACAACTTCTTGGAACACGACCCCGCCAGCACTCATGTCTGGATACCGGTAAGTAATTTTGCCAAGTCTCGTCTGTCCGCTCGTACAAACCCTTTCTGCACAAAGATCACAGAGTTCTTGAAAATTGAATCGGGATTCAATTTTCAGCATAATGGATTCGCCGTCCTCATAATCAATGCCTATGTCAGAGTTTGTCACCCTTCCATTCCACCGAATAGTAAGATGAAACTTCTTGAATTTACCCATATCTACAATTTACAATAAGTATCTATTAGCTTAAAGACAGTAAAATTAACCAAAATCATATTGTACAACTAATATTAAATCATACCATAAGTAACAAAAATAAATTCAACTAACTAACAACAACATAATACGAAAATTAAATCATACTATAACTAACGAACATAAGTTCAACTAACTAACAACAACATAATACGAAAATTAAATCATACCATAACTAACGAAAATAAATTCAACTAACAAACAACAACATAATACGAAAATTAAATCATACTATAACTAACGAATATAAGTTCAACTAACTAACAACAACATAATACGAAAATTGAATCATAATACGAAAATTAAATCATACTATAACTACTAAAAACATAATTAGACCATAATACGAAAAGTCTCAACATACCGAAAAATTTCTGTTCTGTGTATTATGCTCGATTTTGTCTGCTGAAATTTGAAGAAAGGGGAGTGGTTATGTTTTTACAACTGCTGGTGGTGTGGTATTTATAGGAAAATCTGCCTACTATTCACCGTTTTTGACAAAAACGGTGAACACTATCACCGCGTTTGTCTCAAACGGTGAATAGGTGGTAGCTGCGACCTAATTTTGACCTACCAGGGGTGGGAAACGTGGGAAATGATCACCGCGTTAGTTAACGACGGTGAAGGCTTCACCGTTTTGGTCAAAAACGGTGAAGGCTTCACCGTTTTGGTCAAAAACGGTGAAGCTTTCACCGTTGTTAATTAACGCGGTGAAAGCTTCACCGTTTTGGTATGAAACGGTGAATACTTCACCGTTTTTGTTTAAAACGATGAAGTATTCACCGTGTTTGTCAAACGCGGTGATGATCTTCACCGTGTTTGTCAAACGCGGTGATGCTCAAACATGTGTACTTTGGGAATTTTTTTTATAACTCATGTATTTTGAGAATTTTTTTTAAGAACGTGTGTACTTTGGGATTTTTTCCCATATGGATAGGACACCATGAGCACAGTAGCGCGATCTAGGGACGGAAGGTTCAACTCGGGGAGTTTTACCGTACGACTGACATGAGTGGTAAAGCAGAACGACTCGAGCTTCGGAGCCAACACTTGACTGACTGAAAACCATTTCGAAGAACGAATCTCCAGTCTCAGCAACCGGAGACCAGACACTTTGAAACGATCCGAGGACGACGACAAACTGCAATCGAGTAACTTCAAGCATCTCAAAAGAGGGATGTTGGCAAAAGGATCGTTGTCGTGGCCGCGAGAAGAAACCATCCTCTCGCAGCCACGCAGCTCCAGAGTGGTCAGCATTCTGCAGCCCGAAATCGAGTCGAGATCGACCCGGTAGCAATCGACCAGCTCGAGAGCCTCGAGGGACGATTCGCGATGCTTTGTTCGACCAGCTGCGTGACCCAGGACCATCTCTAACGGTTTGTTGTCGTCTCTGTTTTCCGCTCTCGTGTATTTGGATGTGAAGCTGACCTTGTCGATGGTTGCGTGTTCTGACCGGAGGCGAAGAAAGTTGCGTATGAAATTTATGCCACCTTGGATCGCGGAGAAGGAGTTCTGGTTGAGATTGAGGACGCCGACGTCTTTCCACAGGTACCTCCACCTCTTCGAGAGCACGCTGGTTTGGACGACGAGTTTTGTGTCGTCGAGTGACGAGAGGATGTGATACAGAATGTCGTCCGAAAGATCGCTTACTCGATCTTTTGCTTCTGCGCCGTCGTCAAGTCTCCTTTTTCGAGACATAACGGACAATCAGACTATCTATCTTCCGCCGGAAGCGGCTGATGAGAAATTGTCGGCGACGGTTTGCTGGCTAAGTTTTGAGTTCTGACTACGAAACCCTAATCCTAGTTCTTGCAATAAGGTAGAAGAAAAGAGCTGTACTTGCTTGCTCGGGGATTTGAGAAGTATTTAAGTAGAAGGGAAGAAAGTGGGCTCAATAGGCCCAATAGGATTAAGGCTTGGGTTGGTTCCCGGACTATATATCAATACCCTAGTCCACCAAATCAACATATATATTTTTCTTCACTACAAATTTATTTAAATTTTGTTTATTATTATTAATAATCCATTCATACTTTACAAGTGTATAATCTTAATGTATAACATCCTATATATGTTGCCAAAGAGTATTATCTTACCCTTTAATTCAACCTCCAAAACTTTCATGGACTCATGTTGCATCAAGGGTTAATCGTTTTAACTTTTAAGCATCACATATTTTGACGAGACAAGTCGTCATATAACCGACAAATAAAATTTCATATCTCACATCCCTATCAGATACGGTTGTTCATTGTCAAGATATCACATTGCTAGCTAGTAGTTCATGTCTTTGGGTTGGCTTAGTTACTCGATCATTTTACATTCAATTGATAACAAATATTAGTATGTAATTTAGCATTCCTGCCTATCTCTTACCAGACAATTGTCTCAATCAGGAGGCATTTTGTGAGGGTTATATATCGTTATCCGAATCGAAATCACGCGGTTCCAGAGCGGTCAGCATTCTGAAGCCCGAAATCACGCGGAGCTCGACGGGGAAGCAACGGACCAGCTCGAGGGACTCGAGGGACTCGTGATGCCCGTGTCGCTTGATGGACGCGGCCACGCTTCCGCCGCGTTTGATTTCGGAATGCGTTACGGACAAAGCTCGCAGGCGGCCGGTCCGACCCGCCGCGTGACCCATGACCATATCGAACGGTTCGTGGTCCGCCTACGGGTTGAGAGGAACACCGTGTTTGATTTCCGCTCTCGTGTAGTTGAACGTGAAGCTGATAAGTTCCATGTCGCCGACGGTCGCGCGTTTCGACCGAAGGGGAAGAAAGTTGCGTAGGAAAGTTCTGCAACCCTCGCTCGTGGAGAAGGAGTTCTGGTCGAGATTGAGGACGCCGACGTCTTTCCACAAGTACCTCCACCTCTTCGAGAGGACGCTGGTTTGGACGACGAGTTTTGCGTCGCGGAGTGACGAGAGGACGTGATACAGAATGTCGTCGGAAAGATCGCTTACTCGATCTTTTGCTTCTGCGCCTTCATCACGTCTCGTTGTTTGAGACATGACGGACAAAAAGGTTAAATCAAACTGCCTTCCGCCCAAGAATTGTTTTAGAACGAAGAGAATTAGACTTAGGACGAAGAGAATTAGAGGATGGAAGAACTAAACTACCAAGCTATTTGGGTTCTAATCTTTCTCATGACATTAAACGAAATTCAAAATACATATTTATAGGCATAGAAACCTCTACCTTCTCCTATCTTGAACATAACTTCTACTCCTACAAGGAAACAACTCACAATAACCAAATCCTACTTAAACCAAGGAAACTACTAATAAAGACAATAATAATAAAAAATTAATACAATAAAATAATTAGGCACAAATAATTAACCCAATTGCTACGATGATCCAATTCTCATAACAAGATGCCTAGGTTTTGAGTTCTAACTATGAAACCTTAATTCTAGTTCTTGCAATGAGGTAGAAGAAAAGAGCTACACTTGCTTGCTAGCCCACCGAAAATCAATCCAAATAAGGTCACAAAGCTATTGGACGAATCATTTTCTGCCCTCTTCCGGTACATAAGTTGGGCTTGGACCAATCCATTGATTAAAATTAAAAACAGTTTCTAAAGCACATATCAACTATTAATCCATGTCCAATTCCCAAAACACAAGGGTTTATCATGCGGAATTCATTTTCATGTCACCGTGACTATTAGTTTTAGTTAGAGATGATACCTTATTTTCATTTCAACTTTGACATAAAAAACAACTTCTGTTTGAATGTTTAAATAAAACAATTTTTTACTGAATTTCGAAACAAATAGACAAATTTGGCCTGAAATTAGGGTTTACCATTAGTATTGATTGTCAAATATTTCTTTCATCTATGACTCAATTTATTTATAAAAAGTAGAGAATACCTTATTGTGGCCTGAATTTTGACGGGTTTTTTTCATGAACGTTAAAATAAGACAGTTTTGTCCAAATTTTGAAATAAATAGACAAACTTGAGTGATAATCATTGAATGGAAAAATATTTGAACTACTCCTCTAAAAACTAAGTGACAACAATTTTCTTACTAACAAATTGACAGGACTCCATCAAATCATTCAAATCATTCATCTAACGTACGTATGTACCACAATTATATTGCCTGATCAGCAAGCTAATGATATAATCAGTGACGCACGCACACTAATCAAGAAGATGAAGGCCAACCATATAATCAGTGACGCACGCACAATAAATGGATTTTCTTTCACTTCCTTCGGGTTTTGTCTAAAAGATCTCAACATATGTGGCATATATGTTACTTTTCATTTATGTTATATAACATAAATTTTCTATATTTCTCTTATATGTGTGCAGACCTCTGAGATCCTTTTGTAAAATGTATAAAGGAAAATTATCACGAATATATATCCTGAAACTAATTCCACTATGTCGATCAAGGACCCTAAGTTATTGTCGTTTTGATTCGAGATGAAAAAGCAACAATCGGTATTTCGGTTTGTTTTAATGATACACCCGAAAGATGGTCTGAAATGAAATTAGCTCCAAATGTAGATTAGAGAGTAGCTAGAGAGACTCTATTCTATCAAAGAGAATGACTTGTTCTGCGGGATGATGAAAATGGGATATTAGGGTTACACTAAACATATATATATAAAAACACCAAGTAAGAAAGCTCACATTATTTGTTCAGCGGGATCTCAACATGCTGCAAAGTGCCATGACTTCATGCTTCTAAAAGCAAAAGGGGCAACCATTGGCAGCGCAGAAACGAAGCTCGATCTCCTCCTTTGGCTCCCATCCATCGTATCTGACGACATTCCTCGTTAAGCAGTGGCAGCCCCTCCCTTGCGGCTCGGCTATCGTCGTCCACACCCACAAAGACTCGATGATCGATCTGACCCTCTCCCGACAGTATCGGACCGTCTCGAGCCATCTATCGTCGCTCGAGGAAGAAGGCGGCAGAAGGGCTGATACTCCATGAGAAGACGGGGAATGGAGTGAGTTTGGCATTGCGGTAGACAGAATCATCCGCAGATGCTTCAAGGGTTTGACGAGGTCCGTCGTCGAGTCGCTAGCTATCAGCGCTAAGATGCGGATGAGTATGTCCTTCGGGACAACAGTGACGAGGTTGTGGCGGACCATGAGATTATTAGGAATTATCTTTGAATCAAAACTTGTTAAGATTGAAATAAACTCGCAAAATTTATCTAATGATAATTTGAAACTTGATTTCTCATTAGTTCTTATCCAACCTGTGAGGTCATCGATCCGTTTTTCCTCCCTTTGTAAAATATTTGTTTATCTTTTTTTGTTATTATATTTTTCATTATAAAAAAAGAATTGTAGGCTAATAAGAAGTCATCCAATTAAGTTATATAACTAAGTTATATTTGTTCTACTTTCTCATTTATCGTATTTCTTTAGGCCTTAATTAGTTGCTTATCCTCCATGGGTCTCTATGCTTCTTTCACATGCAAAAAGTCAGAAGGGGAGCAAGCACCCAGCTAGCAAGTTGTACAAGGCAGAATAATCAATGAAAGGAATGAGAAGTTCGATTATTTGGAATGATGCACAATAACAAAAATTATTGATTTTTCCCCCCCGGTTGTAGCTAGGTCTCAGACATGTTGGAAATGTTTGACAAATTTCGCGAATGCTAACAATCAATTTAAAGCTAGTGAAGAAGTTGTCTAGAGTTGTGTAATGTATCCATAGAAGGTACGTAAATATCAATGTGGCCGTCTTTTGAAAGCCAAGACTATACAAATCAAACCCTAATTAAGCATACATACTGATCGCGTTTAATTTGTTGTCATGAATGAATTTAGTCTTCAAAAATCAAAAGTACTTACCAATGAAGGGTTACGTTATGTGGGCTGTTGTTAATAACCTCCACAATGATCGTGTCTCCCCCTGTGAACATACAGAGTTGGCCCTGGGAATTCCCCGTTAACTGTCAGTATTTGCTTCTTGTTGCACAGCCTCGTGTAGGAAGTCTCTTCTACCTACAACGACCGAAAATCAAACTCTTGAGACCAACTTAAGTTTTGTATGAAAATCGTCACTCGAACAAAAAGTGTTTGCAACGATCACGTTAATGGTAAAGGAAAATGGATGGTTGTAAAAAACGGTTGCATTGGTTTTGGGTGACCCTTTATTTGTAGTAAAATAGCTATTTTCTCGACAATGTTATCCAACGATCGAAATGAAATAAATGGAAGCACATACCACAAAAGTTTGACGCTGAATCGGTGAAGCGGCACCGCCATCGACGACGAAGCTCAAGAGCATAAGAATCAAGCAGGAAATGCTATGCCCTTGTAAGAGAATGTTTACTGATCCCATGGTTTTGCTTAACAAACAAGAAGATGTTTTTGCTAGTTGTTCATTCTGGCAGATTCTTAATAGGTATATATAAAAGCCTTCACCAAAGGCATTTTCGTAATTCATGGCAACTTCAGGGGCTTTCTTTTATTTTCTATTATACTAGCATAAACCCGCTCGCTCTCGATTTCTATGTGAGCGAGAATCTGATATTTCTAATAGTGACTGCAACCTCACTGCTCCTCCTATTCTACGTAAGCACACCAATCCCACATGAGCTTGTCTACCATGAAGGACATCCCACATGAGCTTATTCTACGCCTCACGCTGTAGCTCGTCGAGTAGCTAGCTATCAGCGCCAAGATGCGGATGAGTATGTCCTTCGGGACAACAGTGACGAGGTTGTGGCGGGCCATGAGATTATTAGGAATTGTCTTTGAATCAAAACTTGTTAAGATTGAAATAAACTCACAAAATTTATCTAATGATAATTTGAAACTTGATTTCTCATTAGTTCTTATCCAACCTGTGAGGTCATCGGTCCGTTTTTCATTTCTTTGTAAAACATTTGTTTATCTTTTTTTGTTATTATATTTTTCATTATAAAAAAAGAATTGTAGGCTAATAAGAAGTCATCCAATTAAGTTATATAACTAAGTTATATTTGTTCTACTTTCTCATTTATCGTATTTCTTTAGGCCTTAATTAGTTGCTTATCCTCCATGGGTCTCTATGCTTCTTTCACATGCAAAAAAATCAGAAGGGGAGCAAGCACCCAGCTAGCAAGTTGTACAAGGCAGAATAATCAATGAAAGGAATGAGAAGTTCGATTATTTGTAGTCAAACACCCATTAAAATCCCAAAAATTGGCAAAAATAGAAGTTAATTTAAAATTTTCTTCTTTTATTACTAATCTACTCTTTCTATATTTGTAGTCATTATATATGAAGTAGTCATTATATATGAAGTAGGGCGAAAAGCGCCGTAAGAGTGGATTTTTTTAACTCGAAAGTCCGAAAGGGCTGAGCAGTTTAGATGGTATTAAGCATGGTGCTAGATCCCTATAAGTTAGCACCCTATCTATTTCATCTTCCGTACCCCAATATTTCATAAATAACCAGCGTGTCCTCTTTATAAATCCTCATTAATTATGAACACCATCTGCATTCCCCACGTCACGTGCCTCTCCAGATGGCAGTGCATTAACCACACTCTTGCATAGCCGAGAGAAATTGGTCACGAAGACAGCAATCATGGTAAAATATATCAAGACTTGACGAGAAACTAATACTTCTAATCACTCGAGTTATTCATATGATGTCATCGATACATACCGGGATTAGAAGCTCTGAATCTAATGACAGTCCATCCGTTCCTCGGAACAGCAATGGTGTTCACTAGTGGCGGGTCGACCAGATTGTAGCTTTTGGGATCTCTCATCTCATCAAAATTACCAAATCCCGAACCCACCACGTAGAAGCTCATCCCATGCAAATGCATCGGATGGTCGACCCCAAAGAGTAAATTCGTCCCTTGGAAAACCACCTCTACTACAGAATCGTACTCCAACACCTTCACTCTTGTCCCATGGGCCGTCACAGCTTCTAGGATAGTCATGTCGCCTGTATAATTTGTGGTGCTCGTCGGTTTGTCCGGGAAGTTTGTTGTGAAAATGCCATCGATGTGATTGTAGTACGCCCTCAAAATGTCCATCGACTTCGATTCCACGAAGCTCACGTTGTTGATGCTGGTGGCAATACGATAACCACCATTGTATGGGCCGTCACGGCATGAGTTGGTTGGACAGGGTAGGATGTTGATGGAGAGTGTGACGAACAATTTCGTGGTCACCTCCTTTGGGACAGGATCGTTGTAGGTGGACAAACTTCGGAGCCGGTTGGTGAAGAAGGCCGATGCGTTCGTATCCTTAGCACTTGGGAGATGTGATAACTGGAACGTTATAATCATCGTCATTATAAAAAAAAAATATTGGGACGACGTGATAATAAGAACCATTTTTTTGAAAAGATTCATTTGTAATCAAATAAGTGAAGTCGTGACTTTATATATACAATTGCAATAGGACATAATCACACATGAAAACGTGACATTTTAAAGCGAATGAAAACTGTCACTCTTACATGAATTGCATATGAATGTAGTAAAAATAATGAAAATTCGTATAGATTCATTCTTGTCCCATATGATCAATTGAGGATCAAAAGCTGTATACTTGATAATGGAGCGAATTGAGTGGTTTAAGTTTACTTATGATTAGAGTGTTGGTATGTCCTTCGGGACAACAGTGACGAGGTTGTGGCGGGCCATGAGATTATTAGGAATTTTCTTTGAATCAAAACTTTTGAAGATTGAAATAAACTCGCAAAATTTATCTAATGATAATTTGAAACTTGATTTCTCATTAGTTCTTATCCAACCTGTGAGGTCATCGGTCCGTTTTTCCTCCCTTTGTAAAACATTTGTTTATCTTTTTTTGTTATTATATTTTTCATTATAAAAAAAGAATTGTAGGCTAATAAGAAGTCATCCAATTAAGTTATATAACTAAGTTATATTTGTTCTACTTTCTCATTTATCGTATTTCTTTAGGCCTTAATTAGTTGCTTATCCTCCATGGGTCTCTATGCTTCTTTCACATGCAAAAAAATCAGAAGGGGAGCAAGCACCCAGCTAGCAAGTTGTACAAGGCAGAATAATCAATGAAAGGAATGAGAAGTTCGATTATTTGTAGTCAAACACCCATTAAAATCCCAAAAATTGGCAAAAATAGAAGTTAATTTAAAATTTTCTTCTTTTATTACTAATCTACTCTTTCTATATTTGTAGTCATTATATATGAAGTAGTCATTATATATGAAGTAGGGCGAAAAGCGCCGTAAGAGTGGATTTTTTTTAACTCGAAAGTCCGAAAGGGCTGAGCAGTTTAGATGGTATTAAGCATGGTGCTAGCTCCCTATAAGTTAACACCCTATCTATTTCATCTTCCGTACTCCAATATTTCATAAATAACCAGCGTGTCCCTCTTTATAAATCCTCATTAATTATGGTCAACACCTTAGAAAAAAGTCATCAAAATCAAATGTCCCTGTTAATTAGAACTAGTACTAGTACCATGCTAACAAAAAAAAATGTTAGCACCTAACCCTCTCCAACCACCCATATCAGTCCATTAAGCACCACTCATCATGTATATATTCTAGTATAATAAGGATTTATCAATGTACTAGACTACTAGCTAGGTAGTCACCTCTAAGAATCCCAACCAAATCACTATAAGTTTGTAAATTCATGCATACCGTAAAAACATATAAAACGATACTTCAAAATCGATTCATGATTTTACTTCATTCACGATACATATGAACCAATCTAACCAACCAGTAAATAGATAGACATTCGAAAGAAAAAAAGGCACAAGAATTTCCAATTCATAGTCATGTGACAAAATGAGGCATAGAAAATGGAACTTTCAAGGGATTTGAATCCCAACAAATACGCTGAGGGATCGAGGGACCAAAACAGAATGTTACAAACTACATCTCGAAAGAACAAAAAAAGGAAAGAAGCATGATGAGTAGTAGCTCTTCTCAAATGGGATTGCACTGATCAACCACCACCGAAACAACAGCGTCCGCCACGCCCTCGCTCTCCACCACCACCTTGTTCCCGGCCACGGTGGTCGCAGCATGTATCGGCATCCTGCTGAACTCCTTCACCAGGAACGAGTACTGAAAATACTCGATCTTGTCGGGGAAGAGCAGCACCTTGCTGAAATCGGCCACCCATTTGGTCCCTTTCCTCGCCAGAACCTTATTCGCCGACGTCGACTTGACCGTGGAGTTCCACGCCTGGTTGCGATCCACCGCCACGTCACGGACCTCCGTGAACTCCCCTTGCAGCTCCACCACCGGCGCCATGTCGATCCCCCGGAAGAAATTGTCGGTGATGGAGAGAGCCTCGAGCCTCCCCTTCACCGCCTTCAGCACCACGTTCGCGTACCCCAGGAAGAAGCTGTTGGTGATCTGGATGAACCTGCATACATTTTGCGTAGCCAGATGAAATATCATTTAGTGTAGTCCAAAAGTAGCATAACACAAGAATCTGGTAGAGGTGGCAAATAGAATGGATCCATGAATCTGTGAATTGGATTCAAATGGATGAGCGGATTGATCCATGGATCCAAATGACATTCGAGTCTATGACTAATATGTAAATTTTGAAAAGTTTGGGTAGTAAAATATCATAATATAAAAATTTTAGGTATCAAAATGTAATTTTCTAACGATATTTTTGTATGAAACATAAAATTTAGATACCAAATATCAAATATAAAAAGTACTAAAGTGTAATTTTTCAGCTATCAATGAGTGCAATTCATAAATCCACCGATCCAATTGAATTTGGATAAAATAAGTTAGATTAGTTAGATATTTAAGCAGATGGACTGGATTAGATTAGTGGATTGGATTATAAATTGTCAGAATCCACTGTAGTGGTGATCTTGTTGTGTTGCTATTAAGGGGTTTGAAAGTTTAATTTCAAGATATCACCACTCGTGTTAGGCACTACTTTACATATTCGAACGAGTAAAACTAGCTTCCAGATTCAAAACTATTAACATCACCACCAGACCAAGTCCTTGTTACTATAAATTCATAAGTTGGGGTCCATTGACTCCACATCTCATGAGGTGGCACCACAACTTACCTGGGGTCCTCCAGCACGATGGAGTTGTAGTCGACGAAGCAGTCGGTGATCCGGTTGTAGTCGGCGAACGCCCTGGCCAGGATCCCGATCCCGCCGAAGATCCGCTCCTTGTTGTACGTGTGGATGTCCCTCAACATGTTGGCCTGCCCTCTCAACATCACCCCGATTGCGGAGGAGAAGATCACCGCGTCGGTAACGACGTTGTCGTTACCGGCGAGGTCGATCCCAGTACCAGAATAGTCCTTCTCGCCGACGCCCCCACCAACTGTGGGGCGCTGGCCGAGGAAACAGGACTGGATGAAGGCATCACGCCCCCCTTGCACCAAAACCCCCTGCGTCGTGAAGTTCAAGAAATAGCAGTGGGTGATCTGAGTCCTGGCGGTGTCCACCGCCAGGACTCCGCCGCCGCTGAACCCGGAGTCGAAGAGGATGTCTTTGAATCTCACGTCCTCGTAGTAGATTCCGTTGCCCTGGTACGCCGCCACGTCATCTGTTTTGTAGATCAGCACCTCCGATTTCGGCGAGAGTAATTCCACGAGGAAGCGATCCGCTGGGAACCCTCTCGAGGCTCTGAGGCTGCCGTCTTTGACGAGGAGGCCACCGCCGTCGGAAGGTGGGAAGGAGATCGGCTTGCTGATCTTGTACTTGCCGCCTTGGAGGTCGATGACGGCGCCGCCCAGGTCCTTGATTCCGGGGATCAGTTCTTCCTTCAGGTTCGGATCGCTACTACGTTGTTGGAATGCGTCGTTCAACGCCTTCTGTATCGCTTCGGTGCTATCGTTGTGGCCGGTGGGATCTGCTCCGTATCCAACAGGGTAGAACACTCCGCCGACCTGTAATCATTAAATACGGATATTAAATGGGCATACGGATATAGTAGCAGAGCCATGAACAAGAGAAAAAAAAATGAAATGGTCTGTCAATAGTACGAAAATTTTGAACGCATAAAATACGTACGTCATAAACACGTAGTAAGCATAGTATTTAGTATTTATAGGTAAGTGACCAGAAATGTTATATCTTTAAAATTTCGCTGTTAAATGATCCGTCATCAGTCACCTGAGGTGGAGGCCGGACGAAAGTGGAAGGCTTGGATGAGGCGACTATTTTGTCGATCTTGGCCGTGAAATGTCGGAGCTTGGCAGAATGTCGGCGTTCGAATTCGTAACATGAAGTCTGTGGCACAATAAATATTAATGGCACTGAGCTGAATACAATTAGGATGACGAATCGCGCCAAGGCCGACGCCGTCGCCGGCATTCTTCCCAAAATAAAGGCTACGGCGTTTTTTAGCTTCTTTCTTTCCTTTACTGGGATCCTTTAAAGAAGGGGAGTTTGAGCAATTGTCCGGTCGGTCATGGCGACCAGCTCCTTTTGTATAACACATCCGGCGTTTTTCGGGTTTATTTATGAATATAAGTAGGTGAATTATCATTGAATGCGAGTAACATTCGAAATTTTGGAGTTATGACGTTTTTTTTCTTTCTCTCGCCTGAGAAAGAACTCCCCAAATTTTTTTTTGTATGATATAATAAATGAGAGAATTCATCGTCCACATGCCAAGGCTAGCTAGTAAATTGATATAATAAGTATGATTGTGAATTTGTGATCAATTAGATATTTTGATTGGCTGATTTGGTGTTAATGTGAGAGTAATATATAACAGCCACTTTTTTTTAATGAGTACAGCCACTTCCAAACTTTGGGCAGATAGATATTCGAAATATTTGGCAAATAATTATCGGTAGATAATGTGACAATAATAACGTTCTATCTTCCTTTTGTCCTAGGGTCAAAACTTATTTGATCATCCAAAATAGTTGAATAGGATGAACAATCCTGATTTGATTGATTCAATGGTTCACTATTTTAATTACTACAATATTATAAGAATGAGAATACTATTACGTAAATGAAGGGCTGGCCAACGCTAGTTTTGTTTTTAAAAATTTTATGGAGACATGAATTAATATATAATTTTATATTTTGTGTATTCATAACTCATAAGGAGCGACCCAAAACGAAAGCAATTAGCTAGCCAATCCTAGTTAGTTACTAATGTATTTCAACTTTCTTGCTTCTCGTACGTTGATTATCATCAATTGCCATTCTCATTAACAATTTAAATTCAATTAATTTTTAAGGCAATTTGATTAATTTGTTAGACCGTAGAACCTCTAGTACTATAAAGGAAGAATCAAAGCTCAGTCTTTTTCCAGGAAAAAAAAAACATTGTTTTCTGTTCTTAATTCTTTGTCACCGTTACATTGTTTTCTTTTCTCAATGGAAAATTCTTAGCTCCAATCTTGATTGAATGTGGAAGCTATACAACCCTCTCGTGTTTCATTTCTACACGACCTTACTCAGAACCTTATATCCTTCACCGTTGCCGTGGAATGCAAAAGTACCCTCTCCAATGGGGTTGAACTGATCCACCGCCACCGAAACGACGGCGTCCACCACGTCCTCGCTCTCCACCACCACCACATTCCCCGACACGTTCGTCGCCGCGTGGATCGGAAACCTAGGCCCGCCCCACCCTTCCGCCGGCTGCTGCTTCACCAAGAACGAGTACTGAAAATGGTCGATCTTGTTAGGAAAGACCAACTTCTTGCTAAAATCAGCAACCCACTGCGTTCCTCTCCCTGCCACCGTCACCTTCGCCGCCGTGGACTGTACGGTCAGGTACTTCCCCTGGTTCTGGTCCACAACCACGTCGTGGACCGTCGTGAACTTCCCCTGGAGCTCCACCATGGGCGCACCGGCGAACCCGACGAAGTAGTTGTCGACGACGACAAGCGCGACGGCTCCACCGTCTCTCTTCACCGGCTTCAGAACCACGTTGGCGTGCCCGAAGAAGAAGTTCCCCGTGATGTAGACGAAGTAAGGGTCCTCCACCACCACCTGGTTGTTGTTGCCGTCGAAGAAGGAGGCCGTGATCCGGTTGTAGCTCGCGTCCGACTTCAGCAGGACGCCGGCGGCGGCGGAGTGCCACGACTTGTTGTTGTTGTAGGTGTGGAGCCCCGTGATGACGTTGGCCTGGCCCCTCACCAGGAGCCCGACCTGCACCGAGAAGATCACCGTGTCGGTGATCACGTTGTCATTGCTCGCCAGGTCGATTCCCGTGCCCGAGTAGTACCTGTCGCGCGCGTTAAACCGCGCGCTCAGTTTAATCAACGGTTAATACTGAGAGTTGTCTAGATGGGAATGTATATGATCATTTAATCAAAGTTCTGGTATCATTGACGTCAATCATAAACCAAATCAGTTTGTTCAAATAATGAACTATAGCGCAAATTATTAAGAAAATGTTCAGTTACGAATGTTAAGAAACTGTAAGGCGCGCGTTGAGACTCTGCCTTGTGTCTGGCATGGGTAGCGAGGTGATTAAGCGTTAGATGTAAACGCAACAATATATCTCATTTTCCTAGAATTACAAGTTTATGAACTACCAATATCATTGCATCTACCTCTCATTTCTAAACTTTCCAACAACATCACTTGGTAAAACATAACACATAGTACGAAGAAATGAGCAAGGAAAAAAGAAGCTCCAAAAATAGCAAAGCAGTTTGAGAATGAAGAAGCGCAAAAGAAAGAAGAAGCTACTCTAAAGATGGTGGTCTCTAACTATATCGTAGCATAACTATAAAAAAAAAAAATTCAAGACCTTCCTCACTAGCTAGTAGCATATAAAAAGGTATAGAATTAGACATTGTGTCATTATCCTGAGACGCAACTCAAATGTTGACTAGGCGGCACCAAGGCCACAACATGATCAAGACGCCTAATTTAATTTGCTACTTTTTGCCTGAAGCGAGGCGCTTTCCTTATGATTTGCGCCTAGGGGACAAACTTTAGGCGCGAGTGTGTAGACACGATTTTTTAAAACCATGCGAATGTTATATACTAAATCTCGAACGCTACCTTTCGTTCTTGTCGCGCCCCACGGTGGGGTGCTGCTGCCCAACGAAGCAGGTCTGGATGAAGGTCTCGTGGCCGCCCTGCACCAAAATCCCCTGTGTCGTGAAGTTGAAGAAGTAGGAGTTGAGGATCCGAACCCTGGCGGTGTCCACCACCAGCAGGCCGCCTCCGCTGTGGCCGGAGTCGAACAAGAGGTCACTGAACGTTATGTCCTCGTAGAAGATCGTGGTGCCCTGCAACAACGACACGTTCTCCGTTTTGTATATCAGGATCTCCGATTGCGGGAACAGTAACTCCACCAGGAAACGGTCCGATGGGAAACCCTCCGCCGCTCGCAAACTCCCTTCTTTTATCTGGAAAAAAAAAACACACACATCTTAATACTTTTAACCATAAAAAAAGAACGATGGTCGATATAGGTTAGTTACGAGGATGTCGCCGCCGCCGACAGGTGGGAAGGAGATGGGCTTGCCGATCTTGTACTTGCCACCTTGGAGGTCGATGACGGCGCCGCCCAGGTCCTTGATTCCAGGCATCAATTCCTGGCTCGGATCGCTCAGTTGCTCGAACGCGTCGTTCAACGCGCTCAGTATCGCGTCGGCGCTGTCGTTGTGACCCGTGGGATCTGCTCCGTACCCGATCGGGTAAAACACTCCGCCAACCTGTAATCAAATGAGCACGTGCGTAAACTTCAGATTCGTCGTTTTTCATTTTCGTATCTATACTCAGCCGAAATTTCAGATTGTACGTACCCTCGGAGGAGGACGGACGGCGGGAGACGGCGGAGGCGCGGCCAGTATCTTGTTGGCTTTGGCCGTAAAATCTCGGAGCTTGGCGGCGTGGTAGTGGTATTTGTAACATGATGTTTGCCGTACAAGCATCATTGTCACGGCGGTCAATACGACCAGGATGAACCGCGCCAACGACGGCGGCGACATCTTTTTGATGAAATAATTATATTGGTGGCGGTCTCGGCTAAATGGGTTTTTTCCCCTTTTTCTTCGACTTTTTCAGAGGGGATTTATCAACCGGTCTCTGAGCTCTTCCTGTATAACAGCTCCAGCGTACAAATTTTTAATGAACCGTAAGAAGTGTTATGGCGTTTCCCCCGGGAAATAACTCACTGAATTTGTATGTTATTAAATAAACTTTCACAACACTCAATAACAAAAATATGTTCTTCTAATAACTTAGACCAACTACGTGTCGCGTCGCGACGGGATGATGTTGTTAATCTATGCAAATTTGGTAAATCTCCTTAAAGTATTGCTTCTTTGTTTATAGTTTGATTAGAAATTACAGAAAATTCACTCAATTAACTACGACTAATAATTTGATAGAATTTTTATAAGTTCGTGTTGCACTGTAAAAAAGAGTAACAGTCTTGAGATTCATAAACTTTTTGGATCTAGTTTGCAGCCCTGTTGTGGGTTCTTAGATGGTTAGCTTTCTGTTCCTTCCTACGAAAATGACTCAAAACATTTGATTGTAGGCGCTAGCGGTCGAGTCTCTTTAGTTCATATCAAAACGGCTTTTTTTATTTATAAAACGGGTGCAGTGCACCGTTACCTCTTATTTATTAATCGAGCGGACAGTAAAACCGCCCACCAAGTCAAAAAGTGCCCATCGGGTTGGTCATACTTGGCCAGCTCAAGGTGGTATCAGACTCTTTCTTTAAAGGAACATTACAATTTACTTGCGCTTTATATATTCGAAATACTAATATGGTGAGCTTTTAGAAACCGGAGTATTTGGTAGGCAAAGACATCAGTAGAAAACTTGAAAAAAAGGCTAGCTAGCTGAGATAAGATTGGATAAATACTCGAGCAATCATCATCCATTCACTTTGAATTTTCTACGTATATGATCAATCATCATCCATTATAGCTCGCCATTAGCATTCTTATAAAAATGCAATTCGACAAATAGAATGCTATCTCATATCATTCTCTTGGATACGCATAAAATTCAGAAGAAAAAAAAAATAACTATCCCCCAATCCATTTTTAGTTGGCGTCAACTTCTATCATTCGTATGCGACGATGATCATTTCCTTTCAGAAAATTTCTGAACCACAGCGCTGAGAGTTTCGGAATCCTGACTGACGGTTTCCTGATATCAACGTAGTACAACCCGAATTTGATCGTGTAGCCTGTAAGCCACTCGAAGTTATCCAGTAACGCCCACACCAAATACCCTTTCACATTGGCTCCCTTCCTGCAACCAAATTTTAAACCACCACATTTTTTGGCGTTCCACGTACATATACTTCTTTCATAAGAAAATATAATACCACAAGAACAGATTTTACTAATGAATATTTACCTCATAGCCTTTAATACTGAAGAAAGATGTGCTTGATAAAAGGAAACTCTCATGTTATCATTTGGTGTAGCTTTCAGTGGCGAATGCGTATAGTTTCCTGGATCTGGAACTCCTGCAAAAAAAAAAAAAATCATTCATTGTAATCAGTGACGAACCCATAATTCAGAGTAAACAAGGTTAGAAATAAGTATTTTACCATTTTGTAAAATCTTTTTAGGAATAAGTATTTACCATTTTCTGTAATGTAGACGAGGGGATTCCCATACTTGTTCTTTATGTAGAGCAAAACCTTAGTGAGCCCTGCAGGATAGATTCTAACCCAAGGTGCGGCAGTCTGCAACAAAGTTAATTACTTTCTATAACTAATTAACAGTTTTTTTGTTTTTGTTTTGGTTCATAATTTAGTACTAGCTACAATGTACAACTTACCTCAGGACCAAGTGGTTCGCCTTTGCTATTGCGATAACCTGCAGACCAAGTCGCGTCGACAATTACTTTAGCTTCGATCAATCAAAACAAAACAAAACAAAAATCGCACGTTTATCATATGACATATCGAATGTTGGCATTTTCAACTTACTGGTGTTTATAAGCGCATCGGTCAAATAACTAGACTGACGAGGGTCAACGTTACTGTTAGGTTGATCCATCGCGTATCTGCCGGTGTAATAGTTCACACCGAGGAAATCAAATGAGCCTTTCAAAAGTTCAGATTCCTCCTTTGTAAATCTCGGCAGCCGATTCCCAAGATTCTGCTTCATGCTCTCTGGATAATCGCCTTTCGTTATTGGATCCATGAACCTGTTTTTTTTCTCCCAAATATAAGATAAATAAACACGAGTCGTCGTCGTTTTTTTCATGGGTTTTTATATACGTCGAGCCTTTTCGAAGCCGTATTTGTTAATTAGGGTTTCCCTTAAAAGAAAGGGAGATCAGCTGTTTGCTTGAAAATAGCTCTTATTATTACCAGCCAAAATCGAAGTCAATGGCTCTTTGTGCTGCTTTTCGGTCTCGCTTGCTGGACGTGTAGGGCTCAGCCCAATCTATGTTCAATGAGATTCCAATAATGCCCTTTTGAGTCGCCTACAAATTTCAGTCATGCGAATTTTTCACGTAAAATACAATGTTCGCTATATATTACGTGACCGTTATAAAATGTTGCAATATAAATTTTACGTAAGTGATGATGGTTTCGGCAAGGTGCCGGAAACCGGAGAAGGAAGAAATTAAGGAACCTGATATTTTTGCCTGTACAATTGAATTACAGCGGCATGGGCGAGAAGCTGGTTGTGACCTGCGATGTAGGGCTCGGTGCCTGAATTTCCGACATCGCACGTCCAGTTCCTTGCATTGCCGCTGCACCGGCCGGGCGCTAGGTCGCCGACGGCGAATCCCCCTCGGCTCAGAGTATGTGGCTCGTTTATGGCGACCCAGTGCTTGATTCTGTCTCCGAATTCTTTGAAGCACAAATCAGCAAAGTCCCGAAAATCATCCCTGTGATTGAATCAAGTTGAAAAGGAGATCAATTGTCAGTAAATCAATTGGTTTTGGATGAAGTAATGATGATTAGCTTATTGGTGGTGTGTTCGTTGGTTTTGGCTTACACAAAGCGATGACTTAAAACGCCGCCGTATTCGTCTTGAAGTGCTTGAGGATAGTCCAAATGGAGGAGAGTCATAAACGGTGTTAACCCTGCAAAATCAACGTGTGCTCCGTAATTAAGTATTAGACACGTGCATGCATGCATGCATGCATGCACGTAGGCTATTATCTTTAGGACGAAAATCATTATCTAGGGAGGTGGGCCGATGACGGGAAACCTAGCTCAGCCCAATGCATATATAGACTGATAAACCCAAGCCAGCCCCAGTGGCCTGGATCACTTTATCTAGGCCCGGCCCGCTTCAGCTGCACCACAGTTATTGACAGTTGTGGTTGTGGAATTTTTTTTTTTTTTTTTTTTTTTTACAAAAGGTAATCATATATTGATATCAAGACAATAGTTACATCCTGGAGCTAAACCAGGCCCGAAAATCAAAATAACGACTCATAGCCGGGTACAAAGAAAGGGCTTTTCTAGCCACCAAATGAGCTACCCTATTGTTCCTCCGACCTACAAATCGAATATCCAAGCCAGGATGGGCGTTAACATAGTACATAACAAAAACGATTTTTTTTTTAAACTTACACTCAACTATTTTCTTATTTTTGTATCATATACTTTTAATTATATGATAAAAATCAATAAGAACCACCATCTAAATACTTTGGAAAAAAAAAACCATCTAAATAACTAGGGGTGGCTATACAATCCAGTCCGGTTAAATTGACCTGAATTGATCCGGTCACAGTCCGGTCTTTTCGGGAATATAAGGACCAAAGATTGGATTGGATACAGTCCGGTCTTGATCCGGTTCAATTTTGACCCGGTCCGATCTCAATTCGGTCTTGATTTTACATTGAGATTGCAGAGATTTTAGTGGAGTTTTGGGTGTTGGGCTCTCTTATCCGGTCTTCATCCGGTTTTGGTCCGATCCCGGACGGTTTTTTACCTCAAATCTAAGCCCGAATATGAGTTTGGATTGTTTGTTATCCGGTTTCAGTCCGGTCTCGGTCCGGGTTATACGGTCCGGTTTCAGGTAAAACTAAAAGGCCCGGACCAAATAGCCAGCCCTGTAAATAACAAAATCAATGAGTTTGATAAAGAAAAAGTTGAGAGTAACCTTGTGATAGGGTCTCATTGATGACACTATTGTAGTAATGGATCCCTTTTTGGTTGATACCTCCACTTAGCTTCCCATCTAACAAAAAAGAATTACAATTATCCATAATTTCCTTACCATTTCAAACGAAAACAACTCCCAAAATTATTTGCATTAAATGAGGATTAAATTAAATCAAATGAAAGCGCCTTACATGGCAGTATTCTGGACCATGAGACTGAAAATCTGTAAGCATTCATCCCCAAGTTTTCCACAAGCGATATATCATCCTACAATACAAACATAAACAATGACGGCGTTAGGGATAACTTGTTATACGATACAAAAATATAATTGTTGTTTCTCGAATATATATGTTTGCCTTATATAAATGGTAAGAATCCGTAGCCACATCCCCGCTGCTTCTATCGAGTATACGCTCTGCCATATTCAACAACATATTTTGAAAGCTCGTATTATAAGCAACCACATATGTTAATTCTCTTAAAATGAAGTATTGTACGCACTCGAAATATAACAGAAATCGCAATCGAATTCGAACAATTCGTTCGGGAGGGAGACAGACCTGGATAGGCATGAGTGAAAGCATCCCATATGCTAGGACGCCTACCATCATCCCATGTACCACCTTCATACTGATCATACAAATTTATCAGCTGATGAATGTACAAATTCGAAACCCTAAGGGAACTAGTCGTACGTCAATGAGATCAAGAGTTCAATTTCCTAAGCCTTTGTTTGTTATACAAGAAATGGAAATTAGTACACTTTCGACCAAAAAGAAAGAAAAAAGGAGACAAAAGGGAAAAAACGATTACCTGATAAGACGAGGAGGTGGCTCCGAAGAGGAAATCCGGAGGAAACTGGGCTCGACTAACATTCTGATCAGGTCGGCCGGTGGGACTCGATTTTCCGGCCATCCCCAATATCTCAGTGACGAGGAAGAGTACCATAATAACAACCACCAAATAGGTGGTATCAGCTGCCACCAACACTCCCATCTTCTTCTTTTCTTTTTTTTCTTGGAGGAAAATTCCAACCAATATCAGGAGCTTTCTTCCCTCTCTTTCTTTTGTTTTATCAGTGTAATTAAGTAAACATCAAACTGATTAATCATCTCCAACCTGGGCGTTTTGTTCATTTTAAAACGTGTAAATACTTAATTAATTAGCTAGCCAGATTTTTACTGTATATTTTCTCTTCTATAAACGTTTAGTAGAACCGTACCTTTTCACCTTTTTCAGCAACGGTTGGATTGGATTTATTCAACTCTACTAAATGCATGAAGTTCCACAGGTTTTGGCATACAAGTGCAGTTTTAATTAAGGTTATACATAGTGTTTCATTATATGTTACCATTAATTAATAAGCGATATCCGAGCCTGTTGTGATCGGGAGGCCTTATGTTCAAATTCTGTGACCTCATTTGTTAAACACATTGTATGCATGATATTCTGATGAATGTGCAAACTTAAAACTATTATCAATTTTGCTTTCATTTGAGGAGACATGTTAATTAACAAGTAGTATATGATCCATAATTAATCACCTTCCAACAACTCTAGTTATTGGGATCAGCTCATTCTTTAACCATTATATACCACATCATTAATCATTACATAGCCACTGCACTACATGCAATGTACAGTCACAACCGATATAATGTACAAAAACTAGGCACATATGGTTGAAATCACCAAGGGAGATTGTTGGGACTTGTTAGGTAATTAATTAACAAAAACTTTAATTTGAACTATAACAAAGAAAATGACAATGTGAAACCTCTAGATTCAAGACTAATGATATTACTACTAGATCAAATCCTTGTTCGTTGACTATTTAACTTAAAACTAAAGAAATAAACCGCACTAGATTACATCTATCGAATTTAATAACTAAATAACTCAAAATCAAAGAACCACTAAAGTGATCAACTCATCCCAAGAAAAAAATTGCATTATTGACGCAAAAGCTCCAAAGCTTTCAACAACGTGGGTCGAAACCTCCTCAAATCAAGCGTCACATTCTGGTTATCGAAGTAAATCGACCTAAACAACTTCACCCCTCGCTTCTCAACCACCCACGGCTTCTCAAAAACGTCATCATCCGCCGGATACTTGTCAATCAAGCTACTCTCTCCCTTCCCTATCTTGTACTCCAAGTAACTCACCCCCAATCCCCCCGCCGGCTCCCCGAACAGCGCCGCCGAGTCGCGGTCCAGCCCCACCGGCACCACCTGGATTACCACCGCCTTCTCCGGCAGGAAAACCATGTTCGTCAGCCCGGCCCCGTGGACCCCCACCATGACGTCACACGAGTTCACCACCCGCGCGTACCTCGACGTGTCCTCGTACGGCTCCGCCACCGTCACCTCGTACCCGAGCTCGTCCCTGCACAGCTTCGCTATCTGGTCGACGTTTGTGAAGGTTCGTGTGTTCATCCGGGAAATGATCAGGAGCCGTGGTTTTCGACGGGCGGCGGGTTGTTGGAGTTTGATTGCGGTTGTTTTCTTGAGGTTGTAGGTGGTTTTCAGGAACTGTTGGAAGTCTCTCATGGTGTAATTAGATTCCGAGGAGTTGATGCTGAGTTCAGTTTTGCCCCGCCCTTTTAAGCCTAGGGTTAGGCTCGAGAAGCAATGCGTTTCTCTCCCGCTTTTTTGTTCGTCGTCGATGTTCACTACGTTGTATCTGCACAAAGTTTTAAAGAGGGAGTGATCAGTGCATGTTTTAATAATTCGAGTTATTGATAGAGATTTATGTATAGTATTTAATATCACTTTCTTGCATGATCTCTCAAATGAAAAGTCAACTCGTGAACTTAAAATTTGTGCATGTCTAGCTACCACACCATATACTTTAAAGAAAACGGTTAATGTTGGAGATCTCGTGATTACTTGAACACATGATGATCTCAATGACAAGTCAGCTCTGATGCCATGTCATAAAACAAAAAACAAAAAATCTAATTATGATCACGAGTTGGTTTTTGACATGCGGTATCACAGCAGATCTGACCGACCAAGTGGTGGTCATGTGTTCGAATCTCCTCCATGATCCATAATGTTAAAAGTTGGCGCTTAAAGTACATGGTATAGTGAGTACTGTGCAAAAAATCCAAGCCCCCATCATGAGTTGGTTTTCGTTTGAAATATAGCGTGTAAGAAAGTGGTAAATATCCATACAGCAGAGATCTTTCCCAACAACAACGCGAGACCAGTTGATATACGACACCAACAAGTTAAAACGAAAAGATGATGAAAATGAAGCGTCGTATAATGGTACCTCGACAGTGCCTGCGTTACAATTTTGTGCACGGAGGCCACCCACGGTTGGTAGTTGGTCGCGAGCAGCTCGACGTCGCGGTTGAAAGGCCTCACGGTGGCGAAAAGCGGGACGATAACGTCGGTGTAGGCGTGGAAGAAGTTGAGGGAGAATCCACCCAAGGAGAACAAAACCCCTGGAGAATCATGAACTCGAGTGCAATTGGGAACGCTCGGGTTGCTTTCCGGCACCAATCGGATCGACCATTGCCTTACGGATGCCATGGCCACCGTGTCGTCGTTTCTCCCGTACGGCTTGACGGTGAACGAGGACAGAGGGTGGAGGTAGCTGGCCGCCATGACCAGTGGATTGGTCTCCGATGGGACGAGGTAGTAGACGATTGGTGAGAAAGGGTCGATCCTGATGTCTCCTTTTAGGTCGCAGAACTCCGATCTTCCGCCCTTGCTGCATGTGATCGGCGTTATGGCGTTGTTCTGACGTTTCTGCACTAGCCCTAAACCTGCCGGAGAAAGAGAGACATGGTGTCATGTTGTGTCGTGGTTCTTAGGTCAAACTAGTTCGCGTTGGTTAAGAGAAAAACTGAAATTTTGGGGGGTCGAAATGTAATGTAGCGTAAAATTTAGTAGGTACTTGGAACATATGAGCTTTTTACACTTACTCTTGTTTGCCAAGTCAGGAACAACTGTAGACGGCTTTAGATCCACTGCAAAAGACAAGGAAAAATCAATCACTATCAACATAACTAAGATGTGAGAGCAAGCATAATCAAATTAAGACATAATATTTTTTTTAGTAATGGAATTCAATTAAGACAGAATATTGGTGGACAAACTTTAGGTTCAAACCTTAATGTTAACAATACATTTTGTATTAAGATCAACTCCGACCTTATAAAACCCCCTCCCCACTTTCGACTATGGAGGAAATGGTAAAACTGGCAAATTAAAAAAAAAAACAAGGTAATGAAGAAGGGGTTCTACCTACCTTGTTGATGGACGTTAAAGATGGTGAAAATTCCAACAAAGATGAAGCAAGCCATGACGGTCGCGGTTCCAAACATGATCTTGTATTCATGTTTGCTGAATCTGCTGATAGCGCTTCTCAAACAGAAACGAGGAAGCAATATTGATTTGTCAATGTTGTTCATCATCGTCATGATTTCGTGACTCTCTCTTTTTTTTTTTATAAGGATTTGTAGTTTAATTGTCCTTTTAAATCTTCAGAATACCTATAGAGGATGCATGAATGGTACATGGAGACTACATACTCAAACTCACTACAACTGGTTCACAGGTGAAATTTTTCAAGGGCAGTAGAAAATTTTGCATAAATAGAGTTTAATTATTTTGAAGAAATGTATATGATCGATTAGAAAGGAAGAACTAACCAAAAAGAAAATCGAAAAAAAAATAAAGAGTGGAAGAAGAAGGCTGGAGCAAAAACCATGATGAATACGATTACTTATTTAACGTATATAATTAAAACGCACTGTAAGAAAATGACGCTAAAATGTGGCCATTAATTAATTAAATATATTCGATCCAATTCCAACGTCTTGCTTTTGAAACTTACAACTTTGTGATAGGTTATGAACATACGGTAGGTCCATGCATGGGCAAACGTTCAAATGAAAGTTATTGCGTTTTTTTTTTGGCAAAGATACTCAACTTTTTAGTTTGGGATGGAATTTCCCCCCCAATATTTGAGTATTTTCAAATCCAACTTAGATTTGAGTGATTTTATTTTTGGCAAAGATACTCAACTTTTTAGTTTGGGTATTGGACTCATACAGAAAGGTGAAAAAACCAAAATTCAAGGTGTAATTGGGTTAAACCAGTTGATGGGATGATCGTTATTGTCTCTTTTTTTTTTTTTTTGCGACATTTGGGTCAATTCTAATGGGTCAACTCAAATTAAAACCAATTTAAACCCAACCCAAACCCAAAATCATTAAGATTACATTTTGGCCATTCGAATTAGATACAACAAAGTCATGACAAATGGATCAAAATATCGAACCGAGTCCATCCCATTACCATTCCCATCTACTCAGATGATGTCTCGGCAATCGGTTAGAGAGATTCCAATTTTTGAAATAGGTTGCAGAAAACAATTTTTTTTCGTAGATAGGTTTGTTTATTTATTTATTGCGTATGCTTGCCTGCAGCTAACAAGGTTGCATTTCTTTAGTTTCGACTAGGGCTGCAAATGAGCCAAGCCGCTCGCGAGCAACTCGGCGTTCGAATCGGAAAAAACTCGTTCGACACTCGACTCGTTATTTAACAAGCCGGCTCGCGAGCCAACTCGTTAGTTAACGAGCCAAGCCTGAGCTAGACCATGCTCAGCTTGATAAGCTCGCGAGCTAGCTTGATTCGGTGGCTTGTCGAGCTAAGCTCGCGAGCTGCCTTGTTTTGAGCTTGTGGAAGGATGAATTACTCTTTTAAACATGAACATTGTCTTATAATACAGATGTGTATGAAATTTAGATGTTATTTCTAGTTTCTAGTGTTCTTTCTATCATTTAAATTCTTATGTTTATACATTTTTCCAGCAAAAATGATTTTAAATCGAGCTCATCTTGAGCCGAGCTTGTACTCAGCTTAACAAGCTATGTTAATGAGCATTTATCGAGCTCTACCGAGTCGAGCTCGAGCTAGATTATTTTTATTCAAGCCGAGCTCGAGCTCGAGCTGGATTATCAAAATTCGAGTTCGAGCCGAGCTCGAGCTGAAAAATTAATAAACGAGCCGAGCTCAAGCTAAGCAAAAACTCGACTCGACTCGGCTCGTTTGCAGCCCTAGTTTCGACTTCTCTAGCAAAAGCGCTGACCTTGAAAATGAGGTGAAGGAACGACGGTAGAAATGGTTTTACGATGCTGATGCGCCAACAACAAGAGTGTCAGGCATATATAGCTGGAATATGGATCAACATAGTTGGATATAAGGTTTGATGATGAGGATTAGGGCTCTGATTATTCTCTCAACATGCTTTCTCTCTTTGTCTGCTGATACATGCACGTACGTACAGATCGTCTATCTACCGCTGGAGTAGCTTCTTGAACCAATAAGCCGACATCTTCAGATACCTTTTGAGCCGACTATCCCTCCGATCGACGAAGACGATCCCGAACCTCGAGTCGTAACCCGTCGCCCATTCGAAGTTGTCGAGCAGCGACCAAATGTAGTATCCGACCACGTTGGCTCCGTCGTCGACGGCCTTCTTCAGCTGCCTCAGGTAACCTTTGTAGTACCTTATCCTTGTCGTGTCGTGCAGTGCCTTCGGAAGCGTCACGTTCGCAGGCTCCTCCATACCTGCATGCATGGCGTACGTACGTACGTGGAAAGCATTATTGTATATTATTAGTAATTGTGTCGATAGTTTGGTAGTGTTTCTTTTTCTTCGTTCCAAACTCTTAGCTTGTCGAAAGGGCTCACCGTTTTCGGACAAGATGACGGTGGGGTTGCCATACTTCTCTTTCACGTACATCAAACATTTGTACAATCCCCATGGCACGTCAATGATCCAAACAGACGATGGGATCTGCAAAAAAAATAACAAAAGCAGAAGATTTGTTTTTCTTGGTGGAAAAATGGAGAAGATATGTATTTTGGATATGCTACGGTTTCATGTAAACTGATGATCTCTAATATCAGGGGCAGAGTCATGATTTGTATAACGCTTTGTAGTCTCGCGTGGGTCTTAATTACCACCTAGATACGAAATCTTACCAATTCGATACGATTTCATACCGTTCATGGTATGATATCATAATACCCTGAGAAGCAGTGGAAGAGCTGTTTGTAGTACGTAAACGGACTATAGACCCCTCAACTTGTTTTTATCTAATGTTATAATGCAGTTTGTTATTTTAATCCCAACAATTAGTTTCTCATCAATTGTAAAAAGAAGAAAGTGACGAGTATTACGAACCATACCGTTTTACCAATTGGGACTCCATTCTTTGCAACTGCATGCAAAATCAGAATAATGAAACCACATTTTAGTAGAAATTGAAGAGTCTAGCTCTAGTGCATCAATTTCATGTTATGCTTTCAATGAAAAATTCCTCCGTTATGCAGCACATATATAAGTTACACTCTTGGTAGGGTTTGCTTACATGAAAATTTAGCTTTCCAGTCGGCCTGGTAGCTAGTCATTTCCTTGGGCGTCTCCTTGGTTTCATTCGATACATAGTAAGCTGTGTACTGGTTGATGCCAATGAAATCGAACGAGCCCTTCACCGTCGTCGCCTCTTCTGCCGTGAACTTGGGCAACCTCTCGCCGGCGATTTCTCTCATCGTTCTCGGATACTCCCCATAGACCAAGGGGTGAAGAAACCTGGAAAGAAAAGATGAGCAAGCATAACGCCATAGCTAACAAAAATCTTAGACTCTGTTTGGTATCATTTTTTCAGTTTTTACCTGTGATTCACAGAGAATGAAAACATGTTTAATTAGTTCTATTTCTATCTAAGTATGCATCTACTTTACGTACATACCATCCAATATGAAAGTCTCGTGCCCTTTGAGCAGCGTAGTTGTCAGCTTTCCCTCTGGTGAGGGGTTCATACCAAAGGAAATCGAGGAGAATTCCTATCCTTCCTTTCTGTTTCTCCTGTAATCACACGTGGTTTCGTCAAGATGACTCTGTATAAAAGCAAGTTAATAAGCTAGGTATAGGAATGAATGGAGGAGCTAGCACAAAGAGACCGACTTGATACTTGGTGCGGTATATCTGGACCGCCGCAGCATGAGCCAAGAGCAAGTTGTGTGAAACAATGTAAGGTTCGGTTGCAGAATCTCCGGCGGAGCAGTTGAAGATGGCCTTAGAGCACCTCCCCGGAGCAAACGAACCGACGTCGTACCCTAGGGAGGCGATGGGTCTAGGCTCGTTGATCGTCGTCCAGTTCTTTACCCTATCTCCAAATGTCATGAAACAAAAATCTGCATATTCTCTGTAATCCTTCCTGCCAAGATGACAAAACGGAGACCAAACTAACTATTACAAAAGTGAAGATGAATGTATGCAATTAGAGGAAACCTAAACCACCAAAGAGATCGATCGATTGATCAAGTACTTAAGTATACTTACACAAATGGTCGGCCCAAGGGACCCTTGTACCTCTTATCCAGTGCTAGGGGATAATCATTGTGATAAATGTTTACCAAAGGAGTGATACCTACGACAAGAATATACATCGATCGATATACCGATACTTATGAGCACAGTAGCAGAGCTGATCAGTTGCGTTCAATCAAACATACGCGAACTAATAACATACCTTTTTCGAGCAAGTAGTCTATCAGTCTGTTGTAGTAAGCAACCCCTTTCTCGTTTACCTTCTCAGTTCCATCTACGTATATTAACAATGTATACCAGTCTCAGCAGATTTACCCAGTGGCTCACAAGATTGAGAAAAAAGATCAAAGAAATTCCTAGATAATTACAAAGATGAACAAGTATATGTGATGTTAATTACTTGGGAAAATTCTTGACCATGAGATTGAAAATCTGTAGGAATCAAAGTTCAACTTTACCATGATATCCACGTCCTCCTGCACCCATGCAAATGAAATGTACCATCATTATTATTATATGTGTATATTATCGTAAGCTACCCGAACAAGCTTTTACTTAGTCATGTTTAAATTATGTGATGAATATCGTGGTAATATTTCAAATTAGTGCACGTAGTTTGGTTAATTTGAGTCATTTGACATTGTTTAGTAAAGATTTTCAGCGAGTTTGATTAAGGTGAATGTTGAATGATTGTAGTATACATGTGATTAGCTAACACGTTTTTGGATAACTTCTAATTGAGTTATTTGAAGGGGGGAAATTGTATGCTTAATTTTATATTACAAAATTTCACCTCGAGTCGGAAAATAAAATAATCCTAAATCCGGAAAAATTACATAGAGAAGTGCATACTTTATAGTGGTGATATTGGTCGTCTGCAACATCTGCGTTAGCCTTGCCAGACACTCTTGCTGCATTGCACAACAACAACAACAAAAAATAGTTCAAAAACATATAAAAAAACATGTTTATGTTTCAAAACATTATTAACCTAGAATCTCAACGAACACCTTTTGATTTTCATTTGAATGACCAAAAGAACCTAAGAAAAAATAGCTCGAGAGGAATTCATCAAAACGCTTAAATTTTTTTTGGCGTAAATAATAAATAAGAGTCATGTTAATCGGTGCATACAAGGTTTGGAGTGAATAAATTCGTCCCAAATGCTTGGCCCCCGACCGTCTCCATCGGCCATGCCCTCCACTTGATACGCCGACGTGGCAGCTCCGAACACGAAACCCTTTGGGAAGCTCTCCCTGCTCAACCCTCCGGTGTCCACATCCGCCGCAGCCGCCGCATCCTCAAGTATCAGTAAGAGGAGGAGGCAACCGGTGGCGAGAAATGGAGGTGGCGGTGGAGACGCTCCGCCGCGTCGGGTCCTCATTCTTCTTCTGCCTCTGAAACTCTCACCCTAATCTCATAACAGAGGTTGGACAGCAGAGAGAAAAATAATGGAGAGAGATATAATATAGTACATAGATAACTTGACTGAGGGGTTAACGTAAAGTTGCCGTTTTTTTTTTTTCTTCCCATCATTAATTTCATTTCCTTGAAACCTATTTGTAATTAAAATGAGTGTCTTAGTAACTTGCGTGCTATCTGGATCAAGTGATTATTTGTTGATGGGAAACCGATCTAATTTAAAAATGTTGATGTTTATACTCGTGGATGACATTATCATATATATATATATATAAAAGCTAGGTACACTTTTTACCAACTTACTATTTTAATTTTTTCTTTTAGTGAGGATGAAGAAACTTGCCATCTTATCTCATCCCTCACACAAACTCACATATATTAAAAGAAAAAAACTTTATTATTTGGTCAAAAAAATGGTATGTGTAAGTAGGAGGAGATTGCTTTGTCTAACCGAATCGAAACGGAAATAACACCGAATAAAATAATTTCCTTAAAAAATGAACTGTTAAGAGGGTTAAACGATTCAATTTGATTTCAAGAAAGTGAAACTCGAGGCTTAAGCGATTCGATTTGATTTCAAGAAAATGAAACCCGAGGCTTAATTGAATATTGAGTGTTTTATTAAAAAGAAAAAATATTGCCATCTTACCCTATTCCTCACACACTCTCGAATATATTAAAAGAAAAAAATATTTATTATTTGATCAGAGATATTGTATGTATAAGTAGGAGGAGATTGCTCTGTTTAACCGAATCGAACCGGAAATAAAATCAAATAACATAATTTCTTAAAAAATGAGCTGTTAAGAAGGTTAAACGGTTCAATTTGATTTCAACAAAATGAAACCAAGACTTAAGCGGTTCAATTTGATTTCAAGAAAATGAAACCCGAGGCTTAGTTGAATATCGAGTGTGTTGTGTATTGGTTGTGATTTTTTTTCCTTTTTATCGGTTTTGACCAAACAAAAAATGAAAAGTAAAAAAAGTTTGGGATCGAAATCAAAAAATTGAATCCAAACTGACAGTCCTATGTATGGCACACTTTGCCATCTTTCATTTCGATCTTCATATTATCCAACATTAATTATTTGATTTTTTCATTGTTGCTATGAGAGAAGTATACATTGATGATGAATTCATTTCTTTTTATTACACATTAGGTCAGGTGTACTTTCAGGAAAGCTCTTTGTGTGGTTGGGTTTAGCCATTGAAAATCACTAATAGGATACCACAGACAGATAAGCGATTCAAGTTCTCTAAGTTTGATAAAATTGTAGTTTAAAGTTACATGAAAAGAATTAACTGAATTTTAGTGAGTATGAAAGGGTTTGTCTTCTTACCTCATCCCTAACATACATAAATATATTAAAAGAAAAAGGTTTTATTATTTGATGAAAGCTATTATATGTATGAATGGGGTGGGAGATTGCTTTGTATAATCAAATCGTATCGAAAATAAAAACCAAAAAATTTGAAACAAGTAGTTTCCTTAAAAATGAACTATTAAGAGGCTTAAACGGTTCGATTTGATTTCAAGAAAATGAAACACGAATGAATTTAATAATGAGGAAAATTCATCTGCTAATATATGTTGCTCACTATGCACATCTTACTTTCTTTTTCCCATTTACAACGTGGTCTTATTGGTGGTTGTTGGTCATGGAACATAGTGCTTTATATTTCTATGGATTTGGACAATTTGTTCCACTGTTGAATTGTTAAGTTTTGCTACATATATAGGCGATTGCTACAATTCTATCATTTTGCTTCCATTTTTACTTATTTGATCTGATTTGTGTATCCGACTAGTTAACTAGTTGATAGAACTTCGATCCAACAATTTATATTATGAATGTTCTTTATTTTTTTGCTTAATAAATTGGACTTGCAAGAGACAACGATTAGTGGTGTCTTAAGTTGTATGGACAATGAGAAACCAAATAATTAATTTTTTTTTGTCAGTGAATTAGAGACGAGGTGTTGTACATGTTAGGCTTATGAATAATAATCATATATATGTGTTCACTTTTAGTGTTGAATTCGTTTATCATTGCATGTTTCATAATCCAAATCAAGGATATGCTCGATTGATAAGCTTCCAGTTACACCAAACACCAAAGATTACCTAAAACAAATTTGCCACTATTATATTCCTTCATTTTATTGTTCTCGATTAACTATTAATCGTAAAATTTGAATCCGACTTCAATTAACTTGCATAACCATAACCAAATTTTATGCCATATACCCAAATACTTCATGCAGCGTAGCCGCGAGTATTGATACTAGTTAGAAGAAAAAATCAGGTTCATTATGGTGAAGCTTCTGTCCTATCAATCTGAAAAGCATGTCCACGTGTTCGTGCGTATATATGCCTGCATGCATTTTTGTTTGTGTTCCTAAATCTTTGAGTGGATTGTGGGTAAAATATCTCAGATACCACTTACGTTTGAGAATTAGGGTAGACATACCACTTAAGTTAGAATAGGGCGTCGGATACCATTAATGTCATCAAAATGTGCATGAGTCTACTTTTCCATCCAACCCAAACTTTTAAATACATTTGATACCCAAAACTTTTAAAAACATCCAAAACTATATTTCAAAATTTAGTAGAATATAACCACACAAAACGAAACTTATTACTAAAATGACTAATCAAAATTTGTCAATAAAATAGATATATTAGTAAAATTAATAAAAGAATATCAAGAAGAATAATAAATATACTAGAATATAATAATAAATATTAGAATATCTATTTAAACCCTCTAATTCAATCGGAAGCACCATTATAAATAGTAAAAATAGAATCTAATTGATCATCAATACATCAAAATCAAAGAAGAATAAATGGAGCACAATAAATAAAAAATAAAAATATTATAATAATTGAAAAAATTAGAACGAAAAAGAGATGGAAACCAAATAATAAATAAAATATAAAAGCTACTACATTCGGTAAAAAATATAGAAAAGAAAATATGACTATAAAAGCTACAACATTGTTATGTTACAACATTCATGGAATAATTCAATTATTAGAACACATAATGATAATTGAAAATAAGTATAATGATAATTGATTTACTTTTTTATTCAAAAATTGATTTGGTATCAAGTATTTAAAAGAGGATTCTAACTAAACAATAAAAAATGATGTTTTTCATAAGTCCAAATGATTTTCTTATAATAGAAAAGTAGAAGGACCAATTATAAAATTAAGAAAACGGAATATTCCAAGAATATTCTGTCAACTTTAACGGAATGCACTTAACAGTAAACTTAGGTGGTACCGGGTGCACATATAATAGAGTTTAGTGGTATCTGGCGCCCTATTCAAATTTAAGTTGTATGTCTACCCCAATTCTCAAACTTAAGTGGCACTCGAGGTATTTTACCCATGGATTGTGCATAATTTCTTAGTCATACTAGTGTGTTTAGGATGATTTCTCAACAAATGTCTTGTTTTACTAACGTCGTGGATCAATACCTAGCAAGGACTCTATCTATTTTATTTAGTTATTCAGTTAAACCAATGCCAATGATTCGTTATTGGAGCAAATAGCAACAACCACCATTTCATCCGATATACGTCTTTTTATTTTCCAATGGATTTCCAGCTTTCATTAATGGAAATTTTTTGATGTAGTGGGTAATAGCTCTGGTTGCTCGCTGTTCAAGAATTATTGTTTGTTTCTCTTTGTCTATGTAGAATTTCTTCACGATGTAGATATATCAGGTCGATTTTTTTTATATATGTTTGCTTGATTAAACGAGCTAAGTTGGTAGAAAAATCAGAATACATGTTTCCGATTGGTTGTTAGAATTCGTGGATTCTTATCCATTCTATATGATAATTTGGTCATCTGACCAAATCAACTATTCCTAACAAAATTTTGGCCAAGAAGGATTGCATTAGATGAATGAGTTTCTACTTTCTAGTTTCTACTTTCTAGGGTGCTATTTGAAACAAAAAGACAAATTTTAGGACGCACAAATTTAATGACCAAATTGTAATTTATCTATCTTCATCCTCCGCAGTCGTAGTGGTGGCTGGTCAGTGGTCACTTATAACGATGACGGTGACGTTATCTCCTGACTCCTGAGAAGTGAGAACAACATTTACTCTCTCCCCGCCCACTGCTCCGGCGAGACAGGTAGCTGCTAACCCAACTCGAGAGTTTTCAGGTTCCCTTTCGCGGTTTCCAGTTTGATACTTTCTTCACCCCCCCATACCTAAATTCTCACTCGGTCGGCCATTGCGATCTTCAATTGCTTCCCCGGCCTCTAACAATTCCGCCCATTCGTTTCGCCCTTCAGAACCCACAATCGCACACAGAGCTCACTCGCATCAATCTGCTCTGGCGGAACGGCAGCTGCTAGGTACAGCCCATTCGAATCTTTGCTTACTTATCCATAAAAGTTTGAATCTTTGCTCTTGGTTTTCTGCTCCTTTCTCATGCTGCTGTCTCTTTTTCTGTTTAATTGTTGGGAGATTTGCTGATGGATATTAGAAATAATTGGTGTGGTACTGTCTGCTTTTCTTTGCCCTCGAGGAAGCACTAGTTGATGCCAGACTAGGCAGTTTGGGGAATTGATCGTCTCATAAGCAACTTGCACTAATGGTTGTATTGGGGAAAGCTCAAGAAACCGAGTTTTGATTAGATTCCAACTAGGTTCAATGATTTGAAAATGTGATTGTTCTTCTGTTATCTTTCCTTCAATGGATTAGTTCAAGAAGCGTTTGATTGCTTCTTATAGGTTATCAACACCCAGAAGAGGAAGGATCTGATGTCATGTAGATGAAAAGGTGGAGTAAGTTGGTTTCATGAGCAATCAATCTGGGGAATGCTATCATTGTGTTCATCAGACGATGGAACAGCAGCATTGCTTTGTGGATGGGAAGAGTGGATGAAGAACTAAGGAACAGCAGAGCAGTGGAAACACGAGACAGAGGAATTTGGAAATGGGCACAATGAACAAGCTAAGATGGGCGATGGACGGAGGGTTTTGGGACCTGGACATCTCAACTCCAGTGACCCTAGAAGGAGAGGCCAGGGCAGTACCTGGACATCCTCTCCCTCTTGGGGTTTCCCGAGGGACGAAGCTGTCCAGGCCTAAGCAGACTGATTTCTTCCAGCGGTTCATGTTTGCTCCTTTCCTGCCTTCCTATTCCTACTCTCCAGCCTCCAGAAGTCACTCATTTAATCTCCAACGTTGTCTAGCTATCCCTTTATCTCAGGACTGGTATTATCTTTCGAATCATCTCAGTTCTCTTGCTTCTCTAACGCCTTTACCCAGCTATTTATCGATTTCTTTTTATAGAACATGGATCACCTCAGATTTTACAATGGAGCTATATCTTTTGTCTTGTTTATTTGTGTTCACAGGTTTTCCATGTTGCAAGGCCAATTCAATCTTCACAAGTTTGTGTCCTCCTTTAGAAAGCGCAGAACCTTGCTTCAATCTTCTGATTCCCAGTCTTCATCCCTCATCCCTGCCATTTGTGCATGTCTCCGTGACAAATCCTTATACGCACTTGGCATCTATTCCGAGCTTTCACTAACCCCTCAAGACACTCTTGTTCTCAGCTCTGATGCAAATGGCAATGATGATACGCCACCTCGTCGCAAGGCAGTTCTCCATCATGAGGTTAGCTAAGATACCATTTCTGATTTCTCTAAACCTGTTTTTATCCTTGGGCCTTGGCTGTTTTTTTTCCCCCCAAGGTGAAGCTTTGGGTTTGCTTTTTTGAACTCTTCTGGTTTTTGCCAGTTCCCCGATCACAATCTCACTTTGGAGGCAGCTTCCCCTTCCCTCTTCCTGGACAAGTCTGGAAACTATTGGGATGTACCTTTGTCCCTTGCCCTTGATCTTGCATCCATTCCTTCCAGCTCGGGTGCCAGTTACCATTTCTGTATGCGTCATATTGCTGGATTGCCAAAGCTGTTTGAAGGTGGCGACGAAAACCATGGAAAGACGATTCCTGCTACCCTGCTACCTGGGATTACTCTCAGACATGCCATCTCTTTCAAGAAAAATTTAGAAATTTGGAGGAGCGAAGCTAAGAAGTTGAAGATGGTGCAACCATTTGACATCTTCCTATCTACTCCTCATGTTTCGGCATCTGGTATCATTGGTATAGCTCAAGTTCTTCACCCTTTCTCTTCACTTTGATTTTCGTTAAGTGGCTGGCCAATAATTGTGAACTTGGAAATCATGCACCTTTGATTTTTTTTTTTTTGTGAAAAAAGAAAAGGCATAATTAGTTTAGAAACCAGCCTAATATTCAAGTCTTGCAGGTGCTGTGATGACGGCCTCTCATGGAGACAACTCGGTTGCATCGGAAGTGGATGATTCGCAGAGCACTGCAGCAGGATTCTCCTATCGATCTCATGCCCTTAAATCAGCAGTTCACGCTGACTTATTTTCATCTGTCTCTTTCATGGCCCAGCATGGGAGTTTCCAGAAGTGGTTCCTAGATCTCACACGGTTCCATGTCCGCCTCAATTTTCCGTCTGGCCGCACATTTCTTTCTGGTGCCACTCAATTAGCACATGATTTTGTCAACTCTCAACAACCTACTAATAAAGCACTCGAAGCCATTTGCCCAAGTGCAACTGTTTCTCTTCAACAGCAGGTAACACCGTAACAGAATCTTAAAAACACGGTCACGGTTTCCTCTTGTTTCACTCGTCCTTTGATGATTTACTGCATCAAGGGCTGGCGTACTAGTTAACCGATCGTTTTGATTGCAGATTGTCGGGCCGTTTAGTTTCAGAGTGGACTCTGGGGTTATTGTCGGGTTGAACAAGCAGACGAATTGGTATGCACATGCACATGATCCAGTATTTGCGATCGAGTATGCGCTACAAGTCCTTGGTTCAGCTAAGGCAATTGCGTGGTATTCGCCCAAGCACCGAGAGTTCATGGTGGAGCTTCGGTTTTTTGAGACATAAAGCAAACCTGCTGCTACAGAGATTCCATTTTTGCTTGTGCCATTAGTTTGGATTGAATTGCACAGACAGTTGCAGAGATAGCAATTTGCAGGCTGCTCAGGAAGTTAGTATTCAGTTCAGGCAGCAGAATGATTCATTTGAATATTCATTATCTTCTTGATTCCTCACTTTCAACTTTCAACCTACGACGATATTATTCCCACTGGATTCATTATGGTTATTGGTAGATATGTTAAAATGGAGATTAACAAAGATGTGATGAACACGGAAACGCATCCCAAGCTACTTCCTCTATGTTGACAGTTGATCTGCAGTTCCTGTTCCTCGAGAATGTGCAGGATTCCCTCCCCCAATCAGTCCAGTTTTACCGGATAAACTCGTCGTCGAGAGGTTGATTGATGCGCTGGATCTAAAGGATTGAGATCATATTGTAAAAATCTAAGAAGAAGTTTGAAACTATACATAAAAAATTGATCTATTGGGGTTGAATATAGAACTTTTAAAAAGTGAAAAATATACTATTTTTCACATCAAACATATCCGCGTACTATAAATTTATCTCCATTTTGTGGCTTATCTTCTCCGTCTGCAACTCCCAATAATTAATAGACACAAACTCATCATCCATCTCCGCCGCTTTCTCTTCCTTCTACCCAACAATAAATAAACGTAGAAATTTGTCTGTCACGAAACAACCTTGAAGACCGACTTTTGAATTTCAACCACTCTCTGAAAGTCGACAATTATTAATCAATTTGACTCAACCATAAAAATTGGAACCTAATATTTTTAGAATATATGGATTTCAAATTATCAAAGGTTGTCAACCCGGTTTAGCCCGTTGGTCCGATTGATTAAGTGGGTTGAGGGTTAATGGTCCAATCGTTTTAGTCCGCTTTTGCCCAGATATATGAAAAAAGTCATTATATTGTTCATATATTTATAAATTATATAAAATCTAATCTACATATGGATAATATTCTTCCTCGTACGGACTATGTACATTTGTTTCTCTACCTGCTACTTTCCGCTATCCTCCTTCGAGCTCCTAAAAATAATTCCAACAATATGTATTCTTCACGTGATGAAGGTCACACTCCTATGGTGGCAGTGTGTGTGTCAGATGTGGAATTAATGCGGAACGGCCAAGTGGGAATTGAGCATGGGGGTGTTTGCGAGGGAAGGCAATATGTGATGGAAGGCGAGTTCTGCCAGTATAGTCTCTTTGTCTACAGAATTATCTCAACGGATTTAGCTTACCAATTCGCGGAGCGGGAGCTAGAATGGAAGCGTAAGAACGTATATTATTCGAGAATTATAATTTGAGTGTACCAAAAGACTGTGAATATTATATTATATTAATTAATATATCATTTTACTTACTAACATGTCTTAGTCAAAATATTACAATAATGCAGCAGAAAAAATAAAATAAAATTATTTTAGTAGAATGATAGCTTTAAATAATCTAATTAGACCCGAAAAAGGAATAGATTTCAAAAGTTGAATAGAAACCCATCAAAGTTTATGATACTGTTTTTAGTTTTTATTGAAGTTTTTAGTTTTATTTTATTTAAAAGGAAAAGATAAATGAATGCATCGTTTATCCACCCCCATGCACTCAATTAGTTGTTAATAAAAGAGTCAATATCTTCTTCTTCCACTTCGATTCTTTGTTTTCTAAGTCAACTCTAGAGATCTCCTGTAGAGGTACCAAATTGGCAAATTATATATCACCGGTCATCTAACTAACCTCCTATACTTTTATTTAGCCCAAGCCCGTGATGTGATGATCTATTTGCCAGTCCCCATTCAAGAACTGGTAGGGGTGTTCAAATGGTTACCATGGTTATAACCAAATCAAATAAGGTTAAATTTCATTAACCATGGAATACAATATCATAACCAAACCGTCCAAACTAATACAACAACCAAATTAACCAAACTAAAGTTTAATCGGTTTGGTTAATTGGTTAACCAGATTAACCAATATAAAATCACATTATCATTGACGATGAAAATTTTCCGGTTAATGCAACAACTCGCAATTTATATAATGAATAAAACATAACAATCAACACTTAGTTATAGTTGATCCTTAACAAAAATACATGCAACTAAGACAATTGTCTTACGATTAGTATAGAAGTATTCACCTAACAAAAATTTATGACAATGGTATGGGTTAATGAATTGTTGTGTTTGTGTAAATTGACTTAGTCTCTTAGCAATTATCATAGGCTAGAAATGACCTTCCTTTCAAGTTTTCATCCATCATAATGTATGAAATTTATCTAAATTAGGCGTCCATATGTTGTGGTCTACACTTTACATATACAAATATACACTATATGAGCAATATTGAGCTTTAAATTTTATGAGTCTAAAAGGGATGAACGTTAACTCTTGAGTGGTTATGCAAAGTATTAAGTATGTGTATATAATATATGTTAGATATATGACTAATTACTTAACTGGTTAATTTGGTTTGACTGGTTAGGAGTGTCTGAAACCAAACCACCTAAACCAAACAAGCTAAAAACTTTAACCAAACCAAACCAATTATCCAAATTAACCAAACCAAATTATCCAAATAGTACCGGTTAAAACGGTTACCACGGTAACCAAACCGTTTGAACGCCCCTAAGAACTAGTGGTGAATCTTTGGAAGCAGGAAGATTTTTCGCTCATATAAATCTTCAACAACTTTCTAAATCTCGTGTCGCATGTATCCTTTTCATCTTTGCTCTCCAGATCTCTAACACCACCACAAGTATTCCTTTCTCCCACGAAGAAGTGGGTCATCGTCTTCGAGGCAAAGCTGTTGATTTGGCTATAACTAGTTTCATTTTACTATAGGAGAAAAATCACTCAAATAAGTGATATATGGAATAACATTTGTAAAGTTTGATTTTCGATGCTCTGATTTTTAGTTTGAGCTACAATTTTTGGGTTTTGAAAGTCGGTAGTTTTTGTAAAAGAATTGTGAAGCAAAAATATTGTTCCAACTTTCGCTCTCGTTGTAGAAAATTTGAAATGAGACAACAATTTTCTCATTTCAGTATTACATATTGTGTAGAGTGTAGATAAAGACATGTACTTTCACTATAAATTCATTAACACAATTAAAAAAGGTTAAATGAGCTAATTTATTAAATAGTAGTGATTTTTAGATCCAATCATGTCAGAATAGGAAGAGGGTTACAATTTGATGGTTAGCCAAACTAAAATGTTCAAATAACCAATCCGATATAATTTACACAAAGATATGAATACGATTGTTTCATAGTAGGTCTAAAACTTAATACTAATTTAAGAATTATACATCACTTCTACATATTCAATACTTCAATTCGATATGGAATATTCGAACCAATGATATTTGAGCCACGATTTTAAAGTTATCCTCTATTTATAAGATATATAGGAATTTAATTAAGTATTAAACAATAATTACAACGAAGAATTTGACATCTATTAGTCACACAAAGTTTCAACTCAAATGCATGTTCTTCTAATAATTTTTTGCTTCTTATATGTATGAGATGAGGTCGACTAGGTCTATGAATGTGCAGTTGGAGAAAAATGAAATTTACTATTGCGGGATTATGATGGCTTTTGAGATGGTTTGGTCTTTACAGGCTCTCGAATCTAAAGCAAGAAGAAGCGACGATGAGATAGTCGAACATGGTCTGTGATGTTCAATGTAGTAGTGTTTTGTGTTGAGTAAAAGGATGATATGACAGCGTAGTTACGTATACAAATTGTTGTAAACAACATCGTTTTGAAGTGGCCCGGTGCTCAAATTAGTTAACTTGCTTGTGTTTTTTTTTTATTTAAAATGATACAATTAATGTATGTAATTTGATTAGTTAAGATGCTTATCATTGTTGAAGATGATCATTGATCAACTCCTAATATGTCCTCTGTTTTTCACTCTTGTTGCAGTAGAATTTGAATGGGGTGGAAACAAGCTATATATGCCATCTATATTCTTGTAGATTATCTTGATTTAACAAATCCTGGGATTCGATAAACCAACCATGGCAGTATGGGCAATTGGCACACTTCATCTCTTCGTGGCAGTCTCTGTGGCTGCCACATCTGAAATCTCATGCAGAAGAAGCACAAGAAAACGAGCAACCAGCAGCAGCTTGATTTAGCTGACGTCGCCAAACTGACCGGTTCTCTCTCTCTCTTTCTCTCTACTCGTGATCCATATCTTTTACCGGTTACCAGACGATTGATGTTTTCCGTCCAGAAACCCGCCGGGCAACCTCACCGCTCCTTACTTCTTCCCACGTCTCTCTCAACTGACCGGAATTAAATTAATCCTGCTCGAACTTTTACTCGGTGAGTCAATTCCAAAACTTGGGTTCCAGCTCCCACAGTAATAAGCCAGTTTCCTCTGTTTTCTTACTTTCCAAACTCTGTGCTTAACCCTGCCTGCAGCTAAACAGTTAGTGAATCAATCAATTACAGTCATGGCGGATGTGGCGGCACTCTTCACCAGCATGGTCTCCACTACCATGACAATGGCGATCACCAAGCCTTTCTCAATGGGCCTCTCGTTGTTCGTGTTCGCCTTCCGAGCCGCGTTCCTGGTCATCAACACATGGGCAGAGCTTACAGCGGCTTCAATCAGCTTGCATCTTCGATTGTTCAGGAGCGCCGTCATTTGCATCATCGCACTTGCCTCTCTTCCCTTTCGGGTTTTGACCGCCTTGGGCAGGCAGAGAATGGTTGGTAATTTGACTAATTTCTCGTTCTGTTTACTGATGAATGTGCTATGGTAATGGAACTCCAATGTTATATACTCTGTTCTGATAATTCAATATTTAATTTACAGTTGGAGGAGCAGCTGGCTGTTGTGCAGGCAGAGTTGGAGAATGTCAGCTGGGAGAGGAAGGTACTGGAAGATCACCTCCGGGCTGCGGTTAAGGAATGCAAGAACTTGGATTCGTTGTTGGCAGAAGCTGAAGATGAAAGCGACAAGTTGATAACCAAACTTGAACTGATGGAGAGGGAGGTAATTAATTGGATTTTTGTACTACTACTACTTACTTGTGATGATGAATTTGCCTAGTCAATTGTATCGGTGGTTGGACAATTGGAGTTGCCAAGATCGATGAATTAGCTTCTTTTGTGTGTGAATCTCTTATCAGTTGCATACTCTGAAGGTCGAGAATCATCGGTTAAAGACGATCCAGCGCGAGCAGCTAGGAACCACCTTGGGAGGCAATGCAGGGGAGGAGGATCATGAGAGAAAGCACATTGCTGATGAGAATGCTGCTGACATTTCTGAACAAGCAGGGGATTCGGACGCGAGTGATGATGATGAGGTAGTGTTGATGGAGCAGAGAGACATGGCAGTGTCGCAGAGCGTGCTAAGCGCGGTGCTGTCTCTAACCGTTGGGATGATCGCGTGGGAAGGGAAGGACACGGTGATGCCGCTGGTGGTGGCTCTCTACACCGTCGTTGGGATGTCGATGAGGAACGTGTTGAAGTTCTTCTCGACGATCAGGAACAAGCCGGCTTACGATGCTGTTGCTCTCCTGAGCTTCAACTGCTTCATCCTCGGAACCCTTACTTATCCTACCTTGCCTAAGGTGGTTCGGATTCTCGGATCGTTGGCATCGACTCATCTCAACCGCTTCTTAAGAAGCTAGCTAAAGCAATCCAAGATTGTGTGTGTGTGTTCATCTTTAACCAAGCATTAACACTTTCTCTGTGACTGTACATTGTGGTTATGTCAAGAACTATGTCAATATATTGCTTCCAGTTGAACTCCTGAGTCCTGATAGTGATCATGTACTAGTCAGATTGTACATTGTTGACCGTCTTATTGTGAATCGTCACACTTTTACAAGGTCCAGGAACGAATTCACCGTCGAATGGCTGACTGGCGATTGATCGACGATTACTAGCGATTTTCGATACAGTGAAAATGATTGTTCATATGGTCGGGACTTTTTATTGTGTACGGTAGTGATTCACTTCTCGTCCCGAGTAATCAATCGTCCAACAGACTGAAGAAAAAGCCCAATCATGTGGAAAATCATTTCTTATCACTTCCAATCCACAGTTATGCGCCCATGGGCCATGGACCTGAAATTGGGGGCCAGCAATCCGCAGACGAAAAAGAAAGCTCTTCTTCTTGTTTCCGGAACCAAAAAATAATGGCAGAAAATGGCCAAAAAGGAAGAACAAAAAGGGGGAAATTGCAGGGAGCGAAGCTGAAGCAGAAGATGGACACGAGGAGCGCAAGCGAGAAACAACAGCGATCCCAACGCCAACCGTAAAGAAAATCATCCTGCGGATTTCAGAACCAATTTCTGGAGAGAGAGAGAGAGAGAGAGAGAGAGAGAACTAAACCGTAGCGTGTGGTAGATAGAGCCGAAGGTGCTCGGGCAGGGGATGATTACGATGAAATTGCCGCCCTTCTTCGCCATCTTACTGTGTACATCGCCGTTTTGGGGCAATGCGCCGGTGACGGAGGCGATATGGTTGAATCTCCCGCCGTCGGGGACGAAATGCGTCTCCGAGGAACTCCACAACAACGTCGTCGTTCTCGCCGACTACGTCGTCGTTTCCGATGATCATTCTAGCGCCCCCACCATCTCCGTCAAGGTCTCACGATTCTCGATTCCCTTTTTGCCTAAGCCTGATTCATTTCCATTTGTCTTGCTCCCTGCATGGGTCCGGTGTTTGAACCGTACCGGATTTCCGTTATTTCCTGTTCTGGGCTAGAGAACTTTCTGCAATTGCGCGAAAAAAGTGAATATCTTTTTGCTGGAGGAGGGAAATGGAGGTTGGTCAGTGCATGAACAACAATGTTCATCAAATGTATGTCAGGGGGTCCAAATGGCAAGAGATTTGACAGTGATGCAGAGCTTTGGGATTAGGGGTTTTCTTGTTTTGAAAGGGATGAGCAATCATCATTTGCGGTTCTATGATTATTGGCTCGTTTCTTCATGTTACAAGTGATCTGTTTCCGTAAACTGGTGCATGATTTGGTCACTTGAGGTCACTCCTTTTTGAAGGGAGTACTCCATCTCTTTCCGAAGAAAGGAAATATATTTAAGATAATTCGTTTTTAATGCTGCAACCATGAAGTTCTGGTGTGTGTCTAACAAATGTGAGGGTTAATCTAAACATAGAAAGCTTCACCATTATTGGTTTTTCTCGGTTTCTTTGGATTTTGCAGTGTGTTGTTGCAATCACTCTTGCATTTGCAGTTTGCAGATTACGTCATCTGGGTTAATGTAATAGATTGCAGACAGATGAGTATAGTCTTCATACTAATTACTTTCCTTATATGTGCGAAACCACTATATGTTGTGCTGGTCATTGTGATCACTCTTCTCTAGTAAAGAATTGATCTCTCTCTAAAGAACTATCTTCCTCAACCTAAAGTGGTGAGAATTGGTCATATGAGCTGTGAAAGATCTAGTAATATATCTGATTGTCGGTTGATGTATATACTTGTGCATTTATGGATGCAATTTTGTGCATGTGATACCCTCTGTATTAAGTAGTGCAGAAAATTAGTTGTACAACATGTAGCAAGTGGCTTCTCTATGTTGTAATTGCTTCCTGATTGCTTTAGTCAACAAACTTATTCGACCGAGTTGTTCTCACATCAGTGTGCGATTGTGTGCCTCTTTAGGTGTCATCTCCATATGGGAACAACCTCCATCACAAGGAGAATGCTACCCATGGTCAATTTGCATTTACGACTCAGGAGGCTGGCAATTATCTTGCATGTTTCTGGGCAGATGCGCATAGTCCAAGTAAGGCAGATGTGAGTGTTAACCTTGACTGGAAAACAGGAATTGCAGCAAAGGATTGGGAAACAGTTGCCAGAAAGGAGAAAATTGAGGTAAAATGTTAAAACCATTTGCAGTATGGCTTTTAATCCGAATAGAATTTATTACTTCTCAGTGCTTAGCTAGGAAGTTACTTCTCAGGGTGTCGAACTGGAGTTGAAGAAACTCGAAGGAGCAGTGGAAGCTATCCATGAGAACTTACTTTATCTCAAGAGCAGGTACAAAACTTGCACCACCTCTTCTATGGACCTTTCGTAATTACAATTCGGCTATTAAACTTCTAATAAACTCCCTTACTTGCCTTGCAATGCAGGGAATCGGAGATGAGGATTGTGAGTGAGAAAACGAACTCTAGAGTAGCTTGGTTCAGTATTATGTCATTGGGTGTCTGCATCAGTGTTTCGGTTCTCCAACTTTGGCACCTGAAGCGATTCTTCCAGAAAAAGAAGCTCATCTAAACCTCTTTTACAGGTTAGAGTGCCTAAGCTTGTTGGGTAAAAGGCGGAAAAGAAAGTTTTGAAAGGCTTCCAAAGTCTATTTTCCCCAAATGTTGCCAAACAAATTTTGCAAAGTTCATCGTAGCTAGAGACTTGTTTCCGCTTGATTGAGCTAACCTTAACTAATCCCTTATCGATACACAAATCTATGCACATCAATTATTACTCACCAGGGTTTGGTTATTTGCGGGTGGATCGATATTGTATCGTGAATTAACCACCCATGTATCATCCCAACATAAGAGTGGTATCAATCAACATGGTTTTTCCATTGAGCTAATTTTGGATTTTAATGAAAATGAAAACCCTCCTCAAATGCAATTTTGGAACTCTCTTCGCTAGATAGTAGAACACATCCCATCTTCTTTACTCGTGAAATGTACACCATCATGTGGCAGAAGGATACACCCTAGTTTTTGCACCACACTTTGAGAAACCAAGTTTTTACACTGTCATGTAAAACTTGAACATCTTTTGTGTCATATACCAGAGACAGCGAGTATTTAACATGTGCTTTTGCAAAATTCACACATCTGAGATAAGGAAATCTGCAATTCGGAAGGGGGGTTTACCTAGCCATCACTGATGAGAGGTATGCTTGATAGCCAGATCATCATTTTCTCTGACGACTGCTAAATGAGATTATGTATTCAGCACGAGCATCATACATTCTTTAATCTCTTTTATAGATGTCAACGGTTCGTGGAAGGATAGTGCGTATCCGTTACCATGCTCTAACTATTACATAATGTATTTATATCCGTACATTGATACACGTACAATATTGGGGTAGTAAGTTAGAATCATACTCATACACATAATAGTTTTTCTTTATTGTTTCATCTATTATGCTACTATATACAATTATATCGCATTATACAAGTGAAAACGTACAATTTTATAAGCCATCAATCTTAAGAGAAATCCATTATAAAAAATCAATCTTAAAGAGAAATAATAAAAAGAGTAACGGCTCATTGAAATTTTGAAATGTTATATATATGTATTACAAATGCTAAATAAATTAAGGGATAAAAATGACAGCATATATAATTGGGCGGGTTCAAGTTGGATAATAGGAAAATCATGTCTGCCCACTGCCCATCACCTATAATATTCAAGTTCAAAATTTATCTATACATCGAGTAATTGATTTAATTCGAGTTTCACCTTATTTAACCATATCGAGTTCATCAATTAACCATGTTAGTGAATATTCTTGCCACCCCTATTCTCTTCCAATAGGAACATCTATCAATGAGTTAGTTCAAGCAATCGACTGCTGTACTGCCCAATGTCATCACCATTAAAAATTTGGGAAATCTAGAAATGAGTTTTTTCAACCATCTTAACGAATTAAGAACTCAATCCTTACAAATTCTCAGAAGTTGGATTGTGCAATGACTATGTAATGATAACAGAGAATGCTCTGAAAAGCCATGAAATGGGAAAAGCGAGCTGAATTCAGTCATAGTTCAGTAACTACTCGAAGTCAAGAGAACAGAGATTACTACAAAGTAGTAGTATTCCAACCCCAAGACCTATAATGATGTGCTAAAGTAACAGAAAAGAGGAAACAGCCTCAGCCCTTGACATGGGAAAACAGTTTTAGCTTGGTGAATCTACAAGTAAGCTAGAAAGGTGGAAATGATGAAGACACCTACTTTCAATGAACAGTTTTAGTCAGAACAAATAAATAATGATTAATCATTCTATTCGAACTATCTTGTGATTTAGGCGTTGAAACCTGCAAATGTCGTCAAAGAAATCATCTGCACTACTATGGCTGCTCTTCATCTGAAGGATCCTAATCGCCATTGTCTTCATGTTCCTCCCATACTTCAACAGCGACTCTAGAGTGTTGATCTTTTGTTCAGCTTTCAATGGTGACCTCACTGTGACCACCACCTCCTCCAGTGAAGGAATTACAAATCCAGAGTCCAGCTGCAAAATAAAGGAGAAGTTACAATCTGTCACAAAAATCATTCAATATGAGATGTTGGGTAGAAGAAAGGTTGCACTAGGTTACATTTCTAAGACTGTTCTTGTGGCAAAGAGATGCAAACATGGCTCCATGGATATCAAACTTTTGCAGCTTGGGATGGCTATTGAAGAAATCCACTAAATCAACCTCTGGGAAAGGATCAAGGGAATCAAAATCCCCGGTGAACTCAACCTTCATGAACAGCTGCTTCACCTCACTTGCACATTGAAGCATTTTTCTGATGGCATCCCAACACCATTGGATTCCTCTCATAGTTAAGGATTCAAGCGCCGCGAGTTTGTCAAAGTCAACCATGTATACTCTACCTGAAGCAATCACAGGAATGAGTTATGATAAAAAAGACACCTACAGGCTACAACAGCGGGAAAAACAATAACAGTAGGTAATGGCAACACTATGACATCATAGAAAGAAGATTGTGTACCTGCACTGTTGGAGATGGTAAGATTCTTCAAGCATTTGGTCTCACGAACCCTAATCCAACTACAGCCTTGTATCTCAAGCACCTCAACTCTGGGGGAATTCAAGGTGAATGAGCAGTTCCCTGCACCATAAAAGTCCAGCTTGCAATGCTGCAAATGGGGCAAGTCAATAGACACGTTGCTACTCCCTTCACAGCCAAGGAGCACCAATGTTTTCAAATTAGGGCATGCCTGGAGTGCAGAGGACAATGCAGAATCCTCCAACCTAGCTCCAACAATTTCAAGGCTCTGAAGCTTTGGAAAGAGATCCCACTTGGGGGCATTCATCAGGAGGACACCCCAAAGCTTGAGGGACTCAAGGTTCCTGGCATAACCAAGACAGTCCACCTTTGAGTTCAGGGCCTCACTGCAACCTTGTTGGTACTCGGCAATGTTATCCATTCTAAGCTCGAGCTGCCTGAGTGATGACCCAGCAAGCAACAGCCAGGAGGCCAGGCCTTTGCAGGTGAATGGGCTGTATACGACAAGCTCTTCCAATCGAACAACAGCAGCCACCATTCTCCACACGATAGTATCAGGATGGTCAACACCATTGTAGTTATCGAAAGAGCTTCGAGGGAAGTAGAGGCTTCTGATGTAAGGCAATGAATCCTTCCAACTCTTTGATACCGAATTGCAAATGGCTACATCCTTAGCATTGTTCATGTATGAGAAGATGGATTGGACAATGGCATCAGGTAGAGATTCCATTCTCTGAGACATTAAACAAACAGGTCACAAGCAGAGTCAGATTCACCCAAAAACACTTCGTGAAGATAACTAAGTCGATCAATCGATTTCAAACAAAATGAGGACGAGGCTAGTAAAACCGAATCTTTCCAGCACCAGGACTATCAGAACCATGTTAAAGATCTAAAGCTTCCCAATTTGTTCGTCTGTTCATGAACATTCACTTCCTCAAGATTACAACTTACATTTACCAACAATAAGAGTTCATTCATTCCTACTGTATCTTTCACATATACATGAGTAATTCTCAGTAGAGAACCCTAGTCATAGCTACCAAGATGTCTTAATTCCGCAAATTCACTCCCAATGAGAACCCACCATGTACTCACTTTTACTTAACCAGGGAAACCCAAATCACTGAAATGGGAAATCTAATCATTTGAGTGTCACACAAGGTTCTGCAGGAAAAGGACCAACAACCCAATAGAAAAGGAAAATCAAGAGACCGAGACGAAACCCACTTGGGAAATCAAAATTATTAACTCCACACACAAATCAGAATCACATGGACAGCCAATATTTTCCAAGAACTTCCTCTTCACTCGAACTCACAAGTTCAATTTAAAAAGAAAAGAAAACCCATTACTTCTGGATAATTCCCACCCGCCCCCAACCACCACACCCACAAGCAAACGCACGAAACCTAGTACTGGCAGCAAAATAAGGATAGGAACCACTCTAGTAGAAAGAAAAGGGGGGAACCGAAAGAAGAAGCTAAATAGGAATAGGATGACGTACGAATTGCAAAACAAGGAAGCAGGCAGTTATTCTTGGTGATGCTTGAGAAGAAGAAGAAGAAGCCGCTCTGGACTCTGGAGTAGAGAGAGGAGGGGACTTCGAACTGGAGGCTGAAAGTGAAACGGAAAGAAATGGCAACGAGAGTAGCGAGATCTGTGTACAGTGACGAGGAGTCTTGCGGCTGGGTAGAAATGGGGGAACCCAGTAAAATATAAAAGAGCGGTGAAGCAAGCGCGGATTGTTCTTTTCGGGAGCTGGCTGCGAGCGGGTGGGTGAAGTTTTCAAAATTTGAAACTTTGAAATCCGTTTTTGGTGAATCTCCGTTTCCATTTTCTTATTGTTTTCCGCCCAAAACGAAAGAAAAGATTTTAACGGTATAAACACTAAAACTTATTAGAGCTAAGAACTCAAACGCAGCGCAGTCACATTTCTTCAGATTTCCATCGGCCGGCCCGCCGCCGCTCAGATTCCCTTCCGGGCACTTCTTCGTTTCAAAATTCGGGACTCTTTTCAGATTGTATCTATGTAGTTTTTTAGGGGTTTAAAATACAAATATTGCACTACTTTTCATTAGGGGAAAATCTCTTACATTTTTTTTATATTTTTTTTATAAAGGTGATATTTGTTTAATTTTTTGTGATTAAGATACTACTGGAGGGATTCGAACCTGAAACCTGTAGATTCTATACTAGTGGTATTACCACTAGGTTACCATACATTTTTTTGCACTAAGGCCAATGCATTCTATGACACTCAAACAAACAAAAAAAATCAATGAACACCATTTTTCACATAATTTCTACAAGAATATGAAATCATGAGCATTTTCAAATGGTCAGATTTCTCATAAATTAAGGGGACACTCATTTCTCATCCTACTCACTCATGAAGAACGGACATTTACAAATGTCGACTTAATAGAAATTTACATTTTTCGTTAGAATAAAATGATTCGTGAATTTTCATTAGCAAATACGACATTTGATATAAAATGGATCAATGGTTTAGAAACTTTTTTTGAAAAAGCCTTTTGTCGAAAATTTGTTTGGGTTGTGCGCTAGCACTCGCATTCATTCAAACTCTCACTTTCTCTTTTGCCTTTGCTTCTCCTCAACGTTGGGTAAGCCTAAAAACACCAATCCCATTCCTACTCACTACTTCCATCGTCCAATCAAATAAATACAACGAATAAAATAGTGAATATTTTCAAAATAAAAAAAAAAGGCCAAAGGGAGATAAATGATAAATAAACGAAGGAATAAAGAAAAGGAAAATTCCACCGCTTTTTCCTATTCTGGTGGAGCCCACCCCTCTGTGATCCAACTGTCCAGGAAAGATCACCAGAAACGGGCGGCCTGGATTGGCCGTTCCGGGATAAGAAGTTGAAACTCAGAAGAAGAAGAAGAATAAACTAACAGTGAAGTGAAGATGAAGCTGGAGAAGATCTGATGGAGGAGAAAGGAAGGAAAGGAAGAGTTGAAACTTGGACAAAAAGATTAACCCACAGAAAATAAAAAATAAAAACAGAAACTTTCTCCCTTTTATTTCTTTCATTCTCACACTTGGACTTGCGGAGTGATTGGCGAGAGTGAAAAGAAAATTATACGGGAATTTTCCAGTAAGAGAGGGAAAGTGGTGGGGAAGAAGAGGGAGAGAAGCTCGTGAAACATTTTTTTCTCTTTTTCTTTTTGTGGGAGTAATGGTAGTAATCTATTGTTGTGTTATGCAAGAGAGAAAGGGAGAAGGAAGGGAGAGAGTATAGAGACAAATGCCCACCACCATTAACACTTGTCTCTCATCTTTCACATGAGCATGACCCATCTCCTCTCTTTCCCCCACCATTCCTTCCTTCTTCCCCTTCCGCCTCTTCTCCTCCTCCTCCTACTTCGTCCGCTTCACCGTCATTTATTGTCATCATTGTTGTTGGGTCTTCGAAATTTCTAGCCCAAAGAGTGGAGGGAATCGAAGAGGGGAAAGCAAATAAGGAGGTGGGTAGTCGGTGGAATTCGAATTTTTTCTTTTTTTTTTTTCCTCCGGGGTTCATCCCAGATGCTATGCTATTTCAATGGGTAATAAAGACGAGCACCAGCAGAATCAGCAGCAGTTGGAGAGCGGCAATGGGGGTGCTCACGGCGGGAGGAGGAGCTGCTGCTGCTGCCCAGGATGTTCGATGGCGATGTCGAGAATCGACTTCAGTTTTAGATGTGTTTTCGTTGTGATCCTTTCTCTGGCACTTGTACTCTCCGGGATCTTCTGGATCTTCCCTTTCCGGCCACACAATTCAAATGGTTTTGATGCCAAGGAGGCAATTAAGCTTAGTGGTGAGCTTCTCTTGAACTTTTCATCCTGGTACTTGTGCTTGGTGTACTGCAATTAGGGTTCGGTGTCTATTTTTGGCATGTGGATTTTAGCCGCCGAAGTAGCTACTGTTGTGCTATTAGGGTTTGGCTGATGCTTTGGGCAGATGTGGATTTGTTCATTTGGGGCTGCGATTAAGCTTTCTGGTTGACAAGGCTTAAAATGCTGTTTGGTAAATTTTATAGGCACATATATGTGCCATTGTATTGTCCGCGTTCTAATGACCAAGTGGTTGTGTTGCATTGAATCTCAGCTCTGCTGAGTTCCCTGCTTATTTGACATTTTAGTACCACTTGCTGGCTTCTACTTGTGTTTGTGCGTATGTGAACCAATTTTCGCGTTATTCTTTGTGGTTGAGGAAACCCCTAGATTAAAGGGCATCAGGCTACTCTGTGTTCTTAACATCTTCTTCTGGTTGTGGCCTTCAATGGCGATTTATTCCAGTATCATTGATTCTCAATGAATAGCCCATCTGTTGTTTTGAGTGAAGAAAATGTTATTCAGGTGGCCACTTCTCTAACAACTCAGACATTAGGCCTCTATGGGTTCGTTTTAGACTGCATTGCTGACAATTTATTCTTGGAGGAAGTTCTGCTAAATACAGTTCACATTAGCACTAAAGTGTGCCCTCCGTTCAGTTCATTTGGACTGAAATTTATGTCGACTCTTTTAGAAATTTGTGTACATTATTACCGAAGTGTTTCATGCTTTTGGCTGCGAAAAGCTATGTATAGCTCTGATTCAGTTCATTTGCCAGATACCATGTATGGGTAAAAAACATATCATGAATCCTGTTTGATATCTGGGTATGCCAGTTTTGCATATTTTGTGCCCAAAGGCGCCAGTTACTATCCAATTGTTTTGGTGGCTTTCCGCCAAGCCTTTTCTGCTGTTGGTTGCGTGGCTTGATTTTCTAGTGTCAATTGTTATACTTGATTCCTTTTAGCCCAGGTCCCTGTGGTTTCCAATGTTCCACCAGCCCTTGTGTTAATTCTATCACATTTTTGTTTAAGGATTTCATTAGGAAAAAAATGAGAGGTCTTTCACGTGAATTGCTAGATATTTCGAGATGGTTGATCGACTACTGTTTCTTAAGAGTGATGAAATGGAGATGTACTTGCAAACTTTCATGTATCACATGAAATGTTTGAGTTCATATCTGATTACCTTGCATCTAGGGCATTGATGTTCTGTAGATAAAGTAACTCATGCTGTATGTCTGCCGATCAGTCTTGTGTATTTTTTATACTTTTCCATCTACAAATATTCTGGATCCCTACTATGTCTCTCTCACTGGTAGTTCAGAGCATAAATGTAAAGTTGGCTGGTCATAAGATAGCTGTTATTGGCTCGCCCTTTCCTCAGCTAGTTGAATGTTGGTCCTGAAGTTTGAACCTGGGCGTGTTAGATGTTTTGTTCTCTGTTACAGCTGGGTAAGATTCACACCCTCCGAGGGAACTTAGCCAATTTAGCAGTAAATGAAAACCTTCTAGAACTTATTTGGTGTCATGGTGTGTTCTATCATGCTTGCTCTCATGTTCCTGAAATAATAAGCCCTTTCATCTGAGATTGGCTAAGTATTTTAGGCCAAAGGATTGGGCTGTATTTCCGCAAATTTTATAAATACCTGCCAAAGGATCGGGGTGCAATGGATGACTCATGGTTCTCTTTATGGAAAAAAAAAACTGTGAATTTCTGGTGTGCTTTATATTTGTGTGCTTTCAGATGTGAGGGTTTTGGGTTGCTTTCTATTTTTCTGTTGTTCTGGAATGATCATTTAATGCATGTGTAGGTTGACATCTTACTCCTGTGTTAATTCCGTTATTGTTTTTGTTTTCAGCCACTGTACAGGCATGCTTCAAAATTCCAAAGCCAGTTTCAGAGGTTGTTCCACACATTAATTCATTAGAAGACGACATCTTTAATGAAATAAGTATTGATGATATGAAGGTATTTTTCAATGCTTTTGTATTAACTTTCAATTCATTTATCAATAAGTTAATAAAATCAACCTAAAAGGATATGTGTACTTTGCAGGTGGCTATGCTGTCAATGCATCAAAATGGCACTTCCAACTGGACAGATGGGGTTTTTGGTGTGCTTTCTGATCATATGAATACTCTGAATCCAGCACACCTAAGTGTGCTGCGGTCCTCTTTGGTCGACCTCTTCCTGAAGCAGATGAATCTCTCCGTGGCAACCTCTGTTTTTGGACAACCGTATGATTTTGAAATTCTCAAGTTTCCTGGTGGAGTCACTGTAATTCCTCTCCAGTATGGCTCAATTTGGACACCCCGCCAGCCCCTTTTCAATTTTACCCTCAATAATTCAATATCTGAGATCCTTCACAATTTTGGTGAACTGAGGGACCAGCTGAGGTTGGGATTGCGTCTCAGGCCATACGAGGTATGATTTGTTTATATAAGTTATAGGCAATTTTCTTCTGCAACGGTTACTTTGTTGTCACTTGTGCTAAACTCGAAAATAGGCTAACTAAGTATCATATTCTACCTGCTAAAATGAATGAAAATGCTCTTTAGATGCCCCATGCATTTGAGGTTAATATGGTATAAGCTTATTGATTCTCTATTATTTGAATCTGCAGAATCTATTCTTGCAAATCACGAACTCAGCAGGTTCCACAATCGACACCCCAGTTATCTTGGAGGCCTCAGTCTCCTCAGAGTTCGGAAGTCTTTTGCCACAAAGGTTGAAACAGTTGGCTCAAGCCATTGCAGATTCCGATGGCAAGAATAATCTTGGCCTACATAACTCAGTCTTTGGTAAGGTCAAGGGTGTTGTTCTGTCATCCTACTTAAATCGAACACTGAATCCAAACACTCCAACTCCTGCCCCTGCTCCATCCCCTGAGCCTAGTGATTACGTTGCTGAACCATCAGCTTCCCCTTATCCACTAAACCCTCCAGCTGTCTCTCCAGCTCCCTCACCACATAAACATGCAAGAAAAGGTCCCAAAAGGGAAAGAGCAGCTTCCCATTTTTTCCCTCCTGTAAATTCTCCTGCACCAACTCCTACTGCTCATCCTCCTCCTGACCCTTGTCCATATCATGGTCGTAAAGTTATTCCACCTAGCAGATCACCATCGCCCTCCAATGAGCAAAATTTCTTCCATCCAGATGCTCCTCCACCAAAGTTGCCCCCAGCCCCGGCTCCTTTACCTGCAGTCTCATATGGTTCAACACCCTCAGAAGACTTGGAATCTCCGTCCCTGGCTCCTGTCCCATCTGCTCATTCCGGATCATGTAAGTTCTATTCTGACTTACTTTTAGATTCTAGTAATTTGTGAGGTTTGAGTGAATAGTTGTTTTAAAAATGTGAGCATAAACAAGCACAGCCTACAAGTCCTCCCTCGTTAGCTGACTGCCTGGTATTTCAGCTGTTACAATAACACACCTTCACTCCTGTTTGCTGCAGCTTTTGCAGGACAACGCCGGTCAGTCGAGGAGATGTGGTTGCTGGGGTTATGGTATATTCTGATCTCTTATCTTCTTTGCTGGCATCATTGATGGTTGTTGAGCCTGCTCATCATTATAATGCATGGAGAGACGATTATCGAAGAGATCTCAGTACCCAGTTTTGTTTTGGGGGCGGGGATGGTTGGAATTTGTGCAAAAAAAAAAAGTTGCAGAGTTTCTTTCTTTGTCTGGTATTCGACAACGAACCAACCAACAAAAAACAAGTGTAAATTCTATGAAATAGGGGGGGAGATAATGGCAGGTCAAAGCCAAAAGGTGGCAGGCCTCTCTCATCTTCACTTTGTAGGTTTTGTGGATGCTGCTACTACTGGAGAAGTCTATTGTTCCAAAGGGAACAACAGACAGCAATGTGTGCCAGCCATAGTTGAAGCTTTCTTTCCCAACTTGGAAAGAAAACAGAACTTCTGTGAAGGAAAAGAGTATTATTATGAATCTAAAGAAGCAGAGCAGAACATTTGGATTTGCAGAGTTCCGAGAAAAGAACCAACAAGTTGTTAACTAATGTTTCGTTGCAAGTGTAAAAATTTCTGTTAGGGGCTGGTTCTTTCCTTTGAGCATCTGCAATCCCATATGAAATGCTAAAAAAAAAGAGGAGGAAAAAAGTGTAATGCAGAGTATTTTTCTTTTCACGTACGAGATTGATTGAATACGTGGTGATGGTTTTAATTGATTGAATCTCCTTTATAGTCTCAGGCTTCAAAACTTGAGATGTCACTGCTTCTCATCTTGGCGAAATCTGGCTGTGTGACAATCAGCTTGTTCGTAACATGTTGATGTTGGATAATTTTCTTTAAATTTTGTCGTCTCCTTCGTAACATACTGATATCTTTGCATATTCGTCTGCGTCAACACATGTAGCAAAGATGGAAGGATTCAACCATTGTTTTTGGACTGACAACAGTTTCATAATCTGGTCCAACTACCAATTGATGTAGCGATCCCACCAAGCAACCCTCCTTCCTAACTGCAAATGTTGTTCTTGCCCAACACACCATCATCAGCAGATATAGCAACATTTGATAATGAAGCCAAACTCCAATATTTAATGGTGTCAACTTGACCAAAGGATCCCCATTTCTTCACAAAGATCCCCTCTGCTGCAATTATCTTTTGTTGGCACAACAACATATGAAATCTCTCATCTAAGACCCCTTTCAAGAACTTGGCAATTGGACATCTCTCGTTATGTGGAATTGTAGCAAAAAGCTAATTCTGGTAGCACAATTCCTAATCCAAATGACCCCTAAAAGCATCAATATAAATGCAATTGCATGAAGTGTCTTTATATTGTCACCTAAACAATTTCTTCATTCCACTTCTAAGTCATGTTAGTGCCATTACATCTAAATAACTGCAATTCACTTAGCAATTGCATATATTGTTTGTTAAACATTATGCTTAAATTATGGTAAAATGATAATCATATTTGTAATGACTGTCTTTAGCACTTATTTATTGAACGAAAAAATCATCATTCAATTTGATTTGGAATTAGAGCAGAAATAGTTGAGATTAGATTCATTTTTGTTGTTGATTGGAAAGAGAGAAGAAATTATATAATTTTTCTTTTAATAATAAAAGAAAGAGTGAGAGAGAGGTGAATGCGTGTGGGGGCGGGGAGTGGGGTCTGCATCCGGTCAAAAGTCAGCGTCAGCAATAAATGGGGGTGGATCCAAGTTTTACCCTACTGCCCTTCCGCATTTAATTTAAATAAAAAAAAAACTTACACGTGGGCACAAGAGAAGGGGTTACTGGCCCATTGTAATGCTCTAATCATGAATGGTTTGGTTTGTAATTTAATATATAATTGATCTTACCAGTAAAGTAGCACATGTTCCATACCCTACTTGTTTTCCCAGATATGATCTTCTTTCACTAGCCCATCAAATCCTGCACTTCTTCATCACTCGCATCTTCCTTCCCAGAAGAGGTTCACCCGACCTTGTCCTCCCCATTGACCTTTGGATTCTCCACAATACTACAAAGAACCAAAGAGGAATTCGCTGATGCCCTCGGTGGAACTCATGCAGCTTAATTAAGGAGACCGTCCGTTGAAGTTGAACGGTTGAACTCAGGGCCCCTCCTTTTAATCAAGGACACCTATGTTGCTATTTATCTACCTTATTGTTATATAACCAAGATCTTCTATATTTGTCTAATATGTGGGTGTGACGGGGTTAATTGTACGTTTACAATAGAATGTTAGTAACCAAATGCATATAAATCCAACAACATATGCTCATTTGTCAACACGCATTTGGTACACATATAGGTGAGCACATGATGAGGACCATCACCTATTTCGCAGACCTTATCAAAGAAACATAAAAAGGAAAGAGATGTTACTACTGAAAAAGAAAAACATTTGAAAGTAGGTAAGAGATCAAGTTTACGTACCGTGTCCATGGATGAATGAAATCAGGTAAAAGGAGGAATGATTAGGGTCGCCTTACATATGCTCATTTGTCAACCCGCATTTGGTACACATATAGGTCAGCACATGATGAGGACCATCACATATTTCACAGACCTTATCAAAGAAACATAAAAAGGAAAGAGATGTTACTACTGAAAAAGAAAACATTTGAAAGTAGGTAAGAGATCAAGTTTACGTACCGTGTCCATGGATGAATGCAATCAGGTAAAAGGAGGAATGCTTAGGGTCGCCTTACATATGCTCATTTGTCAACCCGCATTTGGTACACATATAGGTCAGCACATGATGAGGACCATCACATATTTCACAAACCTTATCAAAGAAACATAAAAAGGAAAGAGATGTTACTACTGAAAAAGAAAACATTTGAAAGTAGGTAAGAGATCAAGTTTACGTACCGTGTCCATGGATGAATGCAATCAGGTAAAAGGAGGAATGCTTAGGGTCGCCTTACATATGCTCATTTGTCAACCCGCATTTGGTACACATATAGGTCAGCACATGATGAGGACCATCACATATTTCACAAACCTTATCAAAGAAACATAAAAAGGAAAGAGATGTTACTACTGAAAAAGAAAACATTTGAAAGTAGGTAAGAGATCAAGTTTACGTACCGTGTCCATGGATGAATGCAATCAGGTAAAAGGAGGAATGCTTAGGGTCGCCTTACATATGCTCATTTGTCAACCCGCATTTGCTACACATATAGGTCAGCACATGATGAGGACCATCACATATTTCGCAGACCTTATCAAAGAAACATATAAAATGAAAGAGATGTTACTACTGAAAAAAAAAAACATTTGAAAGAAGTAGACATAGTGATCAAGTTTACCGTGTCCATGGATGAATGAAATCGAGTAAAAGGAGGAATGCTTAGGGTTACGGGAAAGAAATAATGAGATCACACAAGAGTAATAAGGCAGATTGTTTCCTTAGGAAGTAGAAGTAGTTGAAAAGTCCACTTCACACACACATAGTTGGAGGTAAGTTGTCCAAGAATAAATCGGATGAATTGTGATTAGCTGTGAGAATTGGTTTGAAAAAAATTGAGTTGTCAAAAATTAAAGCGGTTAATATATATGAAAAATATGTTACTTGTTATTTACATTGGATTGTTATATAACCGAGGAGATTGTTATACAAACGAGGTTTTCTATATATTAACTTGAGGCAAATGATGAAGATGATTAAGTGGATATACATGTCTAAATTATGGTGCTTATTATGTTTAGGTTGTGATTATTGATTCAGGAATAAAATAAGAAATCAGCTGGCAATTATCTTCACTATAATTCTTTCATATCCAGGATTTCATATGCATACCCCACGAGGGAATTGCCGGTGCTTCTCCCCTAAGTACCAAAATTTGATATGTAGGTTGTACAAATTATATATTTTTTGAATACACACATTAATATAGATTGAAGTATTGTTTAAATGCATATATATATATATACGTGCCTAAATTTCCAATGTTTGATGATTGTGATTATTGTTTTGGGAATAAATTTGATCGGTCACAAACAGAAACTTTTTATTTATAGAATAAAAGTCACAAAGATAAAAATGAAATATCTTAAAAAGGGGTTCCCCTTAACCACGATTTGTCCCGGTTCCTTGCATACGAGACAAATTATTACACGTTTACAACAAAAACCCTGAAAAATTCTTTTCTACCACAATACTTCCAAGCTCTCTACTTGCAATGAACTTGGATCTTCCTTCCACTTGTAACTTCATGAACCAACAACAACTAATTGACGGCGGAGCAGACCCGGCGAATCTCCCCGTTGGTCCCCGTCCTCACGCCAACATTGCCCATCCTAACCATGGCCCGGCCGAACTCGACGTTGAAGGTCAGTCCCAGCAGCCCACTGAGGCCCAAGTACCGGCGGACGAAGTTGCCGGTCCGGTTATCCGACCACAACCGCTGGTCCGACTCCAGCACTCCCCGGCCGTTCCTGATGTTGGTGAAGTAGGAGGTGTCGAACCGGTTCTGGCTCCCCGTGTCCATCGCAACCCGCGCCGCCCCGTTGTTGTTCTGCGGGCAGAACGACCGGAGGGTGGGCAGGAACGCGGCCGCGATCGAAGGGTCCGGCCCGCCGGTGCCCTGGTAGTTGAACAGCCTGTCGTTGAACGTCGCGCAGGACGCCGTTCCTAACGTGTGTCCTCCTGCATGCCACATGCACGCACACAGTTTATTCACTTTGTCGAATAACTTTCTTTCAACAATTTGAGTTATTCGAGTAAGTTGGTTTATGATATGTGCAACGTTCAGTTAATATTCGTTTTTAGGGGTTGTGTAACAAAGTAGTATAGGACCCATAAATAGTCATATCCCAACAACTCCGCGAGTTATTGAGACCGATTGAGTTTAGCGATACTTTAAAACTTTTTTTCGAATAGATTGTAATTACCGGTGAGAGTGACAAGATCCTGAACGCTGAGATTCCGGTCGGTGAACTTCTGGATTTGGGAGTCAACGGAGTCGGAGGGACCCGGCAAGTTGTCCAAAGCTTCCTGTGCCACCGAAATTCTCCCGTCGCGACGTCCAGTGGGGACCGCCCAAGTTGGTCCATTTGCCTGAAAAATTGCCATAAACTCAACGTTAATTACTAGCTGTAATGACGAACTAACGAATTATGGACTAATTAATTACTACAGCCAAAACGGAAACGGTACCAAAACGACGGCGTCGCGGGCAGCAAGGGCGAGTATGTCGGCGCATGAGACGACGCCAGGGCAAGCCGCTTCGAGCTGGGTCTTGGCGTCGTCGATGACGGTGAACCCGTTGAGGGAGAGGTTGGGGATGGCGGTCCTCTCGGTGCCGGCGCCGGAGATGAGGACGGAGCCGTCGCAGCCCTGAACGAAGCAGTCGTGGAAGTGCATCCTCAGCAGACCGGCGGCCACGGTCGAGTCGGAGTTGAACCGGGACTGGACCGCGGACCGGACGATGGTCTCGACGCGAGGGCAGGTGGTGGAGTAGAACCCGACCCGAGTTCCCTGCCCGTGCACCGTCGTCACCATGACGGCAGCGGCCGCCGCCATTATTGCTAGGAAAAGCGCTGCCGCGCTGACTCTGTTACTACTGCTGGCCATGTCTTATCTATTTAAGACTTGTTACTACCTTTTTGGGCTTGTTTTGGGTGGTTAGTACGGGGAAGTGAAGCGGGGCTATTTATAGGCGGGAAGTTTGGCGAATGTGGAGGTTTGCATTGCATGAGATTGAGAGGATTGATTGGTAAAAGATGACGGCCATGTACAGCGAGGTTTGTAAAGGCGTATAGCGGGAAAATTCGCGGGGTGTTAATGATTTAAGTAATTATTGGAAGCGAAAATGAAACTCTTTTCATTGACTATTCTGTAATCTGACTTTTTGGTTACTCAATTAGCAGCTGGTGGCCAACACTAATCACCACGTTTTTTTTTATTATGTAGTAGTAATTACTAGATATCATGCATGCAGATAATTACTTTTTTTTTATGAAATAGCAGCTTTATTTGTTTTTGGTTAAACCTGAAATAATTTACTCGGAATTAATTAGCTTTTAACATGGATGAAATAAATAAATAAATAAATAAATAAATAAATAAAATAGCCTTGTGTACGATAATAATAATAAGAGCCCACCTACCACCTCGGATGTTGAAGGGTACACTAGCCATGCAGCTTGACTCGACCGACCGGCCGGCCGGCGATCATATCTTGCTTCCCACGGGGTAATGATGCCGCGCATATATATTCATATCTATTCGTATTAAGTGCGGATTAAATCGGTAATACTCGTGCAAGTATAAGGCGGAACGAACCAATCCATTCTTATATGTTATTTATTTATAAAAAACCATAGATATTTAACTCTTTTACAACAATACATAGAGAGCACACTTCATAAATAAATGAAAAATATAGTAAAGGAATAATTACTCTAAATAGTTGAAAGATAGTCTTAAAATAATTTTGGAATGAAAATATGATTTAGTAAGGTCAAAAAAAGGATACAAATACAAATCATGGTAAAACATGTCGACAACGGGGCGGGACATGGAGAGTCGGAGAAACAGTTCAGTAGCAATACTCATGTCTCGCCCCACATTACGTACTGTGGATCAGGTAATACCCACCCTAAACAGATCGAACCAGGCTGGACCGTGAGACCGTTAAGTATGGCTTGGTCTGGTCCATGGTCTGTATTATTTTATGTTTTGATCACTTGGTCGGGCTGGTCTAGACCGCGGTTTACCGGACCAAACCGTGGACCCAACCGACTTGTCAATATGTGTTAACAGCCCATTTGACCACTTTACCAACTCCCACAACGACACCCAAGTCTCAACCTTAATTTTGTGAATCTCGTCTCTCCTTCATTCACAACCACATTTAACCAGAGAGTAGAGATAATCATGTCTCAATATGACATTATGTTAATGTTTTATGACGTTATGGTGCAAGTTGAGATGCTTTTACTTTAAATCTTTGTTATGTATTAAGAATTAGGGTATCAAAATTATTCATGCATGTTAGGATTAATGTTTTAAGGCAAATAACAATTATTTTTCTTGGTTATTGGTTCAATTTTTTGTGTGGTTGACTAAACAAATTGTTCATTTTTCGTTGAATGTGGTCTATTTGGACCAGACCAAACCGAACCAAACCGCACAGGCGTGGTCTGGACCGGACTGTATAGTTTGTGATCTGATCTGTAGTCTATACTTCAGGCTCTCAGTCTGGACCATAGACCGTATATATGGTCTGGTCTGCACCACAACCACATGCCGGCTTTAGCTTAGTGCTTCGATTACGTTGACTTTTTTTTTTAACCCGGTAGATAGATTGCTCGATTCGTTCCCTAGCCAGGCAATGAGCAATAGGAGCATAGCATGCACTGTCGTTTCGTCCGTGGAACGCGCTTTGCATTTGCAAAATACTTCTCAATGCGACAATTCCCTTTCGTTTTCAGAATGTGTTTGTTTGACGAAAGGATGGAATTAGCTAGCACGACGAAGAAGAAGAAGAAGAAAGAGTGGGGGAAATATGTGAAAAGAATGTGAGCGGGAGAAGGAGAAGTAGAAGAGTCAAAACAACTAGCAGCAACAGCTAGTTGTAGTAGTAGTAGTTATCCGTCGTTACCATAGTTTGTCGCGTACGGAAAAATATGAGCTTTGCATTTGCATGCATGGGGGCCGCGCCTATAAATGCTTTAGGGCCATCGCAGATTTTAATTAATATCAATACTTTTTGTGATTTGTCTAACTCGCCAACCTTACCACACTTAAAAAAAAGTCTTCGTTGTTATTACTCCAGATGCTGACTTGGCAATAGTATTATGAAATGAACATAATAATACTATTTAAGACAACAGTAATATGAAATGAACATAAAATGTAGTACTATTCGTTTTCTTAATATATAATTATTAAAGTATATGTGCTAGCAAAGCTATATAGTATCGTTGATGAATGTTAATGTATATCGGGCAGCAAGTATATAAGTACGATTGATTTGAAGAATTCTATTTCACTCGTGGAGTACTAGTTAGTCTTGGCATTTTTCAGTGATATTATGGGAGTGACGTACATGCAAATAGTCCTTAATCTAGTTTTGAGTGATGATTGTACGAATCATATAGAAACCCGAGCTCATTATTATATATTAATAACTTGTGATATAGGGAAAAGCGAATTAACTCAAGTCTGCTTGTACATACAAACATTTTAACCGAGAAATGACATATGGTAGGTATTGATACTTATCCTCCTAATTGATTTTGCATGTCCAATATCAATCAATTTAAGGGAGTGCTAAAAATATATGTGCTTTTATGCAATTGACCAAAACTACCTTTGTAATTAGGGCTTATCTCTATCGTGGACTGATCATGGCATTCAAGATTAAGTCGGTGTCCTTTTCGTTTATAGCTTGATTCTTTGACAAATAATACACATACATCTATTAATTTAATGTTATATACATTTAATTTACTCGTTAGTGCTCTACATATATATATGCATACATCTCTCCCAGCGGCCGCCGGCGGGCCTCGAGTTGGGGAAATTTCAGCAGCCATCATAAATGTATATCAGTTAGTTGGCGAATCGCTAATCAAATCACTTCTCTTCATCAGTCATCTGTTCCTCCAGTCAAATGAGAATGACAGCTACGATCCCCTGTTTCCTGTTTTAAAAAAAAATAATAGATTAATGAATGAGATTAGACAAATCAAGATATGTTAATTATGATCGGTGATTAGATAAAAGTTATTTAGTGAGTCAATATCATGAGTACTATACCTGCAGTGCCTTTAAAGCAAAGGAAATTATCTTACAGTGCATGCCATACTCACAAAATGAGCCAAGATGGCCACCACTGGCCGCCGGAGTTGCCCAGTTCATCCCCTGCGCACAAAGACGTCGTGTTAGTACTCAACTGCCTGAGATGTTTTTGTACTCTTATGTAATTAATCATAGCATTAACGTATGATATGGTTATGGGCCGCCAGGCCGGGTACGTATATAAGTTGAATTGCTAAACGGTGAAATCTAAGGATTCTAGGTATAGGTAATATGATTGACTCTGAGAAACACCATGTCAAACAATGCGATGTGGTACTCTTAATAATGATGTTGAGACTAATCCATGAAGAGGGAAATTTCTCATAATCAAGCTTGAGAATCCTTAGGTTTTACCGTTCGACTATCTTATATACAGTTAAGTGGCGGATCCAGAGAGTGGTCACCCCGGGCCACAGCCCAACCCTCCTCTGGATCCGGAGTTAGTATACTTATGAGTTTATCGATTTTAGCCATTTGACCAAGTGTTATTTTATAATAAAAATTGTGTGTAATTAAGAAAACGGGTCAGATGAACATATGATCAAATCACAACTCTAAATTTAGCCTGAAAATTAAAGCTCCAATGATTCTCATCTAAATAAAAACAAACAATGAAACCTAAAATTCTAAAACGTAAAAGACTAAATAAATATGAGGTTTGTTCCCTTAAGAAATTACTAGAGCAGTTGGTGAAAATAGCCGATTGATTTGTCTAGTGCTGATGACATGGCTCGTTTCAACAACTACATGGGAGAGAACCTTTTCAACCATTAAATAGGTGAAAAATTATTTGCGCAACAAAATGAGCGATGAATTTCTCGACAATCTTAAATAGAGTATGCTATTAGTATGGATGTAGACTCCACTATTGATGAATTCACTATATTAAAATTGAAAAGATCAACGTGTACAATTGATATTGTAAAAAAAAAAATCTAAGATTTTTTGCGGTATCTTATTTTTTAATAAAATGCGACCCATTACTCTACTGTATCCTGAATCCGCCGCAATATATACCCAAGCCCATATTTCTATCGTACTTAATGCAACGGTTAATTACACATAAGTGCACAAGCTTATAACAAAAATCTACTTAGTTAATAATTACTTTCTGGCGGGAAACGTTAATGGCTAGATATGCATGACTTACCTCGGCGGGAAGACTCGCCGGTGTTGATCACGCCAACGATCCTCCTATCCAGCATGTCCATGCAAAGAAGGGTCCAGTCCGAGAGCACACGAATGGGCCTCCGGCCCACTGAAAACAGACGATCCCTCACCCAATTCACGCCGTTCAAAGTCCACTCCTCCAAATCATAGTTATTACTACGAGCACCTCCATCAGGACGCTGCCGATCGCCGGTACCGGCGCCGGAACTCGGCAGCGCGTACCGGCAGACGGGACACGTGTTGTGCATGGTGAGCCAGGGGACGATGCAACCCGTATGGTACAAATGCTGACACGGCATCTCCTTACCTTCTTCTCCCGCTTCAAACTCTTCTTTACAAACCGGACATGCGAAGTTGGGGTCTTTCGCCGTGAATTTCACCGTCGGCAGGGCTTCGATCGCCGTGGGGGAGGCCGGCGGCGGGCCCGGCCTGTCCTCGTTGACAATAGCTATTGAAAAATGTCAATTTATTATTATTATTATCAAGAAAGCGAAAAGCAAATAATATATTACACGAGAAATCACTTTCACTCTATTTGAGTAGATATTCAGACAGGCTAACTCCTAATTCAATATGGAAAAAAGAGAAGGTTACAGACCATACCCGAAAACAGTAAAAACAAATGTGTATATAAGCTATGGGTTGCACGAGATCACGTAACCTATAAATAACAACAGATAATCTATTTTCAAAGCATAGAAAGAATTAAAGACGACTTTACCTTGGTGAGGAGGCGGCGTCGGAGGGAAATGGAGGGTAATCCAACGATCAATGGAGTGTTCTTCATTTCTTGATGGATGGTCATTGTAATGACTCATTCTTCTTGGATCGATCATAAGGGAAAGCGATTCTAGCAACCTCTCCGGCGCCGGAGCGGGTTCAAACGGCCGGCGACCGGACAACCTTGGACTTGACATGTCAAGCTCCGGACTTAGGGTTCCGAAGCAATGGGGGCAGAACATTTCGTGTGGGATTATAGAGGCGAATCTCAACGTTCGTCCGCAATGGTAGCACCAGAAGTAATGGAAAGTTCTCATTCGCCGGACGCCATTGACCGTCACTCGAGGCCGTTGGTGATGGTGGCTCAAGGACATGATGATGGTTTGAAGGAAAATGAAGACTTGTATTGGAAGGTGGTATATATATTGGAGAGCTATCATTGCCTTTGTTGGAGTTAATAAGGGTATAGCTTTTGGATGAAGGGAAGGGGAAAGAGAGAAGATTCCTTATTGTTCTGTGTTTGTTTAGGTTTAGGGTTAGGTTGAAGGGAAAGGAAGGGGGAAGTAGAGATTCTTAATTGTTATTTTGTTCCTTCTAGGGTGAGCTAGCTAGGGTTTCCTTAGTTCATGTTTAGCAAGTTTATGGTACCTTGTGGTTTGGGTTAAAGAAACGTATGAAAGGGGAGAAGGAAGAATGGCAGGATATGAATTTAAATTATGACAGCAAATACATAGTTCTTAACATATCATTGGGATAGCAAATGTGCCGGTCAAAGAAGCAAATGCACCTGTACTCGCGCCGGGGAGAAGGAAGAATGCACCTTGGAATTAGTTGGTTGGATTATATGCGTGATTAACTAAAACTCAATTCGTTGTCCACTTGAACCTTGTTGAAAAAGGGGCTTCAGTTTGTATACACCTAATAATATGAACAATTTATCAATGCTATTAGCTCTTATAACAAGATAATTCTAATAACACAGATAGATATTGATGCTATTAGTCCTCGTAGCAATATAGTTATAGGATTTTTTTTTATAATGTAAAGATGCAATCTTTCGGATCAATAATTTGTGGTTATATTCGTGAACTCATGAGTACGCATACACCTACAAATATCTGTTGGATTGAGTTGGATTCTCGCTTCCAAAACCACCATAATTATATTAGCGCATTTTTTCAACGAATGCACTGGTTGGCCTAGCACATCACTGAACGTATAATATGTGTCCTATGAAGAACATAAATCGTTCCTTGCAGAAAAAGGAAGAACTCAACCCAAAAAATAATTGAAGGCTACGCTTAGTAGGCCTTCTCCATGCGACAGCTCGAAGGGAAGTGGATCGAGGCTGGCAGGCCCAAATACTTGCTTCACTTTCTGATCCAAATCAACGGCCCAATATGGAAGGGCCCAGACAAAGCCGAGTTGATTCAAACTCGGTCCAACCCGTCACCCGCTCACTCAGTCACTCGTGCTGGGTTGTCTTGTCGGTTAGCAGGCGGCCGCTATCCGCCCTCCCACACGGCGTCAAGAAAACACCCCAACCAATCTCCTTCGTCTATCCTCTTTCCCCTCTTTCTCTCACTAGAAGAATTCCCCAATTCTAGAGAGAGAGAGAGAGAGAGAGAGCCCAGCTTCCCCATCCCTCCAATTGGTATGAAGAACCCCAATCACCCCGCTACTTAGTTACACCCAACCATCCGCTCAATTTTCCTCGGCATCCAAGCACACTCCCAGCAGAGAGAAAGCTATAGAACCTTTTCCAGTTTTCCCCTTCTTTGTGGCCTCCGTCGAGAAAATATGTCCAACTTGTTGTTGAAAATTCCAGCGGCGCAAATTCCTGCCGCCGCTCCCAACCCCTCCTCCGCCGCCGCCAAGTCCCTGCCGCGCCTGCAGCATCCTCAGCTGTTCCCCAGCCTGCAGCCGCTGGTCATCGTCGGGAGGCGGGTGCCAAGTCTATCCATTTCGTGCTCCTGTTCTTCTTCTTCGTCGTCGTCTTCTTCGATTATTGACGGCGGGGGCGATGTGGCGCTGCTGGAGCGGTGTTTTGTGGCTCCGCCTGCTCCCGTGGAGAAGGGTTTGGGTTCGAGCTCTGGAGGGGAGTTCGGCCCGGTTATGAAGGGGAAGTTTGGCTCTCTTGGCGCTGTAACTCTGGAGAAAGGGAAGCTTGATCTTTCCCAGAAGCAATCCCAGTCAGCTCCTGAGGTTTGGCGTTTCTCCTCCCTTTCCTTCAACTTTGTTCTCGCAATTGAATCGTAGAACTGGAGTCAAATATGTAATCCTGTGAACTGGAAATTTTAGAGTGATGAAACCTTATCTTCAGAAGTTCTATGGCAATTGAGTTGGTGGATTCTTTAACTAATAATTGGTATTGGGTACTGGTAGGTGAGCTGGTGTATGTATCATTCATCATAAATATTGATATAGATGACCATTTACAGTTGGATCACATTCTTTCGTGATAATTCTTCTCATGTTAAACTTTTGAGTCCTCTTCAATTATTTCTTCAATTCAGTGAGGAAATGGAAATAGGAAATGGCCGTCGTTTGTACTGTGGTTTTCTGTATTCGAGAATCTAGACAACTCGTAACAGAGACTAGAGAGAGAGAGAGAGAGAGTTTAAGACATGGTTGGAATTCAGTCGACGTTGGGCTGTTGCCAGGCTCGTGATAGTGCACAGAGCATTCTTAACTGTTTCCACCAGAGCTTTGTTGAAGCCCTGGCAATCTCCTTCATTTTTGCATGTAAATATAAATCATGCCAATTATTTTCTGATATGTATCGTGGTGGCACTTGCTAACGGTGAAGAGACAGATTAAGTTGGTTTATCAGCTTTGATTTTGGAGAGTAACTAAAATCTTGTTGGATATTCCAGTTTAACTAATTCTCCGTAAAATTGCAGGTTGCGCTTGGGGGAGGTGGCGGGGATAGTGGTAAAAAAATCAATAACGGTGGTGGAGACGGAGGTGATGATGATGGTGATGATGATGACTACTTCGATGACTTTGATGATGGCGATGAGGGTGATGAAGGTGGACTCTTCAGAAGGAGGAAAATCTTTGAAGAGGTTGGAATGCCCTAAGTTACCTCCGTGGACTTAGATATATAGATAACTGATACCAATACTGATATCTCTCAATGGCTTCTTGCAGCTTTTTGATAAAAAGTTTGTAGATGCTGTGTTGAATGAGTGGCAGAAAACCATGATGGATTTGCCTGCTGGATTCCGACAAGCTTATGAAATGGTTAATAATTTCTTGTTTTATTCTTGTATGACCTTTAGTTTATGAATCGCTGTCTTGTCTGGCCAACTTAATACTATATGCTGATTTTTAACTTGTAAAATCTGCAGGGCTTGGTGAGCTCAGCTCAAATGGTAAAATTCCTTGCAATAAATGCCAGGCCAACCACCACTAGATTCATTTCAAGATCGCTTCCTCAAGCAATTTCAAGGGCGTTTATTGGAAGGTATTTTATTGATGATTTCTATAGGTCCTGTCAACGATCAATTGCATTCAATCATTTGTGCAGAACACAATAACATATAGTGCGTGCTTGTGTGGAAGTGTAAAAAATTTTACACTATTAGGGCATGATTCATTTGTTGATGTTGCTCGCATCGAGGAGTCTATTTGGCGGAATAATTTCATGCTATAGCTGAAGATAGTAGGTTATACCTTGAAATGCATCTCCTTCTCTCACTTCAGAATTTAGATTTAAAGACTTATCCTGGCCCTGAGAGATGGGTTGTGTTGTTTCTTGGTGTCAATCCAATGAAGTTACTCATTTTCTTCGTGTGTTTTTCACCCACTTCTCCTTGTGGCTCTTTCTTTCTATGGAGCCCATTAGGTCCTTAATCAGTGTAAAATAAATGTTTTGGGAAATCTTGAATGGATATTGAATTCCTAGGTTTATGGATTAACAAGGGGTAGACTACTTCAACTTGCTACTTGCACACATACTTAACACAAACCAATGAGATTTCGAGGAAGTAAGTTGTTTTGCAGGGATCTGTGCTTGTGTTAATTACTGAAACAAATCAACTTAGATGTTATCCCTCAGCTGGTGTGTTGGTGTATCGATTAGTTGCTGAGTTGATCTCTGAGTTCTTGGGATCTGTACTCCAGAATTTGGTGCATGGCTAATCAAATCAAGTATCTGAAATTTGGATGTGTGTTTTTGTGGTTCCCAGGATGCTTGCAGATCCTGCCTTCCTTTACAAGCTTCTCTTAGAGCAGTTTGCAACACTTGGTTGCTCTGTGTGGTGGGAGTTTAAGAATCGCGGAGACAGGTATTTTTCTCTTCTTCGCATTTTGTTTGCTGAGCTGGGCGTAAGTCTGACATTGGGGGATTATTGCTGAACCGGTACTTAATTTTCGCTGCTGCTGGTGATTATTATAGGATAAAGCAAGAATGGGACCTGGCCCTTGTAAATGTATTGACTGTGACAGCATGCAATGCCTTTGTGGTTTGGTCGCTTGCCCCTTGTCGTTCATATGGAAACACATTCCGGTTCGATCTACAGAACACACTACAGAAGCTTCCAAACAATATATTTGAGAAGAGCTACCCACTCAGAGAATTCGACTTGCAGAAACGAATCCACTCATTCTTCTTCAAGGCTGCAGAATTATGCATGGTGGGTTTAGCAGCAGGAGCAGCTCAAGGTTCATTGTCAAATGCTTTAGCCTCTAAGAAAAAGGACAGGTAAGCAAACAAGACTGCAATGAAATTGATTTGTCTGGACTAGTCTCTCTCCGGATGGAAATATCCAAAAAAGCTATGCACAGGGTTGTGCTGGTATCTGCATATACTTGTGTTTAATTTTGACAATCCCTTCCCTTATCTTTTCTCCAGGGTGTCTGTGACAGTCCCACCAGTGAGTACATATGCGCTGGGTTATGGTGCTTTCCTTGGGCTTTACGGAAATGTGAGATACCAGCTGTTATGTGGGTTTGATAGAGCGGTGGTCAATCACTTTGATGTCATCGGACTAGCCTTGTTTCTGGGCACAGCTCTGAGGTTTGTTCTTCTTGTAGAAGGGATTAGTGGAATATTCTGCTTATATTGTGGTTGTTTTCGCACTCAACGTTATTTTTATTTCTTGGCATGCAGGATAATGAATGACCAAGCAGGGGAAGTGTCAAGGCTAGCCTGGCTAGGGGTGGAGGTAGATCCTCTTGCTCAGTCAGAGAACCTTCTGAAGGCGTACAACAGGCCAACAACATCAGAGGATCTTGATGCAGCATCATCATCCTCAAAGTGGTTCATCTCAAAGAAGGCCTTAGTTTCAGGGCTGGGCCTCCTCGGCATCAAACAAGGTAATGCAGAGTCTAGTGGCAGCGAGTCAGCAGCTAAGCCCCGCAGGAAGAGAGTAGTCCGGAAAAAGGTGCCTGCTGGTTCAGCATAAGCGATTACGCGTGAGTAAGTTGTTGGTCACCTCAAATCCAATTTTGGCCTCCTGTTAGACGCGACTTGAAGTTTCCATAGAGCGAGTCATGAGTGTAGGATTATGAATGGGGGAGTAAGTGAAGCCTACCCATGAGTTTATATACTATGGTGGTGGTAAAATGATAATAGGCGTCTTGCCTGAAGGACCGGCTCTCAGCCTGATAGGCCAGTACTATTTTCCGGGATGAAATGTTGGTTTATATTCTGGCTCAACTCTTTCTTCTTCTTTCTGGCAATTCCCCCACCTTCTCTTCTCTCTCTCTCTTATGGTGTAGGGATATTGGCATTGTTTGTGTAGTAATGCATTCGTGATTCCTGGACTGCAAATTTTTGTAATATGGTAGAGATACTTGAGATTTTTGTTCTGAGTTGGCTGTTCATAGCTACTACCATATGAAATAAATAAGTGATGCTTATTGCTCTGGGTATGAGTTTATGCATGTATTATGTAGATATCTGTATCTATTTTGCAAATGTAGATTTTTAAAATGCAGCCAGGTTTGAACTTGCACCAAGGTTGTCAACCCGTGGGTTGACCCGCGGGTCGACCCACTTTGACCCTGATTCGGTGAGAAAAACGGGTCATACGCACCCGTCGGGCCGACTGTTACAAGGTACCGAGTTGGAGGTCAAATTGTGTCATTTTTTTTTTTGGTTTGTGAAATGCGCCTATTTTCCGATTTTTCTTTTCGCCTAACTCAATCTTTGGAATCCTAAGTTGAACATTTGAATATTTATGCTATATAAGTGTGTGTGAATTTTCACTATATGTTGGATCTAAGTACGATATGTTATTTTGGTGTAATATTATATGTTATAAGTCATATGTTAGATAAGATTTGATATAATTTATGAGGATAAGTACAATATAATGACTTTTTCTATATTTCCGGGCCAAACCGGGCTAAAACGGTTGACCCATTAACCTAACCCTTGACCTACTAGCTCGACCGGGTCCGGGTCAACCCGCGGGTTGACAACCTTGACTTGCACTGTACATGGCCTTGATTAGTCCATATTTTGGAGGTAACTGTTTCAGCTTTGTTGATCAATAACTGTGGATTGGAAATCTGCAGTGATATGCAGATATGGACCAAATATCAAAAGCATGGTGGGTTTTATTATTTTAAATGCTTTATTTATGGCACCATCAGTCTCATCTACCTCATCATTGAATGTTTGGTGTCTCTTCTATTATTGGGGTTCTTCTTGATGTATCCGCCTAAACTTCCTATCTTGTTGTTTATCCCAATTCCCAGCCAAAACTGAGCTGCTGCTCATTCTGTAAAATCTCTCATTCTTGTTATCAATCAAGGTTTTCATATACTGTTTCATAGAGCGGGAGCTCCGCGCCTCCGATGTTATCTGCCAAGTGAAAGTGGGAAGACGATGACACTCATTCTACCAACCAACAAAGGGAGATTCTTTCCGTCATTCTATGCATCACCCCTTGTAATTTGTATATTCAACTAATTATGCACATTTAGGTAGGTTGAGTCAGGGTGTGTTTCATGCCTTTTAAGTGTTTTCAACCACCCAACCAAGGAGTTATGGGTTGAACCATGGTAAATCAAATTCGCCCATTAATTTATACGGTTTTTTTTTAATTCATGGTTTAATTGTGCATTGTGATTTAGATTGCGATTTCTAAATCTCTCACAATTCAGACCGAAACGTAGAATATGATTTACATTTATGATTTTCCATACGATTTGGTCTGGATTCACATCCTTACTCGTGTTTCTTTGGTATTGGAGTTATGATTTCTCAAATCTGGAAATAGAATGTGGGCCGCTGTTTACTTTGAAAAGTCCATGGGGAGTGACATTTGTGGCCAACCCAAGTCAATCAAAGCCCACTCTTAAACGACGACGTACCAATTGGGAATTCCGAATTTGCAATTGCGCAGAGAAGATCCAACAGTCTTTCTTTCTCTCTTCCACTTATCCTTCGTCTGATAAACACAGGAAAAAAAAGACCATTCCCCAATTCTTTCAACAACTCGCCGGCGGCGGCGGCTAGTCCTCCCGGCCAACCCAATGGCTCCGCAACCGCTGTCACAGATCCTCCCCACCCTCAATTACTGGCTCGTCGACCATCCCCAGATCCGCCACTTTACCTGGTCGCCCGGTCAAACCTTCGCCTCCACTCCCCAATTCGCCGCCGCCGCCGTCCTCACCTACCTCTTCCTCACCCTCCTCCTCCGCCGCCTCCCCCTCCCCGTCCTCCCTCCTCCGATCCTAAAACCCCTAACCGCCGCCCACAGCCTCGTCCTCTTCCTCCTCTCCGCCGGCATGTCCGCCGGCACCCTCCTCTCCATCTTCTCCCCCACCAACTCCCCTTCCCCTCGCCTCCGCCACGCCGTCTGCTTCCCCCCCGACACACCGCCGTCCGGCCCGCTCTTCTTCTGGGCCCAGATCTTCTACCTCTCCAAATACCTAGAATTCGGGGACACGCTCCTCATCATCCTCAGCAAGTCGAACCAACGGCTCACGTTCCTCCACGTGTACCACCACGCCACCGTTGTCGTCATGTGCTACCTCTGGCTCAGCACGGCCCAGTCGCTGTTCCCGGTGGCGCTCGTGACCAACGCGACGGTGCACGTGGTCATGTACGGCTACTACTTCTGCACCGCGCTGGGGTCCCGGCCCCGGTGGAAGAGGCTGGTCACCGATTTTCAGATCGTGCAGTTCGTCTTCAGCTTTGGAATCTCTGGATTGATGTTGTACTACCACTTCGCCGGCGGCGGGTGCTCCGGGATGGCTGGTTGGTGCTTCAATGCCGTTTTCAATGCCTCGTTGCTTGCGCTTTTCGTTGATTTCCACGGGAAGAGCTACGCTGCCGCGAAGAAGAGGAAGGCCGCGGCGGAGAAGATTGGTTCCGGTTGCGATAAAGTAAGGGATAAGAAGAGGCAATGATTTTGTGATCTTTTTTTCAATAAGTGTGGGTTTTGTCGTGGTGCATTGGGTAAGCAATTTTCCGATTAAGAAACGGCGAGTAATACAAATTGGAGGGAAATTGGGTTATGAATAATGAACCCCCTTCCTCAAATTCACCAAAAAAAATTGCGAAAAATCTATCATTGTCTGCTGTTACAATACCGCATGTCAAAGGTTGTCAACCCGAGAGTCGACCCGCTTTGACCCTGATCCGATGAGAAAAACGGGCCGCACGCACCTGCCTGGTTGACCGCTATAAGGTATCGGGTTGAAGGTCAAATTGTGTCATTTTTTTCTTTGGTTTGCGAAATGTGCCTATTTTCCGATTTTTCTTTTCGCTAAACTCAATCTTTGGAATCCTTAGTTGCACATTTGAATATTGATGTTATATAAGTGTGTGAATTTTCACCATATGTTGGATCTAGGTACGACATGTTACTTTGGTGTAATGTTATATGTTACTACTCATATGTTAGATGAGATTTGATATAATTTATCAGGATAAGTACAATATAATGACTCTTTTCATATTTTCGGGCTGAAACGAACTAAAACGGGTGACCCATTAACCCTTGACCCACTAACTCGAACGAATCCGGGTCAACCCGCGGGTTGATAACCTTGCCGCCTGTCATCACTACAAGTAGGGATGGCAACAAAATCCGAACACATGGGTACCCACCCGACCCAACCCGGTCAACGCGGGTAAAACCCGTGTTGACGAGTTTTGGGCCGGGTTCGGGTTTAAACCCGCTACACTATTCACCGGGTCGGTTGGGTTTGGATTTAGGTAAACCCGCCCCATGGGTACCCGCCCACACACATATAATTACTTTCCCTGTATATTTAATATTCTAAATAATATATCTTCCTTAAACAACTAATATTCTTTATGTTTTGTGGAGACATTTATAATTTGTTCTTTCTAATTGTTTAGAATGAAGTTGATATTATGAAGTGAAGAATGAAGAAACTTAGTTGACGAGGAAGAAGCTTTTAATTAATCTTATTGTTTATAGATGTTTATCTTTAATTTTGAACAATTTGTATTGATCATTTGCGGTTTGCTTGTATGCTCTAGATTGGTGTTTTTTTATGATTAATTTGTATGAGAAAATTGATGTTAAAACTTTTATTTTGAAAGAAACTTGTTATTGTAAATTTTTTACTAGAAAAACCCACGGGTACCAATGAACCCGCGGATATCCAGCGAGTTGGGTTGGGTTTGAGTTTTTCAAACCCAACGGGGTTTACCTCGAGTTTTTTTGAGGATAAACCCATGGGTTTGAGTTTGGGTTTGACAAAACCCGCCCCAACTCGACCCATTGTCATCCTTAACTACAAGGAAAGCCAACTATGAATCCAACAGTATTGTTCTCCCTTGGACTCCCTTTTTATATACAAGTGCCAATATCAACTAAGCATTCTGACTTCTGGGCTGGGCTTCAAAACTGGTTATGAACGATTAGCCTTGGCCCATATTAAGTGACCTAAGCCATGGTGGTGACGACAAATCTATCCAGAGAATAGAATCCATGTTTACTACCCTGGAAGAAGCCCATGATATATCTAACCTTTCAGTTTGGACTTTGGAGACCAGGGCGAAACCGTGCACTCCAGCCTATCGAGCTGATTCCACATTAACCATCCTAAGTTTGACCAATACAATTAGTTGATTACTCTTGAATTAAGGAATAATCGGCTGATTAATTTCCTATTCATTAAAGGAAACCATCCCTCTTCCAACTCCAGTCTTCAGCATGGTAAAGGAAACCGTACCGGAAGTCATACCGGCTCTGCCAGTGGTAGGGTATTTTGTGGTACTACCGTGGTTCAATCGTTGTGTACCGGCAAAATACCGTTTTTGTAATTAAATAATATTTTTTTGTTAAAAAACCGTACCGGCAGATTCGGGATACCGTTTCGGAATAATACCGGAATATAACCGGAATATACCGGATAACAAACCTGAATAAACTAAATAAGCATATTTAATATAAAATTCAACAAACTGCAACATTACTGAATTAACTACATAATCGTTCAAATGCATGTTTAGGATCGAGTACAAAACAACCAAACAACATTCTTAAACCATCTACTTCAGTGACTAATTTGAAACAAAAAAAGGACATTGAAACAAAAAAACTTATAATCCTTATTTCACACATCTATTTCAGTGACTGGTTTCTTCAAAATCTACAAGTTCGACTACTAATTTGCTTGTGATCAAACTTCAATATGATCAAATAAAACAAGTGAGACAAAGGCTAGACTTCCTTTTAGATGTGCATCTGATGTAATGCACTTCACCAGTTGAAGCTGGCCTTCTAGAGAGAACTATCGGAAGGGTGGGCAAAGCAGAGAGGGAGAAATGAAAAAGAAAACCCAAAGGTGAAACCATTAAACAAAATGCTTACCTGCTGCTGTGAATTCCTTTCTCTATTATTGGCTAAACACTATTTCAGGAGATGGAGTTAGCTTGCAGTATTTCATATTTTGTGCCTACACAAAAATTTAGCAAAGAACCCTCTTAAAAAGAAGTAACGAGGAGGTAGCAATAGAGAATTACAGCAAGTTGTTCATCCATGTAGACTGTAGTAGCGAAAATAACAACAAAGAGGTAAGCTGAATTACTTGGCATAATGGACAGAGATGGCCGCAAGATAGTAGTTGTGAGTCCATTTAGGTGATGTGATATGATATGCTACCTTCCATAGCTGCACATGCTTCACCGTGAACTGTTGTTTATCTGAGTCTGTAGAGAACCAGAAATACAATCAGAATAGATTGCAAAGGAATGTCAAGATTGGACTAATAGCTGCACAAAACTGTTATTTATGGGCTACCAGTTATCACAGTAGCAACTGCAGTCCCCCCTATGCCAAAATTGCAAAGGAATATCAAGATTGGATCTAGGATTGCATTCAGCAAGTTGCCAAAACCAGCATAGTCAGTACATACAACCACAACCGATCAACTTGCTAAATTGAAACATCCAATCAATTGAAACACAACTTCACAATCACACCATGCAAACACAAAAGAAACCCTCTTAATTCCCTTCAGTCTCCATTGTTCTGCTCCGTCTCTTCTTTGGCCTATATTCATTCCAATTTTGCGATTCATTCAAAGATGGGGGAAGATGTTCGCCGTCCAACCATACCTGCTGCCGCCGTGTCTTCTTGAGCAAGGGGGGAGTCGCGTGCCGGTGCCGGAGACGCGTGCCAGAGCAGCGGCGGAGTAGTGGCGGAACAGAGGCGGAACAGCCTGGAACAGAGGCGGAGCAGCCTTGAGCAGGGGAGGGAGTCGCGTGCCGGTCGCCGCCTCGCCGGTCGAGAAGAGGGAGGATCGCCGGGCCCTGGGTCGCCGCTCGAGAAGAATACGCCGGTCGGGAAGAGGAGGGAGGATCGCCGGGCTGGTCGTCGCTCGAAATGAAGTGGGAGGTCGCCAGCAGCAGCAAACGAAGGAGGACGAAGCGCCGAGAAGATTTAGGGTTTTGCTTTTGAGGCTTCGGCCGATTTTTTTTTTCCCTTTACCACAAAACGACGCCGTGTCGTTCCAGTTAGCTGACCCCCGGTCAGACCAAAACCGGGCGGCTTTCTGAGTTGAACCGGTTTTACCGGTAAAACCGGCCGGGACGACTTCTTCACCACAAACCGCTTGTCGTATCGGCCAGACTCCGATTTCCGGTTTTACCGGTTCAACCGGCCGGTACGATCCGGTTTCCTTTACCATGGTCTTCAGTACTACCCTGAACAAACCCAATCCTAAACCCACTAGGGAAAAATTGTAACATCTGTTAGCCACCATTGATTCTGCGCAAATTAAATCAAGGAAAAGAACCATGCATAGCGAGTAACTCTCAAAATCATGTAAAGTTATGTTTGAGCCTAACTGGGCCTAGGAGGGAGACTCGGGAAAATGGGTCAAGGAGAGTAAGCAATGAGGGGATTACAAAGAGAATTGAGAGAGAAATATCTTAGGGAGAGAAGTCGATGATTTTAGAGATAGAGTCCGAACAATCCGATCCCCTCACCCACCGGAGTAAATGCCCTCTTTATAGGCTACATGGTGGTGGGTGAGTGGTTGAGTTACATGTGAGGACAATGACATGATCACTGACATGTCAGGGATTTAGACCATGCTTATACCTAGGACATGTCAGAGGCCTACCTATGACTGTGCTTAGGGTTCTGATGTGACTACTCCTCGGGAAGCGAGACGACGCTTTCTGCGGCTCTTTGGTCTGGTTAACGCCTTGATCCTTCCGCGTGCGCGTAGCCTGTGTCGCGTTCGAGATCTTCGCGCTAGTCTGCCTTCACAGCGTCGCGCTCAAGGGCTTCGCGCTGAACCGCTCTGGGATCTTCGCGCTGGGAGTCTTCGGTCGCGTCGCGTCCCGCAGGGTTTGGCGGCATTTGGGGTAGCGTTGGTGCGTTCCTCTGGCGCGTCTAGGTCCGAGTCACATGCCCAACAAGTTACATGCAAATTCTGTAATGAATTGGCAAAATATAGTAGTTGATAAAACGTTAGCCTGCCCTCTCGCGCAACTGTGTTGAAACTTGAAAGGGAGTAAATTGGCGCGATGGGCGTGTCCTGGTCCTGGGAATGGGTCTGTAATTTCTTCTGCACCTGGCTGTAATTAGTGCTGTAGCTGATATATATATATATATATATATATATACACACGATTATATTATGATTGTTCTTCTCTTCGTGCGGTTGAGGCAGCGACAGTTGATGAGATGATGGGAGGCCATATGCCAACGGCAATGCCATGCACTCACTCTCTGGGCGCGCGTTATAATTACTACTTACCACCTTACAACCATCAAACTGCAGGCCGACTTCCCCACTGTCCCCGTCCTCTCTGCATATGCTTTCATGGCTACCTGTTGTTGGAGTTGAGCTGACCATGGAATAAGAATATAAATTTTATTTATTATATTTTTCGATACATTATTCTTAAAAAGAATAATACCAACATAATTTTTTTTTTGTACATTAATACATCTATTTGAATACTTTGAAAAATAAAAGCATGGCATCCTACAAGATCTGCACAATCCCCTTACTTTGTTCATTAAGAACTTGAAGTATAAGCTCATCAATCTTCAACTATTCATGCTTCAAAACTTCATTGGAATTTGCTGCTCCAACAACAACGTTGTAACCGCTACCCAATATCCTCGTCAGACATACTTGCACAAAAGAACACAAGATGTGTGTAGTGCCGATCGAGGTAAAGATTGTGGTTGGGTAAGTAACTGCTGGAAATTGAAAGCAATAAGTTTAAATGAATGGGAATGAGATGGTGTGAAAATAAATGGGAGAGGTTGATCGGCAGGCAGGCAGGCAGGACTTTTGCCAGAATGTTATCAACTGTACCAGTGGCGAATCCATAAATTTTTTATAGGGGTGTTCTCTTTAAAAAATGACAAATAAATAATTCATAAATAAAAAAATACATGACTAGTACAAATTTAACAAATGGCCACGACATGTTTTCATATTATGAAAAGAATATAGAATATACTCGACGTCGTCACTGCTCAACAAATCTATATATATCATACTAGACAATATTTCACGAATTGATCGCATATTCAATTTCTAACCTTGTTCATAATATAGAATATACTCGACATCGTCACTGCTCAACAAATCTATATATCATACTAGACAATATTTCACGAATTGATCGCATATTCAATTTCTAACATTGTTCTTTATGTAACTCAAAGTTGAAAGACTCTTTTAACTCTTGCCGTGTAACTATAAAATCAATTCAAATTAAGGATAGCCCGTAATTAGTTTAGTTGTTAGGTTTTAAAAATAGTTGGGGATAAGGAATAATTTTTTTTACTATTTCATAGTGTTTAAATAGAACAAGAAATGAGTTGCAACCTAGAGTATATGTTTAATAATAGTAGTGTCCTATGTTCGAACAACACAAACTACCATTTATATTTATTTTAATCTTACACAAACTACTATCAAGAGTAGTGTAATCATTTTGTTCAAATTTAAGGGTGTTCCGGATTACCAATTATAACTTTTTTCGATACGAAACTATAACCGGGGATTAGATAATCGTTATTCCCCGGACACCACTAAATATCCATGTATCCGCCACTTAACTGTACTGCACAACCTTTTTTATATATATAAATAAATGTCTCATCATTCTCTCTCAGTCCTGTTTCTGTTCCTATTTATATACATTTCTTATAATTTCTTCTGCATCTTCTTTTTCCTTTGTCACCCAATTCATCAATGCACTAGTGATGTCTCCCCTCCTTTACTTCTTCATTCTTTCTCTCAATCCACACTGTTAAAATCAAGTGACTGAGTCTGCTGGGAGAGCTTGCCAACCTATTTAGACAACTTGACAGTGTCACCTATTATAACTAACTAATAAAGCTTCTGACTTCTTCTCAAAGAAACAAAGTCAAGCTTTTTTGACAGAAGAAGAGAAATTTTACATGCATGTAATCAATGTTATAGTAAAAATCTGTAATATAGCAATTGAAACGATATAATAACCTCAAAGGGTTGGTCTAGTGATAATGCGGGTAATGATAAATTTCTCTATGCAATGGAATTAATAGGAGAATAAATGTGAAATGAGAGTGGTCGGTAAGTAGTAATCAATATATGACAAATCTCTCAAAGCTCGCTGATAGAAAATACAGCTAGCTATACACTCTTCGTCGTAGGCCACATTTAAACCCCTTTCATTTTCATTTCCATGTCCATTTTCTTTCTTTCCTCGTTATAGTGATGGCAATGAGACGAGACGAAATTAATAGGAGAATAAATGTGAAAGGAGAGTGGTGGGTAAGTAGTAATCTCCCCATCTATAAACCTCTTCTCCCTCACTCCCTTCCTTGCTCATCACACAAGCACAATGGAGTTCATCTTCTCCAGCCTGAAACACTTAGTTGTAGAAACCCTCATCCCCATCTCCCCAACCTTCCAAACCCTACAGTACTACCTCGTCAAACACCCACGCGTCCACAACTTCGAATGGCACCAAGGCCAAACCTTCGGCTCCTCCATCACCTTCCTAACCCTAACCATCCTCCTCTACCTCACCCTCGCCTTCCTCCTCTCCCGCCGCCACACCACCACCTCCCCTTCCACCACCGCCACCGTCCCTCCCCTCCTCCTCCGCCTCCTCACCGCCGCCCACAACGCCTTCCTCCTCTCCCTCTCCGCAGCCATGGCCGCCGGCTGCGGCCTCTCCATCCTCACCGTCCTCCCGGACGTCGACCACCTCATCTGCTTCCCTCCCAACACCCGGCCCAAAGGCCCGCTCTTCTTCTGGACCAACGTCTACTACCTCTCCAAGATCTACGAGTACGTAGACACCTTGCTCATCGCCCTAAGCTCCTCCGCCTCCCGCCGCCTCTCCTTCCTCCACGTGTACCACCACGCCTCCGTCGTCTTCATGTGCTACGTCTCCCTCCACACGGCGCAGTCCATGTACCCGGCCGTCGTCGTCGCCAACTCGGCCGTCCACGTCATCATGTACCTGTACTACTTGATGTGCTCGTTGGGGAAGCGGCCCACGTGGAAGAAGGTCGTCACCGACACCCAGATCGTACAGTTCTACTCCGGCTACGGGATCATGGCTCTCATCTTCTACCGCCACTTCACCGGCCCGGGCTGCTCCGGGGTCTTGGGGTGGTGCTTCGACGCCGTGTTCATCTCCTCGCTTCTCTACCTGTTCCTCGACTTCCATGCCAAGACTTACGGGGCCGGGATGGCGGCGAAGAAGGTGAATGGGGATGGAGTTGACGACTTCGCCGCCAATAAGCCGCTCAAGCAAGCTTAGGTGAAGGTTTCCCCTGCCGGTTGAGCAGGAGCACATGAATTAAATTTATTACTACGGGTTTAATTTGCATGGAGGGAGGGGTCAATTAATGATTAATCTTATATAATAAAAAATGATTAATCAGTACGTGTCAGTAATTAGTGGCTTTGATTCCGTGTATTGGTAGTCAATATTTGTAATGTTTAATTTTCGGTTTATTCTGTAATGTATGTAAACTTTGTTATTTTTCTACACTATGTTTGTAATGTTCTTTATGTTTAAAAAATAATTTGATTGACTTTTGGATGAAACTCATCTATATAGAGATGGTGTCTCCAAAGTCAGCCCGGTTGTTTTTCATTTTATATGGTTTGTATTGTTTGACGATCTAGTTTGTATTGTTTGAACAATTTGTATGTTTTGTATTATTTTTTCAATTTACTCTTTGTTGCTAGAAGTTATTGCAATTTTCCTTTTGGATTTTGTCGTAATCGGACCGCTCAATTAGTACGATATTGTTCGTTTTGGGCCAAAGCTCGCACGGTTTTACTCTTGGGTGTCCTCCCCAAAAGACCTCGTACTAATTGGGCTAGGTGGACACTAATATACAAGGGTCCATTCCCTTGTATTATCGATGTGGTACTTGGATTGCCCTCATAACAATTCTCCCCTCAAGCCAAGGACCACGAACTTTTTGTGTCCTCTCCTCAGCGATTTTCATGATCCGCCATACACCTTGTATCGATGGGCTTCTAGGTACAAGGACTTTACCAGACACATACCTCTCTTCGATCTGCTTCCCAAATGCGGAACTCTCTTTGATCCGCCAAGCCCAAACGTGGATCTCTATTGGATCCACCAAACCAGACGCAGATCTCAAATCCCGAGGTCACCGAATGAGGGTTCCGGACGCAGATCTCAAATTCCGAGGTCACCGAATGAGGGTTCCACCAAACTGACGTCCACCGTCCCGAACCGAGCCATGCTCTGATACCACTTGTCGAAATCGTGCCGGTGAATTAGTACGATATTGTCCGCTTTGGGCCAAGCCCGCACGGTTTTACTCTTGGGTGTCCTCCCCAAAAGGCCTCGTAGTAATTGGGCTAGGTGGACACTAATATACAAGGGTCCATTCCCTTGTATTACCAATTTGGTACTTGGATTGCCCTCATAACAGATTTCTTTTTGATTTCTCCGTCATAAAAAACATCTTCTCTACACAACTTCATCTTCACCATCAATAGTCTCTTAGCTTCCTTCTTCTCCTGCCTTTTATTGAAAACCACTTTAATTGTAAAAAGTTTGAAAATGTGAAACATCTTTTCACTACGCTAGAATTCACCTCATGTAAATCAAATATTTCAACCATTCGCTTTTTCCTCCTATCACAGATATTTCTATATCAACCATCAATAATCTCTTTCTTTATCTCAATAACGACCTTATCTCCATCTCTGAATTCACTACCTCTGATATTAGCATATTCTTCTTTCTTTTCCTACATTTCATTGATGCAAAAATTTAACGGCAAAATTTTTTGAATTATGAAAACTCCATTTTCAAGAACATAAATTTAACATGTACATGCCATGAACTTTGCGCGAGATTGCACTTCTTCATTCTTCATTATCTTCAAAACTGTGTACCGACTCATGGGGTTCGCTATGTTGTAATTTATGAGCTTCATACAGAAATTTATCTTCGTGCTCTGTTTGTATGAGATGAGAAGGTGAATGTTATCTTATTTTGTCACTATCTTTGAGTAGTTTCTCAACTATCATTCCAAAAAGTCTAGCTTCCTCGTGATACAAAGTTAGATTAAACAAATATTGTCTATAGCTCACAACTAATCCTGAATCTATAAAATAACAACAATTGAGATATATTATTTGGTTGAAAATTTTATATTTTAGTGGGTATGTTGTTTTCTCACTAATGAATGAACTTGAAGTTAAAAACAATTAAAGAGTAGAGGTAGGTCGTTACTAACTATACTATTGTCTTTGGTGTTGTTGTATAATTCATTAATTCTTATAAAATTGTCCATCATAGTTTTCTTTAACTTTTCTTTGGCAAGTTACAATTAATATATATGGTTTTTCTAACCCATTTAAAATCAGTGGAAACGAATGAGATATAGTCCGCTAATTTGTGAGAAATTGAAAGTTCCTTAACAATAGCTCTTGAGATTTGAGCCAACTGTAACTAAAGGAGGTTATGCACCAAAATTCTGACCCTTTTACTTGATTGTTTGAAGATCATACTGGAACACTGTTTAGTCAATAAGATGATTCTCCAAGGTGAATATATTTTCGAGGCGTAAAATCAATAAATACAGTATTAATAATTGTATGAGTTGACTTAACAACTCAAAATAATGTTGAAGTAGTTATAACATAAAAAAACAATATGTTACTTCCAAAGCAATTTTTGATAAGAATTATCATCATACTAATATTTGTTCAAAACCAAGCAAGTTATAAATCTCTCGCTAATATTTGATCAAAACCAAGCAAAGTTATGAAAAAAGAAAGAAAATGGAGTTGTCGGTTTTCTACTATGTAAAGAAAACTATACATCACAAACGTAGTCTAAGGTGGTATGATCTTATAATTTTTTTTTATTATCATTTCCGAGAAAAAGAACTTGCGAAAGAAATTATCTAGCTACTGATTTTAAACTTTGAACGTCTAGTCTCTATATAGAGATTGTAATCTATATTTTATCACGACAAGAGACAAATCAATACCTAAAAGAAGAATTGAAATAAACAATTAATTAATTAAACAATCATTAAAAATTACATTCATAAACCTTCTCACTATTATCGATTCTCATTAACGCGTTGAACTTTTCTATTTTGTATTTTTTTATGAAAAACCTCAAATCCAAATTAATAATTGAAAGTATTTGATTTATTTAGTAATTTAATTAAGAATTAGTTAATTAGAAAAGTCACATATATAAGAGTTTGCCTCAAACACTCAATCTTATAATAAAAGAAATTAAATAAATAAACTAAATCACATATAGATACCCACTACAAAACCTTATAATAAAAAGAAAGTTATCAATATAATAATTGGTTTTATAAAAGTTTCCAACGACATCTTTTTTTCCATTAGTATAATTTATGAATGGTATTTTATTAATTAAGATGAGAAAAACATCCTTCTTAAATTCACTCAAAAATGCTGGAAATTTAGAATTAAACACATTTTCATGGATCCTTCTTAATTTATGTTAGGATTCTGACTTCTGGGCTGGGCTTCGAAACTGGTCATGAACACACCAAGGAAACCCTATTCCATGGACGGTTGGACCCAATCCACATTCAACAATTAGCCTTGGCCCATATTAAGTGACCTAACCCTGGAAAGCCCATGATATATATAACCTTTCAGTTTGGACTTTGGAGACCAGGGCGAAACCGTGCACTCCAGCCTATCGAGCTGATTCCATATTAACCATCCTAAAATTTGACCAATATAATTAGTTGATTACTCTCGAATTAAGGAATCAGCTGATTAATTTCGTCTACATTAAGGAAACCATCCCTCTTCCAACTCCTGTCTTTCACTACTACCTGAACAAACCCAATCCCAAACCCACTTAGGAAAAATTGTAACATCTGTTAGCCACCATTGATTTTGCGCAAATTAAATCAAGGAAAGAACCATAATGTAAATTTTGTAATGAATTGGCAAAATATAGTAGTCGATAAAACGTTAGCCTGCCCTCTCGCACAGGGGCTGAGCTAGCATTTAGTGCTGGGGGCCGGATTTCATAATACATTACCGCAAAAGACTATAAAAAATACTAATAATTAAAATATTTAGGTTTAAAAATCTATTTTTTATACTAATTTTGTTTTATTATAACCATATAAAATATTTTTCACATTATATTTACTATAAATTAGAAAAAGAAAAAATAATGTATTTCAAGAAGCAAAAGCGGTAATTAATTGATGTAAACTACAATTTAAAAAAGGAAATAAAAATTACAAAGTTAATGACTAAAGTATCTAATACCCGCTTACTATAAAACAAAAGGAAGGAGAAGTTGTAGTTTATGTAAACTACCATAAAAGTAATTAACATAGGGGAAAGCTGTAAACGGCTTCCCTTAACCAAAAAAACAATTAACCTAGTGAAAAGGTGTAAAATGCTTCCCTTTGGCATCTAACCCAAGACCTTTGGGTGATAAAATAGTTCATCTTCTCTGGGTTATAAGAAACTTTATGTCTTAAGTTTGCACGATTTATGTTTTATATAAAAATTATAGTTTGTACACACGATCCCGACTTATTTATACGTGACTTTCGAGATTCTCGGGGGGGTCGGGGCCCCCGAGACATGGTGTAGCTCCGCCCCTGCAGTCTCGCAACTGTGTTGGAAGCGACAGTTGATGAGATGATGGGAGGCCATATGCCAACGGCAATGCCATGCACTCACTCTCTGGGCGCGCGTTATAATTACTACTTACCACCTTACAACCATCAAACTGCAGGCCGACTTCCCTACTGTCCCCATCCTCTCTGCATATGCTTTCATGGCTACCTGTTGTTGGAGTTGAGCTGACCATGGAATAACTAACATGCATGTTCATCACAACCAAACCGTATATCACAGTCTTGTCAAACTGTATGACGTCGTCGGCCAGTACATGTACAGATTCAGTCGCGCGTATTGGACGAAAATCGACTGATGATAGATCACCAGTATGAAAGCGGTGGTCGAAATCGGTAAACAAATCTATTGAAGATTTGAAACCGCGAGAAAAGAGTGAGACAGACCACAGTGGTCAATTTTTTGGGTCCCTAAAGAAAACGGTACCCCAATTATATCATATACCACTTGCTAAATCGGACCGGTTTCACTTATAATGTATATGCAGCTTATTATTGAAAGAAACCTTATCATAATTAAGAAGGTGTAAAAACTGGTCATCCCCAGACTGTACGTTCGTTATGAACTGTCTCTGTCAGTAATACATCAATTGTTGGGACGGGAGGGAGGAAGAAGAATGGGGCGGCAGAGCAGAGTAGTGAATATTGGCAGCCAGAGACTGGTTTCTTGTTCAAAGCCAAAGGGAGGGAGAGGTATATTTATGGGGACAAGCTAGCTAGATCATCATGTGCATTATCGACTAACCATAAAAACCCTAGCTAGCCAGCAGTGGACGACTTTGCCCAACTTGCTAGCTAATTACTACCCATATAAATAAATGGTCATGGATGGCAGTTCGGTTATTTCGGTTATAACCGGTAACCGATCGGTCGGTTATCGGTTAACCGAAATAACCACCATCCCTTCCCTACCGAACACCGATCGAAATAGGCTTCGATTTCTCGGTTATCTCGATTATCGGTTGACCGAATCACTTTTAAGACCAAAAATCATTTCGTCCACCCTCCGATAACCGACCGAAGTTCAATTACTTTGATTACCGATTAGTGGATAACCGGCCGGTTAACCGGTAACCGGTAACCGAACGGCCACCCCTTATAAATGCACACCACGCACTGCGCGCCTCTCTTCTAAGTTCTAACTCACTTATGTAACCAACTCCAGGCCATATTGACCATGCAAATAACTATAACATACACTTAATTTAAATGTGTGTAATTAATGATCGATCTGATTAATTATAAACTGCAATATAATTATCATCGATTTGTATGTGTAGCATAGGCATGCATATTGACCATAAATTGTTCAAAGTCTCTTACAGCTAGAGACAACGGACATACTTGACTAGCTAGCTAGCTAGTCACGTTGATATATTGTCAACAATTAGTTTATTTCAATAGCTTAATATAATAAGATAAAAAAGAAATAAAATTAAACGATACACGCGGAATTACTATCTTAATAAATCATGCCAATTCCTACACTAATTAACGAAGTCCACCTTAATTTCCATGATCAATGCCAAGAACGTGAGTGTCACTGCCACTCAATTATTTCGGATTTTTTTTTTTGTCGTTAAACCTGTCAATTATTTTGGATATAACTCAAAGAGTTGGGTGGTGGGACGTTGTTCAGTTATTAATTAGTTGACATATATTTATATTTTCTGTATTTTATTTGGTCAACAATCTGACTTTTAACAGCTAACCGACTTTAGACTCGCTCAGGTCCATTAGCGCCAAGGAGTTATCGCGGCACCGTCCCAGATGGGTCAGACGCGTTAGTGCCAACGCGATCAAAACCGCACCCGCGCGAGAATCTCGAGCGCGGGGAAGCCTCCACTCGCGGACAAGAATCCCAGATGCCGAACGACGACGTTTCAACCAAACGTTGACCAGACCAAGAAACCATGAAAACGACACCGTATTCCCCGAAGAGTGGTCACATCATAGTCCTAGGTACAATCATGGGTAAATCTCCTACTCCTAGGTAGAGGTATGGCCTAAAGTTCTGACATGTCAGTAGTCATGTAACCATGTAACTCACCCACCACCATGTAGCCTATAAATATGACATTTACTCCGGTGGGTGAGGGGATCGCATTTTTACTCTCTCACTAGACTTGCGAAGAACTTCATCTCTCTAAGAATTTCCTCGGCCCTAAACTCTCTGTTGTTTACTCTTCTAGCCCATTTTTTCCCCGAGTCTACCTCCTACCCTCAGTTAGACTCAAACAACTCATAAATTGTTTCGCGCGATTGTGTGGCTACCGAGTTAGCTAGGTTGATTAACGACTCATGTACAAATCAATATATAATAACTACTTATGAACTGGTTATGAACTGACATACTTGCACAAAAGAACACAAGATGTGTGCTGTGCCGATCGAGGTAGAGATTGTGGTTGGGTAAGTAACTGCTGGAAATTGAAAGCCATAAGTTTAAATGAATGGGAAGGAGATGGTGTGAAAATAAATGGGAGAGGTTGATCGGCAGGCAGGCAGGCAGGACTTTTGCCAGAATGTTATCAACTGTACTGCACAACCCTCTTTTTTATATATAAATAAATGTCTCACCATTCTATCTCAGTCCTGTTTCTGTTACTATTTATATACATTTCTTATAATTTCTTCTGCATCTTTTTTTTCCTTTGTCACCCAATTCATCAATGCACTAGTGATGTCTCCCCTCCTTTACTTCTTCTTTCTTCTCTCAATCGACACTGTTAAAATCAAGTGACTGAGTCTGCTGGGAGAGCTTGCCAACCTATTTAGACGACTTGACAGTGTCACCTATAATAACTAAAGCTTCTGACTTCTTCTCAAAGAAACAAAGTCAAGCTTTTGACAGAAGAAGAGAAATGTTACATGCATATAAATCAATGTTATAGGAAAAATCTGTAATATAGCAATCGGAACGATATATGATTCCAAAACAAGATCTTTATCACCATATATATATCTCCATCATATTCCAAATCCTTACGCATGATTATCGGTAAAACGGTAAACCGTTTACCACATTTATCTCCATGTTTGTCATATGGTTAACAAGACATTCCATAAGAATGTTTCATTTGGACTCGATCGAACATGTACCGCGATTAACACTAGATTATTGATATCTCGATGGACTACGAATTAAAGCTGCACTAGAGGTACTATTACTAATGTGAGCTTTCTCTATGCTGCAATGGAAAGGAGAGAATAAATGTGAAAGGAGAGGGGCAGGTCAGTCAGCAGTAAACTGTATATTGACAAATCTCTTGAAAGCTTTTGCTCATAGTCATAGCAACAACAAAAAAAAAAAAAAAAAAAAAGCCAGCCTAGCTTACTAGTTACTACCCACGCCACCACACTCTCTTCCATTTCCATGCCCATTCTCTTTCCCCCAACATTAACTTCCCCTCTATCTATAAAATCTCTCCTCCCTCCCTCAAGATCCACCACCACCACCGCCGCCGGCTCATCACCACAAAAATGTACAACATAACGGTGTTCATCTTCTCCAGCCTGAAACACCTGGTAGAAACCCTCCTCACCATCTCCCCAACGTTCCAAACCCTACACTACTACCTCGTCAAACACCCACGCGTCCACAACTTCGAGTGGCACCAGGGCCAAACCTTCGGCTCCTCCATCACCTTCCTAACCCTAACCATCCTCCTCTACCTCACCCTCACCTTCCTCCTCTCCCGCCGCCACACCTCCACCGTCCCTGTCCCTCCCTCCCTCCTCCGCCTCCTCACCGCCGCACACAACACATTCCTCCTCTCCCTCTCCGCCACCATGGCCCTCGGCTGCACCCTCACCATCCTCACCACCCTCCCGGACGTCCACAACCTCATCTGCTTCCCCGTCGGCACCGTCCCAAAGGGCCCGCTCTTCTTCTGGGCCCACGTCTTCTACCTCTCCAAGATCTACGAGTACGTCGACACCTTGCTCATCATCCTCAGCTCCTCCGCCTCCCGCCGCCTCTCCTTCCTCCACGTCTACCACCACGCCACCGTCGTCGTCATGTGCTACATCTCCCTCCACACCGCCCAGTCCATGTACCCGGGGATCCTCGTCACCAACTCCGTCGTCCACGTCGTCATGTACCTCTACTACCTCATGTGCTCGCTCGGGAAGCGGCCCACGTGGAAGAAGCTCGTCACCGACTGCCAGATCGTGCAGTTCTACTCCAGCTTCGGGATCATGGCGCTGATCTTCTACTACCATTTCACCGGGGACGGCTGCTCCGGGATCTGGGGGTGGTGCTTCGACTCCGTTTTCATCGCCTCGTTGCTCTTCTTGTTCCTCGACTTCCACACCAAGACTTACATGAAGAGCAAGAACGAGGTGAACGGTAACGGTAATGGAGTTGTTGATGATGGTGGTTCTGGTAAGGCAGCGAAGCAAGCTTAGGAGGACGACAGGATAATTTAATTTACTGCGGGTTTGCATGGAGGGGTTATCATTTATCAACTTGTCAGTGATTTAGGGGGGGGTTTGATTCGGTGTATTGGTGGTCCATATTAATATGGTGTCCCCACTTTTTTTTTTTTTTTGGTATTTTTCTGTTTTTTGGGTGGTTGGGAATGGGGAGGGGGGGAATTTAAGGCAAAAAGAGATTTTATTTGATGGGGGCAAAAGGGGTTGAATAACTAAGAATGATAGGGTAACGGTGATTTTTTTTTTTTTACCTTGCTTCATCTGGTTTGATGAAGTGTAATTTTTACACTGTGATTCATGTTGTTGTACCACATATGGTTTTGCGCTGGGGGTGACTTGTTGCATATGAATCTGCAATTTTGTTACTGTGCCATGTGGATTTCCAAGATTCGGCTCTGTCGTCGCGTTCACGTTGCACCGGAGGTTTGAAATCGGTCATCTCGTGTATACAATGATGACTGAAAAAGTTGCAGGATGCGTGTGGTTCAGTGAAATGATGTGCGCTGCTAATAAAATCATTTGCGATACTATGTGTTTGACCAATTAAGGAAGGACTTGTCTCATTTGATTAAGAGTTGAAGGGGGGCTCTATTACTTAAACTAGAAAGTCAAACATTGTGTCTTTGTGGAATGAGATTTTGGTACGACAAAGATATATGCCCTAGCTAGTTTTCTGATAATGTGTGTGAATGGATTGCTTGAAGAAGGGGTCTTTTTTGTCTCTTGATAAAAGGGTATTTTCTATTTTTGTTACCTTTGGTGTGGATTGTTGGCCAGCAAAAACTTTTCTCATATTATGATACCCAAAAATTTCGTACAGGATGAAATGGTCCCCGGGTTGCCAAAACCTAGAAGAGTGAAATTCATCCACTACCAACACACATTGATGTAGCGATATATTAATGTGTAGCTGTACCGGCAATAGGATAACGAACGTGGAGGTCATTGGTTCGAATTCGACAAGATCTTCAATACGCTCTTTCCTCCTTTCGGATGTTGTTTATTGACAAGGTGGTTGATTGTTGCCTGCTGGAGTGTGTGTCATGTTTTCGCCATCGAACGAGTACTGTTGCCGGAGTAAGTACTCGGAACCTATGGTATGTGTGGCGAAGAATTACTCGGAGGTGTTCAAACAAGTATGGTAGGGAAACTACAACCAGAATTTTCTGAATTGCAAAACTATGCATGCAGATTCAAACCTGCATATCTGCACCTCTAACTAAGCAGCCACTGTACACTTTTTGTTTTTGTTTCTTCGTCACTCTTTTCGCAATGATTGACGACTATTCATCAGGTTTCTTGCCTTCATTTGCTGATCTGGACTCCTTACTCTCGAATGGAACCACGACCACCCGTGCAGCGGGCACCGTCTCCCAACGCTCCTTCAGTAGGGTTATGAACTTTTTCACCATTTCTTTGCGGAACTCGAGCTCCCGGGTGAAGAGATCAAAGAGGAAAAATGCGAGAATGTACTTGAATGGAACGATGAGAAGGACGGTAGCTGAAGACAATAGCACCAATGCGACCTCCATAGTCACCTGAAAGAAACAAACCTTGAATAAAAAGATTCTGATGTCTCACTACATTCCGTAAGCACAAAACCAAAAGAAGAACTAGTAGAAATCCACAAAAAGAGCAGAGTGTCTGTGACTGTGACCCTCTAAGCTCTCTACTTGAGGAAGCACTACATTGCAAAGCAGACAAATGTCTGAGACTGAGGGTAGCATACCTGTGGTTGACCTGAAAGAAAGATATTTCGTATTTTGAGAAGCGCAACATTGAGATTTTGGAGGTAGTTTTCCACATCTCGCATGGCATCTTTCACAGCTATAATCTTTTCAATGGTATTGGAAGGGGGTTGGTCACGGATAACGATTTTTCCAAATGACCTTCCCAAGCGGCCTTGCCGCTTTAGCCCCTTTAGTGTTAACATCCCAGCTGCCAAAACGATCATCATCGTCGGAAATATATATGACAGCATATTTCTGTAAAGAAGCAGGAAAGATTACACTTTAGATTTGCTGCCACTGGAAAGAACGGGAACAACAAACTAGACAGCATAGTTCTGGTATTGATGGAGCGCCTAATTAGCATTCTTCATAAGACATTTAAAAGCAAGAACAAGATGAACCTGATACCTGAAAATTATGGAATAAGCAAATGCAAGAAAAGATATTGTCAGGTGTGGTTCTTCCCATCGCATCAGCTTTTGGAAATTCTTTGCAGTCACGGATAGAGGGAGTATCAGTTCCTGCATGAATGCAAAATATCAGATAAGTTCCAACCAAAATGATCAGATACTTAGCTACTCGATAATTAATAGAAGACGGGAAACAATACAAGCATTCAAACCTTGAAAAGGTCAATGTTACTTGGTATCCCTTTAAGCATGGCAGCATCTATCGTCTCTTGTGTTTTTTCTGCCACTTTGAATTTTTCTCTACATGTTGAAGCTGCCCTCTCGACTAGGTTCCGTTCAGCAACAACAAGATCTTTACTTAGAACTACACCTTGCCCTTTGGATGAGCTCTTCCAGAAGTTAATGGAAGCACTGGAAGACCAAGAAGGCGATCTCATCATCCACTGCCTTAGGTAAATGCTTCCATCTACGTCAAGCAAATGACTATTGAGTTTTGATACACCATCACTGGGTGGTGTTGCCCCTGGAGTCGGTTGAAAGTCATCATCATTTGTATAGGTCTTAACTAAGGGCCCACCCCAATAGTTAAGAGCCAGACTTTGGCACACGATCTCCCCAAAGGGCGCACTGCGCAAGTACGAGAACTGACCAAGTTTGAGAGGATCATCCACCAATTTCCTCATGAACTGAAGAGCCTGAAGTCTGGCTATGCTGTTAATTGCACCATTGATAGCCCTTTCCTTCCCTTTCTGGGCACCATATACTTGAGACAGTAAGGGATCACCATCCTCAGGTCCAAACTCGGATATGAACTTATGCAGTGAAACAACTTCAGAGATAAATGCATGCCAAGCATCTCGTCTCAACTCCCCTCCCAAGTCAACAAACTCTAACACCAATTTTTCTGATCTGACCCACAAAGGAAATATATGAAAAATGTCAGGGTAATGAAAACAAATAGCAAGAATAAATAAAAGTTATGAATCATTAGATAGAAGGCAACAAACTAGGGTGAGTCATGCGATATGCAGTGAATGCAAAACATTTGACTGGACACACAACTAATTCCAAAGAGAAGGCCAAGAGAACCTCACTCACCCAGAACTTGATCCAACGGAGACTGCAGAATCGAATGCACCTAAGGGTCCAACTTTTGTCTTTTGAACTTGAAATCCATTTCTTGTAAGGTCAAGCCTTGTAGAGCTTTTTTTACCGAGTAGGTCAACAGCCTGCAAGACATGACAAGTTTCATGAGAATATCTTAACAACCAGTACCACAAGCACCACTTGGAAATTCATAGTTAAAAGTTACATTGAGTCATTGAAATATGAAAATGGAACATGTTAGCAACCGCTGACCCAGTTTAAAAGTAAAGTACCTCAAAATAGAGTGCTTTGTCTGTCAAAGTTACTTTCCCTGGCCATGCCATATTATTTTCCCATTTCAGGACAGGCTGCTTCTTGCTAGAACCAATGCACAGGACTCTTTCATTCCGAATTGGAGAATCATCATGAGTCTGGTATGACATTCGAGCGTCATGCACTCTACAGTATTTAAATAGAAATAACAGAATTAGTAAAAACATGAGAGACAAAGTTAATATGCCCTAGAATTAGCTTTCCCTCTAGGTGCACATTTTTCTATTGGGGAGTAAACTGCAAGATTGGCCACTGAACCAGACCTCTTACTGTATTTTAGTGAGTAAGTTTTTTTTTTTTTCAATTCATTTCAGATACCAGATTATACATTTAGTTCAAAACGGGTCACAATTTTATTGCCAAATTCATTTGGGTTACTACGTCATAAATTTGATAATGGATGGGTTAGAATCTACTTAGATGCACATATTTTCAGTTTTATATCCGAGTCATCCATGCCTATTACAAGCTCAAACATAAGTATATTGATTGGCAAATAGAACTTCAAAATAGACTTTAAACAGAAGTGTATATGTGATTTCGTACAATAGATACAAGTGTAAATTCAAATTTCGTAGAAAACAATCAGAGAATCATCACAACTATAAGATATTTGAAGCAATGTTTTAGATCTCATATTCAAGCCATAAGCCTAATTCGTTTGTCATAAGTTCCTGATGAAGAAAACAGTATGTCAGTGACCAGAACTGAAGTATAGTTGTGTGACGAAGATGCTACTACAAGTAACTTAATGGCCTATGTGACATCAGATGTGTAGCTCAGCAACTGAAATCAGACCATAAATAGTTTAGTGAAGTAGATGACACCAGCGTAGTAGGGGGGGGGGGGGGGGGGGGGGGGGGGGGGGGGGGGAGGACATGGAGAAATAATTTGTAGCGAAAATGTTGAATTTTCAATATTAGGAGTATTTGGAACGAGTGCATCCCTCTGTGATGTCAATTATTCTATAGAGTTTACGTGTTGACTGTTGTCGAAGAATTAGCATAAATGTACAAGAGCAGGAAAACCAAGATGACGCTTAAATGAGGAGCTTACTTGAGAAGTTCATCAATATACGTTAACCACACTTCAACTGAGATGCCTCTTTCATCACCAGCCAGGGCTTTGAAAAGGTTATGCACTGTGGAGTGATCAGCAACACCAGGAACAGCTGGAGCAATACGTATAAATGCCTCTTCCCCTACCAGCTTTCCCTTCAGGAAAAGAACAGCAGAAGTTAAAACTCTAGTAAGCACATGAAAGAGAAAAATGAGGCCTTGGAGATGCTAAACCTAATAGCAAACTACTAAACTAAGTTTCCCCTGCTTATAAATTTCCCACTGTCCATTCCTGGAGAAAAGTATGAGTGTATCTTAAGCAAAGATATGTAACCAAAAATACTAAGTCGAAGCCAAAAGCTAGAAACCCCTCTCTCTGAAAACAGACTTCCAGCAACACATACTGTCATTGAAAAGAAAGTGAGGGAAAAAGTGAATGAGTTCCGAGTTTCTGATTACAACATCATGGATCTAAAAGGGATTTACTAGGATGATGGACCGTCCATCCAGTTACTTGGTGACTTATGTTTAGTCCCAATAGATAATTTGGGGTTGATAACAACCACCACACCTTAAGTTCGAACCTTGTGGACAACAATCATCGAAGAAAATTTATGTCACGGATATATGAGCCTAGCTGTTGACTTGTTGCTGATTTCGGGGGATGTTTTCCACTCCCAGATTTTAACATCTTCTCAACAGCGAGAAATGTACACTACAAATGAAAAATGTAAACCTTTAATGAGGCTTCTTCGGAATGATTTGCTTTGCAGTAAGGATTCTCCCATGCAAGCATAGTGATGAAGATTAGCCTCTGAAATGCTGCTTCCTGTAGAAACAAACCAAAAGTTCCCCAAAAGACAAGAAATTAATAAGATAAAGGACTTTGATACCAGCGCAAACATCCCTCAAAAATGACAAGGGAAAAGAAATGCAACAAAGCCAATTTTAGTTCAAAAGAATACGATATAACATTTTCAGTCATAAGAAAAAGGGGGAAGCAGAAATTGGCAGAGGCTAAGGCACACCAAAACTAAGAGTGCCATTGCACCTTCTTGTATGGATACATGGTGTTTGTTTTTTCTGAAATCTAATTGTCATATGGTTGCTATTGCGCAACCAACACAAAAATCCGCAGCCACGATTCCGGAACACAGAAAACTTTACCTAGTGGGTGAAAAACACATGTAGAGAGTTGGACACAAACTTCATATTCCAGTAGAAATGGAAGGCAGTTAATGCACAAACCTTGAGGCATGGATGGAAGGCAGAACTATCCTTGGACACAAACCTAAAGCAGCAATACTCCACAAAGTTACGAGCATCACTATAAACAGGCTCTGCAACAAGTGCTTTAAAAATCTTCTGCATTTTGTATCCGGTCAATCCATTCATCCTGCATACCATAAATCCTTGATCAGTCTAACATGGAACCATAAAATAGCTGTTCCTCGCCCTTAGTAGTGACCCATCCGCAAGGATGTTTCTACGACCAAAAAAAAAAACCCCAACTGAAACATGGGAACTCTAAGGATTTCCAGTTACCAAGTTTATCATTTGCTACATCATTGAACAAAAGAAAACATATCATAGTTCATGTACTCCAGAAACACAATGATAACTGTAATACTCTTTTGGGGATTGCTTGCCATTGATCAGAACTAGTCCATCACGAGGTTACATGAAACTTTTTTCTTTTTGCGCGTTGTTGCGTAGTAGCACATGATTCACAAAGGACGGTAATCATCTCAGTTAGGAACCAAAAACAACGAGGAATCTACCTGCTAAATTGCTCAATAGATACCAAAGTAGCCAATGAGAGAACTCCCTTGCGTGTATTTCTTTGAATCGTTGGCTCAACCAGAAACACTTCCTCCAGCTCTAGACTATCATTAGCTTTTCTAGAAATGATTTTCCCACTCGAACCAGACTTGACCAGCGGTGAAGCCACCTCAGTAATGAAATTTTGGGTCTTCGATAGCCATGAGCTCAACTGTTCCTGAACTACCTCTGTAAAGAAATCAAAAGGTTGCACATGCTAGAACTCAGGAACAGCACAATTGAGAAATTGGAAAACAAGTACAAAGCAACACCACTGTGAAGTCGTTCATGGATGCACAAGATCATACTGGGATAATTCCCAAGAAAGGTCCAACTTTTATGGGAGAAAAGAAAGGAACATATGCATGCCATAGCAGACAGCTGCCAGCATCTGCTTAGCAAAGAATTTCCGCCCCCAATTGGAAATTCACTGCTAAAATCAAACCAGTGTGGGTGCAAACCTCATGACCACTGCCTAATTCTTCTACTTCTAATGTTTTGCCTCCTAACAATTCAGCAACGCCTAATTGATCACTTCACAACGACGAATTTCCAGTAAAAGGGGAATATCACTATAAAGAAAGGAAGATGATAGTAATCTGGAATGAAAACAGAAGTCCAAAACCAGGCAGGAGGAGAATCTCACTGGTATCAATTTCCTTGAGCTTCCATTTGTTGTCCCCAGGAGACTGACCCACAAGCTTAAACCTCAACCTGCGGCTTCGGCAGTCACTTCGATACAAAAATAAGGAACTGGGTCCTGTTCCTCCTGGACTTGCAATCGAACCATTGTTGAACCAAGACACGCTGAACTTGGAGAGCATCGTATTCTCGCGCCACTCCTGCCCCTTCCGCTCCTATCAAGATCGAATCTTTTTGCTTCACCTAACCCAATGAGAGCACCAGCTTGGCAACAAGAGAGATCGAAGAATCTAACGCGGTGGCCGGTGGCGGTACTCGTTGGTTGCTCTTTTGGTCACCGCCGCCGCCGGGACGTGAAATGCCACGGTATTTCGCAACCACTAGTTGCTGCCGCCTCTGTCACATCACTAATGGGAAATTAGTGAAGTTCTCATAATGCGACAAGCGACATGTAAAATACCAGCACGCCTCTTCCATTTCCGATTTACGGCGGTAACCCCGTTCCCCTCCCTCGCGGAATTTCAGAAGAATTTTTTTTTTTTGGTAAATGAAGAATTTCTGTTCTGCCTTTGTATTTGAAACAAAGGGACCCACATACACATGATCTATGACCACAAAGAAGGATTAGCCAAATCCTAAACCTTTACCTCATTGGGTGGAAATGATGTTTTGATAGAGGTGGCTAATTATCAATGTTGAACTCATTGATATGATTTTACCTGCAACGTAACAACTGCCACGTCTCTCGAGTTAGCAGTGAGCCAGTGACCACTCAGCGGTACAAGAATCCATAGCAACCACACAACACAATGACGCAAAGTACGCCATTAAACCCCTCATTCACCTCCACAACCACCTCAGCAGCCCAGACATGGCCATGGCTTTATCTTCTCCGACCACCTCTGTTTCTGCGGCCATCTTTCCCGGCGACTCACCGCCTCCCCTGAAGATCCATCACCTCCTCACTGCCGCTGGCGCCAATTTTTCCCTCTCCAAAAAATTGACGAGCTCCTTCGCCGCTGCCCTGATCCAGACCGGCCGAGATAATAACAACAGTAAGTGGAGAACCAATGTGTCTTTCCTCCCCGCATTCTTCAAATCTCCTGGGAAAGACCTCAATGCTCTCAAGGACGAGCTTCTTCAGGCTATTGCTCCCCTCGACCGCGGCGCCGAGGCTACTCCTGATGACCAGAAATTCGTCGATCAGGTGAGCAGTTTCGTTGATTTAAATCTCAATCTGGATATGGTTAATAAGAAGAGTGGTGAAATTTGAAACTATGTGCATGCAAATGGGTTTTGAACAGATTGCTCGGAAGCTGGAATCAGCCAATCCCACTAAGGATCCATTGAAATCAGACCTGCTGAATGGGAAATGGGAGCTCATATACACTACTTCACAGTCAAACCTGCAAACTCAGGTGAAATCAGCTTGGTGTTTGCTTTGAGTGAAATTAAGAAAGCACTTGTTGATCCTTTTGTTTGGAAGAAGTTGCTTTGTTCTTAAAGAAAACTGCTACTACTTTTTGCAAAGCAGAGACCAAAGTTGCTGAGGTCCAGAGCTAACTACCAAGCTATCAATACAGATACGTTACGAGCCCAAAACATGGAATCTGCCCCTTTCTTCAACCAAGTATGTGCCTTCCTCACTAATCTGCTGCTGCTGCTCTCATTTTGACCACAATGCTGTGTATAGCTTTGTGATTGTGTTCCTGAGTGGATGAATGCAAGTGGGTTAGTTGCAATGCCATTATGGGATCAAGTCTAAGCTTTGTGCTTCAAGTCTATTAGTGAAATGCACCTATCCACATTTCATCTCATGTAAGGAAAGGGACAATTCTTTTCTCTATTAGAAAGATCAGTTCCGGTACTCAATCTCCATCCACGTATAAAAGGTTGAGTTCTATGCAGGAGTCTGCTGATAAATATCCTAGATTACTCTCTGTTTTTTAGTGCTTGAGACTATTCCTTCATTAACGATAACCTTATTCAGACACATTGGCTTGGCCATATTTATTACCTTCATATGCACACTATCATTTTAACGGAATGTCATGTGTTTGATTCATAAATTTCACAAATTCCATGCCTTGTGTAGGTAACAGCAGACTTAACCCCTCTGAACACAAGAAAAGTAGCTGTGAAATTCGATTATTTCAAAATATTGGGTTTGGTAAGATTCTTAGTCTATAATACCATTTATAATTCTTGTGGATGTACCAAAATCGAAATGGCGGTCAGACAAAGTAGGAACTGATACTGCTAATATGTGGCAACAGATACCAGTTAAGGCACCGGATACTGCTGTTGGGGAGCTGGAAATCACCTACTTGGATGAAGAGTTGAGGTTAGTGATATGAAGTATCTCCTAATTTTTTGCGCTCGGAACTTGTTGCATTTGCTTTGGAAAGATGAAATTCTTTCAAATCATATTGATTAAGATCGAGAATTCATAACGTAGTTACGAATAAGGACACCGTTCGGATCCTCTCTGTCTAGCTAGGCACCAGAGCATCAAGAAAATTCAATTCCAACGTCATTTACTCGAATTTCTCGGTATTGGTTTTGGTGTTTGTTTGATGATCATAGAATATCCAGAGGTGACAAGGGGAACTTGTTCATCTTGAAAATGCTGGATCCGTCGTACCGTGTCCCTGCTACCGGATGATGATGAGTATAAATCCCCATTTTTCAAGAGCCGGATTCCGAACTACTGCGCATCCTCCTCTGCTGCTGCAATTATTTTTTTTATTCAGGGATATACAAAAACAGCATGTGAGCACACAGAATAGATGTAATCATCAGAACACCATGCTCCAATAGTTTGATATATAGTTACAGATAATCAATGAAACTATAAATTTTGAGCCTTTATAGATCTAAAAGTTTTGCTACCATCTTATGAATGTCTGTAAAGAATAAGATATCTTTCATGAGAAGAAATGAGTTATCATCCTCTTGGTTACTCTCTTTAAGATGCATTCTTAAGATATTTTATAGTATTTACAGTTGGACCCTGAAATCCATGGGTTTCTTGAAAGGAAAGAACATAAACTTCTCTGATCCACAAACTGAAGCAGGCAAAATGAGATTCTGGTTAATTGTTTTCAATTAAAAAGAAAATAAATGAACTAACTGGTTGAAAGGGACAAAAAAATCTACCAGGCCTTCAATGTCAAAACTCTGCGGTCATAAAATCTGGAAATGTGGCCCTTCTTTAATCAGGTGTGTCTTTTGGTTCTTCAAATGTTGCCACTTTTCCTGTTTCTCAAGTGTGGAAGATTCATGGGAACCCAGAAGACTGTTAGAACAACAGAAGAGAAACTGGTTTGCTTCTGCTGTAGTTTGCCTGTTGCAATTTCATTCATAGTGTTGGCTGTATGAATTTGATTGTGAGTTTAATGCTATCTGTAGGCAACAGCTAATCTAGAACCTCTAAACGAGTGAAGGGTTGCTGTCAACTTTGATTTCTTCAAGATAGCTGGCCTGGTAACGTATTAACTGACTCAAACTGCCTCTCTATTGTTATCCTGTGATCCATCCAAGCTAAGAATGTGCCTTTTCATGCTTTGATTCAGCACAATTTCTCTTTAGATTCCGATTGAATCGCCTGGAAGTGGGCGTGGGCAGCTGGAGATCACTTACTTGGGTGAGAAGTTAAGGTCGGACTCATGAATCATCATCTCAACATAACAACAAAACTGATCTCATTACCTTGTGCATCTATATATTCAATTGTTCGACAAAAACAAAGCGAGAAGCCCCGGTTTACAGGACGTGGTTATATGATTATTATCTGCAGAACCTCAAGAGGAGGCAGGGGAAACCTCTTAATCCTGAAGATGGTGGATCCATCCAATACGATACCCCCTGTAAACTTGGACCTGTATCTGAATGCAATCTGATGAGTTAGGTTGAAGCAGACACAAGTGAGCTTGACCTCCTAGCCTCTTGGGTAACCACTTCTAGGTTAATCTAGGGCCAAAACCTCAAGTATCGGAGTAGTGTCATGGTTCTTTCATGATTGGTCTCTCCACGGTCCGGATTAAGTTCCGAGTGATTGGTTTGCAATTCTTAGTTGATTAGTTAAGAGGGCTAGATCGTCTAGCCTATTGTTGTCATCCTTAGCCGAAAGGTTAAAAGAGTTAGTCTACTAACTTAATGCAACAATCCTTAATTGGTCAACTAAGAGAGTTAGGGTTTCCTCTGTTTGTTTGATTAAGAGAGCTAGACCTCCTAGCTTATTGTTGCAACCCTTAGCCAAGCGGTTAACAGAGTTAGGTTCGCTAGCTTATTGTAGCAATCCTTGATTGATCGACTAGGAGGGCTCGTTCCTAGCTTGTTGCATCCGCCTCGCGGTATATGAACACATCCTTCACACTAGAGTTTCTTTCATGCTTTCTTAATACGAGATTAGGGGAAGCAATACCCAAGTGAAGTCCTCTCATATAGAATTCTCCTCGATTTACTTTACTTGTTTGTTTATTTTGTAGTTTTCTTAGTTTTAAACCCAAAATCGTTTTGCTAAATAACAACACAAACGATTGAAGTAGGGGGTACATGGACCGACCCAGGTTTGACAGTTAAATACTTGTCCTATACTGCACCAGGCTAGAGTTTAAAAACTTGGGCTCTAGTCGGGATTAATTCGCGATGTAGTTCGTGTTGCTGCTATAAGTTGCTTTCTGGTTTTTGGGCAATCACTCTTTTTTTGCTGCAACAGGTTCGAGTATGTGCTCTCCCGGCCAATCGAATAGGACTTGAAGGAATTGGGATTAGTCCCGACTGCAATCCTGAACATAAGGTTTCTGCCAGACAGGTAGCTATATCATATTTGTCCATGTCCTTCACTTACCAGTGAAAAGCCAAATAAAACTAAAACCTTTCATTCCATCATATAATGATTGCAGCTTTTCAATTGGGCGAACTATGTAGATAACCGTAGCTGTACACTCTGAATTGTTTCTACTTTCTAGTGAGAAATGAATGGGAATTCTGGATGGTTTGGCCCTCCAGATTGTATTTCTGTTGAGTCGAGTTTTTTTTTTTTTTTTTTTGTCAATAGTAGCGGAAACAATCAGTCATTCAAAGAAAAAAGAAAAGCGCGGGAGTCGACTAGTCGTCGAACTCCCGATGAAATGGCTTGATGTGCCACAAGTGGGCAGCCCTGTTAAGTCGACGAGAGACAAAACAAAAAGAACGCCAGGTGAACTGAGCCGTCAAAGTCCTTGCCTCCTCCAGCACCGCACCACACCGATCATGCGCCAAATCACACCGCACCATACGTTGGATCAAATTTTGAGAATCCCCATGGAATTTAACACAAACAAAACCATGAGTTAAGCACCATTTTAAAGCATCTCTGAGAGCTAAGCACTCCATGGTAAAAGGATCACTTAGCCCATCATAAGACTTGCCAAAAGCAAATAGGATTGTACCTGACGCTTGGAAACCCACAAAGCCAACTTGTCTAATTTGTGATTTTTATTCGAATGTGATGGTAAATGTTGATATAACCTATACGCAGTAGGTTTTTGGTTACATCATGAAAGACATTTTACTGATTTCATTGCAATGAAAGAAGACCAAAGTTTACAGACTAGAAGTCAGCGGAGACGGCCATCTTCAATCCGGCGCTGCAGAGCGACGAGATGCTGCAGATGAAATAATTGCCTCCATGCTGAAGTTCGATACGGTCATCTCCCGAGTTATGTACGTCTGATCTCGGCGTAACGGTACACGTGTCGTGCCCTACTTGGTCCGTCACCACCACGTCGTACTTCTGGTCATCATACTTGAATTCTACAATGAAAAAGAGCAAAGACTTTTTGGTTACACACCCTTTTTTTTTTCACGAAAGCTAATGAACTAATCACACAAAAATCAACACATAAACCTATTTCTTCTGATGTATTAAGGTTGTTGTTTATTTACCTAAGATATCACCGGCATGAAATGTCTTGCCACGAGGCCAAGTCTCCATGTCAATGGTGGGATCCCATCCAAATTCATCTCCCACCTCATAAGTAGTTGATTCATTAACCTCCATGTTAATCACAATCAACATAATCAGCAGTAATCCACCAACGCCTAAACCACCTCTCCCCATTTCTATCACTCTTTTGTGTTCTTCTTCTTATTATTATTCTCTTATCTTTTTTGTTAAGTCTATATTATGACTTATGAGCTATGACTTCTCCATGGGGATTGTTGATTTATTTATAGAGGTGGGTTGGTGAGAAGTTGGTAAAATATAATTTGAGCTTCAAATAAAATTAAGGAAGTTTATAATTAACCTCAAAATGAAATTGTAGAGTTGGTATATGTTATCAATATATGTACATATATATGCTCCTTAGACTAGCCCATTTCATTAATGTTTATACTATATATGTGTGCTTTTTTTTTGTGACCAATAAGGAAAAGGGAGTGGCAATATTAATTGACACTATAGAGGGAGAGTAGCAAGAAATTTATATATTTTGTTCCGCTACAATATCGTCATTACTAATTTTCAGAACGATATTCTAACTCTATAAGAAAATAAAAAATTTATTGAGTATCAATTTATATGGTACGTTTGGAACGTTATCCAGCTATGGTACATATATTCGATAATCTTTATTTCACAATATCGTCATTACTAATTTTCTAAACGATATTCGAGCTTTGAAAGAAAGTAATTTTTTATTAAGTATCAATTTATATGGTACCGTTGGAAAGTTATCAGACTATGGTACATATATCCAATAATATATGTTTAACAAATTCCCATAAAAATTATATTTGATTGTGTGTTACATTTTGTGCTTGAGTTGTTATGATTATTTATATTCTTCTCTCGGATTAGTATTTGAACAACCTATAACTATATTTGATTAAGGTTAAAAAAGATGAGTTCAATTTACAAATTTATAGATGACAATTTACAAACCACAATAATATTTGATGTGTGTGATATATTTTAGGTTTCTTAACTAATCACCTTACCTACCAGTCCACTCCTATATCATTTTGTCGTATCCTTACTCCCCTTCTCTCCTCCTACTTACCCGTCTCGTCTAGCCTCAATTCTAAACCCTCCTCCAAATTTATTTCTTATCCCAGACAGCCCCATAATTTCATTTTATTTACAATTTGCACCCCAAGCCATATTCCTTATAAATCTCTATCTTCCCCCTCTCTCACCATAACAAAAGAGTAAATATCAGTAACAAAAAAAAATTAGCATGGCTTCGCCGGCGGCGATCATCTACGGTCTTGCCTTCGCCACCTTCGTCTACTTCCTCATCACCAAGCTCTTCCTCCGCGGCGGCGGACGGCGGAGCCAGAAGCCTCTACCGCCTGGGCCTACGCCGTGGCCCATCGTAGGAAACCTTCCCCACTTGGGCCCGATCCCGCACCACTCCATCGCTGCCCTGGCCCGTAAGTACGGCCCGCTCATGCACCTTCGGCTGGGATCCGTGGACGTGGTGGTGGCCGCCTCAGCCTCCGTCGCCGCCCAGTTCCTGAAGATCCACGACGCCAACTTCTCCGACCGGCCCCCCAGTTCCGGCGGTAAGTACATCGCTTATAATTATCAGGACATGGTGTTTGCACCCTACGGCCCACGCTGGCGGCTGCTCAGAAAAGTGAGCGCCGTCCATCTCTTCTCCGCCAAGGCCTTGGATGATTTTAGATACGTCCGGCAGGTAAAATTCATTTATTTCATGGCGAGAAGCGGTTTTTGGATAGAATTAATCTTTCTATACCAAAAAATAAGATGGAATCCAGGCAACCTAATCCTCCACATTTATAGCTAACTAAAATTGACAAGACAAAGTAAAAAAAATATAAGATTTAATTATTTTATATTACAACGACTCTGAACTCACTGATTTGATTGATTCAAAATTTTGTTATTTTGCAATATTCTTGTGTCGATAAGTTAATCAAATACAAAGTTATAATCGTATGGAAATATGATGTGTTTTAGGTGAAAAATGTAGGATTATTAATGATTTTGCAACTAAATCGAGGCATGCCCTAATAATTTTACAAAAAAGTAAGATAGATGTGGGGAGATGCTAGTAAGGGTTAGGTATGTGGGGAATTTTTCTGTGTATATTGGAGAAAAAAAATCCCAATTTGGACAGTAAAATAAAATTGGCCGGCTAAATATCGCCTTAATTTTACTATAATCGTCCTAAAATAAAATGTAATAGTACTATACTTTTACTTCATTAATCAAACCAAATTCAACAAAACAAACCCATAATCCTCTTTCAACAACGCATACTCCTCTCCAAACATCTCTGTCGTCGTCATCCCTGCAATCCATCCACCGTTACTTCTCCTCGCCGTCGCCTACACCCTTCTCCTCAAAAGAATGCACCATGACAGTTAAGTATGAGTTAGATAAATGTTTTGGCTGCAAAATAACAGGCGGAAGTGGCGGGCCTGACGCGGGCATTAGCGAATGGAGGCAACGCGCCGGTGCAACTCGGGCAGCTGCTTGGCGTGTGCACAGCAAATGCGCTGGGCAGGGTGTTGGTGGGGAGGAGAGTGTTCGGAGACATCACCGGCGGCGTCGACCCCAAAGCAGATGAGTTCAAGTCAATGGTTGTGGAGCTGATGGTTCTGGCCGGCGTTTTCAACATTAGCGATTTCGTCCCGGCTCTCGAATGGCTGGACTTACAAAGGATCTCAGCCAAGATGAAGAATCTCCACCGCAGACTCGACTCCTTCTTGACCCAAATCCTGGAGGAACACGGGAAGACCGCCCACGATGCCTTCGCTGGCGGACACGTGGACTTCTTGACATCCCTGTCTTCCTTGAAGCTTGACGACGACGACGGAGAGGGAGGCAAGCTCACGGACACCGAAATCAAAGCCTTGCTTCTGGTACGCGCCCAATTCCTATTCCTTTTCTTGACATACGAAATTAGTATAATTTTTTGTGTTTTTTGCAGAACATGTTCACAGCCGGAACTGACACGTCATCAAGCACAGTAGAATGGGCCTTAGCGGAGCTGATCCGACATCCTAACACCCTGGCCGGGCTTCAAAGCGAGCTGGACTCGATCGTGGGCCGAGACCGTCTCGTGAGCGAACAAGACCTCCCCAAGCTTCCTTACCTCCAGGCCGTCATCAAGGAGACCTTCCGTCTCCATCCCTCGACTCCTCTCTCTCTTCCGCGTTTGGCGGGCCAAAGCTGCGAGATCAACGGCTACCACATCCCCAAGGGGGCCACGCTCCTCGTCAACGTGTGGGCCATAGCCCGCGACCCGGAAGCATGGTCCGACCCGTTGAGGTTCGACCCGGGGAGGTTTTTGCCCGGAGGGGAGAAGCCGGGTGTGGACGTGAAGGGTAGTGACTTCGAACTGATCCCGTTCGGGGCGGGTCGGAGGATATGCGCGGGTATGAGTTTGGGGCTCCGGATGGTTCAGCTGATGACGGCGGTTCTGGTCCATGCCTTTGATTGGGAGTTAGCTGACGGTGTTACGCCGGAGAAGTTGAACATGGATGAGGCTTATGGGCTCACGCTGCAGCGGGCCGTTCCGCTGAATGTGCACCCTAAGCCCAGGTTGTCTCCGCAGGTTTACGATTGTTGAGAATCGTGGATGCTAGCTGGACTGGACCCGGCCCACTATATGTCTGCCTAAATAATTGACATCTCTTTGTTTACTGTCTGTCTTTCTTGTGTCCTGTTGTTGGTGATAGAATTGTTTAACTCTTGGTTGCTACTTTGAAATCATATTTGCCGAAAATATGATGCATCATTTGTGCACTTCACTTTATTAACTTTTGACTTTCACCATTTTTTTGCATAAACAAAGGGACGTTTATGTTTCTAGTAAACTTTATGTTATTGGGGTTGTGGTTTGTTGTGTTATCGATTTGCGTTTTATGATTTGATTCTTGAAATTTGGGTGAGACGAGAGACACAGAATAGATGAGCAACTCCACAAGGACGTTATGATCTGCTTAATAACATTAACACCAACAAGTGTTGTTGAAGGGACATGTTTAGGGTAATGCAGTGGTCATCGAGGATTGTTGTCTGACTCTAGCTAGGGTTCCGATTGAAATGAACACTGATAGCAAGAGTTCCGATTTATACGAACTCTCAGTATATATAGATGCGACTATGCGAGCATTCCATTTTTCTTGGGTAAGAGGGCGATGGATACCTCTAGGACTAAAATATGTATTATTATACGCTATTTCCCCCCCAAAAGTTAGAACATAGTAAAATAATAATGAACAATTCAATATATACGTAACAAAAATGCATTAATTAGTTTTCTAAAAAATGAAAATGTATTGAGACCAATTAATCTTTAATTATAAAAAATTAATATTTAATAATATATATTATTAAATAATAATGTCAAATACTATTTAAATAATATATTACTTACTGCGTAATTGTTTTGCACAGAAAATAACGGGAGAATGACTAAATGTGACTTGTTTCAGTAATTCGAGTGACCAAAATTGATATTAAATTTTTCTAGTAACTAAATATGACACGATTTAATAATTGAGTGACCAAATGTGGCATTTACTAAATGATAAAGGTCGTTACTCTTTACTGAAGGGACTAATCTTACAGTCTTCGTGGCCATTTTCTTTTATTTAACGAAAGATCGGAGCCCTTGTTTTATTTTACCCTTTCTTGATAGACATATCACTATTATATGTCGATATTGCATATACATATCTATTTTTTTTTTTTTTTTTGCATTAAGGGAGGCCAACTGGCCAAGGCCAAGAAGGAGAAAAGCTACATCAGGAGAGAGAAGACCAGAAAAGAAGAAGACTAACTATTTCTTTGCACCACAACCCGACGCTCAAAAGAAATACCCTGATTATCTTCCAGCAAAACATGATACAAATCTCTGGGCGGGTCAACAAGTTCTCGCATACCGTAGGGATAAACGAGACTGTGCTTCGAGAGCCAGTCCGCGGCTCTATTCCCTTCCCGGTATGAATGAACAATATTGACCAACCAATCCTTAGCCAAAAGCCGCCGGATCGTCGTCAAAATGCCAGCGTACAGGTGGATGGGATCCTGTCGATCCTTAATCAGCTGGATAGCCACCTGAGAATCCGACTCAACAATCAAACTCGTACACCTGTGACGCCAAGCCATATCCAAACCATGCCGAATAGCCCACAGCTCGGCCAGAGCCGCCGAGGCCTCCCCAATCTTAGCCACAAACCCAGCTATCCAACGGCCTTGATCATCCCTAATCAAACCGCCAGCCCCCTGCACACCCGGGATTTCCCGCCGAAGCCCCGTCCACATCCACCCCTTTGGAGGGGCGAGCCATCTAATACACAAATGTAGAATGTATAGTAATATCAATCACAATATTAATTTCAAACATTAATGATAATGGGGAGAAGAAACTGATAAAATTTAATAATCCATCCAAAAAGAGGTTATGAGGAAAAGAGAGTTTAATTTTATTTGTTTTCTTATCAAGTAATTATTATAACCAAGATTCAAGAAGGAGCTAAGCAGGTAACGATTAATCGTGCCTAGCATTACATAGTAGGCACATAAATGTTATGAATGCCCTGTTATCACGAGATGTATTGCAAACTGACATCTTATTCATTGATGAAAGTGAAATATAAATACAAGACTCTCTAACAGAAGCCATTAACCTCGGCCTCGTCTTAACAATCCAATCCCCACGATCCCAGAAAAGTAGAACCAATTAACCCTGCTTCTGCTAACAGCCACAACGGCTAAATGACCCTACTGGCATAAAACAAAAACTCAAGGACTAAAACAATAAAACAGCAAACGACGCAGTTTTGATGTTTATTACTAAGACTACTTAAAATTGGCGCCCAACACTTCTTTTCCTTCTCCAATCTGGATTCGGATTCAGATCAGCAACTTCAGAACATCAACATCATCCTACCCTGAACTGAAGTCTCCTTCTGCAACTTCCATTGACTTCAGTTCACCTCATCTTTGTAAAGATTCATACCTGCTTGAAGTCCCCTTCTGCACACATTCCCAGCTGATGCCTTAGTGTCTGAAATGTGTCCAGATGGAGTGCTTTAGTCATGATATCAGCTACTTGCTCATGGCTTCTGCAATGCTCCATTTCAATCACTTTTTCCTTAGCCAGCTCCCTCAGAAAGTGGAAACGCACATCAATGTGCTTACTCCTGCCATGTAGGACAGGATTCTTGGATAATTTGATAGCAGAGCTGCTGTCACACAGAATTTTTGTGGCAGCAGACACAGAACTTTTCCATCCCATCTGCTCAAGAATCTTCCTCAACCATACACACTGCACAGCACAGTAGGATCCAGCCACAAAATCAGCCTCTGTTGTTGATAGGGTGACGACAGGCTGCTTTTTAGAAGCCCAAGAAATAGCTCCTCCTGCTACAAAAAAAGACATAGCCACTGGTGGACTTGCGATCATCCAAGTCACCTGCATAATCACTGTCAGTATACCCTATGAGCTTGTTATTCTCATCCTTCCTTTTGTACCAGACCCCATGAGTACTGGTTCCCTTCAAGTACCTCAGAACTCTCTTTGCTGCAAACATATGTTGCCTGGTGGGAGCTTCCATGAACCTGCTCAACAAGCATACAGCATACATGATATCAGGTCTGGTGGCACATACATAGAGCAAGCTTCCAATTAACCTTTTGTACTCTGTAGCATCCACTGGTATTCCATCTCCTGCCTTGGATAGCTTAGCTCCAGGAGCCATGGGATTTTTCACAAAATTGCAGCTTGAGAGTCCAAACTTGTCCAGAATTTCTGTCACATACTTCTGCTGGTTGATAAAGATCCCTGCTTCACTCTGGTGCACCTCAACTCCAAGGAAGTATTTCATTCTTCCTAGATCACTCATCTCGAACTCTGATTGCATGGATTCTTTGAATTCATCTATGAGCTTAGAACTGCTACTTGCATACATAAGGTCATCCACATAGAGACTGACCAGTAAGATGTCACTTTCTGACTTCTTTATGAACAAGGTATGTTCATAATCACTTCTCTCAAAGCCAGTCTTGAGAAAGTAACCTTCTATCCTGCTGTACCAGGCTCTTGGAGCCTGTTTTAATCCATAAAGAGCCTTTTTCAACCTGTAAACCTTCTGCTCCTCCCCTGCTACTTCAAAACCTTGGGGCTGCATAATGTAGACTTCTTCTGTCAGCTCATCATGCAGAAATGCACTTTTTACATCGAGTTGATAGACTGGGAATCCATGGTATGCAGCTAATGCAAGAAGAGCTCTGATGGTATCCCATCTAGCAACAGGAGCAAACACTTCAGTATAGTCTATGCCATGCTTCTGAGCATACCCTTTTGCCACTAACCTTGCCTTGAACTTATCCACAGATCCATCCTCCTTCAGCTTAGTTTTGAATATCCACTTGACCCCAATTGGAATCACTCCTGCAGGCAATTCCACCAGCACCCACGTGTCACTCTTCTCAATGCTAATCATCTCCTGCTTCATAGCATTTTTCCACTTCTCATCCTGCACAGCCTCTTCAAAACTAGTAGGATCATCACTGATTGTCACAAGGCACTCCAATCCTGCAAAGTCCAATCCTGCAAAATAAGTGCAATCATATATGGACAAATGACTGGGTGGATGTCTGACTCTAGGGCCTAAACCCCCTCCACTAGGAAGTCCCAGCACATCAGAATTAGGTTCCTCATCATCATCTTCCTCCCCTTCATTCTGAGGTGCTGAAGGAGTTGCTGAGGGAGTTGCTGGAGTGGTAGGTGTGACTGGATTGACTGGTTCTGCTGCAGCTGGAGTGACAGACTCCTCCACATCTTCTGATTCATACCATGGTTCATCACTGCCATCCCACATTAACCTGGTTTCCACTGGTTATGTTTCTGATTCCCATGCCCAACCCTTGGTCTCATCAAAGACCACATCTCTGCTGATCAGAACCTTCTTGGTGACAGGATTATACAACTTATATGCCTTAGACTCAGTAGATAATCCTAGAAAGTAGCACTGTGTACTTTTGGCATCGAGCTTCTTCCTTAGATGATCATTTATATGCATATATGCCACACATCCAAAGATTTTAAAGTGGCCAACAGATGGAGTTTTACCTGTCCAGAGTTCCTGTGGTGTTCTTCCTGCATTGGCTGAGGTTGGACTTCTGTTCAATACATGGCAGGTCCAAGCCACTGCTTCTGGCCAGAATACAGCAGGAACTTTGGTGTCAGCCAGTGAACACCTAACCATGTTCATGATGGTTCTGTTTCTTCGTTCAGCAACCCCATTCTGCTGGGGAGTCAATGCAGCAGTCAATTGCCTTCTTATCCCAGCTGTTTCACATAGCTCCTTGAACTCATTCAGAAGAAACTCTCCTCCTCTGTCAGTTCTAAGGCATACAATTGATTCTCCTGTTTCATTCTCCACTTGAGCCTTATATTTCTTGAAACAATTCAAGGTTTCTGATTTTGTTTCTAAGAAATACACCCATAGTTTTCTACTGAAATCATCAGTGATTGTCAGAATGTACCTCTTGCCTCCATTTGAGACTGGGGTGATTGGTCCACACAGATCAGCGTGGATTAACTGAAGTTTCTTGTTAGCTCTCCAAGAGCTATGCTTTGGAAAACTGCCTCTGTGTTGTTTACCAATCTGGCAAGTGGAGCAGATTCCCAGATCACCTTGTATTTGAGGTAGGCCTTGCACAACACCCTTCTTCTGCATCTGCAATAGACTCTGACAGTTCAGATGGCCAAATCTCCTATGCCATAGATTCAGTGTGTTGCTTGCTTCCTTCTGATACAGACATAAATGATCCCCATTCGAGTTGTTTGTCTGCTTTTGAGAGTGCAGAACAAACATTCTGTTGGTTTTCATTGATGTTTGCAGAAGGAAGCCCTTTTATTCTTGATAAATCCTGCAGACTCCTCCTTGGAACACAAAGCTTAGCTGCTTTTCTTGTAGCTGGCCAACACTCAGCAAATTAGTTGTGAGTCCTGGCACATAGAATACATCACTGATGGATAGTGAAACTCCATCTACCACCAGTCTTATTGTGCCTTTTGCAGCAACTGCCAACTTGGTCCCATTACCCAGCTTCACATTGCAGTCATTACTGGCTTCCATTGAGGTGAACCACTGCTTTTCACCACTCATATGATTGCTGCAGCCAGAATCCAGGAACCACCAGGTGTCCCTATGCTCAGAGAATTGTGTGTCCAGCAGTGCCATGGAGTTCTGTGCAGTCATCTCCTCCTTCCTCTCTTGCTTTTGCTCCACAAAAGCCATCAATAACACATCTTCAGTCATATCAGGGTAGGTGTTCTTAGATCTTTCAGAGTGATTGGCATAGTATGCTTGCTGATTGCCATACCACTCAGGGCATTCTGCCTTGAAATGGCCCAATTTATGACACTTAAAACACTCTACCAAGTCACGATTCAATCCTCTTCCTCTGCCCCTTCCTCTACCCTGGTACATTCCTCTTCCTGATCCTCTTCCACCTCTTCCACCATACTCAAATGTCACTTTCAAGGCCTGTTCTTCCTCTGATGTGGGCTTAGCAAACTTTTGCTCGTGAACAAGCAAAGAACTTTGCAGGGCTTCAACACTCAGTTCATCTATATCCTTGGATTCTTCAATGGAACAAACTATGTAATTGAATTTGGTGGTCAGAGTTCTTAATACCTTTTCCACAATTTTCACATCAGGCATCAGCTCTCCACAATTCCTCATGGAATTAGCCACTGTCATCACTCTGCCAAAATAGTCTGCAACAGACTCTCCTTCCTTCATCTGTAGCAGCTCAAAACTTCTTCTGAGGTTCTGTAGCTGTGACTTCTTCACTCTCTCGCTGCCTTGATACCTTGTCTTCATAGAATCCCACAGCTCCTTGGTTGTTGCCTTCTGGGTGATAGTCTTCAGTATGCTCTTGTCTATAGAACTAAACAAATAGTTCTTTGCCTTGAGATCCTTCAGCCTCTTCTCATCCAGACCCTTCTGTTGAGTCTCAGTCAACTGTTCTCCCGGTGCAAGCTCCCTTATTCCCTCATCAACTACTGTCCAATACTCTTTGGATCGCAATAGATTTTCCATCAGCAAGCTCCAGTGATCGAAATCCCCATCAAATTTGGGTATGCAAACCTGGGCGAAGCTGCTTTCACTCATGATTAATCACTCACCAGGAATCTCCTCACTGCACTTGATCTCTCGTGTTTCCCAACCCAGACACTCACGAAGACTTCTCTTTTCACTCACAGATCACACAACTCACTTTGGTTACAGCTCGCACTCCCGCTCTGATACCACTTTGTTATCACGAGATGTATTGCAAACTGACATCTTATTCATTGATGAAAGTGAAATATAAATACAAGACTCTCTAACAGAAGCCATTAACCTCGGCCTCGTCTCAACAATCCAATCCCCATGATCCCAGAAAAGTAGAACCAATTAACCCTGCTTCTGCTAACAGCCACAACGGCTAAATGACCCTACTGGCATAAAACAAAAACTCAAGGACTAAAACAATAAAACAGCAAACGACGCAGTTTTGATGTTTATTACTAAGACTACTTAAAACTGGCGCCCAACACTTCTTTTCCTTCTCCAATCTGGATTCGGATTCAGATCAGCAACTTCAGAATAGCAACATGCCCAATTATGACCAAAGCGACGCAAAATTACACCTTAAACCTAGATTATAAGAGTGTATATCAGCATGTGTTTGGGTAAATATACAAAAGGTTAATAAAAAAAATATACAAAAGGGTAATATCAACATGTGAAATACGAATTGACATGAGTAAGCAACGAAACCAAATTGGAATTAATCACGCAAAGGAGGGATGGGTCAAGTTGGAATTAATTTTTTTTTTTTGGAAGAAAGTTAGAATTAATCACTTGGGCCAAATTTGATTGAACTTGTGGCCCAATTTGAGATCAATAAAACCGTTGATGGCCCAATCTGGGTCAACAATTCCGCAGACCTGCAGCTAATGGCAATGGTAACGATTCCACAGTTCACAGTTCACCAAGGTTGTCAACCCGCGGGTTGACCCGGACCTGGTTGAGGTAGTGGGTTAAGGGTTAACGGATTACCTGGTTTAGCCCAAAAATATGGAAAGCGTCACTATATTGTATTTATCCTGATAAATTATATCAAATCTCATCTAACATATGAGTTATAACATATAATATTACACCAAAATAACATGTCGTACTTAGATACAACATATAGTGAAAATTCACACACACTTATATAACATTAATATTCAAATGTTCAACTTAGAATTCCAAAGATTAAGTTAGGCGAAAAGAAAAATCGGAAAATAGGCGCATTTCGCAACACAAAGAAAAAAATGACACAATTTGACCTCCAACCCGGTACCTTGTAGCGGTCGACCCAATGGGTACGTGCAGCCCGTTTTTCTCATCGGGTCAGGGTCAAAGTGGGTCAACCCGCGGGTCGACCCGCGGGTTGACAACTTGCAGTTCACACTGCTCCATGAACACCCCTGAAATCAACTGCTGAGCCAAATTTCAACTCTCTTCTTCCTCTTCAACTCCCCTACTTGATCCCTGGATTCACCATTTTATCTGCTCTGAATTTCATCCAGCACACGGCGAAGATGGCAGCTTTTCTTCTGACCAGAACACTTCACTCGATCAAAAGACCCAGGCTGTTAGATCCCCTGTCCTCGTTGTCGCCTCTCGCCCGTTACTTCAACACAATCGCCGCCGCCCATCAACATCTGGCACCGGAAGGGCAGTCGTCTTTCTCTTTCGGAGACGGTGGAAACAGCGGCGGCGATGCTATCCTTGTGAAGGGGGCGAACTCTGGTCCGAAACGTGAAGGGGGGTCGTCGTCGGTGACGATGCCGATGTCGTTCATGACGGGATCAATCGTCGGGAAGAGGTTCTACAAGCAAGTGACGACGAGACAGTCGGACGACGGCAATGGGTGGTCGGTGATGCTTGATTACAGAACGCTCAAGACTCCTTCGAAAAGGGCTCTAAAGCTGCCGACTTTGTCTCTTGCCAAGGCAATTGCTGCTGAGTGGGATTACCAGGTGGATGCATCTGTTGCATCTTCTGTTTCTTTCTGGAAATTGGCTTGATTTGGTATTTTATAGGTTGTGCTTTCTGTTCTCCTCAATTAATATGGTACCGAAGAATGTGATTGAAGTGGAATTTTTTGTAGCAAACAGATGGAATCAGGCCTTTCACTATGCCCCTTATGAGGCTTGCTTGTACTGCATTGGAGAGGGTTCCAGTCACACGCCCAAAGATTATAGACAACTTGATGAGGAAATTCAACCAGGACTTGGTTTTCTGTCGTGCTCCATGGGATAATAATCTAACAATTGGTGTATATGGCATGCTCTGTGGATTATGAAACATTTGTTATCATATGCTTGCTATTTGCTGCAATTTGTATGTTAATGTGGAATTTAATTAATCTGACAATCGGGTTTCTGCTTTGCAGATCGGCAGGTGCAGAAAATCGATCCTTTGCTCGATTGGGTGAAGACAGAATTCGGGTTTAAGCCTGTGGTCTATTCAAGTTTCTTCGGTGGCAAGCAAGGCCAAGGACTGGTGAAGGCAATGGAAAACCTTCTGAAAAATACCAGTGATTGTGAGTTGGCAGCAATTGATGCTCTAGCAGCTGCATCACATTCGTTGGTGATTGCTGTTGGGATCTTTTGTGGGAGATTGGACATTGAAGAAGCAATTGAGTTGATCAGATTTGAAGAAGATTTGCAGGTTCTTTGTTCTTTTCTGTCGTTCTGAACTTGGTTGGGCTATCCTGCACTTCACTTCTGTTGGCTTTCCCTGAAACTCAACATTTCTTGGCAGGTTGACAAGTGGGGTTTAGTTGAAGGAGGTAATGATTTGGATATTGCTGATCTCAAAGTACAAATATCATCAGCAGTAGTGTTCCTTGGTCTTTCAAAATTTTGAGCTTTTGTGTATCTCTAGACTTCTATAGAATTTACCTTTTTAAGAGCCAGCGTTTCTAGGGGATAGTTTTGAGCTATTTTTGTGATTGCCTGAGAGTCTTGTTGATGTAATAATCCAGTTCTGGATACACGTCACTTGCTACTGATGTACAATGAAGTGACTTGACAAAAGCAAATACAGATGCTAGCTATCCAGGAACGAAGCTTAGGCCTGAATGGTCAAATCTTACTCTTGTCGCTGTTTCTGCTTTATAAGTTCCGCTGTTAGTCTAGCATTCACCTCCTTCAAGACGTGTTGGTTTCGTGCATGGGAGGTGAAACCAAATAATTACTCTATAATCTGTTGATCTATTGAGCAACTGCAGAACAATCCCCGGAGGGAAAGTAAGCAGAACAAAGATCTTATAAGCAGAACTGCTCGCATAGCGGTGGTTGTTTCTCGATGGTGCAGTTGCAGCAAGCAGTATCACATTGATTGTTGCATCCTGCAGAAGGATTCAACAGAAGAGTCCCCATATCATAAGGCATGGGTATGATGATGCTAATATAAGAAGGAATGGAACCTGGTAAAAGGATGCATAGTTTTCAGTTTTTGCCGACATTACCTGTCACACGGTAAGGACCTGTGGTGGTAGTTCCAGATTACGATGCTCCGGGAAGAAAGGAATGCGAGAGGTAGAGGCTACTACTGCATTTGCTCCGAGAACGATGATCAGAGCTATCATCCAGCCAAATTCTGCAGACAACTTCATTTGGTGTTGGTGACAGTGAACTAAATGGGAGCTGCTGTGCTGGGTTGTGGGCAGTGTGATGTTATCTTCATTTGCGAGGTTTATATACATCATCTGGGGGCAGAGTTCTAAAAAGCAAAATAGTAGTTCTTGTACATTGGCCTGCAGAATATAAAGAAAGATGAAGCTGGTCATTGGATACTGCTGTATACCACCTCACTTTTTTCCAATCTCATAACCAGACGGCCATGTATATATTGTTGGTTATAAGATCTTTAATGAGCAGATAAAACTTATTGAAAATTTGAAATTCATTGATCGATGGACGAACTCTCTCTAAAGGCTTTGTATTGACATTCATGCCTCCACTTGAGAGGAAGGTTACGGATACAACTGTGATGATTTATTAAACTCAATTTTATTTGTCACCATGGTAATAAAACACAAAACATCTTTCAGTACATCCCCTGCGGTTTTCTATTTTCTAGTATGGAGTAGTTACTTTCCCCTCCATCACTCTGCAAAGATGGCCATCTTGAAACCCAGTTGGCACTGGCCACCCATGCCAGAGAAGAAGTAGTTGTGGCCTCTGTGCAGGCGAATGAAATCGCGGCCGGACTGGTAAATCCCAAAGACCGGGAGCTTGCACTGGTCGTACTCTGTCTTCTTCGCCGTAGTTATCACGTTGACGAATTCATAGTTGTATGTAAACTCTGTCAACCCAGAAAGAAAGAAAAATTCAACGTTTTGGTTAGCAAATCTTCATCACCATTGATCCATTCTGTGTAAAATTTGAATATGAACTCACCCAGATAGTCACCAGCCTTGAAGGATTTCCCCTTGGGCCAAATCTTTGCCTGTTCCATCGTCCACCCGTCCAGGCCCCCAACCGTGTAAGTGGTTGCACCTGCAAATAAGCTCTGGCCATGGACCAACAGAAGCAGCATTACTGTAATGGCAGAGGACACAAAACAGGATTTCTCCATTTCTGTGATCTCTATGTGGTGTTTTGACAGTGATGAAGACGATGACAATAAGAGAAATTCTTGGGCTTATACACAAATAATTTCACGCGGCAGGAGGGCATCTAGCTAGCTTGACCATTTTATAAGAGGTTTAGAGTGGTCAAATTTAATTATAAACCTGACAAACAATGAGTCAAAAGGGTATTCAAGCGGTCGTTTAATTTTTTTCACATGTAAAAACTAAAATACATTCCATATGTTTTAAATAATTTATGGTAACGTAGACTATATAGTCTTATCGAGTATAGTCCTTGCTTGCATTAATAGTAACTTATAAAAAAAAAGTAACTTATTTAAACGGTTTTACTTAATGATAATGTCAATACGTTTTCTCTGAGTAAAGTTGAGGTGGATTGGGATTAATATATGTTATTTAATGGAAGTTTCATATGAGTCATGTGTTAGCCACATGCCGATATGAACATTTATATAAATATTAAATACTAATTATCTTCATACAAATATAACTAATTGAAAAACTAAATATAAAACATTCGAGAAGATTTTTAACATACAATGACAAAGAGAAATGAAACTTTTTTTTTGGAAGAATAGATGGCTTTTATATAGGGCTAATACCACTAGAAAACCCGAACTATTAACTTTGTGTCATTTGTGTCCTAAAGTATTCGATATGACAATTGTGTCCCAAACTATTTTTTCGTTAGAGTTGACCGGTGTTGACGTTAATTTTTAACAGAAAGTCTAGTCAGTGCTGAGGTGGCATCTGAGGTGGAATTTATAATTATTTTTCATATAAGAAAATAAAATAAAATAATTACAAAAATAAAAAAAACATAAACATGAACTAATTGATTTGGGGATTTACCCTTCCCTCTCACGTCTCCCAACCTCTACCGTCAATTGTAAATCGATTTGGGGATTTACCTTTCACCGGCGAAGATGGCGGCCACTCTGGTCTGGGCCGTGGACTCTGATGACGGCGGTGGTGGGCTTCGAGAGTTGGAGACGGAGGTGGGCTTCGAGAGTTGGGAAAAAAATGTCGTATCGAATACTTTAGAACACAAATGACACAAAGTTAATAGTTCGGGTTTCCTAGTGGTATTAGTCTTTTATATATGTTGAAGGACACTTGTAACTTGTTTTGAGGCTTAATTTGGTATGTGTAGAAGATGAAGGAGGCTTATCAAGTCATTGGTTTTGATGAGTTAAAAATCACTGGGATACAAACAAGTGTCTTTCTTCTCAAATTAAGTTTAAAGGTTGGAGAGTGTTTGCAGCTAGGTGTTTTGTGGTTTCTTTGAAAGCGCTTGTTTGTAGCCTGTTGTGTTTTTGTCACTACAAGAAAACATGCATTTAGTGTCGGTTATTTTCTATGTTTAGTGTCGTTTATTTGTGTCAGTTCACTTAACCGTCACGAAACGTGCCGACACTAAACAAATTTGTGTCGATTTCGGCTAACCGCCGGAGTAACCGACACAATTTTTTTTGTGTCGGTTAATTTACTTCGGTTCAACGGACACTAATATTTTTCCAGAAATATCCATTTTCGGTATCAGACCATTATTTGTGTCGGTGGAACCGACATGAAATAACCGACTCTAATCTATGAGTTTTTTTTATAAAAAAAAGCGACCAGTTCGCCGTTGATCGGCCAAACAAGAATCGCCGCCGTCCTAGTTCGCGAGTCCAAAAGCCAGCAGTTGGCTTTTGTCGCTCATCTCCCACTCCAGTAGAGAAACTCCTCTATCAAGCAGGTTGCGACAAAGTCGAACCCCTCAATCCATTACCCATCTTCCATTGGCAGCAGCAAAGCCCCTCAATCTGCGAGGGAGCTCTTCGGGCGAAGCGATAACGAAGAGGAGAGGGATTTTTCATCACCATAACTCGACGGAGGGGAAGTCTCAACAAGGGATCGTCGCTGGATCTTACCTGTGATCTCCGCCCTCTCCCACCGACGATCTATCTCCTCCAAATGACCAGCAAAACGTCTCGATCTGGGAACGAGCTTAGCGAGAAACCTCCTGGGAACATCAATCGCCTGGTTCTAGGATGAAATCGCTGCTAACTATCGGCGATTGTAATGATCTGCCTCGATCTGTGAACCAGCCGCCATGATCCGGCGATTAAGTCTGGGCACTAGCGAATCTTCCTTTGGAATGGCCTAAACCGTGCGAACTCGGTGGTTCCGCAAAGAGAATAGTGGAGGAAGAAGGGGATGTTGATATCCTGAAAACAGAAACCTTTTTCGATTTGTGTCAAGCGACTAACGGCGATGGCGGCGGCGTAAAGATGGCTCGCAGCGGCGGCATAAGGCAGAAGTAGAAGGCCGAGGAAAGGCTTTTTCTGGTTTGGCTAGAGGGACGAGAAGCTAGGCGATTTGAATAGAGAATTGAGTTGGGCAATTTTCATTTCTCTGCTTCTGTTTTTCATTTACAGAGAAGAAGAATAAGAGAGGAAGAGATAATGGTGGGAGAAACGAGAAAGTGCCCGGCCAAAATAAGTTGGGGGAACTAAAAATCAAATCAAAAGTAAAATGAGGGAGAAAGTGAAATTTTGGGTGGGAATGAGAGACTTCCGGCGGGAAGACGAAAAAATTAAATTTCACTTTGTGTCGGTTGTAACGAACACAATTCAAAATATTAAGTCGGTTACAACCGACACAAAATGTAACCGACACAAATAAATACAAATTAATTTTTTAAAAAATAAATTATAATTTTGTGTTAGTTGTAACCGACACAATTTTAAATTTTGTGTCGGTTGTTAACCAACACAATAATAACCGACACTAATAACAAAAAAATTGTGTCGGTTGGTTGTTCGACGCAAAAATGCGACACGAATCCTAAATTTTGTGTCGGTTAAGTGAGCCGACACGACACAACCGACACAAAACACCTTTTTCCTTGTAGTGTGTCTTGTAATTTGTAAGTAGCTAAATGGCCCGTGCTTTGCGGCGGGATGTTTCTTATATAGAATATTTTTTAGTTCGAAAACTAATTAATAGGAAGCTAAATTAAGAAGATAGGACGTTGAAGGATTATAAAACTAAAGCCTGAATAGTTAAATTACTATTATACTAAGGTCAATACTAAGGTTTTTGACAAATTTGAAGTGAAATATTTGGAAGTACAATTGGTGCTTAAAAAGTGTTGTCATGACTCATGGCTTAGTAAGTTTCACGTTTTACTAAGAAATAGAAAGCTAAGAGAACACACAATCTAAGGATTTCAAATGGAATGGATCAAGCGGCTTGGTGAATTGATCCATGAAATCAAATGACATCCAAGTCTTGATCATTTTGTAAAATTTTGAAAAGTTTAGGTACTAAAATGTCATAATGAAAATTTTTTGGCCCCAAAATGTAATTTTCCAATTATATTTTTGTATAAAAATATAAACTTTAGGGGCCGAAATGTAAAATATAAAAATTATAGGTACTAAACCATAATCGGTCATTTGGATTCATGGACCAATCCAATTGGATTTGGATCAAATGTATTAAATTGAAATGGATTGGATTATGTGGATGAATTGGATTCATGGACCCTAAACCCTAAACCCTAAACCCTCTACTTACGTTGATTGCCAAATGAACTAAAATTGATAATTGAAAGCCTACCAAAATATGTTAAAGTAAAGTCTTGAGAGAGCTAGCTGTCCAGATCCTATTAACTTCTCCCATTTTGGTAAAGGAGCGTATTTACCCTATGCAATTGGTTTGGGTACACAACTAAACAAAACCATGAATTTTGAAATCAATTGGAGAAGAACTAACTATATACATGATTAATCACAAAAATTTGATAAACAGAAATATAAAGTTAGTGGAGGTCAGGTGGCATCCCTGCTATGCAACGTGTATATCATGCAAATTGGAGAAGGGAACCGATAGACAAATGGACATCAGTTAGAGTTTGGGAAAACAAATAAATGAAATTTCTCCAACAACCAAATAAATTGACAGCGGCAGGTTTCACAAATCAACAAAGTGATTAAAGACGAGAGGTAAAAATGCACTTCAATCCTCCTCCTCCTTCTTGATCCAACAGAATCCGATGTCTGGCTTATATCTTTACTTTCTTTGTAACTGGAATGAATGCTCACTGCGGCCGCTTCGTCTTCTCTGGCATATTTCCGTGCGATTTTCTATTGTCGATTTTCCCCCTTTCTATTATTCTCTGCCCCAAAAGGCGCATTATGCAGATCTTGCCTGTAGGGAGGAGGAGGAAGGAAGCGAGATGGATGCTTGCTCATAAACTTAAGGTGGACTCATTCGCATCCTACTGGATTACACGACATCTTCTACACTCTTACCATCTCCGCAGCTTGATGATAGCATCCGAAAGTGTCTATGTTGGCTTTAAGAGCTCCTTCCACTCCGCGAGCATTGAGAATTCTCAATGTAGAAGAAGAAAAATTTAGGTTGCATGCAATTGAACTACTCGGCCAAATTTGGTTACTTCTTCCATTTAATTACCTTATTCTTTTGGTTACCCCCACAAAACATAGCGGTCAATCGATTCTCCTTGGTCAGCTTTAGAGAGGAAAAAGAGCCCTCCGGTTACCCTCTTTAAATTACACAATCTCATTGGTCCAAAATAGAGTGATCAAACTCTTGACGAAGGAGATTACTTAGCGTATTCTACCCCTCAATTCAAATCGACGGGAAGAAGAATCGAGGATGAGAAGCATGCATGATTTGGGAATACATACTGATCAAGAAGTCAGAAGTAACAGGAGATATTGAAAGATCGTCAAAACCAGCGGCGGATCCAGAACACAGAAGTGCACTGGGCCGCATTTTATTAGAAAATTAGAATAGTAAAAAAATATAATGATTATAATTTTTCAATGTTAATTGTACACGACGGTATTTTAATTTAGCGAATGCATTAATAATGGAGTCCACATCCATACCAATAGCAAACACTGTTTCAAATAAAATACTTGAGCAATCGACTAAGAATCCATCGCTCATTTTGTTGCGCAAATCAATTTTCACATGTTTCGTTGTTGAAAAGGTTCTATTCGTATTAGCTGTTGAAACGAGGAGCATCAACACTAGACAAATCAATCTACTAATCAATTTGCATTGTGTTTCTATCCCTATATCCACCAGCTGCTCTAGTAAATTTTCCAAGGTAACAAACCTCATATATGTTTTAGTCTTTTACGTTTTAAACTTTTTGAATTTTTAGGTTTCATTGTTTTTTTAGACGAATAACCTTTGGGGTTAGAATTTATAAGCTAAATTTAGAGTAGTGATTTTGAATATGTTCATCTGAATTATCTTTCTAATTATACTCAATCTTATTTTAAAATAACAACGACCCGAATATCTAAAATAAAAAAATTCATAAGGCCTATACTAACTATGGATCCAGAGGTGGGCTGGGCCCGGGGTGGCCACCCCCTGGATCCGCCACTGGTCAAAACTCAAACAAAGATGAGTTGGGGAAAATGAAACCCTAAGCCTTGGGTGTTTCTCAATCATAATTGGGTTTAAATAGGCAAAAGCTTTGCACTACAAGACAACATGTGCAAGCTAGTATTTGGATATTTGGAGACTACAAAGATAAAACATTAATTCAAACTAAAGTCTAAACACACATTGACATTAAAGTAAACTTGATGATGATAATTTCCTCTAAACCTTGTCGATCCACTTTGGCATTCATGGTCGCCGGTTTGAGTTTTGATGATCTTTCAAATATCTCCTGTTACCCCCCCCCCCCCCCCCCCCCCCCCCCCCCCCCCCGGCCGCAAGCGGGTGAGCACATAATGTGCACACCAAGCTTGGAGAGAATACAGTCTTGACTTTGGAATGAGAATGTTGCTGCACTGTTGGCTAGCTAACTTCCCTTAAATCTTCAAATGGTGAAGTTGCTGCATCTTGCTAGCTAACTTCCCAAACATCTTCTGAAAAGCTACTGCATCTGTGGCTAGCTAGCTATGAAAACTTCTTCTTCTTCACCCAGTGATACCACTGCATCGTTGGCTAGTTGGCATCCCGTCTTCTTCTTCTTCTTCTTCTTCTTCTTCTTCTTCAACTCCTCAACCCCCAACTCAGCTTTGTAGCTTAAGTTTCTCCAAATAAACTCGGATAAGCTGCTGCATCTTTGGCTAGCTAACTTTCCATACTTCTTCTTCAACTACTCAACCCCCAACTTCAGCTACATAGCTTCAGTTTCTCCAAATTAAGTCGGATATGCTGCTGCTTTTTCTTTTGCTAGCTAGCACTCCGATGATCTGCAAATGAAATTGCCGCTACAGCATGGCTAGCTGGATGAACTTTCACATCTTCAACTTTTTTGCTTGAGATGGATCTTCAAAGTGGTCCGGATATGCTGCTGACTTTGCTAGCTAGCACTCCATCCGAAATATGGGCCGGATATGCTGCTAATTTTGCTAGCTAGCATTCCACCCGAAAAAACAAACTGAATTTAGTAGGGAGTGCATTGTTGGCTACTTCCCTCTGCTGCATCAAACTTTGACTGCTGCCTTCACTTCCTCTTTCCTTCTCTTTTACCTTGCTGAAACAAGAACTTCTTCTGCTCCTTCAAAACACTTTTTTTTGTGTGTTGCCATTGAACTTGCAGCTCCTCTTCTTCATTGTTTTCTATGAACCCAACACTAGAAAACTGAGATTCTTGCTGTGCAGGAGTTACCATAGGGTTCTCCTTCCCACACAGTAATGAAAATCATCATAAAAACATTTGATTTCTTCTCGTGAAGAACCAAAATGGACAAACTTGCCTATCTTCTAAGGCTCAATCAAATTCTTCTCAACTGAATATCTAACTCGTTCAAGGCCAACTACTGTATCGGCAACATTCCTCTGCTCATCAAAGAAGGAAATTTCAGACTCGAGTTGAAGAAATTTACCTTTCTTCTCAATATTTCTTCTCTTCAAACACACACGTCTGCCACCATTTTCTAGAGAATCGAGGAGACGCTTTAGTCTGTGAAACCATAGTGACCTATGTTTGAACGATCGATATCCTGGAGCTATGTTTCATCGGCTTGTGAGCTTTCCCGGTTGCTGGCTTCAATCTTCCTTGGGGACTTGCTGTTGGGAACCTTCCTCGCCGATTGCGCCTTCGCTGCTGCTAGATTCTTCGCAGCCGAAGCAAACTAGAGCGGCGCCTTCGTCTCTTGCTGGATTGGATCTCTTTGTTTGGTTTTGTTTTTTTTTTTTAGATTTGGGAAGAAGGATTGGTGCTGACTGCTGGGTTAGGTCGGGCGGTGGGCGATGGATCAGGTTTGGGAACACAGATTGAAGATTGCGGAGGAATTTTTTTTTTGGGTTTACATCTGAAATTTTTCAGATCTAGACATAGTCCTTATTCTTGTGGGTAGAAGGTTTTTAGGGTTCTCTAGGATCTAGAGGCTCTGATACCATAACAACAAAGATGAGTTGGGGAAAATGAAACCCTAAGTCTTGGGTGTTTCTCATTCATAATTGGGTTTAAATAGGCAAAAGCTTTGCACTACAAGACAACATGTGCAAGCTAGTATTTGGAGACTACAAAGATAAAACATTAATTCAAACTAAAGTCTAAACACACATTGACATTAAAGTAAACTTGATGATGATAATTTCCTCTAAACCTTGTCGATCCACTTTGACATTCATGGTCGCCGGTTTGAGTTTTGACGATCTTTCAATATCTCCTATTAAGAAGAAAACCCACCAACCTTCGGGGAAACTTAGAAGTAAACCCAGCCTCCAGGGAAACGACGTAGGCGAGACTCAAGAAAAAAAAAAGGACTATATGGGGAACATGGAAAGTAATTAGGGAAAGAGGTGCATAGAACTTACCGTGGACATACCCACTCCCAACTGGACCCCTTAAGCAAAATAGGCACTTTATATATTCTAATTTTTAAGTTCTTATTAATAAATCGATGTGACTTTTATTAAAAAAAAAGTTTATATGAGTGTTCTATCATTGTTATAGGTGATAAGTATATGGATAACTATAGGAGAGTTTATTTCTCTTCGGAGATTTGAGAGTTATATAACTTATAGTATAACTTAATATTTAGTCATATAAATTGAACAAGATACCTAGAAAATCTTTGTTTAAATGTTCTTTATTAATAACTTCATTCTATATAAACCCTTTTCTGCTATCGTCTCCTTCTCGTCATCTCTCGAACATCTTGTTATCACCACAAACTTCTCACAGAACAAAAACTTTTCTCATCAAGACAAGACGAATTGCTGGTTTGGTTCACAACATTCCTAGTTACCTAAACCTTCGAACCAATTGTCCCCAGATATCATAGGTTCCTAAAGTATTTCGCAGAGAGAAACCTGGCATTTGAGCTTCAACAAGCATATCCTATGGAATTTCAAGCTTACATGATCAACGTGATGTCGCTCATTGAATCTCTCGAATGGGAGTTCCTCGTCAGCCAACAACCCTTGTTAGCATGTCCAGAGGCTGTGAAGGTCTTCTACTCCAACATGGAGTGTGCGGCAACATGAAGTTACGGGAGACTTCGACAGTTGTCCCAGGGGTGTGCAAGACATTTTACAGCTATGGCGTACTTTGATATGACAGGGTGATGGGATGTGGCGCTGGATGGAAAATTTTTATGGATAGGTTCCCTAAGGTGACCGTCCAGGGCCCACCGGTGACAGATCTGTACTACATTTTGTAGCTCACCCAGCCTGGCCGTGTAGCTCACCCAGCCTAGCCGTGTGAAGCCTCGCAGAATTCCACACGGCCAAAGTGCAACTTCACACGGCCGTGTAGCTCACCCAGCCTGGCCGTGTGAAGCCTCGCATAATTCCACACGGCAAAAGTGCAACTTCACACGGCCGTGTGAGTTGTGTGTGTGCCCGTGTGGCTTTCTTTTTGACTTGCCTCGCGCCCGATCTTCGTCCAATCGACCCCGAACTCGCTCGAAATCCATAATGAAATCCATAAGTTCATAATGACACTAGGGTCATTAAAAATACAACTAGAAAAACAACAACATATAAATAGAGCATTGCAACACTATGCATTGCTCCTACCTCTACCCCTTCCCCTAGCTCTTCGGGGGTCTCTCTGCCTGGCTCGCTGCCGACCACCAAGGGTTTAGGGTTCAGGGTTTAGGGTTTAGGGTTTGAAACACATGGTTCGTGTAGCACTTTGCCCACATTGTCTGATGAGGCAACCACTCACCTCGCACGTAGGCAACCGCCGGAATTTTTTTGGCCCGGCCAGGTTCCGGCCGCCGGAATTTTTCGGCCCACCGTCTGTTCGTTTCAAATCGTCGGAAAAATTGTTCGAAACTACAAAAAAATTACGCACCTGCTTAGTGATGATTCATGGATGCGTGTACGCAGTATATGTCAAGGATAGGCTTTCCCGATGATTTTCCGGCGACTTTTCTAGCGAGCGTTGAATTTTTCTGATTCAATACGTTCTCTGAAAGTTGGATATGTTGTAGATTGTGAAACTCCTTAACCAAAGATGTATATATATACTTTTTTTTTTGGTTGGCGGCAAATAGCAATTTGGTTGGCGGCAAATAGCAAGCCCCAGCTAGAGACCAGTTACATCTTTTTTCACATAACTAACCTTAGCTAAAAGTTATTAACTTGTAGCATTATTATGCTGATGATCATCTATTTTTTATTATTATTATTATCCATGAATAGAGTTAAGATGCATTGACGGTCATCTTGAGATTCGCTTGACAGTGGCCAGGTATGGCGCAGATGAAGTAGTTTGCTCCCTTGGGGACTTGCTGTTGGGAACCTTCCTCGTCGATTGCGCCTTCGCTGCTGCTAGATTCTTCGCAGCCAAAGCAAACTAGAGCGGCGCCTTCGTCTCTTGCTGGATTGGATCTCTTTGTTTGGTTTTGTTTTTTTTTTTTAGATTTGGGAAGAAGGATTGGTGCTGACTGCTGGGTTAGGTCGGGCGGTGGGCGATGGATCAGGTTTGGGAACACAGATTGAAGATTGCAGAGGAATTTTTTTTTTTGGGTTTACATCTGAAATTTTTCAGATCTAGACATAGTCCTTATTCTTGTGGGTAGAAGGTTTTTAGGGTTCTCTAGGATCTAGAGGCTCTGATACCATAACAACAAAGATGAGTTGGGGAAAATGAAACCCTAAGCCTTGGGTGTTTCTCATTCATAATTGGGTTTAAATAGGCAAAAGCTTTGCACTACAAGACAACATGTGCAAGCTAGTATTTGGAGACTACAAAGATAAAACATTAATTCAAACTAAAGTCTAAACACACATTGACATTAAAGTAAACTTGATGATGATAATTTCCTCTAAACCTTGTCGATCCACTTTGACATTCATGGTCGCCGGTTTGAGTTTTGACGATCTTTCAATATCTCCTATTAAGAAGAAAACCCACCAACCTTCGGGGAAACTTAGAAGTAAACCCAGCCTCCAGGGAAACGACGTAGGCGAGACTCAAGAAAAAAAAATAGGACTATATGGGGAACATGGCGAGTAATTAGGGAAAGAGGTGCATAGAACTTACCGTGGACATACCCACTCCCAACTGGACCCCTTAAGCAAAATAGGCACTTTATATATTCTAATTTTTAAGTTCTTATTAATAAATCGATGTGACTTTTATTAAAAAAAAGGTTTATATGAGTGTTCTATCATTGTTATAGGTGATAAGTATATGGATAACTATAGGAGAGTTTATTTCTCTTCGGAGATTTGAGAGTTATATAACTTATAGTATAACTTAATATTTAGTCATATAAATTGAACAAGATACCTAGAAAATCTTTGTTTAAATGTTCTTTATTAATAACTTCATTCTATATAAACCCTTTTCTGCTATCGTCTCCTTCTCGTCATCTCTCGAACATCTTGTTATCACCACAAACTTCTCACAGAACAAAAACTTTTCTCATCAAGACAAGACGAATTGCTGGTTTGGTTCACAACATTCCTAGTTACCTAAACCTTCGAACCAATTGTCCCCAGATATCATAGGTTCCTAAAGTATTTCGCAGAGAGAAACCTGGCATTTGAGCTTCAACAAGCATATCCTATGGAATTTCAAGCTTACATGATCAACGTGATGTCGCTCATTGAATCTCTCGAATGGGAGTTCCTCGTCAGCCAACAACCCTTGTTAGCATGTCCAGAGGCTGTGAAGGTCTTCTACTCCAACATGGAGTGTGCGGCAACATGAAGTTACGGGATACTTCGACAGTTGTCCCAGGGGTGTGCAAGACATTTTACAGCTATGGCGTACTTTGATATGACAGGGTGATGGGATGTGGCGCTGGATGGAAAATTTTTTATGGATAGGTTCCCTAAGGTGACCGTCCAGGGCCCACCGGTGACAGATCTGTACTACATGATGTACAGCTCCGAGAGTGACGATGACGACGATGAGGTGACCAACATGGAGTGTGCGGTAAACCTGAAGTTACGGGAGACTTTGACAGTTGCCCCAGGGGTGTGCAAACCATGGGGCATGGCCGTTTCAGGACCCTATTGCTGGACGGATATTGACATCGAGGAATGGATTGAAGTGTCCTCGCCAGAACAAATCAATCGGATTTTCCAGATGCTCATCACTCGGAGCTCTGGTTCCCTCCGCAATGATGCAATGTTCTCTTTCCTCGCCCAACAGTAAGCCCTAGACAACTACAATTATTATTTTTTGCTCATTATACATACAAAAAAAAACAAGAACCTATCACCAAACCCTAAAACTCGACACGCAAACAAGAAAAAACCCACCTCTGTCAATCGTCGTCGTCCTCCTCATTACTGGCATCAATCACCTTCACCCACGCCAGCGAGGCCCGTGGCTCGCCTTCTCCCGTCCTTTCCTCTCTGATTCCTCGAGAAAAAACCCCAAGACAAACCAATAAGAATTCATCTATCTTCCTAAAAAACTACTCGCCATCTTCGGCTGAAGTTTGCATGTACGAACGAAGAAGTTATAGGCTTCAAAGAATTGTGATCCATTTACCATGGATGGATTCATTTCCTTGTGACATTGAGAATGAAGTTGAACTCTTTTGTTCTCAAAGATCTATCTCTTTTTTTTTTTATAATTGAGAAAATTTTATTAAAAAGTAAAAAAAAAAGGAAATAAGACAAAAAAATCAACCAACAGTTGAAAGGAGCAAGGTCTTTTAAACTATTGTCCACATCAATCACGAACAAATCTATATATTTGGAGTTGGAGATTAGAAATAGATGCTTGATCCTCAAGAAAATCAACAAGAAATCGAATAAGAAGGATAGACACACAACGACACAAGTAAATGCATTTAATTATCATTACAACAAATTTGGGAAAAGATGTTGACAATACCATGTGTGAACTTTATCCCTCTTCACAGCTGGCTTTTACATTTCTCACTCTCACTCCTTCCAAAACTACTTAATAAAGAATTTCTCATATGACTCCCGAACATTTCCCCACCACCGAACGTCGCTTTTAAATTAGGATTTGTTTGGATGGATCAATATAAAAATGAGTTAATTTGATCAATTGTCTCGTTTTATAAACGAGACAATTAAAACGAGTCAATTCGAATTACCTGCCCCCAGTCCAGGTAATTGAAATTGACTCAAAACGGATCAATTCAAAATACCTCAGACAGATTGATCCATCCAAATTTTTTGTTAGCAAACGAGGCAATTTGATATAATTGTCTCAAAACGAGACAATTGTGTCAAATTGATCTGTTACAATTCCTCATCCAAACAACCCATTGTTTATAGCGCAATTTGGGATTTCCTTACTATTACAAAGATGATACTACTCGAAAGTTTCGTGATAATGTATCCCAATATTCACATGAGAAAAATAAACCCAATAGTGGTCTACTGGAAATCAACACCAAATCCAAATGAGATTTAGTTGGAATTTACCACAAACCATAATATCAAATTACTCATATATCTTCTTTTTATTACTGCGCCGCGTTATTTAAACTAGTGATGAACTCCATTCTCCTGTATTCTTATGCCAAACACAAACATCCTAATCATACCAATATCAATAACTATATGAGAGTCGGTTTCTCTTGAGAGATTTGAGAGTTACATAACTTAATATTTTCTTGAGGCTTTGGATTGCTGAATTTCTTTATTGGTAACTTAATATTTAGTTATATAGATTGAACAAGATACATCGAAAATCTTAGTTTAAAGTGCTTTTTGTAAACAGGGTTGCAAGTTATCATTCCCCCCATAGTGAAACGTCATCAACATCGATTGCTCAAGCTTAAATTGGTGTTGGGAAATTATTAGTAGGAGTACCGGTGGGGATGAGATAATAACCGATATGTATATTTGGATGGTTTTGGGATGAATATCTAAAAACACCACACTCGAAATCATCCAACATTTTCTTTATTTTAATTTGCGAATTCAGGAAAATCCCGTCCAAAAATTCATTATCTATCAGATTTAATTTTCCTCAATCAAATCGCTTGGAGTTTGGATGAGTAACTACACTGACGGTCTAGAGATTTTACAAGCTAGGGTTTTACAAAATGAAACCACAATAAAACTCAAGCCGCAGTAACAGCGATCTTCATTCCAGTTTGATCACAGTGCTGAGGGATATCGCAGATGAAGTAGTTATTCCCCCGCCGGAGGGTGACCCTGTCGTTGCCGGAGGTGTACACTTTTGCCCCCGCCGGCACCGTGCAGGTCTTGTACCCGTTAGCATCCACCACCGCTACCTCGTGTTCACCTTCCGGATAATGGAAAACTTGAACCAACAACAACATATGATACCATGTCAAAAAACAATACGCGATTCGTCAACGAAAAAACGATACATTTGTTCAATACTAAAATTTCAGTAGGGCATAAATCAAACAACCAACCTATCACGTCGCCGGCCTTGAAGTGCTTGCCCTTGGGCCAATCGGTGACGCCGAATGACCACTCGATCTTGTAAGTGGCCGCCGCCGCCGTCTCGGCATGGAAGGCTGCTTGACAGAGGAACATGATCAGGAGGAGGCTAATACACCAGGCACCATTATTCTGCGCCATTTCTGCTATACTAACAACAATTAATTAAGCAAAAAAAAAAAAAGGATTTGCTGGTACCTTCTACTTTACAGGTGAAGATATATATATATATAGGTAGACCTTTTGATTTTGATGAAGGTGTCTAGATTTTGCTTGCCTTATTTTGGATCCGTAAAGTAAATAAATGTGTATATGAAAATAGGAATAAGAATGTAAACATGGCCAGGTGCTTTGGAGCTTTTTATGTTTTCGCTGGTTTATCTTTTTGGCAAGAAGAATCTTCTTAATAAATTTAACAAGGTATATTATTGAATTGTTTCCAGAGGGATTTTTGTTAATTAATCAGAGATTTCGGATACTGCAATTGTGATGAGTTATCTACATAGGGAATCTCCGATCCGCGCCTACGGAGACAAAGATAAAGAAGTGGATTGATCATGTATGTGCGAGTTGAATCTTTTATTCCTACTTCGATGATCTCTTTTAATGTGAACAACATTAGCTACATGGTACCTCTATTTAATTATATATATATATATAGACACACGCACGCGCGTACGCACGATAAATGGTGGTACGACGTTATATAGTACATGACACAAGGGATCGTACTTGTACGTGCATTGTATCTTTGCAGTACAATTGGTACATGTAGGCGTATTTCGAGGATGAATCTTGATTTTTAACATTCAGCTATCCATTTACTAACATTGACAACTCCAATTTTTTTTTTTTTAATTTGAACTTGATTATTAAAAACTTGTCCTTAAAGAAGGGTTGTACATGTGTTGTATCTTTGTAGTACAAGGTGGTACAAGTAGTCATAAGTATGTTGAGGATAGTACTTGTTCTTATAACATTCAACCATCCATTACTTAAACATTGACAAACTCCATTTTAAAAAGTTCAACTTAATTAAACATCTTTGTAGTCCTTAATGGAGGAGGAGGAAGAAGAAGTTTCAGAGAAAATAAAGAGGAGAAGAAGATGCGAAAAAAAGAAGGTAAGAATTATATGGATAATTTGCGGTTTAATTTTGAGTCAACTTTTATCTTTCTCGGGTTGATTTTCGTTTCATTTGTCTAAATTTAGTAGGATACATGAAAGATACTTATTTGAATTGAGGTGGCAATAAAATTATTTTACTCTTACAACGAACTGAAAACTTGGCTATGGACCTCAGATAATAAAATTATTGAGAAATAATCATCATAGCACATAGTGTCTAACATTAAGCTAATCATCATCTGATATATATTAATTAATCTCCATTAATTGATTAATCAATGAAATTTAAGAAGCATTGACGGTCATTTTCATGTTGGCTCGGCAATGGGCACCGACGCCGCAGATGAAGTAGTTCGCTCCCTTTGCCAGGGTGACTTGATCGTGGCCGGAGGTCAATATCTTCGCCCCCGCCGTATCGCAGGCGTTGTACCCGGCGGCGTCCACCACCGCCACGTTGTGCAACCCTTGCGGGTAGTTGAAAACTGCCATATCATTCACACAAAAGAGAGCCAAATTAATATATTGGTATTGGATAATGTTCATCACATACACAAAAATTATCGTTGGGTTAATTAATCGTTATTCATTTTTTTATTTTTTTATTTACCGAGCACGTCACCGGCGCTGAAGCTCTTCCCGGCGGGCCAACTGTTGACCCCGAAGGTCCAGCCACCGGCGTCGCCGACCGTGAAAGTGGCCGCATCGGCCGGCTTTAGGTTTACGAGCATGAAAAGTACCATTGTTGTGGCTAAAATTGCAACTACGGATCCTTTCATTTTTTTTTTTTTAAGTTTCGTTGGCTCTTTCTTTTCTGTCTTATATTTTACTGATCAATACAATAAAACTTGAAGGGATTTTGTAAGAGGCGTGAAGAAATGTCTTGCAGAAAGTGGCCAATTTATATCGTGGAGGATGAACAATTTAAGGCAAGGTTATTATTATCTTTTCTTTTCCTCCCTCCCTTTTCTTTCCCTGAAAATGAAGTGTATTGCTTTTACTTTTAATTAAGGGTGATTATTAATTGGTAAAAAGGGGTAATTATTTTTTTTTTCTTTTCTTTGAGAAGGTAATAATTATTATCTTTCTCTCAAACCAACTAAGGTAATTTTTTGTAAGGCTTCCTTTTTTCCTCAGTAATTCCCCTCATCTCGTGGCTAGGAACATCTGTAGGGATTAATAGATATACCTCTTTGCATGACATTTGGTTCCCATGCACATGCACTTAACGCTTTCTGTTTGATATGGTGCATGTGATGTGAGGAGTGTACGTGTATGCATGCGAGATGCGACTGAGTCTAACGAGAATATCACTAATTATGACAAATAATTAAAAAAAAATAATAATAATAAAAAATAATGTTGACTTACAAGTACAATCGTGACTTGGAGAAAACGATCGATCACTTATGGTAAAACGATGGACTGCTTCTGAAAACGGAGCACTGCTTTCAAAAAACGCCCGACCTCTTCCAACAAATGGTCGATCGCTTTCGACATCTTAATGGTGTGAAGTTGTTCATCCGGACGATTGTTTTTTTAGAGCGGTCGCTTTGTCCAATTCAAGGGACTTGCAAGTTACCGTAGCAAATTCCTACAAATATAACTCAGAAAACCAACAAGGTAGTCTAGCTCTATAGACAGTGACGGACCCAGGATTCTTTGATAGGTGTGTCGGCAGACAAAAGATAATTAATAAATTAAATGTATTAAATAAAAATTAAAATAAAATATTAATTCATTAAGGTCGTAATTTATTATTTTTCACAGTGACACACGACAATTTTTCATATTCAGAAAGGTCTGTAAAATATATTTGTCGCTTATGATGTGATCTAACTTTTTTCGACGTACAAAAGTAAAAATTCATTCATAAAACTGATTTTGAAGTTCGCTCTTGATTAACTCCATAGCATAAAATGGAAAGCATAAACGCTGGCGACAAGCTTTAACTTAAAAATTTGAAAGAGGATGAGGTTCCACCGGCAGGTGCTAGCAATTAGAGAGTGGAGCAGAGGACAGAGAACTGTGAGCCATGGGTTGTGGATTTTTTCCTCTCGACATTTTCACTAAAAATTAAAATAAATAATATATATTTGTGTATTTTGGTACCTATTGCTATATGACATCAAAATCAATATAGTGTATTAAAGGTGTGTCGATTGCAATTATGTGAGGTGTGTCAGAAATCCCAAATTCAAGTTTTTTGTACCAACGAAACATGAATCTCTCACAAAATTTTCGAGTCAAGGTGTGTCGGTTGACACACCTTGCTAATGCATGGGTCCGTCCCTGGCTATAGAGGTCGATTTCAATAATAAGTTGGATTGTCAACAAGTGAGAAAGTTTATATAATACATGCTGATGATGACTCGGATTAACAATGACGTGGAATAATACCATGATAAAATTGGATATTCTGATGTACGCCCGGACAATATATCACACGATACAATAGTTATGCTAAGACGATACAATACATATTTTACCTTAATAGTACGAGTCATACTGAGATGCATACTATATATGTACTCGGGCTTTATATAACACTCAATCATCCATTATTTGCAAACATCGCTAGCTTCATTAATTCGAAACATCAGTAAATTATGGTTCTTAATAAGAAACCAATTGTAGTTCTTAAACATTTTCCAACACCATTTCTGAAACCATGCGTGCTCGAATACTTGGATTTTAGATGAAGAGAAAGAAACCTAAATGGCTACATTATTATTAGACAGAGTACTGTTACAGATAAGAACAGAAAACTTAGCTTACATCTTTTTTCACATAACTAACCTTAGCTGAAAGTTATTAACTTGTAGCATTATTATGCTGATGATCATCTTTTTTTTATTTATTTTTTTTATCCATGGATAGAGTTAAGATGCATTGACGGTCATCTTGAGATTCGCTTGACAGTGGCCAGCTATGGCGCAGATGAAGTAGTTTGCTCCCTTGGCCAGAGTCAGCTGGTCGTTGCCGGAGGCGTAAACCTTCGCCCCGCCGCGCTGCAGGCGCTGTAGCCGCCGGAGCTCACCGCCGCCACGTTGTGTATCCCTTTCGGGTATTTGAAAACTGCATGCAAACATATGGCATAAGAAGGAGAAGAAGGAAAAAGAATCTTATAATTGAATTGAACAGTGAAATTTGTGCATTAAACGAGTATATATAGTTGAGATAAGAAAAATATATATGTATTGATTTGATTTACCGATCACGTCACCGGCATTGAAACTCTTTCCGGAGGGCCAACTGCCGGCGCCATAGGTCCAACTGACGGTGTAAGAGGCTGCATCGGCCGGGCTCATAAGCTCGGCGGCGAACATGAACAGTACCATAGTGGTGGCCAGGATTGCAATAGCTCCTTTCATTTTGGGTTTTTTTTGGCTTTGTAATATTTAACTTGATCAATAGCAAGTGATTTTTTTTGGATAGCTGTGATGTGAAGGAAAGTGTTGCCTAATGGGGCCAATTTATAGAGTTGTTTGAGGAGCCAGTTGGGGTTGAATAGTCCACGTAGGAAATTATTTTTCTTATTTTATTTTGGAGAAACTAATTAGGGTGTGTTTGTTTAATGGTGAAAAAAAAAATTTCATTTGAAATGTATGAAAAAAACGAACTGACTTTCCTTTCGCAAGGAAGCATCTCGAAAGTTTCGAAATCTATGATTGATGCCTCGTTTCGAACTCATTATAGTTGTTTCTCGAGATGTGGTCAAATTTTTATTGTTTAACGAACAATCTATTAATCATTTTATGAACTATATTTTGTTTCTTAAGTTAAGTTATGTCCTCGTTACTTATTATATTTAGAAAAATCCCTATGGGCGCCATAAGATCTATAAACTCAAATCAACTACTCTTATGAGTTTGTCGACTATTCATGCGGAACGAGAAAGCTATCCTTTTGATATATATGCCAAGATGATCATAAAAGAAAAACAAAGACTTACACTTCATCAGCTGAATTTTTTTGCAATGCCAAACCAAATACATATGTCTTTCACATCTACTTTTTCTTTGTGGAAAGTTTCCATTGTCTATAAAAAAAATTGTCCAAACAAACGCACCACACTCTGACGCCAACTAGTGAAATTTAATTAGTTTCAGACTTTCTGTTTGGTAAGATAGGTCACTATTAATTTTTCCCCCTGACTGGAGATTTCACCAATTCAATACCAAGGCTGAGTCAACGTGTAAATCTAAAATTATTCTGACAAATAAAACAGAAAAAAAGGTAGTACAGCTACTTATTCTGACAAATAGTTATAGTGATTCAACAGCCAACATAAATATGTGAATAAATGTAAATGACCTATCTCGAATAGAAATGAATTCGATATACAAATGTATTTAAGAAAATATTTTGTACAGATTTACAGATATTCATATTTTCCCCCTGGAATTTATCATTTCATCATAACCATCCGGAGCACTCAAGGTTCTCCGTGTATAGGAGTAAAGTCATTAACTTAATTAAGTTAGATTCTCGTTCTCCCATAAACATGAAAATAACATCAAATACCGTGGTTAGTGGGTTTCTAGTCAACATTAATCCATGGTAACAAATATATACATGTATTGAACCCTAGACGGGTTTGTAGCATGGTCGATGAAACCATATCGTACCAGCGGTTCAACCACGAAATACCAGTATCGAAAGTTAAATCGGTATGTTGTATTTAACGGTCTAACGGTTGAACTACGGTTAAACCACAATTTTATCATAAAATATCATACCGCTGACTTCCCCAATACGGTCTCCGGTACGGGTTCATGACTATGATTTGTAGCCGCCCACATAATTAATTAGTACTAACTCATATCCCATTCAGAAACCCCATTTCAGTGATGATGGTCCTGAAACAGTTAAATTAAACAGCAACAACACTTATTTTTCAGGTAATATTAAGACCTTACAGAACAGAACAGAGATAAAAAAAACAGAGAAGAAATGTAGCCATAGTCGACCCAGCTGATAGCTGGTGAAGCATTTCGATTTTCTGAGTAACTGATCGATTCAGAGAGCAGTGACGGCTATCTTCATCCCAGCTTGGCAATGTCCAACGAAGTTGCAGATGAAATAATTCTGTCCTTTCACGAGCTTGATCCTGTCGGTCCCTGAGCTGAACACTCTGGATCCCCTTGGAGTCGTGCACCCGCTGTGCCCTGCCTTGTTCACCGCCACCACGTTGTGGATCGATGGATTGTATTTGAACACTGCCAACCATTCGATCAAATATCGTATTAACGAATGGGATGAAAGCCATCCGCGAACCGTTAGAACGCGTATCGAAAAAAATATCGACAATACACAAGTATATATATATATAGCATCTTCTTCAGACGGCCTAATTACGTTACCAAGCACATCACCGGCCTTGAAGCGTTTGCCTTTCGGCCAGGCAGAGACGTTGAAGGTCCAGCCTGCGGAGCCTCCAACCGTGTAAGTCGTGGCTGCTGCACTTGCTACATCGAAGTGGAGAGCGGACACTAACATGAACAGGCACAATGTCGCCGCTGCCATTGCTGCTGCACTGCCTCTTCCCTTGGTCGCCATTTCGCTCCTCTGCTTGCTTGCTTGCTTGCTAGCTATCTTCAAATGTGGAGAGAAATTAAGGTTCTGAGAGATGGAGTGGGTGGAGTGGATTGAAGGAGGGGTTGGACCTTTTTAATGAGAGAGTTTTGGCGTGGAAGATTGGTTTGAAGCAAAGAGTGGGTGATAGGTCCCACGACATTGGAGAAAAATTTTACAGACAGCAGAAGATGGGTTTGGGGCAGAGGCGCAGAGCCATTATATTATCAGTTTTTTTGCTATAGAAGTCGTAAAGGACAAACGTAACATAGAAGTAAATATTTTTAGCAGCTTTCCTTCAGTGGGTTGCTGGGGAAATAAGTGGTCCGGGAGCAAATCTTGACTTATTAGTTATTACCCTTTTGGGGAACTAAAGTTTGGAATTGTGAAAAAGATGATACAAATGGTAAAATAAAAATTGAATTAATAGTCTATAGAGAAGACATTGATGTGATTATTGGGTTCACCGAGTCGATCTCTTTTTTTTTTTTTAGAATTATAACTCAGTTGTTAGTGTCGATCAACACATGTAGATGTAAATATCATGAATTGTTTTATGATTCATTTTAAAATTAATGGTAATGTTTATTTTTTATTTAAATCTTTTTCAGATTCTTTTATATTATCCGAACCTATCGAAATACTAAGAATTAACCAAATGTTAATATTCATTTAACAATATTGTCAGGAATATTGACTTGACAATATGACACGGACTTGGAAGAGACACATTAAGGTCAACATTCCAAAACTTTAGTATTTTAACTAAGAAAATAGTTACAAAATTATTAACGATAAAGTAAAAATGGCTTATATTTTGTTGCATTACGAAAGATTTGGCTAATTAATATCATTTTAATAGGTTTCGATAATATAAAAGAATGATTCAGTTTTTTGATAACCCTCGGAACCTCAGCCACGCGGGGCCTACTAAACCACTAGGGGTACCTGCATACTAACTGGGGCTTTCTGCTACCAACATCGGGGAGGCTTCGCCTCCGATACCAAAGGTGCCGCCGAGAATCGAACTCAGGGCCTCCCACCGGGGCTTTCTGCTACCAACATCGGGGAGGCTTCGCCTCCGATACCAAAGGTGCCGCCGAGAATCGAACTCAGGGCCTCCCACATCCAGAACTCAATTGACCCGGTAATGCGAACGGCTCGCACTTTAGCGGTCCAACCGGCATTAGACCGCTTAAAACCGTTAGAGAACCTGTATCTAATAAACGTTATCAGTATAAATAGTGGACATTTCTTAATCAGAGCTCATCTCTTTCCTTCGAAATTGTGAAATGGAAATAAGAATTCTATTTGAAAGCCCCGCATTTTTGGTTTATTTCAATTATCTACAATTTTTTTAATTAAATTTAGTGGCTGAATGGCAAAAACCGGACGAGCGGCTCGATCGGCTCGAACGGTTAACCGCCTCGGCCGCTCGCCAACCGGCAACCGCTACATAAAACCGGAGCGGCTTCTAAACTGTTCCGAACCGGTTTTATGAGGGTGGCGGTTTTACCGGTTGGGCCGAGCGGCTCGATTCGGCTTTAATAACACTGTCATATACTCATATACATATTTTACTATATGAGGTATGCAAAAACCCTAACTATTTTGGACGGATAATGAATATGCACCATATACGCGGTCTAGCCCATATTTCACTTCATGATGTACCCATAATGGGCCTTGACGGCCCTAAAGAGAACTAAATGCCATTGTTGTTATGATAGGTAGGGGCACACTAGGCCCAATCGTTTAGGGACTAGTTTGTTACGATTACAAAATTCAGGTGCTATTTATTTAACTCTTACCGAAAAATGCCCAACTGCGTCCTTCTCAGGCGCGTAAAGCGAACTCTTCCGTCCACCTTTCTTCTTCACCGACAGCGATTTTCGCTTCACTTCCACTCCTTCCTACTTTGGCATCGCCGTCTCAACTTCGCAGCCCACAACCATTCGCCTCTCCAGCTCTCTCTCTCTCTCCCTTCGAATCCGCGGGATTCCCTCTCCGTTGGCTGCTCTCCCGCGTCTCTTGTGGACAGCCAGCCATGGAGATAACCTACCGCAGTCGCCTTTTCATCCTCCTCTTTCTCGGGCATTCCTTCTTCTCAGCCCGGGCCTCCATCCACATCTACGACACCCAACCCTTCAGCGAAGTGGGAAATGCTTTCCTTCTCTCCGGAGGCAGCGAAGGCATTGTCGCCTCCTCCGCCGCCGCCGGCCTTCCTCCTTACACTGTCGACTCTTCGTCCTACGCCATTCCGCGATCCATCAATGATGGCCGCTCTTACATCCGGTAATAAGTGATTGCGAAAGAGACGCTGGTAGTTTTGAGATAATTTATGTTTGTTTGTTCTTCACTTGTTTCTCCCTGGTGAGTGGTGATAGTGACTGAATCTGAGTGGTTGAATTTGGGATCTGAATTGTGTTGAGATCTCCTGCATTGGTCTTTTGGTTTGGTGGGTAATTGAATCTTCATTGAAGGTTTGTTTAACTAGATCTGGAAGGAAAGTTAGCGGTTTCAGGCCTCTTAAGATTGGGGAAGAGATATTCTTAGTTGATGGGTACTGTGAATTGTTTGCTGAAATCATGATTTTCTTGTTGCATCATCTTAATTGGAGTAAACAGCCTCTCATATGGATCCATGAACTGTGGATGCATTTTGTGTTACCCTGAAGAGTTCAGTAGGATGGTGCTATTATGGTGCATAATTACTGGTAAACAAAACAAGTTACCCTTAAGCAAAAGGAAAGAAATTTACGCCTTTTGGTGATTCATCTCTACCAAACAGATCTGAGTAGCTTGCATGGTTGAATTCTGCATCGCCTTTTGTGTCAGGTGTCTAAAAGATGTGACTTTTTTTCCAGGTTTGAGAATATTTCTTTCTGGAGGACTAAAGACGCAGCTGATGAGGATCCAGATATGGATCACGACACGGGGCTGGTTCAGGTTGTCATTTTTGAGGCTGCTGATCGGAACAGTATTGGTGGTTCTGCGTATGGTGGACAGAGGTCCATCTGTTGCACACCTGACCTTGCTAAGCTGGAAGGTTGCAAGGAAGGTCGAGTGATTAGGATGCCTTCTGCAACTGACATCAACTGGCCAATAGTTTTGGATGTGAACTTCAGAGGCGATGACTTGTTTACCAAGCTTAAAGATGAGGATGTGTACATCACCAAAACAGGGATGTATAACTTGTTCTTTGTTGCATGCGATTCAAAGCTTAAGGGACTTGTGATGAGTGGGAAAACGATTTGGAAGAATCCCGATGGTTATTTGCCTGGTAGGATGGCACCTCTAAAGAAGTTTTATGTGCTTATGTCTGTTGCATATTTGCTGCTCAGCTTGACTTGGTTCACCCAGTACCTGAGGTTCTGGAAGGACATTTTGCAACTTCAGCATTGCATCACGGCTGTTATAGCATTGGGACTATTTGAGATGGTTCTTTGGTATGCCGAGTATGTGAATTTCAACAGCTTAGGTGTCAGGCCAGTTGCAATCACTACTTGGGTTGTGACCATTGGAGCTGTAAGGAAAACGGTTTCACGTCTTCTCATACTCTCCGTTTCAATGGGTTATGGTGTTGTGCGCCCAACCCTTGGCGGTCTTACCTCAAAGGTGCTTCTTCTTGGGCTAACTTACTTTTTGGCATCTGAGTTACTGGATATAACCGAGTATGTTGGAACCATTAATGACATATCGGGAAGAGCAAGGCTGCTTCTAGTACTTCCTGCCGCCTTCCTTGATGCATTCTTGATATTGTGGATATTCACTTCTCTTCAGAAAACGTTAGAACAGTTACAGGTACGGCTTCCTCATCTGTGTCTTAAGATACAACCTTCTTTCTCTATTAAGCTATTCGTCACAGCTTATTTATTTTCTCCCCCTCCCATCTTCATCTGTAAATACACAATGCTTCAACATTTTCCCCTTGAAATTGCTGGATCATGTAAACTAACTCTGATATTATTCCTTGGCCCAGTCGAAGAGAAGCTCTGTCAAGTTGGATATCTATAGGAAATTCTCCAATGCATTAGCCGTTACCGTTATTGCTTCAGTTGTTTGGATAGCTTATGAGGTATGATCCCTTAGCCTGATACAATACTTTTTAGTTCCGTTATTTTTTAATGGACTTGGAAGTTCTGACCTAAAGAGCTTATATTCTAGGTATACTTCAAAGCAACCGATCCATTCAATGAACGTTGGCAAAGTGCCTGGATCATCACTGCGTTCTGGGACCTTCTTACACTAGTACTGCTCTGTGTCATTTGCTATCTGTGGGCTCCATCTCAAAACTCTCAAAGGTACGATAATGATCCAGACTCTTACAGAATACAAGTCTTCCATCTGATAGCAGAGTGTTATCTCGTGTCCGATATCATGTCTTTGCATCATGTACTGACCCCTCGATTCAAACAATGGTCAGATATGCTTACTCAGAGGAGGTAGGAGAAGAATCTGACGAGGAAGCTCAGTCTCTAACCAGGGGAATGCCGGATGGCGACATTAGTTTAGTGGAAAGCAAAGAGAAGAATGGTAACCACCAGATAAATGCTTTTGATGAGGAAGATGTGCTGGAAGAAGATAAGAGAGAATGAATGATCAAAACTATACACCATTCTTTTGCCTTCAATTACACCTAGGCAATCCTCTTGAAGCCATCTTTCCACTTGAATCTGCCAAAAGCCCCCGATAGAGAACTGTTCAATAGTATCTATCACTATTCTGTAGCAGACGGTACCCACCCCTTCCATCTCCGTGTACCATCATGTTTGTTGTACTTGTACTCCAATCTTCTGAGCTGGGATTTGGGAGAGTTGCCCATTCTGTAAATAACCTAAAATGAGCATTCTGAAATGGGGGGATTCTGCTCTGAAAATCATCTGTAAAAGCTCCAGAGGTTCATCTTCCCCCCCCCTGTTGGATTGTACCATTTTGTCACCAAGCAGCATTGTGCTATGTTCATTGTATCATTGTTTCACTAATCATCTTAGCAGATTGTTATTCCATCCACTTCATAGATCTGCAAGAAACATGGTATGTTTGTACCATTCAATTCAATGCAATACCCCACCAACATTCATCTGCTAAAAAACTAGACATGCAAACAACATATTTTTTGAATTCCAAATACCTAACTAATCAGAAGATTTACCTCAAGTGTTAATGAAATTCGAAGCTATCCAATTGCTTTACCAGGCAGATTCTCCTTCATTCTATGGTGTCTGATTTCAATGATCTTTTTCTTTTGCTGATTTTACTCAACCAATTCTCTAAATTTTGTCTGATTTCCATCATCCTATCGTCTTTATCTTAAATTTCTAAATCTTGTTTGATCTGTGCCGTGGATTAGAATGCCCTTTTTGTAAGGTTGTCAAACCAGTACCTGTCCGATTGGTAATCGGATTTGACCGGAAATCGATCATCTAAACAATCGAAATACACTCATTTTGGACGGTTCTGGGAAAAATCAAAATCGGAATGAAATTAGTTAAAAACGGGTGGTCTGGCCAATCAAAATCGGGTAAAACCAGGTTTGAAGATGAGAATTGATAATTTTGTAATATATATTCTTTTGAAGAAATAATTTGATAATAAATGAATGTAGATTAGCGAACTTGTTTTAAAATGCCTAATCTATTTGGTATTAAAAATTTAGAAGTTTTCTCACATATTATTGTCAAACTTACTTGAACAAATTGAATCAATCCAACATTACAGTTCAAATCACTTGTGAAACCGGCTTAATGACTTAATTGATAATTCGGTTTAACAACGTTGCCATCAGCACATCCTGTAGAAACAAATCTTCAAATCATCTCTTTTGAACATTTTGTACGGATATTGGGCGGGAAAATAAAACAAAAAGGCACTAAAGCAAGCAAGCAGCCGCTCCTACAGTCCTTCCTTCTCCTTCCTACTCTAGTTTGCCCAGTGAGAATTCAGAACCGCCCTGGGAAATGAGAGGTCCTCGCCGCGGGCAGAAGGATTCGTTCATCCCACCGCCGGCACAAGACCACCACCACCGCCAGTTCCCCTACCGTGACTCCGACGCCAGCTTCGCCAGCAGCCGTCCGTCGTCCGTCGGCGTAGGCCGCCCGTCCGTCGCTCTGGTCGATACCTACAAAGACCGATCCCGCCAGGCGGAGACCCTTCGCGCTATAAACCACTATCTCTCCTCCAAATCCTCGCCCTCGCTTCCGATCAACCAAACCCCCTCCAGCAAACAGATCAAGGAAACCCTAACATTCCTTCTCACGAATCTCGATTGCCCAGTCAAGAAGCTGGAAGACGATCTCTTGAGCATTCTCAAAGTCCTCGGATGCCCAATCAAGATCAACGGGTCGACGCTCCGTGCCCCCAACACTCCTCACAATTTCCCTTCCTTCCTCGCCCTAATGCACTGGCTGGTTGACATTGCCACTTGTAGCGAGCAGCTCGCCAAGAAGTCAGGTCGGTCTCTTGAAAGTGACATGTTTACTTACGCGTTAGACAGTTACTTGAACTACATGACCGGCGAAGACAATGAGGTGGAGGCGTTGGATGCGAAATTCACAGCCAGGTTGGAGGTGGAGAAGAACGGGTTCAAGGAAGGGATTGCGTATTTGGAGAATGAGTGTAATGAATTAGCTGCCGTGGCGGAGAGGTTGAAGACTGAGCCCACGAGAAGGGAGAAATTGGAGACTGAGAAGAATGTCCTGGAACAGGATGTGGGAAAGTACCATGTCATGATGGGGGAGCTCAAGCAGAGAATCGAGAGCACGGAGAAGGTATTGGAGGACAAGCGGGCTGCCATACTGGCTAAAGTTGAGGAGATAGAAAGGTTCAATGCTGAGAATGAGGAGTTGAAGAAACAGGTGGAGAGCCAGAGCTTCAATATCAGGGATGCTGAACGGATGAGGAGGGATCTGCAGGCGCTGGAGAGAGATATTGCGGAAGCGGAAACTGATAGAAACGCGTGGGAGGAGAAGATATGGGACCTTGAAGCAACGATTGGGCAAAAGTTAAAGGAGCTTGAGGTGATGGCCATGAATTGTAACCAGGAGGCTAGGAGGTTTGCTACTTGGACTTTTTCCCATTCTGTGATATGGGTACTTGTTACTCGATATTTTCCTGTGAACCGAATCTCTTCATGTTTGCTTAAGTTTTTACTGTTTGTGCATAACAATGTCATGGGAATTTGGAAGTACAGTCTACTATTTCACATGGTGGCAGCTTCCTCCTTGTCGACTGCTAGGCTTTAGATGTAATCTATTGCCTGTTCTTGAAGCAGATACAGGTTTCTGGTAACTCAACAACACAGCAAAAAATTTCACTGTAGCTCTTACCTAATCATACAATATTTGACATTAAGGGTGGTCAGGATCCTGTGATTGTTAGCATATCTGTGTTTTGAGAACATGTGTTTTGAAAAAAGTGGATCATGATAAAGGAGTTGATTGTTAGGATGAGCTGTTTGCATGTTGCAATGATCAACTAGAAAAAAAAATGACTCTTTTGCATTAGGGGCCACTTTTTGAGATGAGCATGGATAAAACTGAAATTATGAACAGAGATCTGAAATGGTTTGGGGTAGAAGTAAGTAAATGTAGTTTCTTATGAGTCTAGTCTGTGTAGCATTTTTCATTAACGTTTGCCACTTTCTTGTTGCTTTCTATTTCTTTTCTTTCTGATGGGAGTGATGTTGTGCTTGTGATTCTAGATTGAAGCTTGAGAACATTTTTCAGCATGGCTTGAATGCCAACGGTTCCACACCTGCTGAAGTAATGGGGATCGACTGCAAGTCTACGCTTAAACCTAGACTAAATTCCCTTGCTGATGGTCTAAAGAATAGCTTTGTGTTAAAGCTGGAGGAGAAGATGTCGCTTCAGCAACAATCATCAGAATTGGCAACTAAGATTGACATCAAAAGAAATGATCTTTCCCAGTTCCAGTCTCAGATTGATGAAGTAAGTGCATCATACTCGGAGCTTCTAACTGTAGGTGAAAGTTCATTATTCTTATTCATTTTGTCTGCCATGTCCTAGAAAGCTAAAAAGGCATGAACCTTGCATGCGCATTGCCACTTGACAAAGGTAGCGAAACATCTGTTGGAAGTGGAAGTCAGAGATAATCAGTTGTGTTGCCTAGGTACAATTTGATTGGAGAACAGTGATACTTATAGAGAATATTAGACACTTCCCACTTCTTGATGTTTACAAAATCAGTAGTTAGGAGCAGAAAGCTAATAGTTAGAGTCTGTTTGGATTGTTTAAATAGGTTAATAACTTTGCAAACTTGATGGAATTCGAACTCCTCTTGATACTGAGACTTGGGAACTTCGTCATGTTATCAATCACGTGCCTCAAGTGCAGTGACCATAAATTCTTACTAATCAGGAAATGGTTAAGACAGTCGGATCGTTTTAGTTGTGATTGTGAATTGAACATGAACATATTTTGGTTAGATGGAAGCTCAGGTGAATCGTACCAAGACAGAAATAGAGGATTACCTGAGCAAATGTGCATTGGAAGCAAAAAGCATGGTGGAAACCATCACAAACGAGGCCCATACCTTGGTGTTATTGGAAAAAGAAGCAGCAGCTATTCTGCAGGTACATTCTTTTCCCATCTCCCATATCTTTTTAAATGGCTGGTAGATCCGAGAGCAGAATACTCACTGTACAAATTGTTAGTTCTCCAATCTGGGCATTACAGCGAATCCCCTTAATGTTTTCTAAGTATGTGTTTCTAATGTATGCTTCGTGGTAATTATAAAAAAAAAGGATAAGAAGGTGAAGTTAGGAGAAACGATCAAACAAAGTGAAGAACAGGTGCAAGTGAAAGCTCGCCAACTGTTCACCCTGGTGGATTCAATCTCAAACTCCAAGGAGCACACTGACTCCTCTATCTCTCGCATGAAGAACAAGCTTGCAGAAACACAGGCTGCTGTCTCAGATGCTAGCAGTAACGTTTTACTCCTCCAACTGGGTACCAATTCTGCAGCATGAGGTATGATATGCCCGCTAAGATGGGTCTATAATGAAGATCACTAAGGGCAGAATCTTCGTGCCTTTCGCCATATTTATTCTCCGTTCCAAGATCCTCGTAGTCGTAAGATGAAATGTTAATAGACTGTGATGAAAGCCTTTCGAGCGTTGAGTGTTCATAGCTAAAGCTATGGGTCTGAAGTTCAGCGCGTAATTTGATCAATTTATCCATGTTATGTTTGAATGATTGATTTATCCGTAGTAAGTGTCAAGAACCAGTTGATCCCAATAACTCGAGTTGTTGGGAGAGGTTCAATCGTGGATCATATACCACAACACTAACACGCCCCCTCAAACGAAAGCCACTCACAAGGGCTTGAAGTTTACACAGGTCTGAAGACAAGAATACCATGTGCTTAACAAATGGGGGTCACCGGGAATCGAACACAAGACCTCTCGGTCACAGAAGGTTCTGATACCATGTCAAGAACCAGTTGATCCCAATAACAGTAAGCTCATAATCAGTAGAACTTAAATTCAAATTTAAATAAGATAGTTCTGCAGTCTCTTGATGGAACTTGTGGAGCTTGCTGATAGTATCAACCGTACTATTTAACTTGCCTTCATTTTTCACTCATATGGCTGTGAACAATCCCCTGTGGAAAGGATTATGGTATCCACGTCCAAACAACCACCTAACTTCGTTGTGGATCAAATCGATTAACCATGAATATACTTAATCTGAGTCAACATAGTCACTCCATGCTTTTAGTGCTTGCCTCCAGGGTCATGTTGACAGAATGACATGTTAGAGGTCCCATTTGCCTGCTTCCAACATATATAACTCATTCTCCTCGCCCGTTGTTGTTACATAATTTGGTTGTACTTGATCTTTAATGCATTTGTATTGTGATTTTTACAATGCCTCTTTGTGATATTGGAGAAAATTAAAATTTAATAGAGGATAATTTTGAGGTGAGGGTATGTCTATGACTCTATGGTGATAACTTGCAAAAAATGATCTAATCTCTTTCACAAGACAGTCGACCATTTTCCAATAAAATGGTATGCTTCTTCCACAAAGTTGCTTGTATTTTCTTGGAAGAGTGGTCTACCGCTTCCACCGCTTAAGGCAAGCGGTCGATTTGATGACACTTACTTTCAGCTTATACCCGCTTATTTTCGGGGACTAAAACGAAACCCAATTTGTCTTTTTAATTTTGATTAGTGCAACTAATTGTTGGTAGGTGGAACATAATGAGGGTTAAGTTATTAGTCAATTTGACTTTGCATGTAATTAAGAGTGGGTGATGATTTTGTGTCTCTCACCAAACATTGATTGAGTTATGAGTTGGGATTTGGTTACATACGGTCAAATCGAGCAGAGCTGTCAGTAACTCTGCCCCAATGGTTCCCGAGTTTTTATTTCGGGCTTATAATACGGGCTCTAGCGACCTACTGGTTAATGTTGGATTGTGGGCTTTATAATACGGGCTCTCGTGACCTACCAACTAATGTTGGATTGTGGGTTTTATATACTAAAACAATGTAATTATTTCCATTCATTACCCTTTACCTCCCGTTGTTACTTTTATCGGACTGCTCATCAATGGACATGATTAAAGACAGGTTACTGGATCACTCATGGTATATTAAGTGTTTAAGTGGTTCGCTGAGATTAAATTTTTTCGTAAATGTTATTGTTTTCATTGTTCACGCATGTAGCTGCCAAATCGAATTCATAGAAAATTTCCTATATTCTCGCTACACCCATAACTGCGGATGATCTCAACAATGCCTTGATTAGTTGCTAGAAACAGGGAAAATCGTCTCTCTACCCCTCTGCATCCATCAACCATCATTCCTGAAAAAAGATGGAGGATGACAAAAAATAGACAGAACACAAAAAGGAAACCAGAAAGAAGACAAGTAACAGACAATAAACAGCAAAACCAAAAACAGAATTAAGGGAGGGACTCCTACGGGAAAAGGAAGAAGGAAGAAAAGGGAGAAGATTGATACCCATCAACCTTTTTCTCCCTTCTCTTCTCCCTTCCCTTCCCTCCTTTCAGCCCACCATTTCCAAACAACAACGAAGGTGAAGAATTTCCCACCATTTCCAAAGAACAGAGAAGATAAACAAGAACATAGAGATTGACAAACAATACACAGACAAAATGGGACCAAGCAAGTTACGACGAGCCGTTGGAGCGGTGAAGGATCAGGCGAGCATAAGCCTAGCCAAGGTGAACAACAGCAGCTCCCTCTCGGACCTGGAGGTCGCGATCGTGAAGGCCACACGCCACGAGGAGTACCCAGCCGAGGAGCGACATATCAGGGAGATCCTCAGCCTGACATCCTACTCGCACTCCTACATCAGCGCATGCGTCAGCACGCTATCGAGGCGGCTGAACAAGACCAAGAACTGGACCGTGGCCCTCAAGACGCTGATGCTGATCCAGCGACTTCTCAATGAAGGTGACCCTGCCTACGAGCAGGAGATCTTCTTCGCCACGCGGAGGGGCACGCGTATCCTCAACCTCTCCGACTTCGTGGATGCCAGGTCCGAGTCGTGGGACTACTCTGCATTCGTGAGGACGTACGCGCTGTACCTGGACGAGAAGCTCGAGTTCAGGATGCTCGGTAGGCGAGGAAAGAGGAGCGCCTTTGCGATGGAGGATGACGAGGAGGAGGTGGAGGAGGAAGGCAGTAGCCACCACCGCAGAAGAAGAGGCCGTGGTGGTAGTGCTGGTGGAAGCGGCGGCGGTGGTGGTGGTGGTGTCAAAGCCACGCCACTTCGTGAAGCTAAGAATGAGAAACTGTTCTCCAGGGTTCAGCATTTGCTGCATTTGCTCGAGCGCTTCCTTGCTTGCCGCCCTACAGGTTCGTTGTAATGCAGCAAAGAGGCTTTTGTTTATAATGCAGCAGCAAAGCATCATCTCATCTTATATATGAATGCAAATATATAGGTAATGCAAGGCATGACAGGGTTGTACAGGTGGCTCTGTACCCGATTGTGAAAGAGAGCTTCAACTTGTACTACGACATCACCGATATCCTAGCCGTGTTGATCGATCGCTTCATGGACTTGGATCTCCCGGAGGCAGTGAAGATCTACGAGATCTTCTGTCGCGTCGCCAAGCAGTTTGACGAGCTCGAATCGTTCTACAGCTGGTGCAAGAACGCTGCCATTGCTCGGACCTCAGAGTACCCTGAAATCGAGCGCATCTCGCACAAGAAACTCGAGCTCATGGACGACTTCCTCCGCGACAAATCCGTCCTGTCGCAAACGAGGAGAAGAGCCGACGCCGAATCAGTGGAGGATAACGAGGAGTTCAAGGATGCTGAGGAGGCGGGCGAGGAAGACATGAACGCCATCAAGGCATTGCCTGCTCCAGAGGAAAGTTATGCTGCCCCTGTGGTGGAAGAGGTGAAGGAAGAAGAAGAGGTGAAGCAGGAGGTTGCTGTCCAACAAGAGGCTGATCTGTTGAATCTAGGACAGGATGCAATGTCGAGCGACGATCATGCGAATCAGCTAGCTTTAGCTTTGTTTGATGGGGCTCCTCCAGTCGCAGCCAACTCCACGAGTACTCCTGCCCTAACGTGGGAAGCATTCAACGATGAGGCTGACTGGGAAACTGCTCTGGTTCAATCAGTAAGCAGTTTAGCTGTTCAGAGGCCTGCACTGCCGGGAGGCTTCGACATGACATTGCTCGATGGGATGTATCAGCAAGGAGCAACTACGTCAGCAATGTCTGGCGTGGCTAGCTACGGTACAGTAAGTGGAAGTGCTAGCAGTGTTGCTCTTGGCTCAGCTGGAAGACCTGCTATGCTAGCATTGCCTGCTCCTCCGACATCAACGATGAACACCTCCGGTGGGTTTTCAGACCCGTTTTCAGCCTCGATTGCAGTGCCACCACCGCACTATGTGCAAATGTCGGAGATGGAGAAGAAGCAGCACCTGTTGATGGAGGAGCAACTGATGTGGCAACAATATGCAGCAAATGGTATGCAAGGACACGTTGGGTATGGAAGGGTACAGCACAATACATACAACATGGGGGGATACACACATGGTTACTAATCTTAACCAGTTTGTTTGAATAGGTCTTTTTTCTTGTACTATCAAATCTTTCTTTTCCCCCCTCATCTCTTGTTCTTTTCCTGGGAAGGAAACCTTCCCCCTACAATTGTAAATCATACAACTTTCGCAACAAAATAGCTCGACACTTTTGTTCAAGTCCTAACAATCTAATGATACATGCCAAAAATGGAATCTCAACACCCGATTTTCAGTCAAAGGTGCAGAGTGAGTGTGTACTAGACATACTTGCCTCTGTATTTAGGTTTGAGATCTCTAAGTGGTTTGGTATCTCCGGACACAGTGAGTTGATCAGCTGGAGTGAAAACAGAGGAATGAATATTGCCATCTTCTAGCCACTTGACGTGGTTTTCTCGAAACTCTGTGTGCTTTACCCTAGCTGCCTCGGCTATCTCCTCGGTGTAAGGGCGTCTCTTGACCATGGTTAGTAAAACCCGACTATAACGTGAGCTCAGGATCTGCTCCGAAGATGAAATCAGTTCAAAACAAGGGTGCTCTGGGAAGACGGTATTGCCTACATTAGCTTCATCTTCTCGGAGCACAGGGAAGAAGTAGACTAGCCTGCCACCGATCACAAGCATCCTTGCAGCAAGGTCTAGCAAATCGTGTACACATTCAACTAAGCTGTATGGTGCAGTTGAAGGTATGTGGTCTGTTCTCTTGTCATCAGGAACCGTGTATGGTCCCACAACTCCCTTCAGCAGCTTTCTGCCACCTGACTTTCGTCCACCAGCACGGACTCCATATGGTGGGTCGCAGATTATAGCATCGAAAACCTTATCAAAAGCCAAACATAAAAAGTCAGAACATAAGATGACACTAGGAAACAGCCTTGAAAAATTTACCAGTCAAAGGGAATCATTGACAATCATTGGGAAATTGTCTATGTCTCATTTAGCTTCCTATAGAGCTTTTGTAGTACATAATCCCCAGAGGAAAAAGGAAGGAGAGAACATAGGTCTCTCTGATGCAGAAGGTCCATACTAGATCCGGGGAATTCTAGTTAATATTCAAAAAGGAGATGAGAATAACCTCTTTCCTGTAGGGCTTCATTCAAATAACTTTCTAAAAGGTTACAACCTTACAAGCATGTGCAAATGTGCATGACTGGAATAACCATTTCGATGCAATATAAACATCACATCTGACCTGTTCTGTTTAAAACTTTCAACCACTAGTCATTTATACAAAATATTTTTAGACAAAGTTATCCAGCCTAGTTTTCATTATTCTCTGGCAGACTCAAATTCAAATACAATGCAGGTTAAAGAAAACTATGCACATGAAGGAAGAAAATCCCAGAAAAAATATTTACCTCTTTCAATCCAGGACGCCAAGGAGGAAGGTTATTATCCGCCCTTAGAAGGCCAACAGGCATAGGCAGTCCATACTGCATAAATGATTAAATGCAAATAAAATTAGCATCAGTTTGCGTATCAAAACTATATACCTGAGATTATGAGGAGGTATTACTGCAGCTCTCCGCATAAGAATCTGGATTTGGAAGCTTCTTCTTTTTGCAGCATGCTGCTTATTGCTGCATAGCAAGTACCTTAAAGAAGGAATATCCATAATTACCTGCTTGAAATTGCTCCAGACATTGCGGTCAGGGCCACGTCCATCTCGAACTACTCTAATATCAATGTCAGCACCCTGCAACATTTCATGATGTGCAAAGAAGAGGATTACACATCCAGAATCCACTCCAAGCAAAAACAGTTAAGGAAACACAAACCATTGTCATTGCTCCGAAGTGAGCAGCACCAATCAGAATACTGCCAGTTCCAACAAAAGGGTCATAGACAAGTTTCCCGGGCTTGACTAGCGCTTGATTGGCCATCAAAAAAGCCATTTCTGCGTCCATTGCTGTTGGGCCAAGATACTTTCGGCTTTTTAGCTGGTATGTGGGTATTAGCGTCCTGTCAGAACCACCTATCTCACGGCCAAAAAAGATTCTTTTTTGAACAACTGGTGGCAGTCCATTGTTACCCCCATGGTCATCAGTCTCCATGAGCCAGAACTTATGATCTGGATGTTTCAGGTTAACTCGACCCTGTACAGACATGAATCATAAACCCTCATAAGACGCTTCCACATTATCTATCAGTTCTTTAGTGTCAAATATCAATAATGAACAAAGTGGCTATTTAAGTAGTCTTAGAAGCTCTGTCATCCAAATCATAATGAGGGACCAGCAATAATTGATACAGACTTGGCATCTAAAGAAGAAGCATACCTCGAAAGGAATGTAAGCAAGTTGCTGAATACGGTTATTCTGCTCCTCAAAGCTCATCACCTTCCCAAAGCTGTCTACGGTGATCCTAAAAGTACTTTCAGAACTCAAGTATGGTGACTTTCGCTCATCCGGGTAGCTCTTTATCGCCTGTTCCAATTCTTCCAGTGTGCTTCCTTCGCCCCAAAGCTCATACATTCCTTTCACTAGTAAACCTGAAAGTGCCACAGTTCCAATCTGAATCAACAAAAGCTTCCAGAGACTCTCGTTACAGAGCAATTACAGTTAAATTCATTGCAATCACTATGCTTTCCCAACACAAAAGGACGCAACTTTTCGATTGAATAACCCAATCAATTTAGAAAGCACAGTATAAAAACAAAAGAGAACAGAAACTGAAGCATCATGGTCAAGCAACTGAAGAAAAAAAATACAGAATATGAGGAGAGAATAAGAGGGAAGGGAAGACAGACTTCGATTGGCGATGTCTCGGGCGACGTCATCAGAAGACAGATTGACGAAATGGAAAGGAGAATCGGGATGGTGATTTTCGGGAACCCTCCATTCCAGAGGCTCATTGCTTGAGTTGTGCTGAAAGAGCTCCGCAAGAGCCTCGACTTCTGGTCGCCTGTAATCCAACAGTCTATGGAAGAACACGCAAAGATACCACATCCTTTTCCTCCTGTTTTTCTTCTCCTTCTGCTGCTGCTCGTCTTCTTCTTTCGGTTCCAGCTCGGGCAGTTACTGTGTCAATAGCAAACCACAAAGACGCTGACTAGTAAACCTTTTACGCCGAATCGCCGATGGTGCAAAACCCTATATGCCTTGGAGATCGATAAAAGAGGTAAACGACTGCAGTTTCGAACCCCGCCAAAACCTCTGTTTCGTATTATTGGTGCGGAGAAGTTCGTCGAGGCATGTGAAGAATGATGAGGGAATTAACACAAGAGAAAAAGATTTTGGGTTCTAAACTTCTAATAGTTTAATTTGATTTGCCTTATCATTTAATGAAGCTACTAGCCTATGACCCGGCCCCTTGGCCGGAGGTAGGCCGAAAAAATTGATAGCGAAACTCTTACCGACATCAACCCATTAACATGTGTGCCTCGTTCTTCAGAAGTAGGCCAAGAACACAATAGTAATTTGAAGAGGAATCGTTGAACCATTGCAATAGTAGAGCAACATAAAATTATCAGCACTGAAATGGTCATTCCAAATAACTTACTTAACAAAACAAAACAAAAGTTGCTCTTTGATTCAAACATTAAGCTAAAATGTAAACATATTAAATTGAAGAAAAGAGCAAGTTTATCTCTAATGTTCAAACATTCTCAATTATTTTCATAAAGGCTAATCACAATCCGAAGGCTAAAAATCAAGGGTTTAAATGCTCAATGGCCTTTTAGCCTCCTCGAAAACAGAAACAACTGCAACTATCAGAAATAACATATCATATTTAGTAGCAGTGGTATTTTGATTAGAAGGCAAAATTCTGACCACCATACTACTAACGACATAATTATCATGCACACACCAGTCAAGTATTTGTGTCAGAACTCATAACCCTCCGCAAACATTTAAGTATAGACATACAAAACAGGCGTTGTAGCTATATATGCTCAACAATTGAAAACTAAGAAACACATGAGCTAAAAGCTCTTCCCACATTATAAGAGAATGCATTGGTTTCAATTCACCGAGAGGGTTCAAACTTATATGTTGCCTTGTCATACAATTTAGAAAGGCTTCATTAATTACCCCGATAAGGCAAGTTATAAACGACAAATTTCGGTTGCAGTTAACAACATAATTGTTTGATTCCTCAACGATGAGCAAAAACCCACTCTTTCAGGACACGATTAATAAAAATTAATGAAGATTACTATACAAAAATTGGAGATGGACGGACATTAATAAAATAATGGTTATCACCATATAAAAGCCTAGAAGATTATGGTAACTGATAACTTCCAAGCTCCGAAACTACCAGAAACAGCTCAAATACAGATACACAACTATCAGGAAATAGAATGTCTTTGATGAAGAAGCTAAGTGCACTGTTTTGTAACATAGCTCGAGTCTTGCAAAACTACAGGAATAATGAATTCATTCAATCCTAATAATAACCCCAAAAAAAATGCGTCACAAATAGGATATATATACCAGGGTGTTTTGACATACCCGAGCTATTGGAAGCACCACACTGCACAGTGTAAATTATAAATAATAATCACAATCCACAAGGGAAATCTAGACCTAGTGATGGAAAGGCGTAGTTTAGGTTTGTAAAGAATACACTCTATCGAAGCAAGGCATTTAGATCTAAGTAACAGAAAGTTCGATACCAAACAAACCTTTCAAAATCAAAGGGCAACTGAAACTACAATAATCAGCTCAGGGAAGCACCGAGGTTGGCTGCCATTTTTGCAGATACCAACAAAGTACATGTCAAAATCTGCAATAAATGGTTATAAGAATGGTTACACAGAGTTCACGCAATCGTTCAGAGGGAAAACACCACTGTGGCCAAGAAGGAAAACACAAGAACCTGAATTTTAAAGACATAAGGAAATTATGTATACCAGAGCAGAAAAGTTAAGCAAGCTCGAATCTTTAGCATCTGCAAAAGTGTTCAAACCCGCACAAAAAGGTTAGAAAGAAACGGGAAAGAGAAGACAATAGAGACAAAATAATAGGCTACCAAGAAACCAACACCATGGCAGTAACTTTTCTTGCCCAGATCTGCTTGCTACATGTCGAGCAATCCCAGCTGTAAAACCAACAACCCATGAATCAGGGCAAGTCAACAGCAAACATAAAGTGCAATGAATTGGAGAAGGGAGACTATGGATAATACCTCAACAGTTCAACGACTGGGGATGTGGTTTTTCTTCCAAGCCCATATAAAGCTTCGAAATCCGCCATTTGAGCACTCTAGAACTCCAAACAAACCTTAACTTGCTGGTTTTTTCCTGATATTAGACGAACACCCCAGGCCTTGAAAATCCTTACAAAAAAAGTCGAACCACGGAGTCTCCTCAGAAAAGAGATTGAATGGAGCCTTCCGAAACAGGAGAGCTAGAACCCATGAAAAGAAATTAAATTATAAACACCCAATAGGAAACCTATACAATATAGTCCTACAGAAGTGAATATTCGTCCTCTTTATAATGGTGATGTAGAGGAAGCAACTATAATAAGCCTCCTACCCCTGCTCTAGAACTCCCGATTCATTCAAATTCATACCTTCTTCACACTTAGAAGATGCACACAGTAGATCTTCATAGATTACTCTACACGTCACTCCATTTTTACCACGAACTGCATAATGGTAGCAACAACTTATTGAGAGAGAATAAAGGAATCATATGATATTCAGTCCCACATCAAGTCTCTTGATCCTGGAAATATCTCTCAGACATGTTTTTTGCCTTCTTACAGATCTTTTAAGTTCCTTCTGAGGGCTGCATACAATAACTCCTACAGCTTCTAGTATATATGTCAGTGTATTAAAAACTCCAGAAAGTCTGTAGATGCTATAATTCAAAACCGCTGAAATTCAATTGAACTTTGAATTTCAGTTGAGCTTCAAACTCGGCCGCCTAAAAGGGTTTGTTCTTGCAAGCCAATGAAGCAGTTTAAGTAAAACTATAAATGCATTGTATCAAGCACCGACAGGATCCTATTAAGCAAGAAAAGTTCATGATTTCGACCAAGAAAATACAACAAAGCATGATTTATTAGTTTTAATTATTTTAGTTGCATAAGCTTTGTAGGAAGTGATTAGCAGTAAGTTTTCTACATTGATAAGCCAGAGAGACAAAGCAAGGATTAGCAATAGTAGCTAGTTTAGGCTACCTGATCATAATTTGGCCAAAGATACTCAACCTTAAAACTGTTCCACTACTCATCATGTAGCCATACCTGCTGCTCTGATCTAGATCCTTAAGCTTCAACTGAGTGTCCAAGGAAAAAGTCTTTGCCTGTAGAATCTAACAAAAACAATGAGTAAGAAGCTATATAAATTTTAAGAAAGTAAAACCGGAATTGGATCATATCTATCTAGGAGAAAAAACAAATAAATTAAATAAATACTCTCCTTGCTATCTTGTTATATTGAACTCCTCACCACCAAAGTGAGTGTCTCCGGCAGTTTCCTTCACTTAGATACCCTTCAATTGTTAGCAGAAAAACGTAGAAAGTACCACCACCAGGGTGAAAGATCAACACATTCTTCTCCCCAACACTTATGGACTTCTTGTGAAGAGCATAACAGAGATCTCATCGTCAGCCTGCCACCATGTGATGCACCAATCTTGCTATCTCCCTGCTGTGAAACTGAAGTAAGTTCAGAAAAGCAGAAACACATAATAAAGACAGTAATTCTCAATCAGGTCCACTAAATCATTTGGAGTACTCATCATGTTAAACCTGAATAAACACTAATTCTCAATCATGTGCTACTTTCCATTTGTACCTAACATCTTCCACCTTTGCCTTTCTTTCTATTCATTGTGCAAGCTTATATTTGGACACATGAAGCGTGAAGCCACAAAGATTACGCCAAAAACAAACCCCAAATCCCTGCTTACACACAAAACCAAAGCACATCATCTATATAGTTAACAACCACTATAAGCACAAAGAACCAAATTGGCCAGAGGAAGAGATGAAACAAATCTGTAGAGGACCCAAGAACTCAAACCAAAGAGGCGCAACTTGAATGAGAGGCTTGCAATTGCAGCACCATACCAATATCCTTAGCATATTAACAGAAGCATCAATCCAATATCAATGATGCATATACAGACACAACAGACACATTGTCATAACCCTGAATCAAAATTCCGCGTAAAGAAAACAATGATTTTACCTCTGGCGCCCTTCTCTTTCTCCTTCTCGGGCTTTTTCTTCTCTTTCTCTTCCTCCTTCAATCTCTTGTTGCTCTCGGCAGCCTTAGCAGCGGCGACCTTCTCTCTTTCCGCCGCCTCCTCCTTCCTTTTTCGCTTCTCCTTGACAGCCTTCACCACCGCCGCGATCTCTTTCTCCGCCACGTCCTTCAAGAGGTAGTCGCTCTCCGCGGCCAGGAAGTCGAAGAGTTTCTCCACGATCCCTAGCAGATTGGTGGGATCGAAAGTGGCCGTGAAAGTCGAAGGCTGCGCAGGCGGCGAGGCAGCGGTGAAGACACTCTACGGGGACAGCGCTGCTCTGACTCACAAAAAAAATTGCCAGGCCCGTTCACCGTCGCAATATGAGCCGATGTATTTTTCCCGTGTCCGAAAATACCCCTCCGAGAAACACTCCGGAGGCAGCAAATTTGAAATGGGGATTCAGTTTTCCCCTTCAACGTATTATAGTATGTATAGATTTACTTAAAGTTATCTAAAATTTATTGGAAAAATAATAAGGTATTTATGTTGAAATCGTGATTTAACTGTAGTTCCATCGTTTGATATTGTTAAATACCATTTATCGGTTTAGTCTCCAATGTTAGGTTTTTCTAGCCGAACCACCGATTCGTATGATTTTTCAATCCTAGGTTATTTTCGTCATTTTTTTATTTTGATGAATAAATTTATTTTGTTTAGTATTTGGTTTAATACACTTGTATATCCAAAACTTTCACGGTTGTGCCAATAATATCCAAATTTCCCGAAATACCACTTATATCCATGTTTTAAAGTTTTTCTTTGCCAAATCTATCCATTTCCCAATATATTTTTGGTTAAATACACTTGTATATCCAAAAACATCGTTAAAGAATGTGAAGAAATTGGATATAAGTGGTATTTCGGAAAAATTGGATATTATTGGCACAACCGTGAAAGTTTTGGATATACAAGTGTATTTAACCTTAGTATTTTAATTTTAGTAAGATGACACTTCATTTAATAATGGAGTTATATTTTAAATCAAGCGAATACAAATTCTGTTTTGAGTAAATTTCTAGCTTGTGTTTTAAGTTTCCAAGTTCACAAGTAAAAATACGTTTTTAACTACTCTTTGGCTAGTAACGCATGACTACCTTACAAGGTGAAAGTTTATGCTCGTGCATGTTAATTTATGTTGGTATTGGGTTTTCGAGAGAGCACACGATTACCTCACTTTTAGTGTTGGGAAACAGTGTGATCTGGTCTAGATCAAATCATATACACGGTTTGCGATCCATATCAAGAGAGTAGAACAGAGACCATGGACCATATAATAAACTATACTGTCCAGATCAAACCACGTACGTGCGGCACGGTAGGGTCTGGATCGAGTAGACTACATTTAACAAACCCTGTATTATCCACTTTGTCATAAGAAGCAACAAAATGAAACAAAATAATGGGGGGCAGGGTAGGAGAATGAATTTAGCATTCATTTCATACAATGTACAACATTTTCAAACAAAGAGGAGGCTCATTAATTATTACGATCGAACAAACAAATGGGGAGCTCGTCTAATTGAGGGATTCTGGGTTGGAGGGGCCAAGACGACAATCGCGGATGTCGTTGGCAGGTAGGCAGAGGACGATGGCAATAATGAAAGAATATGTCGATGGCGGAGGTCGATGGTCGATGGTGATGGCAGAAGTCGATGGCGATGAACAAAGATCGTGCAACGAAACTGCTAGATAGTCAGCGATGGAGCTCCAAAGTCGACGACGGGGCAGATGACGGACACTCAAATAAGGGAGTCGAGACAAGGTGACGGCTGAAGTGCTAGGTTTTCCTTCTCGCCTCTCGGGTCTCGGCCTTGCAAAGTCGCATACTCACAGTTGAGGATTGAGGATTGGCCGATTGAAGATGGGAAAGCTGCAGCCGGGTGGCGAGCTAGGCATGCGAGATAAATGTAGTTGGGCTTGGGCCTAAGGAGCTACCGAACTAGGCTAAGATTGGGTTGTTGCTGCAACTTGAAAAGCCCATACTTAATTTGACCACGGTCTACACCAGACCAAACCATTCTAGACCGCAAGTTAAAGAGACAGACCGTGGACCAGACCAAATTGTATTCATGGTCTTACGGTGCGGACCAAATCGTACGATAGGTACTAAACCGCGATTTGTTACACTGTTTGGTCTAGATTCTCAGCCTTACTCACTTCCCATATGTAGGGTTGTGAAATGGTTTGGTCCCGCATCGCATCGGACCAAACCAAAGTTTGGACCGTACTGGACTGAGTATAGTGCAGTCCGTTCCTTGGTCCACATGGATTTTACAATTACTGAATAAATGATGGACCAAACTGATATTTGGATCAGACCAAACCAGACCAAATGGACCAAACGCAATGATGGTCTGATCCTTGGTCCTAAGATCTCTTTAACTAATGGCTCGCGGTTCTCATGAGTTTAGTCTGGTTCGGACCGAACCGAACCGTTGTACACACCTACACATCCATGGAAGTCTAGGTTTATGTTATGTCTTCTTATTGCGTGAAAGATCACATTCATGTTATGTTACAATTAGGGTAGATCGATGTGCTAGTTAAGTTGAGTTCGAGGCCTCATTCCTTAGAAGAATATTGTACTATGTATTACATTAGCATGTTTATTTATCCAAGTATGCTGTTATGAATTACTGATCACAATTAAAACAAAACTATGAGTAAGATTGACTCCAAGTTTGCACTCAGGAATTGGAGGAGCACTGGATTCATGTCCATAGACTTAATACTCAATACATGACAACACAATGACTTTTGACCTCAGAGGAATTTCATTTGATGAATTTAATTAAGTAGAATATCATGTTTGATGTGATTTTATGATGATTGTTTATTCCGTTTAAGTGTTTGAATTTATACCAACCTTTATTTTTCCTAATAGTTGCTGTTGTTCATTGTATTTTAATATTTTATTAATTATCAAGGATATTTTGATGAAGTAGTACTGGATCGGGTTATGACTTAACAAAGTATATCGAGTCGTGGTCTAAGAACTCCTTGGTTAAAAAAATTATACAGAGAGGGCTTTTTTGTTATCTTTGTATAATATGCGGACTTGTTTAGCTACGAGTCCAAAATTATAGCAAAACCAAGGTTGGCGGAAGTGCGAGTGAGCGCACCATAAAAGAAAGGAATGGTAGTCGTCGCACGGAACCAGAGGCACAAAGGGCAAGCCAACAAGCCGGCCAGCGAGCTGGAATCCCAACCCACTTTGAACATTTAATAAAATAAGAACAAGGAGAGAACCAAAAAATAAAAAAACAGTGAACCATTAGAAATCCGTGAAAATTCCCAGTAAACCCTAACGCCAAGCCGAGGAGGAAGAAGAAGGTCGAGGAGAGAGCAAAGCAGACAACGGTTTCAAAGACTACTGGACATTGAGAAACCTACTTCTCTCTCTGATGCGCCAACGCTGGCGCATGATCGGTTTCGCTGCCGCCGTCCGCTCTGGTTTGTTCGGTGAGTTTTTTTTTATATTATTCCGTTCTCTTCTTGTGGCGGTCTCGTTCCGTCCGACGGCTGTAGTGTTTGTTGATGGCATCTTGTTTTCGCCTTCATCTGGCTTGTTAGATTTTCCCGGGCGGAATGTGGCTCTTGTGATTTGAATTGAGAGGACATTCTTTCGGGGCAAACTACCTGCATGGCGTCCAAAGGTCCGAAGTCCAAGCTCGATCATGAAACCAGAGCTCGGCGCCAAAAGGTGTACACTCCCTTTCTGTTTTCTCTTCCCATTTGTTGCCCCTTTTTTCGTTCTATCATTGCTGAACTGTTGACGGATTCCGGGGATGTTGCTGTTTTGAGTTAGAATAAGCAGCTCTCTTTAGTTGTTTGCGCCAATGCGATGAACATTTCTTTGAGCTGTAATATCTGGGTTCCTTGAGTGACCGTGGTTTCGATATCTGATCCCCTGGAGCTACTGTGTTGCTCTTGCCTAGTAAGTACACGGCAGTGGCTTCTGTGGGCATCTGCAAAATTTGTGATAGATAGCTTGCTAGTCCTGATCTATAGATGAACGTGGAACCCTGTAATAGTTTCTATTGCTAGCGATGTACTGTTTGTTTGCAGTGGTTGGTGAATGAGGGGCTTAGATTGTAGGTTCATATACTTTCTCCTTGGTTAAAGTACTATGAGAAACCTGTTCAAACTCACAGTATACCAATTTGGTAGCAGCGTCTCCAATTTCTGTTTTAGTTTAGAATAAGCAGCTCTCTTCGGTTGTTTGTGCCAACATGACGAGCCTCAACAGTTGGTTAACCTCATAGTACGCCACTTGGTGGCATCAGTAATGTTGACTTGAGTGTGTGGCATCTTGGAGCTGGGGAGAAATGTGGGATATTGTGAATTATTGTCTCTTAGTTGTTTCTGAAAATGATGTGAATTACTGATACAATTATTTCTCAAGCCGCTTGAGGCTCCCAGGGAACCTCCCCGCCCGAAAGCTCATTGGGACCATGTTCTCGAAGAAATGATCTGGCTGTCAAAGGTAACTCACCTCTCATGCTGTATGGTAAAGATATAAAATCGTTATCTTTCCTCCCATCACTAAATATGTGCTGGTCCTATTACAGGACTTTGAGTCTGAGCGAAAATGGAAATTAGCGCAGGCAAAGAAGGTTGCTTTAAGAGCCAGCAAAGGCATGCTGGATCAGGCTACCCGTGGAGAAAAGAAATTGAAGGTTGTGGTTCTTTTTACCATTTAAGATTTTTAGGGGAAAAAGTAATTTGGAGAGCAACACAGATTCATAATAAAGTAGCATAAGTTAGATGCGAAGCTGAACTCAGTTGCAAGTATGCTAAAGTAATTTTTGCATTTGGACCAGGAAGAAGAGCATCGGATGCGGAAAGTTGCACTTAATATTTCAAAGGATGTGAAGAAGTTCTGGATCAAAATAGAGAAATTGGCAAGTTCTGATATTCAGTCATTTTATCTTCACGATCTCCCGACTCCCGTAGTCTCACAAGATATTTGGAAACTTTTGTGAAATTGGTTATTCGTGTTTCCAGGTACTTTATAAGCATCAGATGGAACTTGATGAGAAAAAGAAAAAGGCCCTAGACAAGCAGCTTGAGTTTCTTCTAGGGCAAACTGAGAGGTTCGACTTATTCAGTGAATTTTACTTCACCATTGCCTGAGCTTGCTCTTCAGGTGTGTCGGAATGACCGATTTTTTGGGGGCCATTTTAGGTACTCAACAATGTTAGCTGAAAATCTGGCGGACAAACCTTCACAGCTGTCACTGCTGGATGAATCACGTGTTCCAACTGTAAAGCCGGAGAATGTTACTCAGACACCCTTAAACACAAATGAGGGTTAGTTGGTGGTTAAATTTAAAAATAGCATCAATGCATCATGCAAAAGCGGCATTTGTTTTGATTGAGATTTTCAATTGTTCCAGAGTGTCAATTGGATGATGCTGAAGATGGTGATGGTGATGGTGATTATGATGTACATTCTGAAGACAATTCTGTAAGACCTTTTCCCCATCTATTCCTTTTGTTTTTGTTTGTATGATTGTTTCTTGTTAGATAGAGAATCCTACCAATTGATAATAGAAAAGTTTGATGCATTTCTGTATATGATTGTATTAGACTATTAGTTTGAATGGTAGAGATAAGAGAATCACGAAGAAGCAAAAGAGGCGGTCAAATTTAGTCTAGAAGTATTCGTAAAGCCTGTTTTCAAGGCCATAACTTTATGAGGAAAAAGTGAAAACTAAAGTGTTGACAGATTCGTGGTTGCTTCCGTGACACTAGTACCAAAAAGTATGCCAAAAACACTGAGACGTTATTCATGGAGAGCCCATAATGTAGTAGTTGACAGTGGTGGCAGTTTTCTCCACGCAATCTAATAGTTGATGAGGCTTTTATCTGGGTAGTAAATGGGCGTTTGCGTTGTTACGTATACTGTCTTTTGCATCCTTGATGTTATTTTGGGGAATGGTCGTGGTTGCGAACTTTCTATAGGATAGGTTTAGCTGTCCTAAGTTGGCTGCCTTCCTCTTGGATTTGTTGTCAAACAGAGACTGAAGGTGGTTATTGATGTTCAACACAAAATTTGTAATTCAAAGACATCAGTTATCTGTGATCTGGCAACTGCGTGAGGAGAAATATTGTACTGGTGGCGGAATTGGAGTTGTTCAGTCACCGTGTGTGATAATGACAGTATTCCAAGGGCATCACTACTGTTGTCTGTGATGAAAAAGAATGGAAACAATAGTGCAGATGAGAAGACACTCCCAAACACAAACATACACACTTATGCTTATATAAAGGCAACAATTTAACTGTAAAATCTACCGCAAGGACATTATATTTTAGTTTCACCAACCAATACTGCTCAACCAGACAGCGATTATAGCTATCAATGCCTTAATGCTGCCACCATTAATGGCCATCAGTTATCAGCTCTCAGTTGTTAATCAGTTGGAAGCTGCGTCTAACAGAAGTATAAATATTTAAATCGAAGTTGTCCTTAGTTTGTAGAAAGACATATGCGTGCATGACCGGCCTGCAGTTGAGTATGCGATTCTAATCAGAAAAATTTCCTTGGAGGAAACTATTATATGTGTAGCTAGTATAAGGAGAAGAAGGCACAGAAATGAAAATTTACTTAATTTGAGGTTTGATTTGATATCATGTGACCCTAAGATGTCTTGAAATCCATTTTTCTTTTATCAAGTGTCTTTTGTATTACATTGTTCATGTCTGTCAAACTCATCTGCGACAGCGTGACATCAGGTAGAAAATATCATAGACTCATCCTGTTGATCATGCATTTTGTTCAGAAAAAATCATTTGGAAACAAATGGATCATGTTTCATGTTCTTTCAGGAAGATGATGAGCATACTATTGAAGAAGATGAGGCACTTATTACAGAAGAAGAACGCCAAGAAGAATTGGTAGCTTTGAAAAACGAAGTTGATCTTCCACTCGAGGAGCTGCTAAAGCTTTATACTGCAGATGAAGGTAATTTGGCAAACAGTCATTAAACTAGGCAAAGGATTCATTATTGACCTGGCTCCCATTTGTGTTGTCCATATATGGTTGCTGTGAATTAGGCGGTGGTCATGTGCTTCCACCCATTGGTCTTTCTTCTTTGATCTTTTTCCCTGTACCTTTGGATATAGATGCTGCAGGTGAAAGAGAAAGCAATGATGGTGAGGATGAGAATCACTCCTTGTCTGCTCTGAAAGGGAAAGATCAGGGTGAGCTTAAGAGGATGTTGCTTGTCATGCTTATTGGCCATTTGATTGTTGCTGACGTGAGAGTTTTGAACCTTTCAGGTGACAAAATGGATATTTCTTTTCCTGGTGGAAGTGATGCAGGCAGCTTACCTACTGTTACTGGTCGTCGTTGTGTAAGTTGTATGTGTTTATGGTTGTTGCTGTTGAAATTCACTGGTCATTTTGGAGAGAGTTAAATGTAATATATTACCTCTATCTACAGTTGGAGACTGATGCTGCATTGTCCAGATCAGACAATAATCTTGTAGAGCTTGATTCGGGTGATACTAGAAATCATTCTAGTATTTCTTGTGGCCCAGGCAAAGGATATGACTTCAATGATGAACAGGTATCAATCCCAGTAGATAGAATAACCAACTTCTCCAATTAAACACACCTTTCCAACTTCTATCGTTAAAATCTAATTTTTAAATTGATGTGAAACTGAATTTATTTTATCTTGACTACATTTCCAATTCTACCACTCTACCTTTTGTAAAACTCCAAAAGCTTGCCATTTTAGTTATTTCACTCAACTCCCATACTGCTTTGAAAAAACAGCAAATTTGAGGCCACTTAATCATTTACAATGTTTTACTTAATTAATAATTTTTTCATGCACATTTCCACTTCTATTATTTGCCCTAATGGATAACTTTTCCAATCGGCCTCGTGCTGGTTGAATTAGACGGGGCTTATGGGAAAATGGATCATAAGGGTATGAACTATCTTTTGGTACTATATCCTTGTTCTTCTCCTGGGAATTAACTCATCTGAAGAAAGAGCCAGCATAACGGAAACTTGTCTTATTGGACTTTTAAATTGTACTATTGCAATAGATTTATATAACATGCCTGTTTATTTAATGATCTCTACTCTGGGTCGATGATTTGCTCCAGGCAGTTTGGAGCTTAGTTTTACTTGCTATCAGTTTTGTATAGGAAGTGCAGTTCTTCTGTGGTTTCACGCAATCCGTTTCTCTTACTTGTAGGAAGATGGAGACTTTGTTCTTGCCACAGCAGATGAGAATGTAAGCTATAAGTAGCTGCCTTTTACTTGTTCTGTGGTTTGTTAAAGCTATTATCTTATTGGTCTAGCTGGTAGAACAGATAAGCTTTTCAGTTTTTGCTCTTATATTCAATAATGTTTGTAGCTTTGAAGATCCTGCTGATATCATTTGATGCAGTTCAACGACAATGTTTCTATTGGCATTTGTATCTAGTATTTTGCACATTCGAAATGTTACGTCCTGAGTTATGTATGTTGGTGTATCAGTGATCTACTTTTATGTCCTAGCCGGTTACAGTTTCCTTATTGTTCTTAAATACCAATGATGATTTGTACGAATCATGTCTAGAAAATGTTCGTTCTGTGGTTAGGTTCTAGCCTTTTAGGCCACTATTGGAATAACAGAATGTATGGGTCAAAGGAGATACTGTTCAACTATGGACCCAAAAGTTAACTGATTTTGACTAATGATTTGTCTCCTTTGAACAGGATGATGAGACAACCTTGTTGGAGGAAGAGGAACTGGCAAAAGCAGATGGAAATGACCCTGTTGACGAGGTAAAATTTTCTTAGTTAATTGTCTCTTTGTTATCCAAAGTTCCGAAGAATACTGAAAAAGAATGTTATTCTCAGATTTCATTATTGCAAAAGGAAAGTGAAATACCGTTGGAAGAATTGCTTGCAAGGTATAAAAAGGTAAGTTGTTGGTTTTGCTTCTGCTTATATCTGTTATTCATTAATTTACTCTGTCAATTGCTAAAAACATTTCAATGTTATCATCCATATCTGTTTGGTTAGGATTACAACAGTGACGAAGTTTCAGAAGGTGATTCTGGATATGCTTCTGCCTCATCTGGGGAAGTGTCAGATGCAGCTAATGAAGCAGATATTGTGCCAGTGCAGCAGGACGAATCTAATGTTGAAAATGTTAAACCATCTGATTCTTTGCTTATAGTGCATCCTCCTTTGAAGGATGAAGGAAAAGTTGGCGATGAGCTTGCAGAGCAAGAAAAGGACAGTGAGGATAGGATTGCTGATGCTGCTGCTGCTGCAAGGTCTGCACAACCAACAGGGAATACTTTCTCAACAACACAAGTGCGTACGAAGTTCCCTTTTCTCTTGAAATACCCTCTTCGTGAGTATCAACATATTGGTCTGGATTGGCTCGTCACGATGTACGAGAAGCGGTTGAATGGGATTCTTGCTGATGAAATGGGGCTCGGGAAGACAATTATGACTATTGCCTTGCTTGCACACCTAGCATGCGAAAAGGGAATATGGGGCCCCCATCTCATCGTGGTCCCAACAAGTGTTATGCTCAACTGGGAAACAGAGTTCCTTAAATGGTGTCCTGCTTTTAAGATTCTAACTTACTTTGGTAGTGCAAAGGAGCGAAAGCTGAAGAGGCAAGGTTGGTTGAAACCAAACTCATTCCACATCTGCATAACCACTTACAGACTGGTGATACAGGATGCAAAGATCTTTAAGAGGAAGAAGTGGAAATATTTGATTTTGGATGAAGCACATTTGATAAAGAATTGGAAATCCCAGAGATGGCAAACACTCCTGAACTTTAATTCAAAACGTCGAATTCTGTTGACTGGTACACCGCTACAGAATGACCTTATGGAATTATGGTCATTGATGCATTTCTTAATGCCTCATATATTTCAGTCTCATCAGGAATTCAAGGATTGGTTCAGTAATCCAATATCTGGTATGGTTGAAGGACAGGAAAGGGTGAACAAAGAAGTTCTGGATCGTCTGCATAATGTTCTTCGTCCATTTATATTACGGCGATTGAAAAGGGATGTGGAGAAGCAGCTACCCATGAAACATGAACATGTTATCTTTTGTAGACTTTCCAAGAGGCAGCGAAACCTGTATGAAGACTTCATCGCTAGCTCTGATACACAAGCTACACTTGCCAGTTCTAACTTTTTCGGCATGATCAGTGTTATAATGCAACTGCGCAAAGTCTGCAATCATCCTGATTTATTTGAGGGTCGCCCCATTATCAGTTCTTTTGATATGGCCGGCATTGGCATACAACTAAATTCTTCAGTTTGTTCGATGCTTTCCCATGGTCCATTCTCTGCTGTTGACCTTGACTGCCTGGGGCTCTTGTTTACCAGCAATGACCTTTGCATGACATCATGGGAGTCTGATGAAGTAAAAGCTATTGCTACGCCTTCAAGTTTGATTGTAGGGCGTGCAGTAGATAACTTAGACAGAATCAGAGGTGCATCGAGAGGGAAAACATTGCGTGGATCCAGTATATTTGAAGAAATTCGGCAATCTATATTGTCGAATAGACGTGAAGAAGCAAAGGAACGAGCAGCTGCTATTGCATGGTGGAACTCCTTAAGGTGCAGGAGAAAACCTATGTATTCAACTACTATAAGGGAAGTTGTTACTATAAAGCGCAAAGTTGACGGTATTCATGGGCAAAATGTTGACAAACCCTCATACATGTATTCATCTGTGCTTGCTGATATGATTCTTTCTCCTATCGAACGGCTCCAGAGAATGTTGGATCTTGTTGAATCATTCATGTTTGCAATACCAGCTGCCCGGGCTCCAGCACCTGATTGTTGGTGCAGTAAGACAGGAAGCTCTGTGTTCTTGCATCCAACTTACAAGGATAGATGCTCTGAAATTTTGTTGCCTCTTCTTTCACCTATCAGACCTGCAATTGTGCGGAGGCAAGTTTATTTCCCGGACAGGAGGTTGATACAATTTGACTGCGGGAAATTGCAGGAGCTTGCGGTTCTGCTCAGGAGGTTGAAATCAGAGGGTCACCGTGCTCTGATATTTACTCAGATGACAAAGATGCTTGATGTTCTGGAAGCTTTCATTAATTTGTATGGATACACATACATGCGTTTAGATGGTTCCACCCAACCAGAGGAGAGGCAAACTTTAATGCAACGTTTCAATACGAACCCCAAGTATTTTCTTTTTATCTTGTCAACCCGTAGCGGTGGTGTTGGCATAAATCTTGTTGGGGCTGATACAGTCATCTTCTATGATAGTGACTGGAATCCTGCCATGGATCAACAGGCGCAAGATCGATGCCATAGGATAGGACAGACACGAGAAGTCAATATTTACAGGTTAATTAGTGAAAGTACTATTGAGGAAAACATATTAAAGAAGGCTAATCAGAAGCGTGTTCTTGATGATCTGGTTATTCAGAGTGCTAGTTACAACACTGAATTTTTCAAGAAACTTGATCCATTGGAGTTATTCTCTGGTCATAAAACCCTTCCAGTTAAAGATATGCTGAAGGAGAAGAGTAACAGTGATGAAGCGGAAGCTTCCCTGTCTTATGCGGATGTTGAAGCTGCGCTCAAGCATGCTGAAGATGAAGCAGATTACATGGCTTTGAAAAAGGTTGAACAGGAAGAGGAGGTGGACAACCAGGAATTCACGGAAGAAGCTATTGGGAGGCCTGAAGACGATGAATGTGTGAATGAGGATGAGGTGAGGGCTGATGAGCTAGGGGAGCAAGAGATGACACCACCAAAAGGAGACAACGGAAGCAATTTAAATGGGAACGATACGACTGAAGAGAAAGCCCTCATTTTTGCTGCCAATGAAGATGATGCTGACATGCTCGCTGATGTTAAACAGATGGCTGAAGCAGCAGCTGCTGCTGGGCAAGCTATTACAACATTTGAGACTCATCTGCGCCCAATTGATAGGTATGCAATACGATTCATGGAATTGTGGGACCCGATAATAGACAAAGCAGCTACTGATCCACAAGATGGGTTTGAGGAGGCGGAATGGGAACTTGATCGTATTGAAAAGTACAAGGAGGAAATGGAAGCTGAGATTGATGATGATGAAGAACCACTGGTATATGAAAGTAAGTCAATTTTTATTTCCTGATTCATTTTACCTACTACATGGACTTGTCAGTTGTAATCGATAGGTGGTTTTTTACGTATGCCTAGAACTTTTCAGCTAATGCGCTTGCAATATGGCCGTCATATCTGCGGGTTTGATTTTTGTATGAACTTGTTTTAGTTCATTTCCCTATACTAATTAGTGGCTTCTCACTGGTACCAGGTTGGGATGCTGATTTTGCAACTGAAGCATATCGACAGCAAGTTCAGGCGTTAGCTCAACATCAGGTCCGCTAATTTATTGCAGAGCATTGTTTCTTGTCATTCTATGTTCATGTGGGTGATGAATGATTTATTTTTCTTGTGTCCTTCAGTTGATGGAGGAATTGGAAGCTGAAGCCAAAAAGAAGGCGGAGTTGGATGATGAACAATGCGACACTACCATGTAAGGAACTCGCAACACTTGCTGTGGATGTTTTAGTTTAATGCTGTTTTAAATACTTCTGTTAGATTGCTATTGTAAATCCATGTCACAAGCACAATCATTCCAATCATAGGGGCAGTGAACTCCATATTGTGGCTAAGTGTTCGCATATTGTATTCTGTCAGTTTATTGGGTTCTAGAGGACCTTATTTGTTACTATTATTTTATGATATGCATGTCGAGTTTGATTTCATGCATCAATGACCCAAAATCATATTTTATCTGATTTCGTCTTTGCCTGGCTGTGGTGGTCTGACTTGCACGTTTTTTGAGTTATTGATTACCTGAACAAATCTTCCGATTGCATATTGGTCATTTGATCTTTTTTCTCTCTGGCAGGGAAGAAATGCAAACCACTCCCAAACCCAAGTCAAAGAAAAAAGTAAAGAAAGCAAAGTTCAAATCTTTGAAGAAGGGTCCTCTCTCTTCGGAGTTGAAACTAGTAAAAAATGAACTATCAGTTGAAACTATGTCCCTGGATGATGATATGATTGATCTAGAGGAGGTCTCTAACTCGGGCGTGATGTCATCCTGTTCAAGTGCATTGAAAAAGCGCAAGAAACCTGAAACAGTGATTGATGTTGAGAAGAGCTCAACCAGTAAGAAGCCGAAAAAGCTAAAGAAGGGCTCTGAATCGTCAGGTATTGGTTCAAAACTGTCTGGCAAGAGGCACGATGATTCTTTGGAGTCAAAAGTCTACGAGAATCGGGTTATTGAGCTTGATCAGAAGCCAGCTGGTAGGAGCAAAATGGGTGGGAAAATCTCTATCACAACCATGCCAGTGAAACGCGTGTTAATGATACGGCCTGAGAAGATAAAGAAAGGCAATTTGTGGTCAAAGGATTGCGTTCCCTCACCTGATTCCTGGCTGCCACAGGAGGATGCAATATTGTGTGCTATAGTACATGAATATGGACCAAATTGGAGTTTGGTCAGTGAGACATTATATGGTATGACTGCTGGTGGATTTTACCGAGGAAGATATCGGCATCCAGTTCATTGTTGTGAGAGATACAGAGAATTGATCCAAAAGCATATTCTGTCAGCACCTGAGAATCCTGTTAACGATAGGATGAACAACATGGCCTCGGGGAAGGGCCTTCTCAAAGTAACCGAGGTACTTCCTGATTCCATATTATTTATGTGTAGTAGTGAGGTGAAAGACTGTTGTCATCTTGTCACGTTCCTGTAGATCAGGGCCTTCACTAGAATTTTCCTTTGCCTACACTTTCTTCATCTATTGCAGAAAGTTATAATATTTTGTTTGTTTCCACCACACCTTTATTTGTGCTCTGATCCTAGGGTGATGAGTTTTAGGTCGCACCAACTGAAACGCAATGAGTATCATTGCAAAATTGGAAAACTGTGCTATCTCCTTAATCTATCATTTAAATGTTATTATTATTTTAACCTCAGAAGGAAAAACTATGAAGTTGGTTGGATGAAATTTGGAATTTGAGTTGCCAAAGCTGCTTGAATTTTGTTAGATTTATTCTGATTTTGGATTCTGTCTTGTATATTTGTTTTGTGTTAGCTTATTTGTCATTGAGAACATCTGAAAGGTTAGTTTAATCGATTTATTGAATGGTGAGAACTCTGATGATGCGATGCATAGCACATTTAAATGGGTTCTGGATGGTTCCTGAATTATTATTATTATTATTATTATTATTATTATTATTTATTTATTTATTTATTTTTTTGGCTGAGGCCGTTGCTGATGGATATATGCTCAATGGCAGGATCACGTTCGAATGCTTCTAAGTTTTGCTGCTGAGCAGCCAGATCATGAGTTACTTCTCCAGAGGCATTTCACTGCACTGCTTTCTACAGTCTGGAAAATGACTTATCACAACAGTACTTATTTTGGTGGGAAATCTTCGAGCTCTATCAGCCGGGCATCTCAGAGTTCAATGAAGGGCCCCTGCAAAAGAATGCGGTTGACTAATTTTGGGCACTCGGGCAAGCTGGTGGCTGCTGCACTTCGAGATGTCAACTATAGGCGAATAGACGATGGTGTCTCTCTTGCAGTTGCAAAAGAACATGTTCCCACTATTGAAAGGTTGGAAATAACCCTGGAATTTCAGGTTGAAAACAATCATGAGTTTGCTTTCCCACCACTCGTGAATGTGTCCATACCTGGGTCAGATGGGCAGACGTCTATAATCAAGGAGGCGGGAGAAGTTCATCTCAAAAGCACCGCAATTATGGCAGAAACACGATATCGGTATAGTAACTTGATTAATAATAATGCTCTTCCCAGTATTTCCATAATGCTTCTGTGGGTCACTGACTTAGGGTTGGCCAAGGATTCTGTCTGATGATTTCAATCATGCCCAGATGCTACAATAGCTGATGTTGATGCTTGCCATTATGTGACTTTATTTTCTCTGAGTAGAAAGTCATATTTTGACTGAACCCCTAAAACCATGATATCTCCATTTCTTGCTGGCAGGGACGCAAGGAGAGTGGCCACGGAACCTGGTCCTGGTTTGGTATTAGCCATACCAGCATCAAACGACAACAAGTTACGTCCAGCTCCTACTAAATTACAACACTCTTCTGGAAAGCAGCAAAAACAGGCTGGTCCTAGATTGAAGCTGAAGAAAACATTGACGGAGCATCGTGAGATGGACAACTGCCCTTTTGCTGATCCCGTGTTCCAATCACCCCCCACGTTTTCAGCTGATTTATTGGACGATGGGCTATCGATGAACAATTTTGATTATGGTTGTAGCAGCACGATAACAAGCTCAGATGTTGTGCAGCCAGAAACAGGGAGTTTAGAAACCTTCCCTCATGTCTATGTTCCCGGTTTGATCTCCGACCTTGATGATTGGCCTGTGTTGCCAGAATTTACCGACATTGGGTAGCCCCGGGCCATTTGGTTTTTGACCAACTGAAGTTAAATAGCTGAGGATCTTCACATTCTCAGGTAAATAGCTGAGGATCTTCACATTCAGAGCCACAGCTTTTGGCACATTTAGAGGGAAATAACAGTCCTTCAAAACTGTGTTTGAGAGGTGTCTGTCTGGTGGTGGGCAAGGAGAGGAATTCAGAAGCTGTAATATAATTCTTTTTCTATGCAGAGAAGTACGCAAATTTTTGGGGGGGCATATGGTTTCACGTAGGCCAAGAAATTAGCACTAATTAATGAGAAAGAACTGATAATTTTACCCCACTCGCTATTTGCCGTCTTTATCTTTTGCTTATGGGTTCCAATTCATGTGTGCGTATATGATGCAGTACAATCTGTACTTATACATTTGCGTACAAATTCTCTTATGGAACAAACTGAACGCGTACGTGAAAAACACCGATGCTTATGAACATTATTAAATTCCTCATTCATTTACTGTTGAGGGTAACATGCAGATAGATAGAAATATGGATAGACAAATTTTGATCTAGTACTTTGTTTTTTTCTTGATCTTGCACTTGCAGAACAAACGAATGGAAGTGGCTAAACAGTAAACAATGCCTGCCTTTTCCTGCCACATTTATTACAAAATACTAGTAAGCGATCTAGATGATCCTTCTTCACGATGCCTTGGAGCAACGCTTCAACCAAGCTGACCATTGCTCGCCGCAGCCCCTGAAATTTGTGCAGAAACTCCGAATTATAGAAGAGACATAAGGTAATCGCCATTAATCGCCATTAATCGAAGGATGGAAGGGAGAAACAGGGGCCGAGTGAAAAGAGTGGTGGAGAAACAGAGAAGAAGAAGAAGAAGAAGATAAGGCACGCTCACCTTCTGCTTGATTGCATCTGATGTCGCACTTGACTTCGCAGCGCCTCATCAATCTCGCTGCAAGATCACCAAACACAGAGATGATGAACAAGCGACGAAGATTCAGAAATTTTCACTGGATAATGAATCCAATCCTGAATCCACCATACTCCCTGTTAAGCTAAGCTCTCAGTAAAAAAAAATGGAAACTTTATCGAAGAAGAAGAAGAAGGGAGTTACTGTTGGGTTGGACGCAGCCAGTAATGCAACCATCGTAGCACTGGAAGTCAGGGGCAGCCTCCACCACCGCAAAACCAGAAGACGACGACTTGTCCAAATTACTGCAGACCAACACCAGGCCCATCAGCATCATCACAACCGCCAGCTTCTGTTCTTTCTCCATCTTCAACCCAGAAATCGACCCAACTCTGTAGGAAAAATGACCGATGTATATTCTCCTTGCTTGCTTCTGTTCCTGATTTCTACTGGGTTTGAACCGACGGATCCCTCCCCCGTGAACTGTATATTTATATGTTCTGAGGAAATCTGCTCTTTGGATTGCTTCTCTGTCCACCACGTTTCTCTAGGGGTATTCTGGGGATTTCCAGCCGAGTCAAACCCAGCAGCCTCTCTTGACGTTCAGTTAATGGACACTACCCACCTTATCCCTTCTCATAATGGTCCATTCTGAATCAGGAAAGGGGACACATGGTTTAGGAAACAACCATCCATTGGTTAGAATTTTTTTATTAGAGATGGCTTGACTGAAAATGAATTTTGCTAGTCAGTTAGTTTTTATAACTCGAGTTATGAGAAAATGTTAATATTATTATTTGAAAGGACTATCAAGTTCCTTCCCAGAAGACCACGCAACAAAATTAACTTTATCGATCATGAACGAATGCTTTTAGGGGTCGTTTGGAAGTTGCGATTGTTAAATAGATGTATTGTTGAGAATGTATGGTATAATATTATACATGTATTGTCGAATTTGATGCATTGTAGAATACAATGTTTGGTATGTGTGATTGTGTATGTCGCATCAGCTAAAAGCTGAGACAAAACAATCTCAACTCAACTATCTCAACAATAACAACTAAAAGTTGAGATATAACAATCACTCAAAATGAGTGATAGTTTCGGTCACATCACATAAACAATACATGCATAATGACAATCTCAACAAAACAATCGCAACTTCCAAACGACCCCTTAATGATGTTTACTTTGACATGTTAAAATAAATTTATTGACGATTCTATAATAGAATTACTTTTTTTTTCCCTCCCTAAACTTACTCATGTAAATCAAAATTCCTGATGAATATAAAGTTTGTCTGAATCTCTACGGATTAATCATTTCAAAACTTGTCCCTTCTTCAGAAATTAGGGTCATCATCATATCTCCCCATATCAAAGTCGTTGTTCATCTTTCGGGTAGCGTGGTGATGCTCAAAACCACTTCTTTATCTTCCACTTCTTCCTTCTGGCCAGCTTTAGTGGTACTCTTCTCGTCTCTGTCATCCAGCGCCGACACTGAAATCACGACGACCACTTCTCCTTGTTTGGGATTCTTGTGGTCACCATCATCTGCCGGCGGCAACTCGTCGGCGTCCGTCACCGGAACAACAACATTACGACTGACACCTGGCGGTGGCTTCTTCTCATTCTCAGAACTACTCTTGGACTCTTGGCCTTTTCCCCAGATCACTCCGTACAGCCCACAAATGATCAATGCCGAGCCCAGTACGCTACAGACGCAAGAGGATAGAATTAAAAACGTCGTATTACTTCACTATGGGCCCGAAGATGGGCTCTCAATCTTGAAAGCCCAGCCCACCATATCAGTTCTAGTCCGGCCACGGCCCAAGATTGGCTCGTCACCAATTGTTACCCAGGCCCATTTCTCTTGGACGGAGTAACTTACCTTCCAAGGCAAAGTTTGTCGTTGAGAAGGAGGGAAGCGGCAACGGCGACGGTGACGAGCAGGAGAGGGTTGAAAATGGACACGAACAGCGGTCCTCTTCTGCTCACGCACCACGATATCAGCACCACCATCAGCCCCGAAGCCACGATCCCCTATATCCAGTATCGAAATCAGAAAGAAGAGGTGCGCTCGTCGATAAAAATAAATGAATAAAAAAAAATACATATGCATATGACTCATATTTTCATATTTTTCCCGTCGCGAGCAAATGAAATTGTATGATACGAGGGGTTTATTAAATACATTCATCGCTTTATTTTGGTATCTCAAGTATACTTCAGTGTATACAACACCAACAACTAATCATTGTTAAATTGATCGCGCTCACAAACGATCCGATTTTAAATAAATACTATTCATCAATTTCATAGTAAAAAACCGCGTTATTTCACTACTTGATAACGTATGTGTCACTTTTACAACTTCTGAAGTTTCATATTTTTTTTTAATAATATGACAAAAATATGAATTTTGCATTGAAATCCCAACAAGAAATGTGTCGTGCGCGCGACACATTCCTGCTAGCCAAGTAAGTCCATGCCCTACATGATCATTATCCATGAATAATACTAACAGTTGATCTAAACATATACGAACTCGTTTAAGATCGAGGAAAATGCGCGCGTTATCTATCGGAGAGAGAGCAGTGTATCGTACCGAATATGCGACGGTGAGGAGCCTGACATCGCAGCCGAGCTTCCACTGCTCCCAATCCCTCTCCACAAACAAACCCAACCCCACGCTCTGAACACACGCCACAACACACATCATCGCCGTCACCGAGTACGGGCAGCCCGGGTACCTCCGGTTCAGCTTCGCCTGGCAGATCAGCCACAGCGCGTAGGAGAAGCAGCTACCAAGGGAGAGGAGAGCGCCCAAAGTATGCCGCTGCCCGTGATCGTGACCGTGACCGGAAGTAGGAGGAGGGCGGCGGCCGTGGTGGGAGTGATGAGCCAGGAGGTCGATGTGCGTCGACGGCCATAGTTCAAGGACAGGGCCTTTGTAGAATGTCAGGAGCATCGCTCCGCCGATTCCCAGCAGCGTCCCCGCCATCTTAGCCTGTCCTGCTTTTTCTCTCCACCGTAACGTTTCCATTCGGAAGCAGATGGCGAGGAGGAAGGTGATGGCCGGGATGAGGTTGCTCATAGCGGAGACGAATGTTGGGGATGTTAGGTTCAATGCCTCTGCGTTGAAGTTCTTCTCCAATGTGCCCCTAAGTTGATATTGCATTGCAAAGAAATTTTTGATCATGTTGGATTGTGTTTCATACGTACTCATACTAGGTATATAAATGGTCACGGAAGGACCGTAAGAATTTTTACCCTAATAGACCACACAGAAAAACTTCAAGCAAAATCTTCCAGGTAAAGGTTGGCTGCTTCTTCCTGCAACAAAAAAATGCAACAAAGATTACCCCAGGAACCAAAGAGGATATTTAATTACTACGAAGTAATTGAAGTTATTACTCTTAGTATTTGTAATGTTGTCTTGTCGAATAGGTTAGGTTAAGCAATGATGTGACTACATTTTGTTTCGAATGTCTTGAATATGATAGATAGCGATACGAAACAATGATCACGAGCGAGAGAGGAGTGTCGGGGTTGCGGTGCGAAGGACCGGTTGGTTACGGTTTATTTGAGCCAGGTGGATGATGTGGGAGAGGAGAGGTTTAGTTGAGAGGATTGATTGGAAAACAGATATAAAATTGATTACTCTACCAAACCTTAAGAAAATTTTCAATTTTGTCATCACTAAATCCTTATTAATGTCCTTAGGGAGTTCAAATATAATGGGTAAGATTGCATATAATCAAAAAAGACTTGTTTTTCAACCAAGGAAAATGGTCACCAAAAGCAACGTGTTGGTTTCTAATAACTTTCATGATCAAATGTTCTCGGTAACAAATCTGATTGTCATATCAGCACCACGAACAAAAAAAAAAAGCCATTTCACTATCAAAAATGTATTTCATGGTAATAATGTATGGCTATTATTATTACTCTATCTTCACGCGTCCTGAATTCATAAAATCCAATTGATCAACAAGAGTAAGAAAAGAGAAGTGAAAAATAAACAAATAAGAAACAATCACAAACCTCTCGAAAACGATAGCAAGGGGAACCATAAACGCGGTGGCGAAGAGAAACCGGTAAGCCACCATCACCTGCATGTTCATCCCGTCGTCGGCGGCCAACTTGTACATAATGTTCGCCGCCGCAAATGCCACCTGAACCACCACCATCAACGAGCTCGCCTTCACCCCATCTGCCTTCCCACCCAAATCCTCTTTATCCATTTTCATTTTCTTTCTCTGTATACTCTGAAATATCTCTTCTTTCTTTCTTTCGGCTTCTCTCACTATCGAGAGTTTTGATGTGTATATATATATACACATGCTGGTTGATGCCCATTTGCCTTCACCAGCATATGGCTGAAGGAACTTGAGAGTGTCATTTTGTGGTCTTTCTTCATCGATATTTGGCCGATTCCTGCCGGCCGGCTGGCTGCGCTTCCGTTTTTTAACTCAAACTTGCATATTCCGTGCTTTGTTCCAACGGTTGTAGTCGTTTGGATAAAGTCGTTTTTTGGGTTTGTTTTTTTAAACATCGGGTTTCTATTTGTTTTTTAGTGGGACGTTGTTTCTATTAAAATCCTTAGAATTTGTATTTGCTAGCTAAGCCAATACTTACGTAGGAATTGATTTTAGGATAGAGGGTGTGGGTCGATCTATTGATGTGTATTATTAAATTTTGAGTGAATACAAATCGTTTTTAATATTCAAGTACACTATTTTTAATGCAATTAACTCACATATTAAGCGTATATAAGTGGCCAGAATGGATTGGAATAATCATCAACTGGGCCATTTTAAAGGTGAGATATATATATATATATATATATATTAGTCTGAGTTGGAATTGATCAACCTTATAATAATTGATGAGTATACCATTGATCATACCTGTCATACTAGTTGACTCCATCGTCAATATCCCAATCATCGTGAATATAGTTGATATCAATTACGCCACCAATTTCGATTCTAGCTACCACGTACGTACGTAAAGTTGTTATGTCGGCGTACTAGAAAATGACCATGAATTAATATCACATAATAAAAATCCCAATACACCCAAGATTATTTCAGAAGGAAAAAAGAAAGAGATCATTCATCCCATGTTTTAATATGAGGCTTCATCAGGTTATTTGCATACTTTACATCCGACAGACTACTCAGTCTCCTTTGTTTCCTGTCACAACTTGCAGGGTTAAACATATCAACAACTGCCTGATGATCATCATCACAATAGATCTGATTATATATGAATGATATTAAAACTTGACATTTTTTTTCTTCTTCTTCTTCCTGTTCTAGGAAAGAAAATGTACAAAATAGCATAACGAGAGATGGCGGCATATGAAGACTTCATGAACTGATCAGATCGATGATTACTGCTAGTAATTCCTTCAATCCCGAACCAGTTGATCAGTAGTCGCATTCTATGCCGCACTTGATTTCACATCGACGCATGCGCCTCGCTGCACCCACGCATACAATCTAACACATTCAATGATTGATTCCACAAAGAAACGAGAAAATCGAGCATATATGAACATACAAGAGAATAAGCACTAACAAAGAATCGATCAAGGGCGGCAAATAATAAGAGAAATACATACATACCATCAGACAAATACTGAACGCAGAAAGTGGTGCAAACATCGTAGCACCCGTACGGGCTGGAATCCTGTGCGGTGGAGCACTCCAAATCAGAATGACAGAGCAGCAACACAGTCAAAAGTATGAGCACCAACGCCGCCTTGTTCTTCTTCATATCGTCGACCAAACACTCTCTCTTGTTTTTCCTCTTTACGATTCTTCTTAGTAGCAACCTTTTTCTTGCTTTGGTTAGCTATATAGGTATGAGCAATGAGGCTCTGTATATATACTAACTGCTAGCTGCTCCACTATCTTTTTTATTTGTTTAATCTGCGTAAGCTAGCTAGCTTTGGTTGCAAACAAAATTGACGTTGACTTGCTGCATATGTTGCGGGTCTCCTTAGTTGAAGTTAGGAAGAAGCCATAGCATATGCATATATATCCACTAGTTAGCCGCATCGTTTGACTTTCCTTTCATTTATTGGAGGATTAATTCCCAAAATACAGTAATAATTAAAAAAAATTCCCAGAATACCAAACTTTTAAAAAAAATTCCCAAACTACCAAAGTTTGACATAGTTCGAGTTTACAAAACTCGAACCAGTAGTGGATCGATTGTCAAAAACTCAATCCAGGTGTATCGAGGACGGGACACTCGAACCACATGAAGTGGATCGATGAGCTGGACAGCGCTCCACCATAGATCGATTTACTAGGACGCGATCAGGGTCGTTCGATTGTTCAACCATCGAAGCAATGATGACGCGGATCGAGTGCGGTAAACTCGAGGTATGTGGATCGAGTCTTCTATAATCGATCCAGTTGACGCGGATCGATGACGTCAGGCGCGCCCAACCGTTGATCGAGTGGTCTAAACTCGATCTAGGCCGTTCGATTGTCAAACCCGCGAAGCAGGTATGACGCGGATCGAGTGCTTTAAACTCGATAACGCGGATCGAGTGTCTAAAACTCGATGCAGTGGATCGCTGATGTCAGCATCGATCAACCGTTGATCGATTACCCTAAGCTCGATCTGGTTCGTTCTTTTTGACGCGGATCGAGAGCATTAAAATCGATGCACTTGTTCGAGTTTGGTAAACTCGATCCACTCTCCCACAGAACCTATAAATACCCCCACATATTCCACCAAAACTCACACCACTCCATTCTTCTTCCTCTCTTCCTCCCACCACTCTTGAAGAAAAAAATATGCTCTGTGGTTGCGGCTAAGCCCGATCTTCCGCATCAGATTTTTTTTCTTTAGTTTGGTACTTCTATCACTCAAAATTGTCGAGATGGATCCGAGTATTTACGATCCTAGATTATACATTCAAGGTGGACCGCGAGAAACCGATTTGTTGGATGAGCAACCTTACCATCGGTCTGAAAGTGTTTGGGCGGCAGATCCGGTAGGCACTTCCTCATGTACTTTTTTTTAATGTGATAGTATTCTTCTAATTTTTTTGTATAATAATTAATGTTTTTTTTTCTACAGGAACAACTTGACGTAATCACCCATCGGTCGCTATCTCGCTTGCCTAAATGGGATGATCGTATCGAGCCCTTCATATCTAGAGCGCGATTGCTGAGGGTGCGAAAGTTTGTGGGGATGGAGATGGACAACAACCTTCTTACGGCAATGGTGGAAAGATGGAGAAAAGAAACGCACACATTCCACCTTCTAGAGGGAGAGATGACGATTACGTTGAAGGACGTAGCCATGCTGACAGAGCTTCCAATCGATGGTGATGCAATAATAGAAAGTTCTTCAAAACCATTGAATGGTTGGGGCCAATATATAAGCGAGCGTTTAGGTATCATCATCCCAGAGGAAGCAGAAGAAGGTCGTCGTGTACCACCTCTACACAAGTCTATGCTATTGATACCTTGGCTAGTGAGGACCGCTGGGGAATTACCGGAGGATGCCACGGATGCTCAGATAGAGAGGTATGCTCGCATCTACCTTATTTGTTTGGTTGGAGGATTTTTGTTTCCGAACAAGTCTGGTGGAAATATGCATTGTATGTGGCTTCGAGTTCTTTTGGAAGATTGGGATGAGATTGGGAGAAAAAGTTGGGGATCTGCTTGTTTGGCGAGGATATATTCGGAGTTGTGCAAGTGTACGGATCCGAAAACAAAGCAAGCAGGTGGTCCCATGTTCATCCTCCAACTATGGGTTTGGGAGCACCTTCCTACTTTCGCTCCGATCTGCCCTGCCAACAGTTGGGGTCCCGATGAGCCACTACGACAATGGGCTTATGGTGCTAGATGGATTGGAGCTATCACGAGTTTCTCCTCTCTAGATGGGTACCGCCAACATCTTGACCGTATAGAATTCAACGAGGTAACATTCTAACTTATGATTATTTATTTTTAATTTATTTGTTGAAGTTATTTGTCTTAGCCTATGATTTATTTTTATGATTACGAATTCTATTTTATTTGTTGAAATTATTTGTCTTAGCCCATTATTTATTTTTATGATTATGAATCCTATTATATTTGTTGAAATTATTTGTCTTAGCCCATTATTTATTTTTATGATTATGAATCCTATTTTATTTGTTGAAATTATTTGTCTTAGCCCATTATTTATTTTTATGATTATGAATCCTATTTTATTTGTTGAAATTATTTGGCCCGATTTTAATTTATATGTTGTGTTGAAACTTAGGTGGAGTGGGATCCGTATCCGAACGGAGCAAAGGATTTGTACGAGTTGCGATACCCTGAGGATCGCCGACTCTGGTCGTGCAAGTTGCCTGTGATTTGCCACAACATTGCTGAGTGGCACCTCCCGGATAGATGTGTCCGACAATATAATTGGACGCAACCGATTCCTCTCCCACCACCGGACGTACATAAGTCACTCCACAAGTACAGCAAGGATTTGCGGGGTACAATAACTGATTGGCCAACCAAGCACCGTAGATGGATCGAAATGTGGGAGTCTCGTCAGACGTATGCAATTGATGGGATCCCAATGACGAGGCCAATGGGGTACCAAGATGAATACATGGTTTGGTACCGCAAGTTCACAAAAAGGCAGATGTCTCCCTTGAAACTTCCCACAAGTACACTCTCCAATTCCATTCTTTGCATCCAGTATAACTGTTTGAGCATTACCACCCTTTGAACTATCTGGTCCACTTCCTGTTACTACTGCGAAGCGGGAATCTCTTCGACTAAATAAAGTCACCTTATGCCATTTTGCCCTTTCTGACCATGGTTTCATATCATCTGTAATCTTCTTTGGGATGTAGATTCCAGCATTCAACATCTGATATGCTGCTTGGTAGCGTTCAACGAACCATGTCACCGTACGAAAGAAGGTATGCAAGACTATAGATGAGATAGGCATTGCACGAAGACCAACATACAAACCATTGAGGCACTCACCCATATTCGTTGTTGTTATTCCATACCTATACCCTTCGTCTTGATGTAACGTCCACCTCTCATAAGGATGAGTTTCTAGCCAATCTGCACCTTCAGAATGGACCTCCCTTATGCTCTTCATTTTGTCTACAAACTTTCTAGTCTGAAAAGCAATAGCTACAATAAAGTAAAATAAGGTTAGTAAAGGAGTATACGCATTCAAGCAATTGATATAATCACAACATCTTATTTGTTCTTACCAGCGTGCCAAACTGCACGTTGTTCATAAGTTCTACCAAAGTGCTTCCCGTAATTGCTTTTGAAATGTCGTATGCACCAGCGCCACTTCCACCCTAGCTCCTCGGGCAGGTCGTAGAAAGCATGTGCAATTCCATGGTGTCGATCAGAAAGTATGGCAATGTCCTTCCGTTGAGTGACACGAGTGTATAGTTGGGAAAAAAACCATGCCCAACTTAAGTTGTTCTCCGATTCGACTATAGCAAAAGCAAGGGGGAAAAGTTGCATACTGCCATCAACACTAGTGGCAACGAGTAGAGTGCCCTTGTATTTGCCGGTCAGAAAGGTCCCATCAACTTGGATTATTGGCAGACAATGGGTGAAACCATCAATGCATGGTTTGAATGCCCAAAATACTCGCTTAAACACGCGTTTAGCACCCCCATAGAAATCTTCGTAACTAGACACAAAAACAGACCCAGGATTCTTGTCCTCCATTGCAAGAATCAAACGAGGCATGTTAGCAAATGACTCTTCCCAATCACCATACACCTCTGCCATAGCTTTTTGCTTCCCATGCCATGCTTTCTTGTAACTGATGGTATAGCCATGTCGATTCTTCACTTCAGCGATGACACTCTTCACGGTGATCCCAGGTTGTGCCTCAATCAGATGTTTGATTGTTTGTGCAACCTTCCTTGCACTCAATTGTCGGTGATCTAGAGAAATCAGTGACGACCTACAAGTGTGGTTGTTGTCTGTCTTACGAATGAGCCAAGCCCCATTTCTTTTAACATATGCCGCCCGAACATTCCACATGCATCCGTCGCCATGGTTCTCGCAACGAACATGAATTTGTTTAGTGTCAGAAGTGATGACACGATATTGAAAGCTTCTTCGCATAGCAGTTTCTTTCAATGCATCGACCATCTGAGGCTTTCCTCCAAATGTTTGGCCAACCACGAATCCAGAGTCAGGAGTCCATATTGGTATAGGAGGGAGGTCAGGATCGTCGTTGTGAGCATAGAGAGGATGTTGTGGCACCATCGTGTAGTGAGGTGTGGGGGGCTCAAATTCCCCCTCATCAACTTCCAGATCTTCACCATCTGAACTACTCATAGATCCTAACTCTTCATCTTCCATGTCGCTTGCCTCGCTAGTGTACGGAGGACTTGGTTTATCCACATATGGATCATTGTTGATGCCAGATGCTGGTGTAGATGCTTGTCTGGGTGCCCTTATGTAATCCCATTCTTCACCTCATACTGGCCACTCCTGTCCGTCATGTTCCACCAATGGACCAGTTGCAGTTCGATCCTCGTATGTTGGCCATGGAACATCATGCCGCACTCTGAAATCTCCTGAACCGGAAAACCCTCCAGATCCTTCACCGTGTTCGGTATAACCGCCGCCACCATATTGGCCAAAAACTTCTGTTTCGACATACACCTCAGCACTTGGAAATCTGTTCTCTGCAATAAATCTCACCATCATATTAATGTCATCATCGTCAGACAAAACTGATCCTTCATATACAAGTGCATAATCCTTGTAAACCGGCATACGGTAAGTCATCTTGCATACTCTTCGCCCTGCTATGCAACATCGTTCAGCACAAATATGACTGAGTTCTTGCCAAGTAAATATGCTCTCAATCCGGACAATACTTGATTCACCATCTTCGTAGTCAATACTATCATGAAAGTGTGTAATTCGACCATTCCACCGAATCTTTAAGTCAAATTTTCGAAATTTTCTACCCATTTCTGCAGTTTATACAAGCAGCTCATTACATACAGTACAAACAATACTAAATTAATCTAAAATTCTAATATGCTCATTCAAACAAAGTAAGCAGAACTTACCTCCAAATTTTATCTTCTTTGCTCAGCTATGGTGCTCCAGCAACTGCAGTTTGTGTTTGGAAGAAAGAAGATAGAAAGGAAGAGTGCTGCCAGAAAGTGCTTTTATTTATCGTAAACTGATGGAGTGGGTCGAGTCCAGTACACTCGAACTACACTAGTTCGAGTTTATTAAACTCGATCTACGTCGACCAATAATTTCCCCCCCCCCCCTGCGCCCTATTCTGTGGCATGTCGGATAGAAAGCGACTGGACAGAATGATTGAGCAAGTAGTTCGAGTTTAGTGTAATCGAACTACACTAGTTCGAGTTTCTAAAACTCGATCTACTACAACAAAAATCTTATCCCTGTAACCCTATCCTGGAGCATGTCGGTGGGCAGTAGTTCGAGTATTATGGCCTCGATCTAGTCCAGACGTAGATCGAGTGAGTTAAAGTCGATGCCCTACATCGAAGATTTTGAAGTCGATCTAACTTGATCGAGTGTTTCATACTCGATCTACTGAGATCGAGTCTCCTCTAATCGATCATGGTTGTTCGAGTCTTCTAAAGTCGAACCACTTTTGATCGAGTGTTTAAAAGTCGATCCACTTTTGGTTCGAGTTTCTTATCGTCGATCTTGTTTGTAGTTCGAGTCCCATAAACTCGAACCCCTTGAAACTTGGGTAATTTGGGAAAATTTTATAAAACTTATGTATTCAGGGAATTATGTATAATTTTGGCTGTATTCTGGGAATTCTTCCTTTATTGGAGGAATCGAGACTCTCCTTATTTTTTTTGTCATAAAGAGAGTGCAAAATCCATTGGGGGATCGAGTATTCATTTCGTTATAGGGATTTGGGAGTCAAGAGGATAGTTAGTAAATACGGTACGGGAAATTTGCGTATAAAATACGTACGCGTATTATACTTCATATCTTAGCTAATATTATGTTTAATAGTACGTTAGTAGTCATAAATATATAAAATTAATTATTTTTATAAATAATTAAATATGTAAAAAATAGTAAATTTATTAATTTATTTCATTATATATACGGATATTAAACGTGTTATACGGATTTTATACGTGTTTAGTACGATAGCCGTCAAATGAACGAAAACTAATGAAACGGCTTCACAATAATACGGATACGAAAGTTTTAAACGGATAAAGTATGTACGGGTACATATACGTGTATTAAACGGAGTATTTACTAACTATGGTCAAGAGGCTCTAAATTTTGTTTTGTTTATGGGGTAAACCATGTTGACTCGAAGTCGTATTGGACAACTAAGGGCCTGTTTATTTTCATTTCTGTTTCGTGTTTTTGAGAAAACAGATTTTGAAAACAGGTAAAAACAACATTTTGTCGTTTCCGAAAACAGTAGGAAGTTCCCACTCTTTGTTTTCATAGTTGGAAACGAATAGAAAACAGAATAAAAAGTAAACAAGTTTTTTTGTTTCGGTTGCCAAATTTATGACATGAAAACAGAAAACAAGAAACGAAAATGGAAGTGAACGGGGTATAAAAGCACCGTAATATTGGCCGGAGCAATATGAACAGAAGCGGATAACCAGCCCAAACAAACTGGCTATATGAGGTACATGCGGCCTTGGGCCTTGGTTGGTTTGGCGTGGCCCAAAAAATATTCCCGGCCCTCACCACACTGGCTTCATTGAAAAGCTGCCAACCTATGATTTCTGATTTGATTTCATAATAATGTGACACAGCTTGTACTCATATTATCATCAACAGAAACCCTCCTTGACTTTTGGGGGAGTTCTCACTAAAAACGCTATATACGAAATCCTAACAACAGCATATATCCTTCTAGCTATATCTCTCTTCCACTTTGGTCGTCCCCTGATCCATCCCGGCGGTCACCATCCGCCGACTCCTCCGCCGTCACACGTACAACCACAACCTCCTCCTCGCGATACTCCCAAGTAGTAGTAGTAGTAGTCATGTCGAGGGCTTGGCCCGTCCCGTCCCGTCCGACGACGACGACAGACGTACAACGACGATTTCGACATTCGTATCTCGACGACCATGATGATCCATTTCCGTCGCGGTCCTTGGACCGTCGAGTACGTTGATATTGCTAGGAACGTTATTCTCATGTACACTACTGATCAGCTCCTTCTCCAATATGATCTGCCGCTCCGCCATCTCCTTGCCCTTCCCCCATATCACCCAGTACAACCCGCAAATGATCAACGTCGCCCCCAGCACGCTTCCCAGGTGAAGCTTCTCGTTGAGGAGCAAGTTGGAAGCGACGGCGACGCAGACCAGCATCAGCGGGTTGAAAATCGAGACGTACAGTGGTCCTCGCTTCTTCACGCACCACGCTATGATCGTCACCATCAGCCCCGACGCCACAATTCCCTACATATATATATATATTATCATACAATAATATTCATATATATATATATATATCTTCCACTAATATAACTAAATCATCGATGGAGAAAGAAGTAGGTGCGTACAGAATAGGCGACGGTGAGAAGGCGGACGTTCCAACAGAGCTTCCATTGAGTCCAGTCTCTTTCAGTGCACAAAGCATATACAACGGCTTGAATCGATCCCATGATGCACATCAATGCCGTCGCCGAGTAGGGGCATGGATACCTCTCCCCCATCTTCGCCTATAGTGCATGCAGCAGTAACAACAGTAAGCTTTTAGGAATGGCAAATGGGTAGGTCCAGGCCGGGTATCTCGATACTTGCATATCCGTCCCATGATAGGTCGGGTAATTTATTACGAGGCTCGGGTCGGGGCAGGTCGACCCAATGGGTAAGTAATTTGTGTGAAAAAAATATTAGAAATATTCGTTATTTTCATTAAAAGACCAAGAAAGAAACCATAATATGATAAAATCTAGTTAAATTATTGAAAAAATTGAAGTGAATATTGTAGCTAAAATAGAATATATTCAGAAAAAAAATTCTAAGTATTTTGACTAAAATTATATATAATTTAGATAAGAATGGATCGAAAATGGGATGGGTCAGGACAGGTCGGATCGATGAGAGGTACCTATTCCCGTCCCGCCCCAAAACAGGCCGGATAAATCGGGTCAGGCCCGCTCCTGTAAACTTCTTTTCTTTGCTCTACTTTTTGGGGGCATAAATTATTCGGAACATAGATTCGAGCATAAGTGACGGCTCTTGCATGTCCTTCTGGAAATAGGGTCAAATTCCGGTTCATAAAAGGGAGAATTTTTTTTCTTTTCTTCATATACTGGCAAGTACTGTCTCTTCATACAAGTTTTTTATTTTATTTGTTTGATGTATATGCCAAGTTCTAGCGTCCGCATTTTTAAAATATTCCTCCCGGCCACTTACGCAACATTATTATTGGGAATATATCACTATGATAAATACACTCTTGAGAATACGGTCCATTCATGTAAAAAGCAAAACAATTTAAAAATTTAAAAAAAAAATACTGACCTGGACGATGAGCCAGAGTGCGTAGGAGCAGCAGCTGCCAACGGCGAAGAGAGCACCGAGGCCACGGTTCTGGTGGTCGGCCGCCACGTGGCGGGAATGCGGTGGCGGCGGCGAGTGGAGGAGGTCAACGTGCGTTGACCAGGTGTCGAGGACCGAGCCTTTGTAGAAAGTGAGCAGCATGGCGCCACCTATCCCGACCAACGTCCCCGCCAGCTTCGCCTTCCCTCCGACGGTTCCCAGCCCCAGCCTCTCTATCCTGAAGGAGACGGCCAATATGAAGGTGATGGCGGGGACGAGGTTGGCCATGGCGGAGGCGAACGTCGGCGAGGTCAGAGCCAGGCTCGCCAGGTAGAGGTTCTGAGCCAGTGAGCCCCTGCAGTGCAGAGTTGAAATCAGAATTAATTAGTCCCGTGAATGGACGAACAGTTGGCTGGAGGTTAGTTATTATACCTACTTGTAATTACTGCTAGTTAACTTGTGGATTGGAAACTCGGCCCACCCACCACTAAATCAAAACCAAGTGAACAATTTGTGCACGTCAATCAAAACCACTACTCCATTTCTCCAGTTTGCGTCATTGCGCCACTTAGTCATGTTACTTACTATACATGGTTATAAATTATATTGTACGTTTTGTGAATCACAATTACTAATCACTAAATACGCTCACGATAGTGTTTTCGTAACGCGAATTGTGTCACCACATGCATCCAACGCCATAAATTGTAGGACGGAATAATCATTGAGAGAGCATGTAACAAAGTTAACGGGGAAAAAATATAATAAGCCAGGTGAGGTGCAAAATTAGCAACTTACCCAAACAGGCCACAGAGGAATGCATGCACCAGGATCGACCACCGGAATTTGGGCTGCTTCTTCCTGTACATGAAATGAACCCACCAAACTCATATTAAAAGGGAAAATTAAATTAAATGTAAAAGAAGACAAAGAGAACATATGCTGCGATTTACACTAAATAATCCCCCCAATAATGGAGGCTAATTGCACAATATAGGAAACATGAAAGTGGAAAATGCGGAAATATATATTTTCCCAGAGCGTCACTTCATTAACACTTCTTTCCAGTTTCCACCACCAAGAACGATTCATAGTTTCATACATATCCGTCGTCTACATCATGATGAATTAATATCACAACAACAGTACTAATAAAATAATACGTAATACCCCATTATAAATAGTAATAATAATAATAATAATACGTAATACACAGCTGTTCGCCTTCATTAGTAACCCTAATCTGAGTACTGATGTAATTATAGACGACAGCGTATCCATTCATTCGAGCCATGCATATAGTTAATTAATTAAGATTAATTAATTTTTTTTAAAGATTAATTATTGATTACTGATTTACTGTGGCACGTAATAGAAACTAAAATTGAATGGAAGGGAAGGGAAGAAGAATAACCTTTCGAGAGCGACGGCGAGGGGGACCATGAAGGCGGTGGCGAAGAGAAATCGGTAGGCGACGATGACCTTGAGGCTCATCCCGTCGTTCGCCGCCAGCTTGTACAAGATGTTGACGCCGGCGAATGCCACCTGTACCACCACCATCACCGCCGCCGGCTTCATTTCCTCCAACTTCTCCCGCATCGTCAATTTCCCCATTCTTACACAGTAGTGATATCAATCGATCTCTCTTCGCTGAGGGCTCAAGAAAATTCCAAGAGAGAGGAAAATTAAAGAACTTCAAGAACTCCGATCCAGAGAGCGAGAAGTGATGCTTCCGCCTTCTCACTCTCTCTCCCTCTCTCTCTCTGTTGCTTTCAGATGATTTTTTTGTTGCTTTTTCTGTCTCTCAAAGCTCTCCTTATATAATCAACGAAGGAGTGATGCGTGGGTGAGTTTGTGTGCGGAGTGGTGCTGACTGTGCAGCAGAGAGAAATAAATAAAAGGAAACGCAATAGATTTGTATTACAGCTGTACGTATGAGGTGGAAACGAACGGTTCCAGAGAAAGTCATGCGGGGAAGGGAAAGATTGCAGACAGGGGCCGAATTTCGCCTTTTTCTGTTTCCGGAAATTTTTATTTCCCCGATCTTTCTTTCGTTGTTTTTTTTTAAATAATAAATTATTATTTGTAAAAAGTGATTACGAGGCGTGGTAATTGTGGTTAAGGAAGGGAGAAGTATTAATTTAATTATGGTTAATTACTTAATTGAATGTTTTGATTATCTCGATTTGTTTCGGGTGGGGTACAGTTAATTTGGCCCTCCTACCTACGTACGTACGTGCGTCATTGCATACACAATATTTGGTTCATTTCATTTGGATGACGCCTTTTTCCTTCTCATTTACACGTGGACAGATGATGCTCCACGTGTCTGCATGTAACAGCCCAGAGGCGAAGTAGAATAAATTGTTGGGTACTTTTGCGTCGAGAGAGGATATTGAACCAAATTTGTTTTGCACTGTCAGAGCAACTGAGCAAGATGAGCACTTGGAAATTGGAATCAATGATTTGCAGGCGCCGGCCAAGTGAAGCAACCAACTACTGTTAATAGAGCAATCTCTGTATTTTGTTACTAGAGTTCAACGTTCTGTTAAAGGATCCCAAACTCGAAAAAAAGATGATTTTGTTGCCTTGTTCGAACTTGGTTGACAGTTTGTCTGTGTCAATCACAAATTGTGCGACGATTTTGTTGTATAGTTAAAACTTTTGTGATCTTTTTTGTTATCGAGTCTAGATGTGTGGCGTGACGGTTTTCATTACGGAATCCAAACTTGTGCCAGTTTCGATCTGCTCGATCGGGTAATAGAAAAGACAAGTTAAACAGCAAACCGTTGCAGTCGAGATGATCTGGATATTGGGTCTCCAAGAGTTTTCAATGCTTTTGACAATCGGGACAAGACAAAGGGTTCAAAGAAACTACACTGCTGTTCAGATAATTGTAAGAGAAAAAGGAAACTAGAAGAAACCCCTGCCCCTGCCCATCAGGACGATACCTGATCGACCCTTGTAGATTCCAGGAGCTTGAGCTCCTCGCGCCAACCTTCCAACTTCGTGAACTTCTCCAACTGCTCTGGTTTCACGTTGTCTGTAGCATTCTTCTGCTGCTGAGCTTCTGCCAACCGAATCTGGGAACATAGAGAAGAATAGGTGAAGCAAGAACTCCCTGTAATCGTCGGTTCTTTTAAAGGATCACCATATATTGCAGCCTGGTCTGATTCAATCTAAAATTGCAAGCATTGGATGATTACGCCGCTTGGTATTAGGCACCAAGGTCAAAAGTAAATGCTATTACAGGAACAGTAACACATGAACCCTAGTTTGTTTGTTCCCTCCTGAGTTACAATTGCCCGAATAAAAAAGGAGCTTAATATGCTGCAGAGCCTGATACTGCCTGTTAATCAGGCTGGCATCCCAAAATTTAATCTGACACTAAAGACGTAGCCCATTGGCGTTCACAGAATTGACAAGTTTGTTCAAGCATCCAACCCAGATGGGAAAATAGTGATTCCTTGAGAAACCAATTACTCGCATAAAACAAGTGATGAACTCAGAGATAAGGCATTTTGAAATTGGCATACCTTCTTTTTGAGAGCCCTAATTTTTTTATCAATATCCTGGACGGCAGGCTCAGGACATGAAGCTTCCAATGAGTCCACTGGGGGAGTTACTCCAATAGAACTTTCTGAAACAGCTATCGCATTCATCTGAGATGTCAATGCTTCAATGGATTTGGATGTATGACCTAAATCTCCAGTAGAGTGCACTTCTTCATTCTCATCATCCACATCTCCTTCAGAGTTCTTGCCTTTGTCAAGAGCAGCCTGCTAATGCAAAGTAATGTGTTAGATCTACAAGAAATCCAGCACAAGTATCAGAGGGTAAATATATGTTTATTCTTACTTTCAAAGTAAGAGAACATGATACATCCAGAAGTAGATCCATGAATGATGCTCCAACATAAGAGTTTCAGTTAAAAGTCACACCCTTAATACAAAATTACATCAAATAGTTTTGACAAGGACTACCTGTGCATACTAGCTAAGAATAGGGGGTTTAACAAACAGGGCCACTGGGTCTGCAGAAATGATCCAATAGACCCAGTAAAGACGATGATTTAGAGAAGCCAGAACTCACAAACGTGTCATATCACTATAAGGCAACAACTGGTAAAAGCTGTGTTCAACCTTTAATTTGTTCTAAAGCAATAAATTTTCCTTAACTAAGGGTTCGCTTGGCAGCCATGTAATGTCCCCCATGTTTCAGAATTGTTCATGGCAAGGATTGGAGACGGCAAAAAAATTATCTTCTAATGCTAAATATCACGCTTCTACGAGACAGACATTGTAAAAATGCATGTATTCTCCAATATATGGTTAACTTCAAGGCAAGGCATCAGACTTCATTATGAAGAGGCCACACAATCTACATTGTTGAAATCACACGACCAAGAGCCCATGGGTTACGAAGCTTCCAAAGCTTCCTGATAGCGTGAAAGAAAAGGAACTGAGAAGGAGAGTCTGCACGTGTTCAAATCTGTGATGCAGAGTGTGCAATGCCACTCTCTATGTTGGGTTCTTTGAACACATGGAAACAGGACAATTTGATGACACCAAGGAGGTGACTATTCTCAGCCTGAGTTATGGCATAAGAGAAAACCCAAAGGTGTAATCTGCGCATTGCAGAATTTATAATTCAATGTGTAGCCTTCAGATGAGGTGTTGCTAACTTCACTACGAATATTTTCATGTGAAAGTAAAAGTAGACAAGAAATTGGGTCGTGAAGAATGAACTTGTCTCAAATTATCAATACAACATGGGACTTCGACTTTTAAGATCTGATTTTACAGCTTAGCAATCTTCTCGACCACTTGTTTCTCATCAGACTATACTACCACAAAACAGGAAGCACAGATTTCAAAGATTGGATGGGTGGTGGCATGCAAGCATTCTCCAGGAAGTAGAAAAACATATTTACTAAGAAATGCAATGACCATTTCAAAACAGAAAATGCCAGCTGACCTCAAGTGCCAATAAATCAATTTGAGAAACACTCAATCTTTAAGTGTCTTCAACCAGACCCCTCTTAGACCTTTGCTTATGTGATTTGTATCAACCAGAAATTTTGAAAAATGCACCAGATTCTTAAATTCACAATCCTCGAGTTTCTAGTTGTTAATCATATGCGAAGCTACCAAAATAAAAAGATCAATTTGCCAAAATCTTTTTAGCAAATACTACAGCAAATGAAATTTTCATTAAAGATTAGACCACAGATAACGAAATTCTACGGACAGCAAATATACGGAAACATCAAGGATAATAAACATGAATGGATGATTGTAGGAAGAAGAAGCACACCTGAAGCCGCTTTTCCTTCTTTCTTTCATTCCTCTTGGCGGCTTTGGTCTTTGGTTTTGCATCTACAGGATCATAACCCGGTGGTACTGACTGATGCGATTCCATCTCCTTCTTCCACTGCATTGAAGGAAACAAACCTATCTTTCATATTTCTCTCTGGGGATAAAACTAAATAGGCATATCATTATCACCTCCGAATACCAAGAACTGCAGAGAAAGCATTCACTAAAATGTGCTATGGTTCACAACTAAACAGGTTAACTGGATTTCTTCATTGTCGTTCTCAAATTGCTCAATGCAAAACGAACAATATTCTTCAACTTCTCACAAACTAGAAAAAGATGCAGCTAGCCAACAATGGCTAGGATATCGATCAAAGCACATTAATTTGATTGCATGTGCAAAACCCAATGCCGAAAAAGAATGCTGCAAACCAAAAGAAGAGGATAAAGGCATAGCGGGGGAAACTCCCACCAGCAACAAACAGCACATACCAGGGCACCTTTAGACTGGTAGATAGCGACTTCATCTTGAGGCACATAACCTGCACGAATCCGAATAGGTTTTCGAAGAGAACCGTCGGGCCTTCGGGTTGGCGCCAGAATCCTTTCCCCTTCTTTTAGGGTTTTGCTTATCCCGGCCATCTTCTCCACCGGCTCGTCTCCGACGCCGCCGGTACCTCTTCTTCCTCCGCCGTTAGCAGTCGCGGCCATGTAACAACTAGAATGATTTCCGATTATAAAACGTTGGATCAATTGACTATGCCGTGGTTTGCAATGATTATGACCGAAAGGCTGCTCCTTTCCAGCTCCCTCCCACTCTGCTGTTGTCGCTTGCTATTTGCTCGATTTTCCCCATTTCAATTTCACATTACTTCAGAGCCTAGGTAAATTACCGATATGGTGCCTTTACTCCTAATATAGGACAAATTAGACACTGGATTTTATATTATAACAAATAAAGCATCAATTTTTAATTGAAGTATTAATTAATGAGCCAAGGGTAGCACATTGCATTGTTCTTTAATTCCTCCTAACTCTCTATTTTGGCTGTTAATTAGCTTATGTGGTTGTCAGATAAATTAATTTGATTACTAGTCTTCATGAGGGGATCCACCTCGATGCAAGGGACATCTCTTGCCAAATTAAGGGGTCGTTTGGAAGTTGTGAATGCAAAATTGTTGCATTGTAATGAATCACCATAATATAAATGCATGTATTGATACAATGGATGCATTTTAACAACTGAATTGCTATTCGTCGCCCTAGAATTCAAATTTTATCGCCCTAAAACACAATAAATTGACATATTTATCCCTCAATTCAATTTCAATTATAAACTCTAACCAAACAATCCATAATCCTTTGTCGTCCCGATCCAAATCCTCCACCGTTCACCTAAAAAACCAAAGAAGAAGAAGAAGAAGGTGGCGCCTCTGCTCCTGCTCTGTCGCCTTTCCAAACGGGCCTCCCCTGCTCAGTCGCCTCCCCTGCTCACCCCAACCCGAGCAGCTCGCCGCCGACAAAAGAAAGAAGACACCGCCGCTGATTGCCGTATTTTTTGTTTTGTTTTTTTGGCAGCGCCGGTCGGGTAGAAAACCCAATCGTCGGCGCTGTGAGGACTTGATGATCTGTAAGAGATGAAATTGCAAAGTGCAGTTGGGGACTTCAGCTTTTAGGAATGCACTCTCATTTAATGAAAAATTTCCTTCTGTACTTGCTCAAGCTAATGGTGATCAACTGATGATTGTCAAGCAGCATATTAGGGAGCTGCGGTCATGTTCTGATCACCGTGTAATTACTCTTAAGCACCAAAGTTTTTGAATTTGGTGGAAGTGGGTGCCCTGATTCTAGCATGATGTTCTTTCTTCCAAAACTTCGTATTGTTTCCAAATTAGTAATTGATTTTGCTGAGAGTATAAAGATGAAACTTGACTAGAAATTAGTAATTTATTTTAGTTAATGCATCTATTGATGCTGTGATTTTTGTTTTTTCCCCGGTAATTTATAAGTTTGTTTTGGCTTCAACGATTTAAACTATAAATAAATTAACTAAGGGCATTAAAGTAAAATTAATTTATTTAGGGCTACGAATAAGAAATTTTAGGGCGACGAATAGCAATTCCCTTTAACAATACATTGTTCGATTGTTGAGATTCTACTTTATGCATTGATTTACATAAAATCACTTTTATGGGAAAATGTCATATTTACCCTCAACTTTTAGTATAAGACAAAACAATTGGAGATATAAATGGAAAGAAAAAGTGGACACAAATCTAAAAGCAACAATCACAACAATCTCAACTTTTAGTTGAGGTTGTATAATGCACCATTTTTTGTGATTGTTGGTGTGACCTACCTAAAACAATGTATGCATTATTTTACATTTTGGCACTTCCAAATATTATATTGTGCACAATACATGTATTCAACAAACAGAACTCTAATAATCACAACTTCCAAACTACTCCTAAAATTTTATTTTCGCTAAGACAAAATGTTTTGATAAGAGTTTGTGTTAATAATTAAATTCTCCTCAAGTCAACCATTGGCAAGGAAACAGTTGTAGGTTCACCTGATTGCCACCCACCATTAGATATGAGAGTGGGCATGCTAGGGGCGAATTGCCCTAATCCCATATTGATGGAGGTTTTTCATCTCCATCCTCATTATTGTGACTTTTGTGTTGATGTGACTTGAATCGGATTATCAACCGCTATGATTGGTGGTCGGGGGTCTCGCTTTCTTATTCTTACTTTATCGATTCCGGCGATTTCCCGATCCGTAGCAACGCGTTTATAACATTTTGAATACCACGGGTAATCCTTAGCTCATACATCATACCAAAATCAACTCTAACCCCGCCTTCACCTCCAAAAAGGCGACTCTATAAGGATGATGGAGAAGAAACAAATAGGTAAGGACAAGGGGTCTGAAAGCAAAAGTGGTAGAGTTCTAGGGCATGTTTGGAAGTTAGTATTCTCTAAATTGATGTATTTAATCAATGTATGTATTATAATTAGATGTATTAATTTAATGTATGGATTTGAAAGATACATTGTTTGGAGATTGAATTATTTTGGTGTTCCCTCAAAGAATAAGGAAGAAAAAGTAAGCTAACAATACCTCAAACACAATCTCTGCTAAAAATTGTGTTTGAGGTATTGTTAGCTTACTTTTTCTTCCTTATTCTTTGAGGGAACACCAAAATAATTCAATCTCGATGAATGATTCTGGTGGTCCCATCTGCTGTTCAAATACAAGTATTCTATTTCATTTTAAGACAAAAAAAAAATGACGAATTCTTCTGATTACATGTATTGGCCAAATACATGATCTGAAATCCCAACTTCCAAACGATCTCTTAGGAGTTCTAGTTAACCGATCTATATAACTAAATAGTGATTTCTTGGCACAAGTTGTGTGATGGAAAATGGTTACATATTCTATTTTCTTAAGTAAGTTAATTGATTATTGACGCAAATAAGTTTATGTTCATATACATAACCTATTTCATGCATGTCATGTCATCAATTAATCAACTTATCTTTTAGCGCAAACTACTCGATCAATCATGTAATCTCATAAACCATTTCCTTATTACATGCGTGCGGTATAATCAAAAAATTTAACTGTATAAAGTAGTAATTTTCTATTATCTTAGTTACAAAAAAACTAATGGCGCCATAAAAAGATGGTGATAAATTAATTTTACCGGGTGGGTCTCATTTTAGATTGCCGGCAATTAAGTTGGCAAATTATGCAGCCACAATTAGAAATAGTTTACTTTTATGTGCCATTGTGACATTGTGAACATTATACTTTTTTTTTATAAGTGCGACACTGGAGAGATTTGAACCCGATGAGATTTTAGATTCAAGAATATAGTATTATCACTAAGTTAAATGTTTGTTCAAATCTTAGTTAATTTTCTTTGATTACATTATGAACTTAGAAAACTAAAATGTGGGTGAAAACTGAAAACACTAATTAATTAGCGATACCAAAATGGATACATATTTCATTAATAAAAAAAAAACATTATTGTAAAAAACAAAAAAGAGCCGAGAGGCTAATTACATTGAAAATTACTATAAATTAATATCAAATTAGTTCATTTTTCCATTTCTTTTCCCCCCAATTTCACTCATGAACCCTCTTGTTCATAGCATGGGGGTAGGATAATTTGTGTCATCAAATCATCATTCCAATTAACTTAAAAAATCAACAAGCGATCCCCAAACTTTTTTAACCCTTAAGCCCATAAATAACATTAGCGCCCGTATTAGCAACCCATTCCCTCCCTTTGAGGAACGAGTCAACGGTCCACCTCATCGCCTCAGCTCTCGACAGCACGCTGTGCACGCCCTTCCACGTCACCCTCCTCGCCGTGTTGGCACCCGGGCCCCGGTTCGCGTACTCCCCGTAGAAACACGTGTCCAGGAAGATGGTCCCGTCCCACGGCTTCCACCCGTCGGGCTGGATCAGGTCGCCGAGCTCCGACTCCATCACCACCGTGGTGGCGAAGTCCTTCCACGGCCGGCCGAGGTACGTCTTCAGCGTGAACCTGTCGGGGACCAGTTTGGCCTCCGGGACGATCCGGCAGTTCTGGATCACGATCCCCGTGGGCTGGCCTCTCTCCTTTTTCCCGTCGGCGGTGACGGTGTTGAACTGGTTGGCCATGGGGCGGCGGACGATGATGAGCGAGTTCTGCACCACGACGGCGCCGTATCCGAAGAGGAAGTCGATGGTTCCGGATAAGACGCAGTTGCGGAACAGCTGGCGGCCGCCTTGGTAGCACAGCGTGTCTTGGAAGCCGTCCAGCCTGCAGTTGATGAAGGCGGACTGGTCGGATAGTGAGCGGACCGCCACGGCCTGGTGTCCTTCCGGTCCGGCCGTGTTTTGGAATCCCATTGACCGAGCGATGAACCCGTCGGCTTCCACGACTGCACACATAAACACAGAACACACCGAATGTTCAAAAGCATACAAATGCAAAGGTTGTCAAACATTTTGAGTGTTAGTCAAAACCAGTCAAAACTGGTTAAACCAAGAAAATGTTGTTTTCAGCTCGATGACAAAATGTTGTTTTGGAACAGAATTACAGAATGAGATGATGCTAGGTTTAGTGAATTATATACATATTTAGTAAATCTCAAACATATTGGACTCCGATTATATCATTAAATCTCAAACTACTTGTTTAATTTACGGAGCGATTTAAACTGGTTTGACAATGGTGAACTTACTGAAGGAAGCGGTCTTCCAGGTGCCGAGGCCATCCTTGGCATAGCTCAAATGACCGGTGACAATGCTCTTCCTAGCTCCGTCGCCGTACATGTACACGTTCTTCATTCCTTTCCCGACGGTGGCTTGCTCGGCGTACACTCCGGCCTTCACATAGATCACATACCTTCCCTGAAAGTTCTTGGGGTAAGCCGCCAGCGCGGCGGAGATGGTCTTGTACTGCCCGCTCCCGTCCTTTGCCACCACCGCGTTTGGCGTCATCTTAGGGGTGGATTGCAACAGCTTCCTGTCCGCCGCCGACATCCACGACGGGAACCCGTTGTCCTGCGACAACAACCTCCGATGATGCTCTTCTTGATCCCCGCCGCCGCCGCCGCCGGATGCCAAGCTGGTCAGGTTGAGCTTCAATCCGAACGAGCCGAGGACCTGCTGAATCCCGCCCAAGATAGTCAACACATTGTCGGTCAACTGGCTCCCCACCTCCGTACTGTCCCTGACGTCAGTCCTGACGGTGCTGTCCTGGTCGAACCCGTCCACGCACATTTCCTGATGTGTCAAGGGAAAAAATTTAATACTTTTTTTTACTTATAATTTATATAGAAAACTGTTAGTCGAGGTGATTAATTTGAATGAAACTTAACTCACATCAAATGAACAAAGTAGTATCTATTCCAGTGTTATTAAATTCGAGCCGAGCCGCTCGATCCGACCGATAAAACCGCTATTAGGTCACAAAATCGGCTCGAAACAGTTTAAAAACCGCTGTGGTTTTATGTAACGGTTGACGAGCGACCGAGGCGGTTAACCGATCGAGCCGCTCGTCCATTTCACAATTTCGAAGGAGAGACGAGCTCTGATTAAGAAATGTCCACTATTTATACCGATAGCGTCTATTAGGTATCGGTTCTCTAACGGTTTTTAAACAGTCTGATGCTGGTTTTGATCACTAATAAAGTGCGAGTCGTTCGCATTATCAGGTCATGCTTCGGATTCGGTTCTGACAACATTGAATTCTATTCAATAAGAACCTGACAGTATAGGTACCGATGCTCTACCTGGTAACTGATGACGTAGCTGATCCAGATTCTGAAGTCGTCGGAGCGGTTGGCGATGGTGCTGAGGTCGGAGGCGCCGACTTTCTCCATGATGTCCTGGAGCTTGTCGGAGGCGTCCTGGAGGAGCTCCTTGCAGTCGGAGAGGGCGGTTTTGGTGCGGGCGGTGTCCTTGTCCTTCTCGGCCTTGGCGACGAGGTCGTCGCTGAGGTTGAACGACTTCTTGAGGGACTCGGCGATGGCGAGGATGCCGGCCTTGATGAGGTCTTTTGGGTCGGTGGAGTTGGCGCCGCTCAGGCTCTTCACGCACTCCTCTTTGTAGTTGGTGGGCTGGCAAATCTGGTCGACGGCCTTCATGTGAGGGGTGAGGTTCTCGTCGCCGGTGGCCGGGTCTTTGGGGCCGCGGTTGACGGAGGAGACGACGCCGATGACGATGCCCACCACAAGGAGGAGCCCCACCACTGGGATTATTACTTTGGCTGCCATACTGTAATTGTTTCTTTTTTCTTCTTTTTTTTTTTTTTTTCTTCTTCCTTTTTTTTATATTGAGTTCATATATTTTTTGTTATTTTAGATCCGTCTGTCCGGCGAGCTAGTGAATAACTTGCCGGTGATTAGGAATAAAAGGAAAAAAAAAATTGAGAGAGGTATAGAAGGATGACTTCTTTATTTTTTTTATTTAATATATTTTTATTTTTTTATTATTATTGTGCACTATGGCTGGTGAAATGGTGGGAGGGGATGGGGAGGTTCTTATAGTGGGATTTGGGATTGTCTTGATTTAGAGAATTGATATTTTTGGGAGCTAAAATTATGGGTGGTGGTGAGTTAATTTGGATGGAGGAGAGGTGTTGTAGGTGAGGCTTGGTTGAGTTTTGTTTACTATAATGTGGATGGACGAGAAATGGATGTGTTTCAAAATTAGTATATTAGTTATTTTGTCTATTTCAAGTCATTGGTTGATTAATTGGTTATTAATGTCACGTGTGTGAAATTAAACAATTTAAAATTCTGAGTTAAACACTAGGAAAGAATATTTAATCTCAGTCATACTCACTAAAAGGTAATAAGTTTAGATGTAATAATACAAAGTTATATTGTAACAAAGAATTATACATTTGATCCTTAATCGGAATTCTTTGGATTACTCATGTAGCTAAATTGAATTCTTGGCATAACATTATTTCCTAATGTAACTAAATTGTAACCCGGGCCGTTGGGCGGTTGCAATGCAACAACAGTAATCGACCAAGGTTTTAAGGTAGTTTCTTAGTTTTTACTATTCGGAAAGTCAAATATTCAATTGCACAAAAAAAAAGAGCATCCATCACACATATTAATACATTGTAATTAGTGTCTTCGTAGGTTCCGATTGGAATTAAAACGATAAGACTCGTGCAAGGGAATATAAACTCATGATAAATTTAATGACAATATTAAACGTATTCCAAGATGACTGGTATCACTTATTTACCGTCAAGAATCTCCATCATCAACTCGATCTACTATGTTCATCGTCAACATGCGTTTCTTTTTGTACATGTTTTGAGAAGCAAATTAAAAGACAAAACGTAACCACATATGAAATATCATTTTCATGACAAAGGAATTCACCTCATTCCAGTCACAAATGTTGTTGGATATCATTGATTATGTTCGAAAATGTTAATTGGGTTATGGAATTTGTGATGTTGTACTCACTAAACTTTATATAAAACTTCAACTTCATTCCATTTTTTGTAAATATTTTATTCCTTCATTTAATATGATATGAGGGAGAGGAGGTATTGTTCTTTCATGATTTTTAAGAGCAACCACATCAATGCAATTGCAAAAAAATTGCATTTGTGCTCTTTATTGAATAATCCTTTTCTCAAGACCAAAGGTAAGATAGCCTAACGGTAAAGCTGCCGCAACAGTGAAGGCTTGGGAGTTGCAGATCCCAGGTTCGAATCCAAGCGAGGCCTGTTGGTGTTCCCGGAGGTACAAGGCTGCTGGGGCGAAGCCCCGTTGGCGTCAAATTAAATGCAGGTGGCCCCCAAATTTAGTAGTACCCACTGTCACAATGTGGTACGCGGGGATGAGGTTATTGGGTATAAAAAAAATCCTTTCTCAAGCAACCATAAGAGATTGATCTCTTGTTTTTTTCATCATAAAAATAATCAGAATAAAATAATTTAAGATGCATTTTAACATTTCAACATAATAAGAAAGATTGTTATTGACGTGTTATCTAGTGTGAAATCCAATTAGTTCAAGAATATCAAGATTGGGTAGCATCAAGGTGGCTCTTATTTAAGAGAATAAACTTTACCCTCAAAGTTGGTTTTTTATATATAAAAAGGAAAAATTGTCCTTTCCAAAATCGCTCAAAAGGTTGGAAATTTAGAATTAAACATGTAGTGGAGAACCTCTGAATATTAGTGTTCCGATATAGATTAATTATAAGCCTTATCCTACTCTGAATTTATTTCAAGCCCGAAGTAACCACACAGAATTTTGGATTACTCTGCCCACCTATATAAATTCCATTTAGTTTGTAGCTATTTGCCGTTGGCGAGTTTATTTTGAATTAAAATCCACACATACATACATATATAAACTCATAAAATCCCCAACGAAGACTTGTATGTCCTGAATATAAAAAAAAAAACAAAGGAAAAGACAAAGAAGCTCATCCTTATTATGCGCAGAAGGCTGGAAAAAGAGAATGAGATGGGTTCCGAAGCAGAACCTCCTTATATGATAGGAGGAGGAGGATGATTAGAATTTATCAACAAATTTGCTTTTCATGTCAATCCACAAATGTTCTCAGTTTAAATCCAAAAACTTTCCTAATGTAATCATTAGTGGCGGATCCACGTTGAGCCCAATGTGGGCTATAGCCCCTGTCAATTTTCGTAAATAAGTAAATTTACATGAAAAATATATAACGAATTCTAAAAATAGACTAGTTGGTAAGCCACAAACTCCCCTCACCAATGACCATGGTTCAATCAAACCACCCAAATGTATATCTTTTAGCCCCTCACTCAAATTTCTCTTCCGCCACTGGTAATCATAAAATGATAAAACATGTCAAACAAAATTTCGTGTATGATTTTTTAATGATTTATAAATAGGGGGAAACCCAGAAAAACTCCAGTGCCTCTTAATTACAAATTCTACTATGTCCACAAAATAAAACGAAGTCTTGGTCTTGGACCTGAAAGATGCATGGATCCGGGATCGTTATGACAGCGTGAAGACTGAAGGAAACCCTAATAATGGCTAATCTTTAATTAACTTCTGAGCTTTCATATGATTGCTGGGACATTCTTCTTCTTCTTCTTCTTCTTCTTCTTCTTCTTCTTCTTCTTCTTCTTCTTCTTCTGGGTAAGAATTGCTTGGTGTGCGCGGCGTCACTTCGTTGTTGCAGCTGCAAAAAGATCAGCAAGTTATGGAAGCTGGCTGTGGGGCTGTTCTTCGCCTCTGTGTTCATTTCCAGCTGGGTTGCTGTCGTGATTAAAGGCGAGTGTCCAGTTGATAGATCCATGCATGTTTCAGCTGTCGTTATAATTACAACAGACTATTAGTTTGGTCCATAAAATATTTGTATCTGTCCTGACAGTGACAGCCCTTTACCTTAGTCCAAGGAGATCGAGCCAGATGCAATGTTATGGCTTATGAGCTAGATCTGTAATGTGATGAGTTTACTTACTTTAATATGATACAAAAGAAAAGAAGAAGAAGAGGCTCACATGTCAAATAGATAGGCCTATCTAGGTCGGAAAAATAGCCTTCTATCATTTGGAAAAATCAATTTTGAGGCCTCAGGTTTTAATCTTTTAACTAGTATCTAAACCTAAACATGTATCGCCCTTATCTGTAAAAAAAATTATGTACGGAATTGGATCATACAGTTCAATTTGATTCGTAGATTATATAAAGTGACTTTAATTTGATCCATGCTCTATATTATGAGTTGTTTTGATTTCTTATCCACTGTAATTTCGACCACAATTTACCCGACCTGATTGTAGGCTCTATCTATTTCCAGTTTTCAGTCATTTGTTTTGATTGTTGTGTGATTGACCAAAAAAAAAACTATTCAGTTATACTTAACATGGTGTGTTCGGTCCAAACATACCGGAAGATATCGCACATACATGATCTGGTATGAACTATACTGTATTTGGTTTAGTGACTGATTTGTATTTCAGCGATTGTAATCTGTATATATATGTTCTAGTTTGGACCAAACACATTGTCTCCCAACCCAAAATCTATCCTCTGCGTAATTGATCCAAGCATGATCCACCACGCTTGGTTCCGAATCAGGGTCGGACTAGGAAGAACGAAGGACATTTGAAAACCAAAATTCTTTTAGAAATGTAATTTTATTGGTTCTAAATTTGAAAACCAGAAACGCTGATGGTATAGACTGTAAACCGTATATACGTTCTAGTCTGGACTCTGGACCAAACACATTGTTTCCCAACCCGAAATCTATCCTCTCCCTAATTGATCCAAGCATGATCCACCATGTTTGGTTCGATATCGTTTGTTAAATTCAGGACCGAATCAGGGTTGGAGAGTAGGAAGAATAAAGGAAATTTGAAAACCAAAAGTCATTTAGAAATGTAATTTTATTGTTTCTAAATTTTTTTTCTTCCTCATTTTCTTCTATATCTTAAGAAAATCTAGGGATAGCAATGGGTCAGGTCGGGAACGGGTAGTGTATATCCTTTATCTTATCCAAAGTAGTTCGGATTTTACCCATATCCATACCCACATGAGAAACAGGTAAAAAATCCAAACCGTCCCCATACCCGTTCGGGTTTCGGGTATCCACGGTTATCCATGGTAATAGTTTCTCTTTATAACTCCAACCAATATGTTAATATTCACACGTATTCTCACGTTAAGTAAGACGAAAAGTACGACAATAATTCATTATAATGAAGAAAATTAATTAAAACAACACAATTTTATAGAAATATTATATTTATATGCTAAATATAAAATATGTTAGAGAAAAAATTGATTATTTATAGACAAAATACATATGCATGTGAATAATCGGGCGGGTTCGGCTTGGATAGTGAGAAAACCATGCCCACCGAATTCTCGCAATGTTCGGATTCGGGTTTTACCCGTACCCACTAAAAAATTTTCGGGTTCGGATTTTACCCTACCCGATCAGGTCAAATTCGGGCGGATATCCACGGTTACATATATTTTTGCCGTAAGGAAATCTACAAGATTGAATTATTTTCCTCCAATTCGATTCACCAAATATTAACTCACTCCGCTTTGGTTTTGTTAGTAGGGGTGGCTATACGGTCCGGTCCGGTTAAATTGGACCAAATTGATCCGGTCCCAGTCCGGTCTTTTCGGGAATATAAGGACCAAAGATTGGATTGGATACAGTCCGATCTTGACCCGATCCGGTCCCAATTTGATCTTGATTTTATATTGAGCTTGTGGGGATTTGAGTGTTGGGGTCTCTTATCCGGTCTTTATATGAGTTTTTTTACCTCAAATCTAAGCCCGAATATGAGTTTGGATTGTATGCTATCCGATCCTATTCCGTTTCCGGTCCGGGTTATACGGTCCAGTTTTGGGTAAAACCAAATAGTCCGGACCAAATAGCCAGCCCTATTTGTTAGGATCCGATTACTGGCCACACGCCACGTGCCACATGGCGACACCATGTTGAAATCCGGGTTTGAATCTCTGTCAGGCGGGTTATCGGCACGTGATCCGGGTTATCCTCCAGAATCAGATGCGCACTTTTCCTCTTTTTTTAAACCAGAAATGCTCTGATGGTTCCCTTTGCGTTGCGTGAAAGATTTGTGCATTCTTAAATCCATCCCCCAATCTCCCCCGACCAGACGATTGTTTCCTCTCCATTTCTGCCAATTTGCAATCGCTAAACAGTTAATCGTTCTTAATTCTTGTTGTTCATCCGCAAAATTTCCATCGATTCTTCTGCTTTCCAGGTAGCCAGCTGGTTGTTGCTGCTCCTTCCGCCCTTGTCCTCCCCGCAGATCAAATCACATCCGCTACTTCAGGCCTTTGGCATCGGCATCGTCTTCTTCTGCTGCTGCTGCTGCTGCCTCCTTCGGTGTTTACTGTTTCCGCAGCACGCAGCGATCGGGCGACTTGCCACTTGTGATTGGGTGCAAGTTGTAATAGAAGCTTTGACGGTGAGTGGGTTTTCGTCTATTGGGCTCTTCCTTCCTCTTTAAGATCCAGAACTTTGGGGGGTCATTGGAATTTGCTTTAACCCATTACCTCGAGGTGTTTAATTTCATTTCCTGGTAATTCTGCGTTCATAGGTGACATTTTGTCATTCAATTCTATATGGGTTTGCTTGGTTTCAATGGTTTCCCATGCTTGCTGAATGTTGATGGATGATGATGAGGATAGTGCATTGTCGGAAATTTGCTGGTGGGTGGTACTAAGAATGAGCTGAATTGACTTTGAATTATTTCTGTGCTTTAGCTTCATGACATCGTTATCTTAATTGTACATTGCTCAAATGTTCCCATTATCTGGGTATTTGACTTGATTCCCTTTTATGTTCTCTGTGGAACTATTCATCCGGTTTGTAGAAATTGTATTGGATGATGAATTGTTTCTTAGACATGTTATTATCACAAACTGAACTTGAGCCCCTCTCATATACGTTGTTGTTTTTGAAGGTTCATCTAGTGAAGATTTGTTTTTGGAGAGCCATTGAGTTCTCTATATGCCCTGAACCCCTACCACTTTCATGATTTTCAATCTTTTGCATTCTGCGCTCTTTCTATTAATATTCTTTAAAATCTCGGCTTCACATGTAGATCAATGTATTTTAAGTTCATTAAATGTTTATGTAGGTTAAATTGGCTCATGGCAAAGAGTGGTAGATCCCAACGTAGGGCTTCTTTCAGACAGTACAGGATGGCTCCATACCAGTTGTCGACTTGTGATAGTCACATTGGAGATGAATGCTGCCCAAACAATAAGGGCTCCAAAGGATTGTTCGATAAGAAAGACTGGGAAGACGTGACTTGTTCTGTTTGTATTGAGTTCCCACACAATGCAGTTCTGCTGCTGTGCTCCTCTCACGACAAGGGTTGCCGTCCCTATATGTGTGGGACTAGCTTCCGTTACTCCAATTGTCTGGACCAATACAAGAAAGCATACACGAATGGTGAGGCCGAGAAGTGTGAGATCTCGGAGCTTGCCTGCCCTCTTTGTAGGGGGAAAGTGAAAGGGTGGACTGTGGTGGAGCCTGCCCGTGAATATCTGAATTCCAAGGAGAGAAGCTGTATGCAGGATGATTGTTCTTTTGTTGGAACTTACAAGGAGTTGAGGAAGCACATGAAGGGGGTTCACCCTTCTGCAACACCACGTGGAGTAGATCCACAGCTGGAACAGAAGTGGCGAAGGCTGGAGAGGGAACGTGAGCACGATGATGTCATCAGCACAATAAGATCTACGATGCCCGGGTCATTGGTTTTTGGGGATTACGTGATTGAGAGAAACCATGGTGGTGATTCAGATGATGATGAAGATGTGGGGTTTGAGATTCAGGCTGCAAACAGGAGCAGAGGAGAAGGATTTATGGGTTTTGATAGGAACCTGGCGAATGTGTTCATGATGTTGCATGCCTTTGGTTCATCAGGTGAAGAGTTTAGCAGGAGGCTTCCACAGCGGGAGATGCCAGATCCCCACACCTCTCGAGTTGGTGGATTGATTTCCTTTGATGAGGACATTGACCATCGTCATGGCTACGATGAGATGGCAGACGATGATGGTGGTGGCATGTCATCATTTGTTTCTCATCGTTCAGGTAGACGACGTAGGCGTAGGGACATGGACAGAGGTAGCAGATGACAAGCCATTTCATGCCATTGTAAGCAGGGAGATCTTGCTGGTCAACAACAAACATCATTCTTTTTCAGGAACAGGGGGATTGACAATGATCTCATGGGATTGTGTATTTTCGCATATGTGCATTTGTAAAATTGTTACATTTAGAGAACTTGGCTCGTGGGAGATGGCTGCATAAGGCTATTTCTTCTGCTCTGTATCTGTAGTTTCCTTGTTGATATTGTAAACTGAAGCTCAAGTTGCTGATCAGCTCAGCAATTGGCTTTTGTTACTAATCGTACATTGGTCATGTACACAAGTTGGCCACTGGAAATGGCTTAATGAAGCTTCTAATTTTCTTATTCCTTTTCTGTTTAGATTTCCTTTCCATATGGCAATTCAAGCAGAATCAAGTTAACTTCTCTGTGCTAGCAACATTCATGCCGCATACTAATTACAAACCAAACAAAAAAAACCAGTAATTACGAAATCCTACAAAAGGTTATACCGGAAAAGTTAGTGATTAATTGAACCGTAATCCAATTGTTACTGCTAAAATCGCGTTCCATTTAGGTTTGATACTTTCGGTCCTACCAGCCGATATGATTTCTAAAACATTGATTAAAATTTAAAACATTAAAAAAAACCGAAATAAAAGAAACTAATTTTCGTGCTGGTAAAGGAACAACTGTGATGGGCCACAGGATGGCCCCACGTGAAAAGAAGATAACAGAGGCCCACACTGAGCCCAGGTACGGCCTGGCGGCGGTGTGCCCATTGCGACAGCTGGACCAGGCAAAAGTTCGGGTTTGCACATTACTGGCGGGTTACCGGCCCATGATCCGCCGGGTTATCCTTTAGAACCAGATGCTGACGTACGGTTACCTTTTCCGTGAAGCTTTGTGCATCCACCTCAATTTTCCCATCTCCCAATCAATTCCCACGCCACGATCCACGATCCCCACGATGTTTCTCGTTCTCCCTCCATTTCTATTCCCAATTTGCAGTCCATAATCACATTCTTCGTCATCCTTAAATTCTTCTTATTCAATTGCACGATTCCGCTCTCCCCCCAATCGATTCTTCTTCCATTAGTTGCTCCTTCCGCCATTATCGTTGCCGCAGATCAAATCTCAGCCGCATCGTCTATTCTGCTCCGTCCGTCCTTTCGCCTTAGATATCATCGCCTTCTGCTACTTCTTTCATCCACCTGTCTCAGAGCTCAGTGTCGCAGCAGACACAGTAATCAGGCAACTGGTTTGGTGCAAGTTCCAGAAGCTTTGACGGTGAGTCACTTCTTCTGTAGGGTCTCCAGTTTTTGTTGTTTTAGATTATAAAAAAAAAACTTCGGAGCTAATTGGGATTTACTTGAATTCATTACCTGGAGGAGTTCGTTTTCATTCTTGGGTTATTCTGCATTTGTAGATGATCTGTTCTCTGGGTTATTCAATTCTGTGTGGGTTGTTTGGCATCAATGGTTTCACATGCTTGCTGATTGACGACGAGCCATTTTAGTTTTGGATACTTTTCATCATCCAAAAATACTTTGTGGGTACTGTTAAGAATGAGCTGAATTGACTTGGAATTATTTATGTGATTTTAGCTTCATGATGTCGTTACCTTGATTGTGCATTGCTCAGAATGTTTCCATGGTTTGGATATTGCTAGATTCCTTCTACTGTTGTATGTGCAATATAACCCCCTTGTAGAATCCTCTTGGATGGTGAGTTCTTCCTTAAAAGTGGTTCATCTACTTGTTGTGCCTTTATGAAATACAGGACATGAGCCCTTTTTGGAACGTTTTACACTTCTTACTTCATATGCTGTTGTTTTGGGGGATGAAGAGATTTTAATATCATTCTAAATTTGCTTCTCTGTACCATTTACTTCACATTCCGGTTTAGTCTATTATGACTGCTCTTTCGTTCTCTTTATGTCCTGAAACCTGTGATGCTTCCAATCTTTCTGAGTGCTTTTTGTTAATGGTTTTCTCTGAAGGTCAGGTGGCACATGGCGAAAGTTGGGAGGTCGCGACGTAGGGCTTCTTACAGACAGTGCAGGATGGCTCCCTACCATTTGCGGACTTGTGGCAGTCAAATTGAAGAGCAATGCTGCCCGAAAGGCTCCCGAGGATTATTAGATAAGAAAGATTGGGAAGATGTGACTTGCTCTGTTTGCATGGAATGTCCACATAATGCCGTCCTGTTGCTTTGCTCCTCTCATGACAAGGGCTGTCGTCCCTATATGTGTGGGACTAGCTTCCGTTACTCCAATTGTCTTGACCAATACAAGAAAGCATATGCGAATAGGGATGTCGAGCAGTGTGAGATCTCGGAGCTTGCATGTCCTCTTTGTAGGGGCCAAGTAAAAGGGTGGACTGTGGTGGAGCCTGCCCGTGAATATCTGAACTCCAAGGAAAGAAGCTGTATGCAAGATGATTGTTCATTTGTTGGCACTTACAAGGAATTGAGGAAGCACATGAAGGGAGTTCACCCTTGTGCAACACCGCGTGGGGTAGACCCTCTGTTGGAGCAGAAGTGGGGAAGGTTGGAGAGGGAGCGAGAGCGTGATGATGTTCTCAGCACGATAAGATCTACAATGCCTGGGTCATTGGTTTTTGGGGATTACGTGATTGAGAGAAACCACGGTGACTTTGATTCAGATGATGATGAAGATGTGGGGTTTGGCCTCGAGGCTGCAAACAGGAGGGAAGGAGGAGGATTTGTGGGTTTTGATCGGAATCTGGCAAATGTCTTTATGCTGCTGCATACCTTTGGGTCGGCATCAGGTTCCCACCACCAGTCAGAAGGAGCCGGTGGTGGCATGCGACACCCTTCTCCAGTTGGTGGATTGGCTTCCTTTGATGAAGACATTGACCATCATGACAGCTATGATTGGACTGCAGACGGCAACGATGATGACAGTGGAGGTGAAACCTCACTTGTTTCTCGCCTCCGTGGTCAGGGGCAAGTGCTTTTTAACAGTTCAGGTAGACGACGTAGGCGTAGAAACTTGGACGGAGGTGGCCGTTGACAAGCCGTAACATGCCAGCAGTCGGGGGGATTAGGTGACCTCGAAGTTGTGATGATTGTGTATTTTAGCATGTGCATTTGTACAATTCTTTTACATTTAGAGCAGTTGGCCATGGAGAATGGCTGGATAAAGCTACTGATTATCTTCTGCCTTTACTTTATCTGTAGTTTGGCTGTTCATATGGTAAGAACCGAAGCTGAGCTTCCTGATCAGCACAACAGTTTAGCTGTTGTTCCTAATCGTACATTTACAGAAGTTGGTCATTGGGATGGCTAAATAAATCTACTGATTTTTCTTACTTCTGAGTTCTGTCTGTCTGTAGGATGGTTATTGATAGTTGGCATCATCAGGCTTCTAATTGCTTGTGCTTGAGATGTTGTGAAACGACTATGACTATCTTCATGTACGCTGCCCCGCCATAGGTAGTTTCGTTATGAAAGAAAAGTCTAGGATGTATCTCCTTGTTTATTTAGTTTCGCCGAGACAGAAAAACCAGTTGCCACCAACCACATCGAAACGAATGTGTTTGCTGCTGTCAACAACCAGCAGCTCCTCGCAGGAAGAAGATGATGTCGACGGACCTCCAAATGAAAAGGAGGGTCGACAAAGGACTGCTCTGAAAATCTCACTTGCAATTTGCAAGAATGAAAGAAACTGATGCAGTTGCCGGAGCCCTCAAGAGAGGGGCCGAAAAATGGTGGAGTGAGATCAGAAATAACTGTCACCATCCATCAATCTAAGTAGCAAGATAAACCATGCAACAAACAAGCTATGAATACCATAGCTCCCTCTGAAACACTAAGCTTACGAACTATAAGACCCACAAGATCTTAAATGAAAAGAAAGCTGGGGAAAAAGGAAACCCACGGAGATCAGAAAAATCAAAATTCAAATTGGAGAAACAAACCACAAAAGGAACATCTTCAAAGCAGCAGATAGAGAACAAACTACGAAAGAGACATCTTCGACCCACTAGGGAGAAAGTTGCTGCTGATTCTGGAGAAACACCAGAAACAACCCTTGCTAGATGAGAGAAAGCTTAGTACAGAGTAGACAGAGAGTTTGAAAAGCATGAAGGGCTGAAAATAAGCAACTCTCAAACCCATACAGCAAGATTACCTGATTGTTTCCCCAAAATTTCTACTGGCTGTACAAAGAATCTAAAACTCACTAAACCTTTATTGTACAATACAAAACTGGCAAGACAGTGAAAGTAAAATCTCGAAAATTGCCATCTGCTACGAGGTGAATATGCAGCCAAGTTAAGAACGATTTAAGCGAACAAATGATAGAAGACCAATATGGAACCAAAGATGAGCAGAAGCCTCTTCTGCGTGAAGGATACCTGTAAGTTCTGAACCTATAGAAAACAGTTCCTCAAATGACACGAACAAAATACTTCCAATGTGTATGCCTATCTGTAAAGTACCAACCAAAAGAAACAGCCACAGAAAGGACTGGAGCACAAGTATCTCCTCTTTGGAAGAAGATCCAGAAGACGAAAGACCAAGAACTATTGCTCGACAATTCCATCTGTTCGACAAGAACACCACTCATGAACAGGATAATGTCATTTGGTGCCTTATAGTTAAGCTCTGCTGCCCCCACAAAAGGACCTCATCAGTATTTTAAAAGAGAAAGTACATCTGTTATGAGCAACAGACTAAGTCCAAATATGCACCCAGAAAGACCATAATATATCATCAACCCTGCCAAAACATTGACATTTCGAAATTAATATTAAGATGAAGCATTGATAAGGACTAGGGCAAAGGTTAGGGATGAAAAAGGATTTACCCGGCCCATTCCGGTTTTCTAACCAACTAGTCACTCATGTTTAAGCCGCCTTCTACTCACAAACACCCAAGGTTTCAGACTTCAAGCACAGTATGCAGTAGGGTTACTGTTCCTCCAAATGCCAATCCATATCAATGGTTCTTGCCAACGCAAAATGATCAAATGAACTGTTGAGCATGTTTATGATTTTGCAGCTGGTAGCACAAAGGTCGTAGGAACCCAGATGTCAAATTAAACTCAATCGAACAAGGGCCACGGCCACCTCACAATTCCATGTCAAAGCAACCATTGTATCCATCATCTCGTCACACAAACATCAAAGGCGCCATTTCGAGAACACAAAGTACTACAACATTTATGCAAGTCTGCACTTGAAGAAATGGATCTACTAGGCTGATCCACGAAAAGACACAGACGACGACCACGGCTGCAGCTATCAAGTCTACCGCCATGCAGACGGCAACAGCAGTTCCTTTAGGCCACCCATCTGCCAAAAGGAGGCAAACATATTCCATTAGTACAACATTACATTTTCTTAGTCCATAAAGTTTAGTATAGAAAAAGCTACCACAATCGGTAGCTATTTTACCCACAACAACATCTCCTCAAGAACCCCTTCGTTCATATGGTCCAGAGCGGTCACGGGTATAGCGATCACTTCCTTCACCCCCACGGCTTCCACCATCTCTGCTGCTGCGGCCCCCATGCCGGTCTCCATTCCTATCTGGACCATAGCGGCTCCCATCTCTGCTACTTCCACCTCCATACCTCTCATCTCGGCCACCAGACCTTTCATCTCGACCACCATACCTGCTGCCTCCACCTCTTGCTCCTTCACCACTTGGACATTCTCTAGCAAAATGTCCCGGTTTGCCACACTTGAAGCAGTCTCCACCACCACCTCCACCTCGTCTACCTCCACTTTCATAGTTTGAACTACGATCACGTCCACGGCTTCGGTCAGAATCATGATCTCGTCCGGAACCTTGGCTAGGTTGGGCTTTCTCAACTATAATAGTTCGACCATCTAAATCCATCCCATTCATTTCTTCAATAGCTTCTTCCAATGCTTTCTTCTCATCGAAAGTTACAAATCCGAATCCACGGGAGCGCCCAGAGAACTTATCAACAACCACCTATAGTAGACAAAAAGCATGAAAGTTATACTCCTCCACAGTTGACAACATCTATAATCATGCAAATGCAACAAACAACTTCTACCCCTCTTTGAAGCAAGAAGCACCTATTTCCAATAAACAACTCAAATTTTTTTTATTCCTAAAATTACCTCAGTAAACGCAGGCACAGTACAAGGTTTTTTTTTTTTTACAATGCAGTACAAGGTTAACAGCATCAAGGAAGTGATTACCCCTTGCACAATGTAACATATGAATGGAAAAAGTGAAACTAGATTGTATCTGATATCGTAGTTTTATGCAGCTAACACCCTTAAAACGAAACAATAAATTAACACTGAGGGTATGGAGCCATGTAGACCAGACAAGTGATTCGGAGAATTATCACACCTTTGCTTCAAGAAGATTCCCATACTTATCAAATGCCTCTTTCAGACCTCTATCAGATGTAGACCAAGCAAGCCCACCAACAAAACAACGGTACTCTGTGTCTTCTGGCATTTTTCTGGACAGTGTTTCTGTTGAAAAGGTAACTCCAGAACGAATTCAGCAGAAAAATATAATGGCAGTGCCTCATTAGCCTATGGCAGCAAGTTGCAACCAACTCCAAGACAATAATCACGAATTTTGAAGGAAACTAGAAAAAGATCTGATAGTTGATAGATATCTACATAAGAACTCAGCATATAAACTTGCTCAAACAGCCTCCTCTTACAAGCAAATGCTTCTTCTGGTCCTCAATGAGATGAAGACCAAGGAAGCCCACCAACAAAACAACAGTACTTTACGTCTCACTATAGGCTTCCCTCTAAATTCCTTATTGCCAAGATTACTCTCCCATTTGGAAAACTGCAGGGTTCCCTTTTGACACAGCTCCATAGAAGGCAGAAATTTAATAATCCTATCGCAATCGAGCCAAGATTGGGACTTTATGAAGAAATCCAATAACTGGGAAACTGTGAGAGAGTTCTAACAAGCATTGCTTACAATTCAAAATAGAGAAAAGGATCAAGAACCATCCTATCCATGTTCATCATAATAACAAAAAGATTCAACCTTTCTCTGGTATTTAGAATCGAAATTTTCAGTAGATCGCGATAAAAGCTTTCGATTGACAGCCAGCCAAGGCAACTCGGTTAAACTTGAAACAGAAAGAAATACGAAATCGAACCAGAAGTTTGCAGCTCTGGAGAGAGAGAGAGGCTACTTACCAGGTCGTGCGAGTTCCAGAGAGTCGCCGTTCGCAAGAAAGAATGTTAGGTTGTTTTCTTTTGGGTTTTGGAGCTGGATTGGCTTTCTTTTGTAGGGTTTGGGAAATTTGACAAATGGATGTGTGAAACAGAGTCCGAGTGGGACAAGGAGCAGCTGATTCGTTTTTAGCTTTACGATTGGGAAAAAGCATGTACAAAAGAAAGAGAGAGGCAATTCGTGGGCCGGGCCGGAGAACCCATCTGAAATCAATCCAAACCCAATTGGCACATGCCAATTGCCCAACTCGAGAATTCTAGGGCCGAACGGTATGGATTTATTAATGGTTGGATCATCGCTAAAGTTTATTTTGCTTAATGGTTTGATTAAGAAAACAAATAATAGTTCACTTGTTTGAGCCTTTGGTCAAAGGAAAAAGTTCATAGAGTTTCAAGACCAGTAAAATCTCTATTTCAAACATCTCGAACCCTATTTATCACAAGTAATTCTTCGTCCAACGTTTTAAAACATCATAAAAAGTCAGAAGTCACATTTTTCTAGCTACATTTCACAATCAAAGGAGCAAACCTCCCTTGTAAGTAGTTCTTGTTTCTTTATTGTTTGCGGATGATAATCTTGTGGTGTTATTCAGTTAGATCATATATGATTATTTGCAATTGTATGAGTTGAGATTTGGATTGTAAATTTATGATTGATTATGTATTATGCTTACATAATTTCTTATAATTTTTTTAATTTATTAATGTAAAATTATACTCGATTGTTTTGAATTATCTAAGAGAATAAGAAAGCATGAGGAATAACAAACAAAATGGACTGTACCTGCTTACACTCTTAGAAAAACAACAATTTAAAGAAGTCAATTCACAAAGTCAAAAGATCCTATCTCTGAAAAATATAGTAAAAATACTTTGCAACCATTAGATAACTGTATTTACCGAAACCGCCCCGAAAACAACACCACCAACAAGGAAGAAGACTTGAGAGTTGAGATAGCAGATTGGTGAAGTAGAAGAACGGAGTTTCCATTTCGTTACCCACAAAACCCTAGAACTCAGCATAGACATTTCTCCTTGATTAAAACTGAAACAATTCATAACTCCTTAACGCGGTTTGGTCTAGTTTTTGTTCGATGATCTTGTACGTCTCTTTGTAGGCCTTGCAGTTTCGTCCACTGAACCTGTCGCACCGCCAACTTGAACTTTCTCACAACAACAGGCACACCCAAGAAATGCAGCCGTCAGAGGAGAGTTTGAGGTGAGCGACGCCATCAGAAGACGAGATGCCTAGAGAAAAGGAAAGAACAACACATCTATATAAGGAAATACAGAAATTGTGTTTTACTTGATTAGCAGCTATATATACAAACAAATATACCTCTTGTTTCCCCACATGTACAATCCGGTCCTCAATATCGGAGAAGGGCACATTCAGCTTCCGCAGCAGAGCCAGGTTCGAGGCAGGGGAGATCGGCGATATGTTCAGATCGTCGGTGACGGTGTACATTGAAGGCGACACGTAACCCGCGGCTCTTGATAACTCCTTCCAAGTAGCAGGATCCTCTGGCCGCACCGTCGCAGGCAATTTAGGGTCTTTGATAACGCAGCTAATTGTGGACCAGAATTGTCCTGCCGTCCTTCCCCTGCCTTCCACGGGACAAGCAGCAGCAGCAGCAGCAGAAGAAGAAGAAGAAGCACTCTTATCATTAACGAAAATATACTCAACTTCTTTAAGGCCTAGAGGATGATCTAGGTAGCCATAGCGGGCAGCGAGCAGAGGACGCAGCAAGACCGGTGCACGTCCATCATCTTTGTCACCAACGATGCATCCCTCTGCCACAAGATCCTGCACGCTCTTGTACAAGTTCTTCATGCAACCTTCGGAAGGAATTACGTCCGTCGCGCCGTGGACGACGTCTTGCATTTGCTTGAACATGTGGCCGAGGGGAACGAGGAGAAAGGTGAAGATCAGGTCGACAAAATCTTCACCGGCTTCCGCATACAGGACTCTGTTCTTGGTCTTGCTGTACACAAGCTTAATACGGGCTGCAACCGCAGCTGTACTAACTTTTTTTGGCAAGGAAGCTGCCGCACTGTCTTTTGGTGCAACTTGTGGTGCATCTTCTACTTGTTTGACAACCGCCCGGTGACAGCGATGATCAAAACCGCCCAAGAAGTTGGCTTTACTGCTCAACTCCTTTTTGGCTACTTTGGTGTTGAGAAGAACGTCAGAGAGAGGCGTCTTAGACACCAAAGCCAGCTTCAACAAATCCAATGCCTACACAATTGTTCGAGGACACTCGCTACGTTAAAACTTAAAACGCAGATGAAAAAGTCAAATTTATGGATAAATCAAGATTCAAAAAGGCGCTAGACATAAGATGTGTGTTGGGGATCTTGTCTATCAAAAGCTGAATAAATAGTTGTGTTTGTAGATAATGTTAACTTTTTAACAACTTAGCTTTCCTAATTACATCTAGAAGTCGCAATACTCCACCGTCACGTTCTTAATTCCTAACTTACGGCAAAACATTCTGATGTTACCTAACATGAGTTTAAACCCACATTTTTTAGGCACGAATCATGAGCTGAGAATTTAATTAAGCACGCAAACACCAATTACCTCATTGATGCCGAAATCGAAGGTCAGCTCCTCGACCTGAGTTGCATCAGAGACGCCATGCTCGGAGAGCAGCGAAACGGTTGCTGCGGTGGTCGCAGGTTTCACTCGTAGATCGTCGCTAATTACGAGCCTACTGAGCCGCTTCACGAACAGACCCTTTTCCTCTACGTCGCGACAGAGGAAAGGAATCCGAAGAGTCATCTTCTTCCCGTACCGGCAAACATCCGTTTTGTCGTAGCTCAAGTACGGATTCGTCGTGCTATGATCACGACAGGCAGAGGAGCTCGACTTACTACCAGCTCGCGATGACGGATCGCAACGAAAGAGGCCGTAGGGCGGCTGCTGCTCGTCACATTTCTCGACGTTTATTTTCAGGTACTGGCAGTAGGCGTCGGCGCCGTTACGAGGGCGGAGAAGCATTTCTTTGCACTTCCGGGTCCAGAAGTGCTGAGGCTCCAGAACCTCGACGCTGCGGTACAAGTTGTCGAAGCAGCCTAGCGTTACCGCCGGCGGCTGCTTGCGAGAGATGAGGCTGATGACGGTGGCCATGGGCAGCGTGAGGTAGCTAAAAAGGACGTCGGCAAGGTCTGCATCGGCTTCGACGAATACGACCGATTTCTTGTCCCTGTTAACGGTCGCCTTCACACGCATATTGTTGACAGATTCTTGCCCGCTACTTGCTTTATTAGCTGCCATTGTGAATGGGAAATTGAAGATGGAGTCGCGGGCGAGCAAGGTGGATGTATTTATGGTGGCGTTTTAGTGGGAGGGAAGACGAGAAGGCGGTCGGTCCGCAAGGCATTTATTGGTTCATTGTATCGAGAAAATCGATTTACGAAGGGTCGACCAATTGATGTGGCTAGTTACTTCCATGGTTGTCAACCCGCAGGTTGATCCGGATTGATCCGAACTTGGTAGCAGAAAAGTGGTGCCATATGCCAAGTTCGGAATTAGCTCGAATATAGTGAACCTGATTGAGAGTAAAAAATATGGTAGCAAAAAAACCACAAGACACGGTATAACTTCACTATAACTTGTGAACTTGACAAGCACAAGATTAAAACAGGTGACATTTGATTTATGTATACATATGGCTCGCTCAAGAGAAAATGGTGGATGAAACCTTTTTAAGGGCCGCACAGAACGCATCAGACATCAAGAGTCACACAGTTAACCAGTTCGGAAGAACCAGCATTTCTGGAAGCAATGACCCGCCAATTATCTGTTTCTGGCGCCAACTCCGAGCCCAGAGAATCCTCACCACAGTTCTGCATGCCGGCTTGCAGAACAGCAATGTTGGCACCTGCATCTTTGGTGACCACATGGAGCTTGCCAAGCAAACCAGTGAGCAAATGGTGGGATTCTGAATCGGCATGTGTGCAAATAGGCACGTCTCTAAGGACAACCTTCCAAGCATCTTCATGGTAGTCATAAACCTGGATTCGGGTACTGGGACCATCAACCGAGCCCGATGGATCGAGAGCATACAACTCTCCTTCAATCGTGACGCTCAGTTTCCTCCCGGCTTGCCTTGGAGGCCAACCATCACCCATTCCAGATGGCATTTCGACCCATGCATTCGTCTCTGGGTCATACACCTCTCCACCAACATCAACAACAAAGGGCCAGCAGTACAAACTCTGAGCCACGTACAGTTTCCCACGGTATGAAGTCACTCCTGTTGCTATAGGCTTGAGGAGATCGGCTAGAAATGCTGTGGGAATTGTCTGAGCTTTCATGAAAGGCATGCTTGGAAGTTTGGTCCATAAACCGGTCTCGGGATCAAAGACCTCAGCAGATTGAAGCGGCATCAAACCATCACGGCCTCCATTAACTCCTCCAATAACATAGAGCTTATTGTTCAAGACACTTGTCTTACAGTATGCTCTATCAGTAGTCATGGGGCTGACCTCGGTCCACACATTAGCCATCGGATCATACTTCCACACACATCTCATGGCTGAACCTTTGGAGAACCCACCTAGGACATAGAGGCAACCATCTACAGCTCCAACAGCACAACCGCAGAACGGCATTCTTTCAGGGGCACCTTTCCTTCCAAGCCAGCTTCTCACCACATCAGCAACTTTCATACCCGAGCCTACCATATTCCACACACGAAGACCCACATAGCCCTTCTTGGCTTCATCGCCGTAAGCAGCACTGGGGATTGATGGCAGCCTCTGCCATATCTTGTTCAGCGGGTCCAATCCATACCAGAGAAGCTTATCGTCTTCAACCTTCGTCAGAATGTAAAGCCATTCTTCCGTCTTTCCAAGCTGCTTTCTGACACTGAAGAGTTGAGAATCAAGGACGACCGACTTCCATGATCTTGACACTTGCTTCATTTTTAAGTAATGAATTCTGGGAACCCTGGCAAGGATCTCTACTGATATCTCGTCAGGAAGACTGGGAATTAATCGTGGGTATCCTTCAAAAGAATTTGCTGAAACCCGTTGTCTCTTACAAGGCTCGTTGCAGGGCGACTTATCAAAACTGTTATTAGCTCCTGAACTGGAGCCAGATCCATTTGAGCTCAAAATTGCGCCCATCGCCAATTTTCCCAGAGCAGAAGAGATTGGCTGGCCAAGGTCCACTGGTTACCTGAGCTCATATGCAACAAGCAAACACAATTCACAAGCCAAATCTGAACAGTCAGTTACTCAGAGATGATAAGTAGATAACTACTACACAGAAGCATGTTGAAATGAAGCACGGTGGATCATTTCAATTGGAGCTATATACTTCCCCAAATTCGCATCCAAAAGCAGCTGCCTAGTCACAAACTTTGATCTTTCTAACACAATTTCCATGAAATCAAACAAAGACCCAGATAAGAAATTTCAACTGCAAAGGGAAAATCTTTAGAGCATAAACAGAGCAATCCAGCAGGGTGCAGTCAGTCAACTACAACAAAGCGAATATCACGCCAGGAATCAACGAAGTAAAGTAACCCAGAAAGAGAAAAGAAGTAACAGAGTAAGAGCACAACAACTGGGTATCAATCGAAATTCAACCACATACTCAAATCAACAACCGACTGATCAAGTTGACGAAGGAGTAGGAGGGGTTTTCATACCTGATTAGATGAGAGGTGAATTGGGATCGGAGCAAAGTCGTCGCAGGAAAATTTCACATCTTTAAATCTGAAGGAAAATAAGTGGGAAGGAAACGAGGGATTGAAAAGGGAAGGAACTTTTTGGCGACAAATTGAGAATTGGAGATGGGGAAAGTGAGAGCCGGAAAAAGCTTCTCGAGATAGAACGTACGTAACCAGGTGGACAGAAAAGGCCAAAGGGGCACATAATGGAGGACTAAAACCATTTTTGTATTTACATTAAGGGGTCGTTTGGATAAGGAATTCTAATGGATCAATCTGACACAATTGTCTCGTTTTGAGTCAATTGTGCTAGATTGATCCGTTTGGCAGCAGAAAATTTGGATGAAGCAATTTGGGCTGGGGAATTCTGAATTGACTCATTTTGAGCCAATTACAATTGTCTGGGGTGGGGGCAGGTAATCTGAATTGACTCGTTTTAAATGAATCGTTTTGTAAAATGAAACAATTGGTCAAATTGTCTCGTTTTACAATTGATCCATCCAAACGACCCCTAAGAAAATGCAAGCATGGGGTATACAAACTACAAAGTAATTAGATGGTTGGAGTCTGGAGTTGGCCTTATCAAATTTTGTTTAAATTATTAATTAATGGAAGCTAGCCAAGATTATAAGAAATTTTCCAATCCAATCCAATCCATTTTCTAATTGGACTTTGCTCAGAACGATACTTTTTTATTATTATTTTCGATTTCTAAACTAAAAATTATCGTTGATGCGAACTTTAATATTGTCAAGTAGCACCTATATCACGATTTCAACCAACGATATAACCATGTTGCAATAATATCAATGAAGTTGGATCATATCAATGAACAAACATTCGTTAGTCTCCTAAAAAATGTAAATCAACCTAAACTGAAAGAAAGAATCTTACGGGTCGTTTGGATGAGGAATTGTAACGGATCAATTTGACACAATTGTCTCGTTTTGAGACAATTGTACCAAATTGCCTCGTTTGCCAGCAAAAAATTTGGATGGATCAATATGTCTGAGGTATTTTGAATTGATCAGTTTTGAGTCAATTTCAATTACCTGGGGTGGGGGCAGGTAATTCGAATTGACTCGTTTTAATTGTCTCGTTTATAAAACGAGACAATTGATCAAATGGACTCATTTCTAGATTGATCCATCCAAACGACCCTTATTATTTGGAGAAGAAACATGGGTAGGCAAATTGCCAGTCATCTGGATATATGGTATAGTTTCTACTTTCTACCCTTTGGAGGACATCTCAAATTCCATGATGCATCACAGCCAAATATTACCATTGGTATATTACCCTTTAGATAGAGAGGGAAGGTCCTGAGTCCTGAACTCATAAGGACCACACCATTCAATACTCAAACTAATAAGAGCAAAAAGGCAGAAAATCTGCCCCACACCCAGAGGGAAGGTAACCTAATAAATAAGGGCACTACACAGCCTCATGCTCATGCAGATGCATGGAAGTAACAGCAGCAGTAAGTAAGTAACTGATAGAGATATCTGCAAGTAGAGTACATTGGTAATTCCCAATCCCCATTTCCAGACATAGAAAATGGCCAACTGACATACATATACTACCCTCTCTCTCTCTCTCTCTCTCTCTCTCTCTCTCTCTCTCTACTGACTTCAATTCTTCTTCTGGTGTTCCATTAATTTTAGACATCAGATGAAGAAGAAGGAGAAGTGGGCCAAAGCTCAGCTCTCTTCACCTTGGAAATGCTCTGCACAACCACAAGTGGTGAAACATGGCCCATTACTGTCACCTTCTGTTCCTCTAGATCTATGCTGAATGATGTCACTCCTGCATCATAATATCCAATAAAGAATAATACATTATTATGATCAAGCTTAACCACCAAGATTAATCTAAATGATATCAGCTGCCAATGATAATTAGCTTCATAAAAGTACCTTCCATCTTGGAAACATGCCTCTTGACTTGTCCAGCACAACCTTGGCAATGAAGTGAAACTCTCATTACAACCACCTGCCATGCCATGTGTTTCCCATTAATCCCACTAACACGTTGCAAAACACATACATAAATTGATTAACGTTGAAATTTGATTGTCCTGCTAATTAAGTAATGTGCGATATACGATGATACGGTATACATACACGAAACGGATTAAAAACATCTATACATATCCTGTCACAAATATACTAACTACGAATGTAACGTTATCTTGTTCAACAGTCAAGCCAAATCACACTAGATCACGGAACATACAGTAGTTTCGTGATAGTGCAGATGAAAGATTCGCCTCATGTGATCAAACCATTAATGGGACAAAATGTTGAGTATATTCCCCTCTCCTCCCCATCACCAAATTATTCCCATCAGATTCAGAACCTTTCTTCTCAAAAAATTAAACAAACATAACAGCACCAAACCATTCAAATAAAATAAGCTACAGACAGACAATAACGTTAGCAGCAGGACTATAATAAGCATATAATGACCATCACTGAAACCTGGAAGGAGTGGCGGATGATTTTGCTACCATCTTCGTCGTCATCGACTACAATGTTGGGTTTCTTCAACAGCTTCAGGGGCTCCCCTGCCTCAACCTGCTTCTGCTGCTGCAACCTGGAGTACTTAATATTGGCGGCTGTGGAGGAGTTGACTATGTTGTACTTCTTGAGAAGCAGCCGGGGCCTGGTGGCGGCTGGAACAATGGCGGAAGTAAGAGGGAGATCGTTGGCGCCACAGACAAACAATGCAGCAGGGGATATGATTGTTTTAGCAGGAGCAGTATTCTGACACATGAAGCCCTTCATCATCTTGTTGTTGGCCTTCTTCATGGTCATCTTCTTCTTCTTGCTCACTATCGTGCTGCTGCTTATTGCTGTGGTTCTGTCGTTCATGGTGGTGAGGAGAGTGAATGAAGGTGAAATGGGTGAGAGCAGCAGAGTATCTAGTAGTAGTATGGAGGGTGGGTGTGCTGCTACGTTTAAATAATAGGGAGGAAAGGAAGCAAAAGGGCAAAAGAGAGAGTCATGACGAGGATATGTAATGTTATGTACCTGACAACTGACCAGACAAGAGACGTTGGAGACAATGTGATCTTGTGATGGACTGATTATGGAGGATCAATTTGCAGAGAGGAGGAAAGGAAATGAGGTTTTACAATATTAAACCCACCCACTAACACTACTTAATTATTAAACTCACTCAAATCCAAATTGGGTATTTTACAAATTAGATTTGGTAAAGTGCAACTATTGTTACCGAAATATATTGGATATTCGTTTGTGGATGTGGTTTGATAACGAAGGTTGTGTGTCTTGACTCGCCTGTTATTCCGATCGAGTTATTATTTACTATCATAAAAGTCAATATGGCGAAGAACAAACATTTAAGAAAGACATCATCTAAAAGTTCAAGTATGTCTTCTCATCTAAGTTAAAAAAGATGTCATTATTATCTGCATTGCCCTCAATATTTCCCTCCTTTTTATGGCTTTCTCCTTTCCTTTTCCCCCTGGTCTGTTGGTGATGGCAGAGGGTAGCTTGTTTGCTTGCTAGCAATAAGGTTTTGAGAGTTGTGATGATCAGTACATATAGAAGTAAAATGAGACAGACTGAGCAGAGGCAGTAGTAGACTAGTAGTCTTTAATCTCAATTCCTCAGTCTATCAGTCTAGTTCTGCAGATACATCCAGCAACCTTTCTGGTAAGATAATAAATAGATTTGGTGCTTTCGACCAAGAAAAACAGAATTGTGTTTGGTGTGGTCGTGATCAGCAGTGTGCTAGTTTATGGGTATCAATGTAGTTTGACTGGTAAAGATAATTTTACCATAATTTACCTTTCATTTCTTCCAAAAGGTCACTTTCTCTTCATAAATAATTATCAGAGATCAATTGATATTTGATATCGCTTTCTCACAATAACAAGAACAAGGACTCTGCAGCCTTCTTAAAGGTCGGGTCTATCTGTACACATTCCACCAGCCATGGCGCCCTTTTTCCTTCCCATTTATCATTCAGTAATGAGAACTGTTCAAAGGACCACCATATTTATATACTTATATGGTGGAGTGTACCTTTGATAAGCAATGGTTATAAGGATGTGTTTCTGGAAATTAATTGTGTGTATAGACAGATTCTCACTGGTCTGTCGCTAATGCTTCACTTGATTGCTATCGTCTGACAATGTCGTTGCTAATCACCTTGTTCGACAGAGTATACTTCTCTTTTCTAAGAATTTCTCGTATAGATAATCCTGATACAGATGTTAGTTACCAGTTATTGTATGACATATTGGAGATTGGTACCTTAATGTAAACATCACCTATCAAAACTGCAACCAGCCTGTTGCAGCAATTTAGAAACCAAAAAAAATGCAGAACCTGGAAATTCAGAAATATTATTGCTCATGCTTCACAGAACTCACGGTAAAAATTTTATCTTATGATTCAGGCAAAGAAAGATCTACAACAATGACTTGGGGTTCTGAATTACATTTAAGAAGGCTGTGGGCTAAGGCCTAAGGGGGTGCTTCCATGGCTGTTTTGTCAGCCTTGTTCACTAGCACCAGTTTCATCATTTTAAGGTCCTGCCCCCCTATGTAAAAAAATATTACAGCACTTCAAGCAGCTCCCAGCTCCAATCCAAATATATGGGATATAGACTAAACATGGACAATCGAAAAGAAAAAACTATATTCACAAATGTGTGAAACCAAACAAAAATGGAAAAAAGCCGACTTTCAGACACTAGACAGGCCTCCAAGGTAGAAGGATAAAGAGTATGCAATGGATTTTCATGGTTACCATCATTATCATCTGGGACCTGACAGTTCGTCTGGAGGAATATGTGACGTAGAATCCACGATCCAGTTGCTGTTGGGATGGTGGGTGTGGTTATAGTCTTGCCTGAACATCTCTTCTTTCTGCCACTCTTCCCATCTCTCAGCCAAGCCATCGCCTTCAAGCATTCGAACGACCTCTGACATTTTTGGACGTTCCATGGGAGAGCTCTGCGTGCATAGGAGAGCCACTTGGATCAACTGTTCTACCTCCTCGTCAATGTAGTTACCTTGTAGATCGCCATCCACTAATGTCTCCAACTTCTTGTCCTTGAGTAACCCTTTCACCTGACAAATACATATTCCAGAAATTACATTACCATAGGATTGAGAACCTAGCCAATGACTTATGGATACGGTACAAGAAGCAACCCCAGCTAAATAGGACGTGTAACCACAAACTGGTGCCAAAAGACATAGATGACAATGCTTGGATACCTACCCAATCAAGTAACATGACATCATCATCATTTGCAAGGCGAGCAAGATCAAAAGCTCTTTGTCCAGTGATGAGCTCAAGAAGCATGACACCGTATCCAAAAACGTCAGTCTTCTCAGATGATTTGCCAGTTGATAGGTACTCGGGGGCTATGTGCCCAATAGTGCCACGTACAGCAGTGGTGACATGAGTATCCTTGTAGTCCATGAGTTTAGCCAACCCAAAGTCTCCAACTACTGCTTCAAATTCCTCATCCAACAATATATTTGCAGCCTTCACATCTCGATGGATGATCTTAGGATCACAATGATCATGCAAATAAGCCAGCCCGCGAGCGGAACCTAGTGCAATTCGCCTCCTTATTGGCCAGTTGAGAGGAGACTGTGAATCCGCACGCTCTAATATAATGCACAAGTTGAATCAAAAGCAAACAACCATCAATAAGTCAAAGATTCAAGTCCCCCAAATTCTAGAACAACAGACTTCATAGTGAACTCAAATATTTTCAATGGGCTCATCAATTATTCCCCTCAAATGGAATAGATGAAATCATGTATGGGATTCTCATGTTTAAAAAAAAAATACGGCCAGGGTAAACATAGCCGTTGTCACACCCAAAGACAAAACCCTCAAGGTCAATATAAAAAACTCTGGAGTTAAGAGGGGAAGATGAGAGGCAATTGGTGCGGATAAGGCAAAACAGACAGTGTCAAACCAGTTTACCTCTCAAACATGATGCTACACTTCCATTAGCCATATACGGATACACAAGTAGTCTTTCAGTTGGTGTCATACAGAAGCCACGTAGTCGAAGCAAGTTGCGATGGACAGCCATGCTGATCATTTCTACTTCTGTCTGGAATTGAAGCTCGCCACCTTGTGTACGCTCCTCCTTCAATCTCTTCACAGCTACTAGAGTACCATCAGCCAGGCGTCCTTTATACACCTTGCCAAACCCACCCCTGCCCAAGATGTTTTTGTTGCTAAAATTATCTGATGCAACTTGCAGTTCACGCAAAGAGAACCTTTTAAGCTGTCCAAGATGGACTTCTGGATCTTCTTCAGCTGCAAAGAGAGAAGCAAGATAAAGTTGGAAGCCTCCCTACATACAGGAGTAATGAAAGAGGCTACAGCCTTATGGACAAGCACTAACCAGGTACATCAAAGAAAAGATCTTGTGGTTTTCTTCGCCGCCAATAAGCAAGGGCAATTGCAGGAGCAGCAAACAACAGAGCAGCACCTGCAGCAACTCCCCCAGCAATAGCTCCAGTAGCACTGTTTCCTGCTCATAATCGCCAAAGGCAATGGATTACCCAAAGTATAAAACATTTATCCTACAAGAATGTCTTCATTGAACGAAACAAATCAGGGATTCATACGACACACAAACTACTACCAGGTTGATAGGATGCAACACTCTTTCATATGCACGAGGTTAGCAGGCACACTGCTGGAACCCCAAAAATAGGTGTCTCATGTAATAGTCTTCGACTAAATGAATCAAGTTATCTAGTTGCATTCAACAGGCTACAGTAAGTTTGTTGGTGGGCTACCATGTTTTAAGGACCGCAAGATTTGCAGCAGCTGAAAGAGAAGACTATGCACATTCCAAGGTGAATGTTTGATTCTACTGATCACTTGGATTCCTCTTAACATCTTTTCGGTGTTGAGATGATTTAAGGTTAGAAGTAGGAATGGGACAGTAATATATTTATTCCTTAGTAGAATAATTGCATGTCTTTTCTGTATCAGCTAGATTCTCTTAATATCCACTTCACATAACAAGCGCAGATCTGGCAGCACGTCTTTGGAACAAATCTGGCTATAAAGTTTAATAAAAAAACAAAATAGTTAGGCCCATATCTCTTAATCTGTACAACTTCATTTGTCCTCCGTGGCTTTAATCTAAACAAACATTGACAGCCATAAATAAATTTGGCAAACAAATTAGCTTATAGGCATAAACTTTTTCTCGCCACTTAAAATAATCAAATGAGAAAAACTATCAGCATCCGTACAAAACATATATAACCAAATTCAAGCAACCAAAATACTCAATATCACAAAGTACCATTAGAAGCAGTGGGTGCTGATGGTGGAAGAGGAGGTGGTGGAGAAGCTGGAGGTACATTCAGTCGATTATTAGCAAAACTACAGAGAAAAGGAATAGTTAGAGAGCCATTTAGTAGGTCGATACGCTAAAAATATTAATGGCACCCAACAAAGCTAACCTTATAGGAGTAAATAGAGAGAAAGAACCATTAACAGGAATATCTCCTGTTAGTTGATTGTTTGAGAGATCCCTGCATTGCACATGAAAGTGCAGGTTATCATAATCTGAGATAGAACAGCCTGCAGGCAATCACAAAGGCATGGCAAACTTACAGGACTTGTAAGGACATGACTTTAGTTAGAGTCATAGGGATAGTTCCTGACAATGTATTGTTGTTGAGACGCCTGTTTCACAGAAAAAGAAGCATCATGGTTACACGTGCTTATGTTCTAGAGCAATGAGCAGACAGCTCATAGAGCACTGAAACATAGCTTGGAAGACCAAAATGATGACCAGATAAACCACCTTTGACCATCAGAACTAAATAACACCTAGTCATATCTGTTGCATTACTCAGTATCAATAGCAGGAAATAGACAGCAACAACTAACTGTTATTTCCCTCTCAAATTCCACACGGATAAATCAAGCATCCATTAGAGAATCATGAAAACTAGGATTGATCGCTTTATAATGAAGATGATATATGTTAAATAGAAGGTAGGGCATGTGCTTGTCAAGTATCCTTCATCTAACCAACAGAACAAACCTCTAGAAGGCACCCAAAAAATAAAAACTCATGTGAATGAAGATTGAAGAATATACAACAGGATTTTAAACAATGTGATCGAGAAGTAGTTGAAAGGATCGGTGCATACAGGAAACGGAGTTTTTCAAGCTTCCCCAGAGTCACTGGAATTGGACCAGTCAAGTTGTTCAAGTAAAGATCCAAGCTCACCAATGCCGTCAAATTTCCAAGCTCATCTGGGATCCTACCGCTTAAATTATTACTGTAAAGCTCCCTGCAACAAAGAATTATTTCCATACATCAAGCCAGAAGGGGCAGCATACTAAGTGAAAAAGAGCCACGTACATGTAAAAAGTGCGTCTTTGGGAAGAAGAAGAAGAAGAAGAAGAAAAGAAAAGCCACAGAGAAACGTAGTTGTCTACTTAAAAATAGGAGAATGATGTGAAATTTCCATTCAAAAAGGACAGAATATCCATTTTACAGAAAGCAACCTTCTAACAATATTTCATGCTCCAGATCCGCATTATTTCTGGTTATAGCCAAAAGAGACAGAAGGAAGAAAGGCAGCCTATTGATCTCTTATGAACCATTGCTGACAGGTATCTAATAGAAAAGCATCTTTCACAGTGAACCATATCTTCCTGGTTCAATTTCTAGCAAAGAAATGCAAATGCTTTCCAAAGAAGGTAACATACATTAGTTGGAGCACTTTAGGAACCTAGTTGATAAACTAACCAAGCAGAAACAAAATCAATCCAGTGTATAGTATTATCTTCTTCAAAACTCAACAATAAATCCCAAACAGCTATGAGCATGGACACAGAAAATTACTCACAAGTACTGCAAGTTTGGAAGCTGACCAAGCTGGGTAACCAGTTGACCTGATAGATTCGCGTTTCCAAGATCACTGAGACAACACAAATAGAAGCACATGAGAGCCGGGACCATGAGAGATCTGCAATTAAAGGAACACATAACTGAATGTGGGCAACTATTAATAACTACACTTACACTCGTGTCACACTATTCTCGCTGTTACAGGTGACATGAAACCAAGTACAAGGATTGACAAGGGTAGGATCCCAACTTTGCAGAACGTTATTTGGATCAGCCAAATTTGTCTTCAATGCATTCAAGGCATCACCTGTATTACACATAAAACACGGTATCAGCAGACCAAAAACCCCTTATCCACATAAATCAATAACTACTAGACTAGAAGAGTTTAGGTTCAATCTTCAACAATCCCAAACAGCAATAGCCAAAAAGAGGAATACTTCCCAACAAAAGGTAGCAACTTTTTCCATTCTACCATCCAATTTTAGTAACAGTTCCCCCATCATTCAGCAGTTTAATGCTACGAAATTGTTTGCCACTATTAACTACGATTCAATTCGAGTCAACCAGTCAACTCCGGCGAACTTAATTGGAAACCTGAACTAGACGAAGGGAGAATCAGCAGATAAGGAAACCAAACAAATGAATCGAATCTGACCTTCAGCGTTGGAGGCAACTCTGTAAGCGAAGTGGAGGAGCAAAATTAACCAATAAAACCCGGAGTGCCAGATCGCCCCAACCGGCCACTCCATTATTGCCGCGTTTCCTTCCTTTGTCCCTCCGAGTTACAAGAGCTCCAATTTGATCATACTTTCTCCAAGGCGCGGAAGGGGAGAACTTTACTTCCTCGCCGAAGATTCAGCCAGAGATGAGAGAAGCCCAGAAAACGAGAGAAAAGGGAACGATCAAAGTTGAAGTTGAAACATCTACCTCCTCCACGTTGACCCAGTACCCCAAACAAGACTTCGACGACTTTATTAATGAGCAACTAGCTAGGAAAAAGAACCCAAGCCAAAGCAAAAAATCTTCCGAGAGGGCAAGCAAGCAACCAGCCACTGGGATTGCTCGAGAGTCGAAATTAAATCCCTCTTCCTGTGAATGTTTGGGCGATGGGAAGATAGAGGTCGGGAGAGGAAATGGAAAAAAGGAAATGGTTTTGGCTATGAGCTTGAGATTTTGACAATGGTTAGTGGGAGATGAAAATTATTATTAATTTAGTATTAAATAGGATTAAAAAATATTATCGTATTGGTGGTTGATCATAGAAAAATTTACTGGAAAACGAAATCGGGAAGTGATATATAGCTGTATGAAACGTTTTAATCAAAATTAAATCATGATTTTAATATAAAGTATCTTATTGCTAACTTTTACAATAACACCTCCTCTACGTCTACGATTTTCAATCCTTACTATAGAAATAGTTGTACACTTGTACAAAAAAAATAACTTTTTGGGCATTTTGACTAAGATCAAGTATAGTATATGGGGTTATCAGTTGTAAAAGTAGTTATAATATGGGAATAGTGAAGACAAGATAAAGAAATGTATTGGTGAAAGGAATGAGTTTGTTGAGTGTTTAGCCAATTTCCTTTTTTTTTTTTTTTGCTTTGTTTAATTATGGTGGTCAAAGGAAGCAAGCTAGCAATCACATTCCCATAGTTCCCCATCTCAGAAGAATATTCCTTCTAACACATATATGTAAATGATAATCCACAAACCCTATTTTATTGGTGATAGTTAAATCGATGTATTGTAATCAATGCATGAATAATAATATACATGTATATTTAAAAAATTGGTGTATTGCAGTTTACATTGTTTGGTTTCTCTGATAGTTATTGTAGTATTTAAATAAATTATATCACTTTTTGGGTGAAATGTCACTTTTACCCTTTGTTTTTAATATAAAAAAGCAACACACATGAAAAGGTAGGGACATATTTGGAAGAAGAAGAAAACACAACAATCTCCATCAAACAATCTCAACGAAAACTTGAGATTTAACTATCACTCATTTTGAGTGATAGTTTGTATCAAATCAAGCAAACAATGCATGTATTGTTTGCACAGAAAATTCAAAAACACGATGCATTGTGGACATTGCATGAATTGTAACTATCCCAACCAAATTATCACCAAAACCAAACGATCTCTAAAAGTTTGATGTTAGAAAAGATATATAGAAGGATTTCATGGTTACGTTGATATTAAACTATGATTTTCTCTATTTAAATTTCTAAATAGTTTTCTTTCTTACATATGTATCTCAGGTTTTTTATTTTTTCTTATCGATTTTCTTTTATCAGTTCGTAGTTGATACTAGAGTTGTTCAAAAATAGTGAAAATGTATCTTCCTAAATTTATCAAGAACAAAAAATTCATCTTAAGTGAAATAATTCAGTGGTGGACTCCCCTGTTGTGTTTTTTTATGACTAAGGAACATGGTTAAAAAAGACACACTTAAACTTACACTTATGCACGTATAGGCGCTAGGTCATGCCAAAACACCTCGTCTAGGAGTTATACAGTGAATTAGGTATCGAGAACTTGGAGACGGAGTAAGGTGATACCTAGTTGTCGCCTAGCGGTCTAGGCATAATTAAATTGAGCTAGGAAATCAAAATCAAAGATAAATTTTAACATTATCTAAGAAAATCAATATTCTATCTCAGATTTTTCAATAGCTCAATAACCATGAACTATTGAGATATGATTCTCTATGAACTTGTGGGCGTATTGTTGTAAATTATTATTTCATTCATCATATAGTACAAATTATTATTTTGCTTTCAATGCCTTGACAAAGTCTAAACGCCCGCATTTTTTTAACCTTACTAAGGAATATTAAATTTGTATTGCTATCTCGTAATCCTAATGTAAGTTTAGGTTTTGGAAAATAATACTCTCATAGTCAATTGTATCAACTGCACAGTAAAATATTGATTTGAACTATCCAATTCTAAACCATAAAAGCTGAGAAACAATTTCCTTTTGATTAGGAACTTTCAAACGTTAGACGTGTGAGTAGTGACCCTTTTCCTTATACAAAACAGAAATTGAAGGGTTGGACATTGACTTTGTTACCTTATTGATCAAGGGGGGTTAATTATCAACATAGTCACTCAATTCTCCTATACTGAATACTGATACATTTAGCATTGAATTCACATATGAAATAACTAAATCCCTAAACTTTCCTTGTACATCTAACTCCCCAACATGACGTCTTAATTGGTATTTAATTCGCACCTTATCGACCACATAGAATAGTTGGGATGACCGACTAGTATGTTTGTTCATTCATTACTTGCCTAGATTTGCAATTGGTTGCTAAACTCATCATAGTCTTTGGTAAATAAAAGAAGAAGAGTAAATGTATCCAACAAGATGGTTACCAGATAATGATTTTGACCTATATAATGAGCTCATATTCCAAATTTCCAACTAGAGCTAGCTATGCCCGCCTATGCCTAAATGCTAAATAGAGAAGTTCCTTGACAACAATATGTCAGCTATATTCTATCACATCTACTCACACCAGGCATGCATTCATACATACCACTCTTTCTAGCTCTTCTTCTGCCGCTTCTTTCTTTGTCCTTCTTCTGTCGAATTTCCCAGCTGCAGCAATGGCCATTTGTTGCCAGAAACAGTTGCACCAGCATACCTTGGCGTCTGTATAATAAGACCAGTTGCTATCAAGCAACTTCTTTTGCGTCCAACTCGAGTCTCCAGTTCTTGGAGATGGTCGCTGATCTTATGGTTCAAGAAACTCGGATCCAACCCTAATCCGGACACTTGTTGTGAAATAGCTTTTAAGGAGTCAAGATGCTTGTTCAGGGCCTGGAACTGCAGAACGGAAAGAGTTTTACGAAGTTTCTGATTTCGGGTCTTTGCAGGGAGAATATTATTTTACAAGGAAAGAATGAAAGAGATGTGTTTAGTTACCTGCGACTCAAGTAAGTCATTCCCATCTTCAAAGATCCTTGTCTTCTCCAAGTGGCTCAAGAGGAACTGGTTTGGTGGGAAGTTTTCAGCTAGCTTGAATACCAAAATGAATCTAATGGCCTCCATATGCATGTCCTTCTCACTCAGTCTCTGGACAAGTCCTAAAAGGAAGGGGGGAAATTGACAGTGAGAACTCAAATTAGGCAAATCTTGTGAGATGGTGGCAAAATAACACAGCTTTTGGCAAAAACTAAAAAATGGGGTATCTGCCACATGAACAAAGGTGCAAGGTGGGTCTTTTCTTTGAGCAGTAACTAAGTGGAGAAGAAAGGAAAAAGAAACATGAGGAGAAAGAGTTTAATTTTCTGTGAAAGCATATCAGGGATCCATTGTCCATATACAGTAAGATGAGCAACATAAATTGAATGGTTCTACTGTGAAGAAAAATAAAAGCATGAAAACAATACCAGGTATCCACTTTGAAAGCCCAAGGGAACGGCATAACTCAGGAGCCCTTTCATGGTGAGCAACCATCTCGACAAATTTCAACGTATCTTCTCCTTCAAAACGAGAGCCAACTCCAAATGCAGCCAAAAACAAGAGGAATGCCAAAACATCCACTGTACCATGAGCCGCCTGTCTTAAATTACCCATCCAAGCAATAGCCAGACTGGTTGCTGCTTCTTCAACCTCAGGACTTACCTTTGGTGAGACTCCCATCAGCTGCTCCAGCATAACAATGTGGTTCCTTACTACAGTTTGGTTGTAATTCTTGGTATTAGTTTGGAAAATTGACTCTTTCATCTGGTCGATGATCATCCTTGCTGGGTCTGATGACTGCCGAATTGCAGTAGAGACCTCACTATCGGTCAAATAAGACGGTGATGGCCCATCTAGGGGGGAATCTGGATTTCTTTCACATGGAAGGGCTCCTTCAGATGAAAAGTAAACATCACGAATGTGTGTCAGAAAGCTTGAATATGGAGAATAGATACTTGCATATTTGAGAACCAAGAGAAACTAAATATTCACTTTCACATCAAAGAAAGATAATAATCTAGGATATGCATGAATAGGATACATCCAAAGAGTAGAGCTTACCATCTGTAGTTCCAGCTTGCTTTTTGTTTCTCTGCTCATCTAAAGACTTCTGCAAAGAATCCAATTCTTCCCTTTTCATACGAACCTTCTCTCTGAGCCAATCCACTGTACTTTGTATGGAACCTAATGGCTTCTGTTTAGTCTCAAGCTCCTGTGCACATTCTTCCAAATTATGTTGAGTGGAACACGTTACTTTCTCCTTAACCTGAAGCTTACCAACTACCACACCCAGCTGCTTCTCTTCCAATTCGCACTCAGCATTGCATACTGTGATAGAGTTCCTTGCCTCAGCTAATTCTCTCTCTTTTTGCTGGAGCTCAGAACTAGAATTCGAGAGCAAATTCGTCTTTCTCTTCATTTTATTCTGCAGTAATTCAAGCTCATTTGACTTTTCTGTCATATAATTCTGCAAGCAACCTAATAGCCTCTCTTTACCCACAAGTTCCTCTCTACATTCTTCAAGCCTCTGTTGCACAGAACCCATGTCCCTCTCCTTATCTTGAATCACTCTATCCACCATACACAACTGCTCTTCTCTCAGTTCACATTCAACAGTATACTGGCCAATCAAGTTCCTTGCCTTAATCAACTGTTTTTCTTCCCCCTGGAGCTCAGAAATAGTGCTCGGAGGTGAGATTGCCAACGTCTCAATTTCATTATGCCTCATCTCGAGCTCTTGCGACTGCTCCTCAAAAGCCATTGGCTTCCTCTCATCTTGGAGCTTCTCTCCACAATGTTCCACGACTTGCAGTTTCCCTACAACCACACCCAGCTGATTCTCCTTGAATTGGCGCTCAGCACTGCATTCTGCAATGAAGTTTCTCACTGAAGCCAACTCTCTCTCTTTTACTTGAAGTAAATTCATTGCTTCATCTGTTTCCTTCTTTCTTAACTCAAGCTCCTTTGATTGTTCCTCAAGAGACTTCAGCAGTGAACACAATTGCTCCTCTTTCCTACAAACTTCCTCCCTTAACTCATCCAATTTCCTTTCCAAGGAACCCAATACATTCTGTTTACCCTCAACTTCCAGAACATATTCTGCCAACTTCTGTTCAGCCAACCTCACGTCCCCCTCCTTACCCTGAAGCTCCCTAATCACCATAGTCAGCTGCTTTTCTTTCGATTCATGTTCAGCATTAGACTCCACAATCAAGTTCCTCACGTTAAGCAACTGTTGCTCTTTTTCCTGGAGTTCCGAACTAGAACTCAGAAACAACTTCCCCACTCTCCGTATAACATTCCGACTTAACTCGAGCTCCTTCGATTGTTGATTGAAAGATTTCTGCAATGAACACAAATCCCTCTCTTTCCCACAAACTTCCTCCCTCAGCCCATCCAACTTCCTTCCTACCTCGCCTAGTAGATTTTGTTTACCCTTGAGTTCCTCTTCACATTGTATCAACCTATTTATCGCAAACCCCATATCCCTCTCCACCGTTCTCAACTGCTTTTCTTTCAGTTCATATTCTGAATTACACAGGACAATCAAGTTCCTTACCTCAGCCAACTCTTCCCTTTCCGCCTGAAGCTTCTGGGACTCTTCCTCAACAGATTTCAGGACTGAATCCCTTTCCCTTTCTCTGTCACGAATTTCCCAGCCTATCTCATTCAACGCCCTCTGTCGAAGCCCTAGCTCCTTCTCTTTCCCCTGAAGCTCCCAGCCACGCTCCCGAATCTGGTCTTTCAACAAACCCAGTTCCCGTTCCTTCTTTACAACCTCACCCAGGAACCCTAGAGCGGTTCCCATCTTAACCTCGGCCTCATTTTCTCGCATCTCAATCCTTCTCCTAGCTTCCTCCATCTCGGTACCTTGCGAGGCAAGTTCTCGCGCCTGCTGAAGTAAACTCTCTCTTATCGACCCGTACTGCAGGTCTAGATCCTTCCGTTGAAGGGTCATCGAAATGATTGAGGAAGATATTGACTGAACCTCGTCGATCAAGCTGAGGAACTTCCCTTGATTCGCCTCGGCCAGCTTTAAATCATCCATCACCTTCTCCATTTTTTCAGAAATGCATATGATCTGACCCAGTTCAGAAATCTCTCAACAACAAAAAAATTGCTGAAAGAGAAAATGAACCTTAAACCGTTCAGAGATAGAGGAAAGATATCCCTATAAGCAAGGGAGTACCCGTTTGGCTGTGAGAGATGAAAGAAAAGCTGCAAGAAGAGTAGGAAGGAGAATGCCTAAAACTGCCTACTTCCGTTCTTTTTTTGGGGTTTTTCACTGCCGGATTTGGGTTTTCATGGCAGTCCAGTTTGGAGCATCGGGAGATGTATTAATGGCGTGAGGTGAAAGCATGACGAGGGTGGGAGGGTGGGAGCCTGGGAGGAAGGATGATCTTTTCTGTGAAGCAACAAATTAGCAGACCTGCCACTGAGCACTGAGCAGCTGGGAATAACAAGTACTAAGTAAAGTTTTCCTTTTTCTTAAAAAAAAAAAGTTGAGTTTTCCTCTCCTGCAAATAGGGGTGGGCACCTGAGTGGTTAATCCGCGGAATGATATCTACTCACCCGTAAATAACCGACCGGCATGTAATGGGTGATTGATGTGGGTGGATTGCGGATTGTTAAATCTCTCACCCGCACTTATGTGGGTGGATGATGGGTGGATTGCGTACGGGGTCTTCTCACCAGCCAGCCGTCCTGCAAAGGAATCAAATTAAAACATTGAGACATACCCCGAGAATGCATCTCAAGATCACTGCGAGACTGAATAATCTGAGGAGAATATTCACCACCAACAAAAGAACGCTTTATGTTGGCCCGCATCCTATTTTTACATGGAAAAATGTTGTTTTTATAGTATCGAATATTCATCATATTTTCTAACTGTAGTAACTGCACTACAGTTTGACCATATATTGCAAAAGGTGGAGAATAAAGATTAGTTTTGACTACTATTATTGGTTATTGTGTTGTGCAATATCCATTGACAATGGATATTGGTATGCAAATTATTGTTAATATCCATTAAATATTGGAATACAAATTATAAATGTTAGTCAATTTTCTTAATGACTAGTTGGAGAATTGCTTTTGTGGTGTTAACCCGCGACCTAACCGCACTCATCCGCCACCCACCCAACCCAACCCGCATATGTATGTGGGTAGATTGCGGGTCACATATATTCCAATCCACTTTTTTTTTTTCCCTTTCTGGACACATTTTTTGCCTTTTTGGCAATTGTACTATTATTGTGATGGGCCTTTGTAAGATGGGCTTGCTCCTTTCCTTACAAAAGAAAAAAGTCCACACCTATATATAACCATCTCTTATGGGCTTTTGGCATATTTCAAACTTATGAAACCCAACTCTACCACTACTTAGTATGGGCTTTTCTCATTGCATAACTTTACCAATTGTTATGAGAACCCAGACATAACTTCTCTCGGGCCATCGAGCTTAACTATTTAAACCAATTTCATAAAAGCCAAAATTATTCTAGAGGAATTCTTTGGCTGATTTGCTATGCAAAATAACTCATATCTGTCCAATCGAATTCAAATCGATTTTGTCGGGAAAAATTGAACAGATATTATCTTATTGTTTTTGGGTGGATTTTCATCAAATTTGATAAAAAGGGTAATGAGTTTGGTGCAATTTTAGTATTTTAAGAATCTGCACGACCCCCCTCCAATATGTATTGTAACTATATTCTAGACTCATTCACTTAACACTTCATTCATCCATATCCCTAAAACATTATAATTATCTCTTAAATCTCAAATCTTGATAATTTTCTCTCATTTTTTGCAAACAATGTGACAAAGAAACTTCATTTTACATTGTCATTCTAAAAAACAAATTAGATTATATAAAAATAAATTATACATGATTGTTCGAGGATGGTTTTCCCTGAACGAGCTAGTTGATTTTGGTATGACATATTACATCCTAACATAGTTTTGGTTACAATAATGATTACGACTTAAATTCGTGGTTGGCGATGGTACATAGGAAAATTCATCCTAAACAATAGGGTCAATCATAAACACTTGACATGTTTGTGTACAAAAATAAATACACGACAAGTATGAGAACATATATGTTGTCTGAAATGATGATTGTTTTATGCTTTGTCTCTGGTAGAGGATTGATACAAATATACTACATCCAATCTGTACAAATCTTCTTCTTTGTAAGTTTGTCCTTCAAAATCTCCATCGACAATGGTGCTAGACTGCTAGTAACATGGAGGGGTTCGAAGGATCGGAACTCATTTCTACAAAATTTCCTGGAGTTTCAAGACAAAGTGAAAATGATGTTGTTAATTATGACAGTCCACACTTAAAGGTTGATCTAGTTGTCAGATCGATAACATGATGTCATTTGAAATTTGATGCATAGAATGTTGTATAATAGATGATTATATAGAGAAAACACAATAAAACTCTAATGATGAATTATTTTGAAGTCACATTATTTATCGTCGATTAGAAATGAATGCGGTTTTAAATCTTATTTTTTTTCAAGTTGGATTAGAGTTAGACCCTCCATAGATGGTGCTATGTACACATACATTATCAATCCCTCTCTGAAATATTGATTTTCTTAAATATAAAGAGACTAGTCTCCCCTACCCGTGAATAACACACCGTATAAATGAATTATGTAAATCTACTTATTTCTTTTTACATTCTAATTCTAATATGTAACTCAAGTTTTTTTTTTAAAAGATAAATGACGAATTCAATTAAAACAAAACAGACGAAATATGTAACTCAAGTTTTGGGTCCTAATGATTGATGAGAAAGCTTTAATTTGATATAATTTGTGATACTTGTATTATCCTATTAGGAAAAAAAGGATAACATAAATAATACATAATATATAACAAAAAGTTGAAGAAAACAATCTCCCATCTCTCACAAGACCAACCAGACTTTTTATGGCAAGTTGCAAATAAAAGATTCCTTCCTATCTTCCCACTTCCCTTGTCTAAAAAAAAAAACATCCCCCGTGTATCATACTTGATCACATCTCTTTTCTATCTCTCTTCCGACCGTCCATTTTCGTTTTTTCCCCCCTTAGCTTGTCTACCATTCTAATCTAATTGCTGTGTCTAATATAATCCTCTCACTTTTACGTTCCATTATCACCTTAGAAGACATACACACACAACTTGTCCGACAACATTCGTTCATCTATAACCTCATGAGTCATGAGTTGATAAGGTAAATCTTCCAAACAGCAATGGAGAGAGCACTTGTACCTTTTAACTTGTTTTCTTTCTCGTAAATATAATCTGTTCACCCTTATAAAAAAAAATTTCAAAAAACAATCAACGAGATATTTAGATTTGCAATCAATTTATAAATCACACCGTTAAATATTCTTTTTTCATTTTTTTTTAAATCGTCGAAACTCGAACGATAGTTGACTTAATTCACTTTCTTCATATCACAAGGGCAAAAAAGCAAGATAAGTTTTATTCTCATTGCTTTCCTTTGAATATAAACCTGGACACATAATCATGATATTAACATCTCCCCCTAAAGGAACATTTTCGTGACTCAACCAATCGGAGAGAAAAAAAAGTGTGTAATAATTTGCTTTCGTGTTTTTTTTTTTCCTTTCATGTGGATTGTCCAAAAAGCGTGAGTACTATAATACTCGACGCAAGAAATATTATTTTAGCAAATAATAAATTATTAAGACTAATAAGTTTGTCCCAATTATCCGTCTTCACGGGTTGCTACGAAACAACACCTCGCAGAATCCCTCTCTCTCTCTCTCTGTATTCCAAATTTTCTCTTTTATGCTATAAAACACCAAACCGGATGTCCTCCGATCCATCCATCGCTCGATATCTCCTCCATCCCCCATTTTTTTTTTGTCTTCCCCCCTTCCAATGGCGGCCTCTGCTCTCTTTCGAAGACGAAACAGAGCATCCCTACTCTGCTTTCTCCTCGCGCTCTTGGCCCACGGGCCGGCACTGGGCTCGGCCCAGACGCCGGTGTACGCCTGCGACGTGGCCGGGAACCCGGCCCTGGCGGGATTCGGGTTCTGCAACGGGTCCCTCCCGTGGGCGGACCGGGTGAGCGACCTGGTTGGGCGGCTGACGCTGCAGGAGAAGATCACGTTCCTGGTGAACAGCGCCGGCAGCGTGGCGAGGCTGGGGATTCCGAGGTACGAGTGGTGGTCGGAGGCGCTGCACGGCGTGTCCGACGTGGGGCCGGGGACACGATTCTCGAGCAATGTGGTCCCCGGGGCTACCAGCTTCCCGCAGGTCATCCTCACCGCCGCCTCTTTCAACACCACTCTCTTTCAGGCCATTGGCAAGGTAAACACACACAGCTTTAAAAGCTTTCTATTCTTTTTCTTTTTTTTGGATTCTTGTTTGATTAATACGGCCGGGTATCTTGTCGTATCGAATCATCCGGTTGGTTTTGTTAATTATTATGATTAGTGGTTAATCAATCAATCAAACGGTTGCTTAATTAATTAGTTAAGGTCGTAGCTGTCAATGATTATTGTTTGGTGCACAATGTAGGACTAGAATTGGGGTGGAGTGGTGTACAACAAATGAATAGGGGTGATGTTTGTTTCTTGCAAATAGTAAATTGTGCATGTAACACAAATAGACAATAAAAATAAAAATAAAAAGTTTTTAGAGAGGGTTGTTTTCAACGGCAGGTCCACAAATTTATGAATTTCATATCATTAATTTTGAACCGCGATTTCGTTCTTTTGTCGTTTATATATTTTTTTTTCACGACCAAAATTCATTCATTCAGTTTATATAAACATCGAATGAAGAATTTTTTTTAAATATAGATAAAAAATACGACATCAACGTTAATTCATTGAGATTTCGATTTCTTCCTCCGTGGCACTATAGGTTTAATAATATATAAGCTTTTGGTTCTTTCTTCTGGGGATTATATTATGTGTGTGGATGATTATGATGTGGACTATATTGAGAGAAAGCAATCATGCAATTAGTTGGGGTTGGTGTCGGTTAAGTTAAATAATGAATTCTTTCTTTCTTCTTCTTATTTGTCCAAAGAGTAGGACGAAAGTAATTTCCATGACTCCAATGGGATACGGCAATGACTTTTGCTGTGATTGAAAACAAACGTACCTACGCAGCATGCTTGCTTCCTAAGAATAATCAACTCAGAAACTGATGATCCATCAGACTTTGATTTCCCCTTTTTTCTTTTTTCTCCTTACGAAATAATTCCTTGTACGTACATTTGATAAATGGGAATGTCACGGGTTGTGCTTTGGGGACCAGCTGTGGCTAATATAGGATGATATTTCTAAAATGGAATTGGGAGAGTAGTATGTGTTTCTTCGGTATGTGTCACTCAAAATGAAAAAAAAAAAAACTTTAGATGGGTCGGGTCAGTTACAATAATTTAGTATTTCGAAACTAACCGATCTCAATAATTTGATTTGTCGAGAGTATGAATACGATCTGCATTTCGTTATATTTCTAGACGTAACTTGGAGAATATGTGTTGCATCATCCATAGGTACCAACTGCTAAGGTACTAAAAATAGGGGGAGGTTGAGGGTGGGGAGTTCAAATATTATTATCATTATTGGCATGACAATCAATGATAATTGTAGGGGAGAAGGATAGGATAAATGAAAAGTTTTAAATTGATTCATATATGTTGTTGATTAAATTGATTATCAATATTGAAAAAGTATTAAGAATTCGAACAAGAAGCTTCATGATCGAAGGTGCTAATATTTGATATTTCAAAACCAACTGATCTAGACAATCTGATTTGTCGAGAGTACGGATTCGATACGTATATCTTTATGGTTTTTAGATGTTACTTGGAGAGTATGTGTTGCTTCATGAATGGTAGGTACTACTAACTACAAATGTACTAGAAATAGGGGAGGTTGAGGTGGTGGAGTTCAAATATTATTTATCATTATTGGCATTGAAAATGACAATGAATAATAGTGGAAGATAGGGAGGGGGTGGATGGATAGGATCAAAGTATCAAGATCATCATGATTTGATTTTCCACTAGTCGATGGAAAAGTGGGTGGCGGTTCAAATTCTTTCTCAGATCTCCTGCATTGCCTTTTCCCCCCCAGCCCTTTTCAGAGAGACAGAGAGATGGGTTTTACAGCTTGCAAATCACAAGAGTCTCTGACTTCTGTGTTGAGAGTATCGAGCATAGACAGACAGACACCAACTAACTAACCAACTTGACTATATTGATCATGATTTTGGTGGTGGGATTTGATATTTTGATCCATCCACTTCAGAAAATATTGAATCTGAGGGTGACTTTTGATCTTCTCCCCCCCATTTCTGCAATGAATTCAAGTACACGCAAAAGGCCACACCATTTGGTAAAAAGCTACCATCACTAGTTAGCTCTGCATGCAATTCCATGGTTGAAAGCACAACCATCTATTTTACTCGATCGATGGATTGACGCAACATTGGTTCTTGTAAAAAGACACGAACATGATGAAGACAAAATTTGTTATTTTTTGATCGGCGGGGAAATTGGAAATGCAGGTGGTATCGACGGAAGCGAGAGCGATGCACAATGTCGGATTAGCAGGATTAACGTATTGGTCCCCCAACATAAACATCGTACGAGACCCGAGATGGGGGAGAACCCAAGAGACTCCCGGCGAAGACCCGCTCCTCACCAGCAAGTACGCCACCGCCTACGTCCGCGGCCTCCAGGACCGCGACGACGGCGACAAGGACCGCCTCAAAGTCGCCGCCTGCTGCAAGCACTACACCGCCTACGACCTCGACAACTGGAAAGGCGTCGATCGATACCACTTCAACGCCGTCGTGAGTTCAGACATCACACACATATGTCGAAAACAGAAACAACCCATCTTTGGAAATTTCCCCCAATTAAACGATGACGTTGTTTGATTGAATTATTATTATTAGGTGACGAAACAGGACATGGACGACACGTTCCAGCCGCCGTTCAAGAGCTGCGTAATCGACGGCAACGTCGCTAGCGTCATGTGCTCGTACAATCAGGTCAACGGCACTCCCACCTGCGCCGACCCTAACCTCCTCGCCGGAGTAATCCGTGGCGAGTGGAAGCTCAATGGGTTCGTTTCTGGCCGGCTTCTGCCGTCATAAATCAATTGGTCCAATAATTCGTACTTAACCCACTTCGTTACAACTTACATGTATGCAGCTACATTGTTTCGGATTGTGACTCGTTGGATGTGTACTTCAAATCCCAAAAATATACCAAAACGCCCGAAGAGGCGGCAGCCAAGGCCATACTGGCGGGGCTGGATCTGAACTGCGGCTCGTTTCTCGGAGACCATACGGAGGCCGCCGTGAAAGCAGGGCTGGTGGACGAATCGGCAATCAACAAGGCGATTTCCAACAACTTCGCCACGTTGATGCGGCTGGGATTCTTCGACGGCGACCCGAGGAGCCAGCTCTACGGCAAGCTGGGACCGAAAGACGTGTGCACGCCGGAGAATCAAGAGCTCGCCAGGGAAGCGGCGAGGCAGGGGATCGTCCTGCTGAAGAACAATGCAGGGGCGCTTCCCCTGTCTCCCACCGCCATAAAAAACCTGGCCGTCATCGGGCCCAACGCCAATGTCACCAAAACCATGATCGGCAATTACGCAGGTAAAATCGTATTAGTCAAAATCAAGCTTTAAACTAAGACTAATTAGAATAAAATTGAACTAATTTTTTTCTTCTTTTCTTTCGTGTGTGCAGGGACGCCGTGCAAATACACGACGCCGCTGCAGGGGCTATCGGCGGTGGTGGGGACGACGTACGTGGCGGGGTGCCAGAACGTGGGGTGCGGGACGGCTGACGTGGACGGGGCCACGAAGGCGGCAGCGGGTGCTGACGCGACTGTACTTATAATGGGCACGGATTTGTCGATCGAGGCGGAGAGCCTGGACCGGACGGAGCTGACGCTGCCAGGGCAGCAGCAGCAACTGGTGGCGCAAGTGGCGAGCGCCTCCAAGGGACCCGTGATTCTGGTCATCATGTCCGGCGGAGGAATCGATGTCGGGTTCGCCAAGGATAGTGACAAGATCGCGAGTATTGTTTGGGTCGGGCTGCCCGGCGAGGCCGGCGGTGGTGCCATTGCTGACGTCATCTTCGGGGCCCACAATCCTGGTAAGTTGGCTAATCCGCTCTGCGTTCGGATTTCTTTTTAGAAACTAGTAATTTTTATAAGCTAATAATAACTGGTATTTAGTAGGAATCACAACGAAATAGTATGGACGGATATATCAATATCTTAGTTTATCTCGAACAAAAACACAATATGTGTCAAGTTAATATAGGTGGCCGTGTACAAGTCAAGTAGATTGGCTCATTCTCCGTCTTCTCGTTAAATTAAAACACATGTAATTTACCGATAAAAAGTGAAAAAGTATATCTGACTAACGAAACTAAATGAATTACTCGAAGGAAGTTCGCACTGAATTGTGGATGCCTCGTACTGAGGAGCCAAAATAGCAACTTGAATTAGGGCTATATAAGGTTGAGATATAGCGGAGTTGCTAAGAGGGCAAATGTGAGGAGATAGAATTCATAATATTGTAGTATGCAATAAAATTTGAACCAAGACACCTTGTTCGATTCACTACTTGTGAAGCCGAAGTTAATCGCATAATAAACATTTGATACAGATCGAGTCACACTATTCGGATCAAAATTATTTAAATACTTTAATCTCGGTATACAAAATGTTTTTCTCATTTTTATTTTTGGTATTTTCTGTCCGTATATATGTAGGTTGAATCATAGCATATTCCATAATTTTTCTAACCAAACTCAAAATTTTGTTTTGACCTAATAAAAAAAAAATACAGGGGGACGGCTGCCGATGAGTTGGTACCCACAATCCTACGCCGACAAGATCCCGATGACCAACATGAACATGAGGCCCGACAACGCCACCGGCTACCCCGGTCGTACCTACCGCTTCTACACCGGCGAAACCGTCTACACATTCGGCGACGGCCTCAGCTACTCCAAAGTCTCCCACGAGCTCATCCAATCCCCTGCAAAATCCCTCTCCATCCCGCTCCACGCCGACCACTACTGCCGCTCGTCGGAGTGCCGGTCGGTCGACGCTGCGGATGCAGGGGAGATCTGCGGGAGCAGCGGGATGATGGATCTCCACCTGAAGGTGCAAAACGACGGCGAGGGGATGAAGGGCAGCCACACGGTGTTCCTGTTCACCACCCCGCCGGCGGTCCACGGGTCGCCGAGGAAGCAGCTGGTCGGGTTCGAGAAGGTGTGGCTGGAGGCCGGCGGGGAGGCGGTGGTGAAGTTTACGGTGGACGTGTGTAAGGATTTGAGCGTGGTGGATGAATTGGGGAACAGGAAGATTGCGCTGGGGGAACATGTGCTGCATGTCGGAGATTTGAAGCATTCCTTCACCATTGGGGTTTGATTTGGTGATGAATTGATTAAGCAATGTAGTCAATCATTTCTTGCTCTGTTCTTTCTCTGTTCTTTATTTGGGTTTCTGGCTGGCATCCCGTCGTTTCTCCAATGATGGAGAGTTGATGCGGAAGTGATCGATTGATCAGGGGGGGAAGCAAGACATTTGATTCTGGATTCATATTCATTCACGCAAGTGTTCAAAAAAGGAAGATTGCAATACGAAATGATGGAAGGCTGCTTTCTTTCTAATAGCCATACTCTCTTTCTTTTTTGGTTGAAGTAATGAAGTATGGTTGTGAATAAACAGGAATAAGGAAACGGTACAAGAGATCGAATTGGTGAAAGAAGTATCATTATCTAATTTACCAAAAAATTGATGTGTCGAACTAAGTACTTTTATTATAGAGATCAGTTTGTATACTATGTATGAACTCTATAATTTTTAGTGCATAGAACTTAAGAGGTTTGAGGTAATAATACAGAACAATTTCACAAAACACTGACTGGAGGTGTAATTTTATGGACCATATCACTTGCTAGATCGTCGGAACGGTTCAAACTGGTTTGAAAATGTTGCTAGTATCTTTCTCACATACCATCTACAAGAGCGGAGGTGAATGAACTAAAACTAACTGAGAAACATTACTTTATCTTATTGGCATGTCATTTAATGTTGATTTGAATCCGAGTTTTCTCATAGATCGAGCTCAAACTCGTTATGATTGTTTGCAATACCACTAATTATTTATCGACTCCATTCACGAATAGGTTTATCTACTAACACGTCAAGGTTGAGTTACACCTCGTACATCTCAACGGATTCACAAACTAACACGATAAAATACAAACATAGAACATTTGTAAAAAAATGAACATTAATCAGTTTTGTTAACTAACTTCGTGTTTAGTTTATTGAGCTCACTTATCGAACCATGCACGATGTTGGCCTCAAACTCAACGAGCTCACTTTACAAATGTTCTATGTTTGTATTTTATCGTGTTAGTTTGTGAATCCGTTGAGATGTACGAGGTGTAACTCAACCTTGATGTGTTAGTAGATAAACCTATTCTTGAACAGGCTCGATAAATAATTAGTGGTATTGCAAAGGGTTATAGGTATAATATGCCCCTATACTATGCAGTTTTATCAAACATGTCTCTCTACTATTTTTTACGTCAAATATGCCCATGGACATTGTAAGAATGATCAAACATGCCCTTCTGTTAAAATTTCCATTATAAAAATTGTCAACAATGGTTGAACAAAGATTTAGACGACCCGACATCGGTAAATGGGAGGGAAAATGTTAGTTTTTTCTCTTTATTTATTTCTCTAGGTCTTGTTAAATTGAAATTATTAGAGGTATTTGGCACTACAAAAGAACCCAAACAATTCTAAATTGAAATTATCAAGGATATTTTAGACATTTGTGTCGCCCAAACCATGGTTGACGATCTTTGGATGAAAATTTTAGCAAAAGAGCATGTTTGATGTAAAAAAATAGTAGAGGTGCATGTTTGATAAAATGACACAATAAAAGTACATATTATACCTATAACCCTATTGCAAACAATCATAATATCCCATCTTTTTTCGCACAAGAAGAATAGTGTTGAGCTAAAATGGGCTCGGGAGAACAAGAGGTCAAATGGGCTGCATAAAGATAAAAGAAAGGAAGTGGGCTGTTATGACTCCACGGCCCACAACTACTATCATTTCCTGAGTGAGGTATCGGCAGACTGTCTCACAGGGGAGGGAGGAATGTGTGTAACCAAAATACACAAAGAAGAGGAACACAAATGACGTACAAGAACTCTGAGTAGAATATGAATCTGACCACCAATATCTATAACTTAATCTTTGCAAAGTGCCTCTTCATACCCAACAAATATCGGTTTGACTCATTGAGGGTTTATTAAACACGGGAAGATGACGATATTAATAAATCAACAACATTTATTTTAAGTTTTTGTTTTGGCAGGTGTAAGCGTCATTAAGTTTGGCAAAATACTCAAAGAGCACGGTCGACCATCGACTTTATTGTGCTTAGTTAATCTTGATACACAAGGGCCCAATTATCCTCTAACCCCTGCTTTTTGGTGATTAAGTCGTACAAGTAGTATGGTGGGTCAATTATCCTTAACCTCTTTTTTAAGATAATCCTTAACCCCATTACCTTAATAACCATCGAATTGCAATAAACTAACATCCAATCTTGTAATCATAATAATAATAATACAAAATTAAAGCCAAATTTAATTTAGTTTTGATTCCCATCGACGATTCCTGTCCACAAATTATATGAAGAATTTGGATCACGTCACATATGGGTTGGTTAATCAACTGAGGAGATACTAATTAATCAGCTGTTGGTTGCGTCATATATACTCACTCCGAAACAAAATTGGGCCCTGGGCCCATGGGCCCGTGAGAAAAGCGAGTGATGGTGACACGGCACCAACTACCAAGTTGCTTGCTGGACGGAATTGGTTGCCACCTACCAATTTTGCTCTTCTGCCCACTTGCAAAATGAAAAAATATCGGCCTATGTCATGTCGGACAAAACAAAACGTCCCCAATTTTCCCCGTAAAAAAAAAAACTTTTTACGTCTTACTTGCATTTGTTTTCCCCCCTACTTCATACATGTGTGTTTCTTGATCTTAATTTATTGCTAATAGAGGTGGGAAATTACATTTGATTCGTATATTAGATCGGTGGATTTCGGATTAAATGATTTTGATTTATTGGTCCGAGTGACATCATGTATTATGGAAATTAGGGTTGGAAATTGGAATATCGGTTTTGATTTTCCAAGAATTAATTTGAAAACAAGAGCAATGGGTTGGATTCCGGAATCTTTGAATACCAGCCAGCCCAGTGCGGTGATGCCACGTGGTGGGGACTGGATGAGACTCAGCGAATCAGAAATCAGTTAGACGCAGCGAATAGAGAGCGAAAACGTGCCCAGGCGGGACACTCTGCAGCCAATCAACGACCACAGCAGTGAGAAAGGGAGGAGGAGAGGAGGCCCATAATAATAAGTTACTAAACTGCTAATCTGGGCCCATTAATTAAAAAATTGAGCAGGCTGGCGCGTGGAGGGAACGGGCCACTGGCGAGCCGCCGAGGCCCGGTGGGTGACCAGCTCGCTTAGTCGCTTGCTTCTCTTTCTTCTCCTGCGTTCAGCATAACCATCCCAAAGAAAGAAGTGAATAGGGTTGTAGCGGTTTGATTTCACACCGAACCGTACTGGACGAAATCAAAGCTTGTACGTACCATACCAAATGTTATATAGTTCGATGATACGCATTTTTTACTCTGAACCGAATACAATGTTGATCTAATACCTAATCCTGAAATGTCTTTCACTATCAAACAACAATTCTCGTGAATATAGTTCAAACCAGACCGGACCTTTGCACACTTTGCATACTGAACAAGAAGGGCAACGGCGTCCGGTGGCGGCTGATCAAAAATAGCTGGCGTGGGCTTGGGGAAGGGATCCCTCCCTCCCTCCCAATGAAAAACCGACAGACCAACAGGCGCGTGAATCCCCGGCGGCAGAACAGAATTACCCCCAACAAGAAAACAAACAGTATAATAACCTTTACCCCACATTTTAATAAGAAAAAGAAAAAAACCCAGTTTTCTTTCTCCCCTATTGGCAATGGGTAGGGTCGGGTGCGAGTTTACCCTATACCAACTCCTAACCCGCCGGGTAGAGCCTTCTAAAATACCCGATCAAATAACTACCGGGTATGAAAATTATATAACCATACCCTACCCACCGGGTAACCACGGGCATTCGGGTAACCATGGGTACGAATCCTAAACTATGAACTTATACACAAATATGCACATACATACTGTTGTCTATTAAAAATTCTCAATACTTGTAACTGTTCTAGCTTCAACAATCCACACAAATAAAAATAGCAAACACATAATAATTGTTCTTGCTTCTACAATCCACACAAACATAATAATCGTCTTCATCTTCATCATCAATAATGATAGCTAAACTCAATTTCTCAAGCTAATCTAAATTTCTCAAGGGAAATTGACCCTTTGGTTAGCGGGGCGGGTATAACGGGGCGGGTATTATCGATTACCATACCCGTACCCTACCCTTTATTTTGAAATCGGTGTATTACCCGTACCCGTCCCTTAACCCGTCAAAGCGGGTAATTACCCTCGTTGACCGGTTACGAGGTAGGTTACCCATGATTCCCTACTACCCTCTCTTTCGCTCGCTCGATCTACCGCCACACGACGCAAACGTCACGAGTGGGGGCTCTTTTGTTTGGTCATCCGCTACTTTTTTGCTCTTTCCTCACCATTATTATTCCCATTTTGGAATCTCTCTCCCTCTCAGTCTCTCTATCTCTCTGTCTCTGTTGTTCTGAGTGCGTAGCGTAGTTCGACGATGTCTATAGCCACTTCTCAGATCCGCCTCCTTTCTCGAAACCAGCTCTGATTCCCTCACTATCCCTCTATTCTCCACCTCCACCTGGTAATACCCACCTCAATTATTATATATATTCCTCCCCTCTATTCCATCGTCCCCTTTTGCTCCTTCATTCCCCTGCTTGCTGGCTTCTCCTCTCTGGCATATCGACAGCCATGGAATATTCATCTGGGTAATTTGTTTTTCTTCTTCTTCCTCCTGTTATTGCGTAAGAAAGGGAAAAAGGCTTTTGGCTTCGTCTCTCCGTGGCTTCAATTGGGGTTGACTCTGTTTTCCTGTTTTGGCTTTCAGATTTTCTGGAATTCCGTTGGTTGTTGTTCTTGGGCAAGTTCTGAGCTTTTGTTGAAGGGTTTTACGTTTTCGGTCTTGTTTATTCTGCTGAGTTCTTTTTTGGGGTTTTGGGCAAGGTTGACTTTACGAATTGGGTTGGTTTGTCTGCTCAGAATAAGCTTCCCTGTTTGCCATGGATGATTGACTGAACCCTGTGTTTTTTCATTGTCATGGAGCTGTTAAAGTTTACTTTTTTTTACTCTTTGCTATTCTTGGGGTGAAATTTAGTTTCAGATCTACTTCCTTGTTACCAGCTACTTACAGTCCTTGTATGTCCTTTCCTGTTAGGCTTTTTGTATATGTAATCTGTGACCCTTGTGTTTAGGGAGAAACGAGTTAGCTCTCACCATATGCCATGGATTCATAATTCTTACATGGCAATTGCAGTTCTTGTCCTGAACTAGATAACTTGCTGACGACTCGCTTGTTGGTGGATTTTTTTCACTAATTATCCATTCTGCTGTGGTTCTTCCAGAAATTCTTGATTTGATCTTGTTTCGGTCGCATGGTGGCTCCTCCAGCATCACGTCGCTTTGTTCGCCTATCATTTCATTCACGAATTCGTCATTTCCGTATGCTCTCTCTTTCTCTTAATGTTCAATTCATCCAGTTTCCTGTTTGATTCTTAGAGCATGATATTCCATTTTCGATATTTAGGGTTGTAGGTAGTTTATGTCTTGTGGAGAGCTTGATTTAGTATTGTCCTTTGTTTGCTTGTTTGTGTACCCTCGTGTCCATTTCCTTCAACTTGAACAATGCATAAGTTTTTCAACCAAACCTTGAGGGCGAAAAACTATAAATTGTGGTCCTCTGATCATGTCTTATCTGTTTGCTGCAGACGTGAATGAAGCTAAGGAAAACTGAAAGGAGCAGCAGAGGCTCCAATGTTGTTTGGACTTCGGTTTTGACTGTCCAAATTACAGGCTTCTACCCTCGAAACGTCGTCAGATATCAGTGACTCGAAGATGGATAGGTTAGACACATCGGGCTTCGTAAGCGGTGGATGCTGCTGCTCTCACTTCATTCTCAAAGCACTTGCATAGTAATAGTATGCTCTGAAAACTCCTCTCTCTGTGCTAGCTAGTTTGGCCTCTAAAATTCTCCAGCACTACTAATAAGCTCAACAAAGAACATGGACCTCAGCTTCAACAACAGCAACAGAGTTTCTCTGGACAATGAACATGTGAAAAGTGACACCACCTTGCGCTTGAACTTTCTCGGTTATGGAGCAAACCGTGTTGCCACCAACTCCATCTCCAGATTTGGCAGTGGCACTCAGAGCAATCTAAAGAAAGATTTCTGTAACAGCATACATGACGATGATGCGTGCAAATTGGTCCTCGGGTTGGGTCCCACATCGAGCACATACAGTGGCGATTTCTCCAACAATGTTGGGGGAACTGTTGCCAACCCCAAAGGCTCTCCTCCTTTTACACTTGGGGGTGATTCGATCTTAAAGCTCGGCCTTTCTGGAGTGGGGCAAGTTGCTAATGATTCCTTCAGTGGACTCGAGAACAGTTCAGTTACAGAGATGAATCAAGCACCTGCTGTTAACAAAAGAAGATTCTCCTTCCCAGTTTTGGACGAAGGCTCCACTTCAGCTAAGAAATCAGCTGGTGGATACATGCCTTCACTTCTCTTGGCTCCCAGAATGGACATTCGAAAAGCTCCACTGCCACAGACAGAAGTCATCGACTTCGAACTCAGTCACGAGCCATCTGCCACCACGGATTTCTCTTCAGCTTCCGAGCAAACAACTACGACAGCTACATCTGGAAGCCACCGCGGCGTCACCAATGCAAAGAAATGCAGTTTCTTCGGATGTTCTAAGGGAGCACGTGGTGCCACGGGGCTCTGCATTGGCCATGGCGGAGGCCAAAGATGCCAGAAGCAAGGCTGCAACAAGGGCGCCGAGAGCAGAACCGCATATTGCAAGTCCCACGGCGGGGGAAGAAGGTGCGAGCACTTGGGCTGCACGAAGAGCGCCGAGGGAAAGACCGAACTCTGCATAGCCCACGGAGGGGGCCGTAGATGTGGGTACCCCGATGGATGCACGAAAGCAGCACGTGGCAAGTCGGGGCTGTGCATCAGACACGGCGGAGGGAAGAGATGCAAGGTTAACGGCTGCACTAGGAGTGCAGAAGGACAGGCAGGGTTGTGCATTTCTCACGGTGGAGGAAGGCGTTGTCAGCAAGAAGGGTGTGCCAAGGGCGCCCAGGGCAGCACAAAGTACTGCAAAGCCCACGGTGGTGGGAAGAGGTGCGTGTTTGCAGGTTGCACGAAGGGCGCAGAAGGCAGCACTCCGTTGTGCAAAGGTCATGGTGGAGGGAAGAGGTGTTTGTACGATGGTGGTGGGATTTGTCCGAAGAGTGTCCATGGTGGCACCAACTTCTGTGTGGCTCACGGTGGAGGGAAGAGGTGCGTGGTGCCCGGCTGCACGAAGAGTGCTCGTGGCCGGACTGATTGCTGTGTCAGGCACGGTGGAGGGAAGCGGTGTAAGGTCGAGAGCTGCGGGAAGAGCGCTCAGGGGAGCACGGACTTCTGCAAGGCCCACGGAGGCGGGAAGAGGTGTTCGTGGGGAGGGGAAGAAGCTGGGAAATGCGAGAAGTTTGCGAGAGGGAAGAGTGGTCTCTGTGCTGCTCACTCGAGCTTGGTGCAGGAGAGGGAGATGGGGAAAGGTGGAAGTATGATCAGACCGGGGCTGTTCCGCGGGCTCGTTTCGGCAGCTGCTGCTGCTTCAACGGCCGGCGGGAACACCTACAGTTTCTCCGGAGGGAGCGGGGTGTCGGAGAGTAGTGCTGATGGTGGGTCGTTGCTGGAGAAGCCGGCGAAACGACGGCACCTCATACCGCCGCAGGTGCTGGTTCCGCTTTCGATGAAACCGTCGGCTGTGGCGTCCACGTATTCGAGAGATGGAGGAGCTAGTAGCGATGGGCTGAAGAGAGGTGTGGGTGAGATGATGGTTCCTGAAGGGAGAGTCCATGGTGGTGGGCTCATGTCTCTGTTTGGCGGGAACCTGAAGAATGCTGCCATTGATGGGGTTTGAAGCTTTTCAAAGGAGGGGAAGCTCTGTGTCGCTCTTCCTCACTTGGCCAAATGGTGATTCATAATTTGCATTCAAATGATTGATTGATTTGGGAGCTATGCACAAAAGTGGGGTGTTTGGTGCATGGTTTTCCAACTCAACTGTGTATATTTGGCTGTTGATAATTTTAGGTTAGGAGGAGTCTTGTGTTTGTGTTGTGCCATAATGTTGTTTTTGGGGGACGTCTGTTCTTTTCTTTCATATTTCCAGTTCAAATGGTCTGGTTTTTTTGGCAATAAGCTCCCTCATTTGAAGGGTGATGTAGTAATCACCCGCATCATTAGGTCTTACATGTGTTGTACTTTTTGTATATCCTCTCGTTGGAACATTGTGAGTCACTACATTTGTTCTTGCTTCAGGAATTCGATCTGTCACGTCTATTTGTCGTTTGCTTCTCATTCTATTGTTCAATTTGCTAGATTTTCGATAACTATAACTATAACGTATCAAAGATTTTAGCTTGATTCTCAAGAATCAATCAATCCAATAACTTGAATATTATTATATCAAATTCCATATAGAGATTAGCCACTGAAATGATCGGTGGCTTCAACAGAAAGAAAACAAGGAATAAGGTAAACTAAAATTTTAAGAGGATCAAATCAACTTTGGATCAAGGCTCTATCTCTTAGCAATGCTTCAACGGCTTTCCTTCCTGACACCAATGCACCATCGAAAGTGGCTGAAGTCAGGTAATCCCCTGCCACATATAAACCAGAATCGACCCGGTGGCTTTTCATCAAATCGGTCGGAGGGCTTTGGTTGGGTTGTGCAAAACCAATCCGATACGTTCTCAAGTACTTCCACGATCCAACCAACGAGTCCCCAAACCAACCGGAGAGCTCGCCAACAACACGAGCTGCGAGATTTTCATCCGACTCGTCCTCAAACGACCCAATCAAAGATGCCGATACCAGGACCTTGTCGGCTGGACCATACGAGGGAGCCACATTGGTGGCGAAGAACATGTTGTTGACGATGCCCTGACCCGAACCGTTGAGAAACAGAACCGGGTCCTGAACTGGAACCTTGTCCCGGTCAGATGAGAAATATATACAAACTGTGCCACGAGCTGGTTTTGGTCGAACCGGGACTGGGTTTCCCGGGCCGTTTCCGTTGCCGTTCCGCTTCATTCCCGCCAACAGCTTCGCGGCTTGCGGTTCCTCCACCGCCAAGATCAATCCGAGCTCGCTTTGGAAAGTTTCACCAGTTTCCAACTTCAGCGACGATTCCTCGAGATCAATGGAGGCAACTCTCGAGTTCAACAAGATGGAGCTGGGCGGCAATTTTGAGGCCAATTGGTCGGGAATTGCTCCGATCCCCTTCGCCGGCAGGGTATTGTCGCCCAGAGCCAGACATTTGAAGATGAATTCGAACAGCCTGGAAGTGGTTTCGAGCTCGGGATCGAAGAAAATCCCACCGAAGAAGGGCTTAAAGAATCGGCGGACAATGGAATCGGAGAACCCAATTCTCTTCAACAGCTCCGATGTACGGACCTCGTCGGCACGCAGGATTTGGTCGTCCGATTTGGTCAATACACCAAGCCTCGTCGACCCTATAAGCAACTTATCGAGAACCGACCCAATTGGGTTAGTTAAGGACTGGAGGGCATCGGAGAAGTGACGGAGGGGATCGGCAACGGTGTGGAACTGCCCGTCGAAGTAAATCCGGGCACCGGAGTAGAATTTCCGGAGATCCAATTCCCGGTATTCGATCAGCTTTTGAGCTTCTGGGTAGGAAGTGATGAAGATTTGGAAGCCACGGTCGAGGACGAAACCGTCGACGAGGTCAGTCCGTACTCGGCCGCCGACTCCGTCCGAAGCTTCGAGGAGGAGGAAAGGGATATTTCGAGAGTGGAGGTGGGTTGCGGCGGCGAGACCGGCGAGGCCAGCTCCGACAACAATAACACCAGTCTTGGTGCGGGAGAGGGGCGGGGAGGATAAGGGCTGGGAGGGTTTGGCGGTGGAGGAAGACGAGGAGATTGAGAGGCGGGAGAAGTGACGGCGGCCGGAGGTCCTGGCGGTGAGGTGGGAGACGGAGATGGACGAAACGGCGAGGGCTTGTGATTGAGAGAGAGCGAGAGTCATTTGGATCGGAGTGGAGAGATGTGGATAAGGCAAAGCTTTGCTGCTTTTGCTTTTCTGCGTGTAGTTTGGTTGGTTTGGACGTTTGGAAATTTGAGGATGGGTTAGGATTGGCGGATGATGGATTGGATGTGCCCTACCGGTGGATGGCTACCTTAGAATATTGTGTTTTAGTCTCTAGTGTCTTAAGGGATGTGAGTGCAGTAAGGGCAGTGACCTGATCCTAATATCCCCTATATAGAGAGTCAATACTCTTCTAAGGAAATGGTTCTTTGTTCTACCAGAGAGAAGAGAAGGCCAACAGACCCAGAAAAACGAGAATGAACAGTTCGGGACGCATATGAATCCAAGTAAGTACTACATTTATACAGACGGCAAAAGAAAGAACTAACCGTGCTCTCCAGCCATGAATGGATCTCTGGTCTCCCAAGTCCCAACTTATTTACAGTTGGTGCATCACGCTTCCATGCTTCATGTTAAATCGTCCAAAACATGGAAGCTGACTACAAGGATATCTATGTACGCACATGTTTACAGAAACTGATCGTCGCCAAAATCATAGACTTCCTGCTGAATGCTGATGAAGAGTTCTGTAACGAGTGGGATGTGGTAAATGAATATGGTTCTGAAAAAGAAGCTGAAGATTGAGCATAACTGCATTCTTTAGTTCAAACCTGTGATGGAAGAGAGGTGAGAGACGCTGTTGCTGTTGCTCCTAAGGGCAGAACCTGGTGAACACAGGCAACCTTTTCTTAGTCGATGGGCCATGAAGAATCCGGTCAATATTGGCATTAACATCTTCCCTTGATGTGGATTTGTCAGTATGAGGTGGCAGGACAATCTCAATGTTATCATCCAAGGGCGACCAATCGCGCGAGCTTGTGTTGCCGGAACTTGAAACTCTGAAGTCTTCAGGTTTCTTGATGGATGTTGAGCTTCTGCTTGAAAGGTCTAGTCTGGGTGGGGTGGAAGTAATGAACCTGGCATCCGAAGTTAAACTTCTCATGGAGTTCCTGCTGGAGAGTTCTGATCTCATGAAGCTCGAGGTGCCCCTTTTGCTTTGTTCAGGTCTGTTGGAAGCATATCTTATTAGGTTTTCTGTTGCTGACGCTTCTGTCATCCCAGGAGAAAACAGGAGGGATTTTGTAGGGTATGAAGGTGGAGTCAATGACCTGTTACTCCGAACCTGCACAGATTATGAATTGGGAAACAAAGGTGAGATGGCCTTTCATTAGACCGTGGGGATTTTAATCACCAACTACTGAGTGCAAACCTCAGACTTGTTCTTGACAATGTATCCTGGTGGACGAAGCTCTTCCTTTCCATGTGCAAACTGAAATAGCAGAGACCAAGATGGTGAATTCAAGCTCAAGAACCACACAAAAACTGAATCAGAACAATGGCTAGCATGAATCTGATCTCGGATTTCGGTAAGCATGAGGGGTGACAGGCTCACAACAAAAGACTATGATCTTGAACAAAGGTCACCTTAAATTTCCTGGTTACAATAGACAACAATCTAGCTTGAATTAGCACATTGAAGAAATGTCATGTTACTGTTTCTCAACTCAAGAACTTAGTTCCTGGATGGTTCAAGTTGTAAGCAACTTGCCGCAAAATCGGAAGTATTGAAAGAGATTCAAGTACTGCAAGAACTTAGAATGGTCATTCAGAGTATTCTCTTGTCTATTTGCAGCAAATGCAGGGATTTCACCATGACACCACAGCTCAACAGGGGAATCAACTAAAGGAAATGCACAGTTTCCATCTAATGTGTAATTCAGATTCGTTGCATCACTCTTAGTTCCATAATAATCCTACTTCCAAAAACTGGAGAAGCTACAGAGATTAAGCTATATAAGCTCTTTTGAGATTCTCAAAGGATGCTCAGAAGCACCAACAGCTAGAATCTTATTCCTGGCTTATCTAAGAATCATAAACACAAACAGTTTGTAAGCATAACAAACATAAGATTGGAGTTGCGGTTCAATTCTACTCGTAGCTCATAATTAAAACTACGAATTGATGAGGTACGGATATTTCAGATTTCCCAGCCAATGCCATGTCTAGAGGTGTGAAATTAACCTCCAAATCAAAGTACCTCCGGGAAACAAATTCACAATCTCTTTTGAAAGAACTGAAATGGAGACAATCGAATGGAAAACGAGAAGGCGAGAGGAGAACCTGGCATTTAGTGACGTAGCGGCAGTATCCGTGATCCTCCCAAGCTCTACAGAGTTCAGTCTTGTTGATCTTGTTCCCCGACGAAGAAGACGAAGAACTATTCGAGGATGAGCCACCGGACTCAGACAGCACGCGAGCCCTACCAGAAACCCTAGCCCCTCCCCATACCCCGACAGCGGACGCAACGCCGATCGCATCCATCACCAACACATCGTCTTCCATCGCCTTCAGAGGACCGACGCCGAGGACCGACGACTTCCTCGCGTTCTCTAAAGAAGACATCGACGAGAGGGGCGATGAAGACGCCGTGGATCTCCCGAAGCTGGTGCCACCGCCACTGCTGCCTCCCCCGCTGCGGCCGCGGCCGTTGCTTCCGGAAGAGCTGCTGAACTGGTTCTTCTTGGACACAGGCGAGGGAGAACTGAAGGAATTTTCCGCGTCGGCGCCGTCGAAATCATGCGGAAACAGAGCAGTCGGAGATCTGGCAGCGGCGGCGCCTTGCAGGTAGCGGAGGAGCGGAGAATTCATGCTCAGGCGGTTAATCGCTTTTTCACTTCCACTTGTGCTCATCTCTTCTTCTCGCTCGCCAACAACAGATCTTTGGATTCCCGCTCAATTTCTTCCCACCCTTGCCTCAACGGTTATAGTTATATAGTTTCTTGAATTTTAAGTTAGGGTTAATATCTTATTTTGGTTCGAACTATGACCATATAATCAATTTTGGCCCGTGATTTCAGAAATTAACATCATGGCCTCAACTATACAGCATATAGATCAATTGGCCCGACACATGGTTTGACCGTTAATTTGGACGGTCAAACCATGTGACGGTCATCACCGTTAACCGTTAGTCAACACGCCATGTCATTGCCCCGTCAGCCTAAAATTTATTAAAAAAATTCAAATTATTATTTTTCTAATTTCTATTATTTTATCACTTTCAAATTAACAAAAAATAAAATTTAAAATAATTTTATAATTTTTGGTTAATTGGTAAAATTTATCATTTTTATATTTTTTGGTTAATTTGATAATGATAAATAATATAAACTAGGAAAATAATTTGAATTTGAATATTTTTAATGATTTTTATGCTGGCGAGACAATGACATGGCGTGTTGACTAACGGTCAACGGTTTTGACCGTCCAAATTGACGGTCAAACCATGTGTCAGACCAATTGAGTCTATATGTTGTATAGTTAAGGTCGGGATGTTAATTTCTAAAACCACGTGCCAAAGTTGATTATATGGTCATAGTTCATGCCAAAATAATGTATTAACCCTTTAAGTTATTAGTATTTGTTTCTCCCGTTCTCAGAAACGAAATGTATATGAAAAACATCTATATTAAGAGAGAGAAGGTAAAGTTAGAGAGATAAACATCTGCCCTCTCTCCTCCCTTTTTCGACCGTTGAATGAGTGGTTGCCCCAAACCTCCCAGCGGGGAGGTGGATTTCTACATGAAACCGCCGGACGGATCTCCCTCGACCTCGTCGAGCCAGCCGAGCAAGAAATCCAAAGTTATCTCCAACGACGGCGACACATGAGAAGGCGGAATTGAGATCGCGGTGGTCACAACGAGAGCCAAAAATGGTGAAAGTCCAAGGGGATGCGACGGAGCCGAATATGACTGTTGCCTCTATGATGAATCTCGACTTCGATCCAGCTAATGAATCTGCAATCCCAGCTGAAACTGAACAGACCAAGGCCTCGTATAAAGACTCGTTCCTGGGGAACAAGCCAGGCCCGCCACCATTTGCAGGTGATGATCTCATGTCCGATGAATCTGGCGATGAAGGGGACGACGACCCAGAATGTCCAACCATCCGAATCAAAAAGAGCACAAACGCAAGAGTACAACAGAGATGGAGCAGGGCCATCACGTTCAGAGTCCTTGGAGGGCCTTGGACGATCAATGACCACTACATTGTCTCAGAGCCATGGAGACTCGACTTTGACCCAGACTTCGATGTCATCAACAAAACAGCTGTTTGGGTGAGACTTCCTCACCTTCCTCTTGCCTACTTTGATGAGGAGATTCTCATGGACATCGGTAGCAAGCTGGGTAGAGTGGAGAAGATCGACTACAACACCTCAAACGGGTTCAGGGGAAACTACGCGAGAATCTGTGTGGAGATCGATCTGAGAAAGAAACCGGTATCCAAATACATATTTAAAAGGAGAGTCAGATGTGTTGAGTACGAGGGACTCCATACTGTCTGCTTTGAGTGTGGCCACTACGACCATCTTGCTGAGAAATGGCCGACGAGGAACCCGGTCATAAACCAGGAGTCGCGTGAAAAGAGAGCTGAGGGGGTAACTGACAACTCGAATCAGACCATTAGACCTGAAGTTCTGGAAGAATTTGGACCATGGATGTTGGCAACCAGACCAAAGAGGAGGAAACAGCAGTAGAAAAACGCAGGAGATACACCACGAGGAGGAGGACAGGTGGAAGCCCACGCAGATGGATCCAGATTTGCAGCACTTGATGGTGTGGACAATGAGGAGGACAATACATCTAGCGTGGCTGGAAGCGAGGAAGAAGAGGAGCTAAATGAAGAAGATGCTAACATGGAGGATGTGGAAAGTGCAAAAGAAAATACAGATTCTCAGCAAACTGGGAAGCAAGAACAGAAAGCACCTGAGGCAGCCAATATTCAGAAGGATAGGGAAACCAAGGGAGGAGAAGCTGGAAGAAAGGAGAACATCAAAGGGAAAGGGAGTAGTCAACAGAGAGAAAGGGACAATACCATTAAGAAGAAGAACCAGAAAGTCTCCCCAGAAATTAACAAGTCCAAATCAATGGTAACAAACACAGAGAAACAAGGAGCAATGGTCACAAAGGTGGTTAGAGAGAAGAAAGAGCAGAAGAAGGAAGATAGGAATATAGCACCACCCCCAAACCCAAACATCCCCAATGCAGGAGGCTCAACCCCGAGTAACAGCAGAGGGAAAGACAAGGGTGTCAGTGTTGGAGGAAAATTAGGGCATCAACCAAAAATGCGGCAAGCAGGTAACCATAGCTCGGCCAAGGAGGAAGGAAAGCATCTATCCCACTCCTCAAATACTGGGAAAGGAAATTCGAGGAAAATTGAGTTTGATGTAACAATGGGAGAGGTGACAGCCCAGCCAGAAAATGCAGCTACGACCATGATCATTACTCCGAGTGGTGATTCAGGGTCGAAGGAGACGGCAATGGCCGTCGATGCCTGATTGTTGTTGGTACGAGAGTTCCTGGTTTGCCTTCTTCATTCTTTAATGATTAAAGCTCTCTCTTGGAACTGTAGGGGTGCTAAGCATCCCAAATTCTTGTAAACTATGAAGTTTTATAAGGAGAAGTACAATCTGAATGTGGTGTGCATCTTGGAACCGAGAATTAGTGGGGAAGACGCTGTTTCAGCAATCAAGGCAATTGGCTTTGATTCCTGGAAATTTTCTGACGCTGTTGGATTTAAAGGGGGGATTTGGGTCTTATGGGACAGCAACCAGCTGAAGCTTGAGCTCAAAGACAAACATAAACAGTTTATTCATCTATCATGCTCAATTGACAACGAGGATATGGGGTATATCACTGCTGTTTACGCTAGTCCTAATGAGCACGAAAGATGTGAAGTCTGGGATTCCCTTAGGTTGTTGGAGAGAAGAATTAATGCTCCCTGGCTCATTACGAGGGATTTGAACTCGATCTTCAGGCCAATGGAGAAATAAGGAGGAGCGCCCTTTAACCTCAATAAAACCAGAGCCTTCAACGAATGCATTGAAGATTGCAGACTGGTTGACTTGGGGTACACATGGCCACCTTTACTTGGTTCACCTCATCTGGTCTTAAGGAAAGACTTGACCGAAGTCTTTGCAACATGGAGTGGCGACAGGCTTTCCCACAAACGGTTGTCTACCACCTCTCCTGACTTGCAGCACAAGCCAACCTGTGAAGACTAACTTGGTGAGACGCTTCCAGTTTCTTGCCCCATGGCTCTCTCATGATTCCTTCTTCCCCTTCCTGTCTGCCTATTGGAATGGTAGCAACGATTTCCCTTCGTCTTTGCAGGGCCTCTCGAAGAAGCTTCAAGAGTGGAACAAATCTATCTTTGGGAACATCTTCAAAAGGAAGAGACAACTCCTTAACAAGCTTGAAGGCTTGGAGCTCCTGAATGACAGGAATCCCAGCAACAACTCCCTCGCAAAGGAGAAGCAAATCAGGGAGGAGTTGGAGCAAACCCTCTGGCAAGAGGAGGTTTCGTGGTTGCAAAAATCTAGAGCCAACCTTGTGATTCATGGTGACAGGAACATAAGATTCTTCCATCAAAGCACACTTAGCAGGAGGAAGAGGAATAAGATCACTAGCCTGAAAGATGAGAGTGGGAACTAAGTCACTGACCCAGACACACTTTGCACCATGGCTAGAGAGTTCTATGTCAGGCTTTTCGAGAAGGAGAACAGAGTTGATCGTCCCAACATTGTGGCGAACTTCCCAAGCATTGGACCGGCTGCAGACAGAATTTGTTCCCCTCCCAGCATGGAGGAGATTCGTGCAATCATAATGGATATGAACGGTTTGAAAGCACCTGGGAAGGATGGCTACCAAGCCATCATCTTCCAAAAGTGCTGGGAGGTTATTGGTGTCAATTTCTCAAGCTTTGTGATTAAATGCTTCCGAGATCCCATTAGAATTAGATCTTTGAATGCCACTTTACTTGCGCTTATCCCTAAGACTTTTCCCCCTCAATCTATGAGTGAATTTAGACCCATTAGCTTGTGCAATATTGGTTATAAAGTTGTTGCAAAGATTATTGCCAACAGATTAAAACCATTGATGCCCAAACTGGTGTGCCCGAATCAAACTAGTTTTGTCCTAATCGTCATATTACTGACAATATTCTGATTTTGCAGGAAACAGTCCATACAATGAACAAGAAAAGTGGAAAGAAAGGACTCATGCTCCTCAAAGTCGATCTTGCCAAGGCGTACGACAGGATTGACTGGTGCTTCCTCGAAGAAACACTCAGAATGGCTGGCCTCCCTCCTACTTGTGTTCTCACCATTATGGAATGCGTGACTTCTGTCGAAATGCAAGTGCTCTGGAATGGAGGAGAGACGGAAAGCTTTAAGCTAAGCATAGGCCTTAGACAGGGATGTCCCCTATCTCCCTATCTCTTTACACTTTGCATGGAACGACTTAGTCATTGTATTGCGGAGGAAGTTAGGATAGGAACTTGGATACTTATTAGATTGTCGTGCGGAGGACCACCCCTATCCTACCTTTTCTTTGCTGATGACTTAGTGTTGTTTGCGGAAGCTAGTCAGAACCAGGCTGATTGTATTTTGAATTGCTTAAGTAGATTCTGTGATGCTTCAGGAGAACTTATCAGTAGAGAAAAGTCTAGGATTTACTTCTCTAAGAACACTAGCTCGAACCTTAGGGAAAAAAATATGTTCTAACCTTAAGATTCAAGCCACTGGAGACCTTGGCAAGTACCTAGGTGTCCCTGTGCTTCATGGTAGGTTTACGAAAAACACCTATAAGTACATCATTGAAAAACTGGATAAAAAACTGACGGCTTGGAAAGCTAGGACTCTTTCTCTTGCAGGCCGTGTGACTCTTGCTACGACTATTCTCAGTGCTATTCCTTCCTACATTATGCAGACTACGATGCTGCCTATGTCTATCTATGATCTCATTGATAAGAAAATTAGGTGGTTTGTATGGGGATCACAGCTGGGTAGAAGGAAGGTTCATCTTGTGGCGTGAGAAAATATTTGCAAACCAAAAGAGCAAAGGGGTTAGGGCTAAGATATGCTAGGTCATTGAACCTTGCATATATGGTCAAACTTGCCTGGATTCTGTTTAATAATGATAAGGAGTTGTGGGTGCAGGTGCTCCAAAAGAAATACTTCCACCACAAAGATGGGAAGATTGTCTCAGCTAAGAAAAGCAATCATTCCAATTTATGGAAAGCTGTTATGAAGGCGATGCCTTACATGAAAAAATCCATGGTCTGGAGCCTGAGAGAGGGAAAAGACACAGGATTCTGGACCCATCCATGGCTGAACAACGACACCTACCTCTCGGAGTTCGCTACTAGACAGTTGACTGAGGAGGAAACCAACTCAACTGCTGCGGATTAGACTACTGAAGATGGTGAGTGGAACTGGACCAAGCTTAAGGATTGTCTTCCTAACGATCTCCTTGTGCACATTGCAAGCGTGGATGCTCCAAAAACAGGGCTGGGCGAGGACATCACCACTTGGGTACTGGAGAAAGACGGCCGCTTCAGACTCAAATCTGCATATAACCTGGTTGTTGGGCATGTTGAGGAAGGTCATGAAGACGACTGGAAGAACTTATGGAGATGGAAAGGCCCTAACAGGGTCGAACTCTTCCTCTGGTTGGTGTCTCATAACAGACTGCTCATGAATTCTGAAAGGAAGAAGCGACAGCTGACAACGAATGGAAACTGCAACCACTGCACAAATGAAGAGGAAACAGTGGAACACATTCTGAGAAGATGCAAGAAAGCAAATGAGATTTGGATCTACTTCCATGAAAAGATCACTTCGAAAGATGCTAGCTTGGACTTTAAGCAATGGATCAATGCTAACATTAAGAATGAGGAAGTGGGGATCGATTCTGGTATTATCTATTGGATGCTATGGAAATAGAGGAACGAGGAAGTCCTGGATGGCAAAACATACAACAAGGATGGATTCACCTGCAAGATCAGATCATGGATAGCTATTTTTCATCAGGCTAACGCAAATGAAAAACAGTGCATCCTCCCTAACTAGCCTACCAAGACGAGCAGAGAACTGGCCTGGAGCCCTCCCCTTGAAGGGTGGATTCAGGTGCAGACTGACGGCTCGGTCTCCTCTCCCTCTCGTAACGCGACAGCAAGAGGATTGATCAGAGACTGGCTGGGAAGATGCTGTGTTGCGTTCACTTGCAACCTTGGCAAGAGCTCGATCACACGCGCTGAACTCAAGGACGCTACTACAGGGCTCGACTTGGCCTGGAATATGGGATACAAAAAGGTGGAGCTGAACTTAGACTCCACTACGACAATCAGGATCATCAAAAATTGGGAAGACGACAGTCATTCCTATGGCGTGCTAGCCCGTCAGTTTGGGAACCTCTTAAGTAGGAATTGGACTGTTGTAGTGAATCATATTTATAGAGAATGTAACTGTGCTGCTGAATTTTTAGCGTCCAAAGGGCACGAGATGGATTTTGGCACACATCGTTTCAATGTGTGCGACCCTCTGCTCGATTACTAGCTTTTGTACGACGTCATGGGAATTTCTACCTCCCGGGTCATTAATACTATGAATTAGAACTCTGGTCATCCGTCTTCCTACAAACAAACAAAAAAAAAATGTATCTCAACCAACTATTTTTCCTTATCGGTCAACCAACT